GATGTATTGACGAAGAGGTCAAGCTGAGGAAATACAGAACAGACTACCTAGCTTATATACCTATTCTACAGTCTACATAGCCGCGATGAGTCAAAATGACGAACAAATGGTGAAACGTCGAAGAACAATAAGAAAGGTCATGAGGCTGCGCGAAGGCTGCGCGAAGAACAAGAATGACAACAATAATGGAACAAGAGGGTGTCAGGATGAGTCGAAAGGCAGTGCATAACAATAAGAACAATGGAAATAGGGCGAAGGGCAAGACGAGGCAGTGTTCCATGAGTGAAAAGGTCCATAGAGGGAATAAAGGAGCAAAGGAATAGGGGAAACGAAATGATAAGATGCGAGACAGATCAGATAAGATAAGGATGAAAAATAGGGGTTATACCGGCTGTTCACGACATTACCCCCCTTTCTAAGCCTCATCGTCCTCGATGATCAGCGGTAGGCGGCGTCCCAGTTCCCAGTCAAAGTCGGTAGGCGGGGCATCGGTGAAGTTCTCGAGTGGGCGCCATGGAAGAGAGCTGAAGATAGTAGCGGAAATCCGGCGTGGTGCAGAGGGGTGTCGCTGGTGGAACTCCTTCACGATCTCGGGCGCGTGCTCCAAGTTCTCCTCCGGTTCCCAAGTGTTGTCCGTCGACCCATAGCCTTTCACAACTAACCAAGTACTCCAGTTTGCGATTCTTTCCTCGACCTCTCCAACGGCTGTCTAAGATGTCGTGAACCTCGTATTCAAGCTCCCCCTCCAATTCAACAGGCTCAGGCGGAGGTGGCAAAATGCCGTTGACATCATTGCCTTTCCAGGGGGAGAGCTTGTCGACGTGGAACACAGGGTGGATGCGGGAGAGGGACGGGGAAAGCTCAAGTCGGTAGTCGAGGTCGCCGACACGTTCAATAACCTTGTACGGACCGAGTTGGAGATCGCCGAGTTTGCGGGATGGAACCTTAATCTGGATGTCCTTTGCGTTAAGCCAAATGTAGTCTCCAACCTTGAACTGGTGGGCCGTTCGTTTGCCGGACTCGTACACATCCTTTTGTTGGGCCTTCTCGAGACGTAAGGCAGCCTCCACATCCTTGCGGGCTTCTTGTAGCTGCTGAACGCGCTCGTCAACAGGGGCGGAGGTCGGTTCGCTTGCCGATGAGGGATGTTGAAGTGGGGAATGTAGCCGTATAGAACTTCGAAGGGAGAGCGATCGTGAGCAGAGTGGACACGGGAGTTGATCACGAATTCCGCCATTGGTAGGTGTTTGTCCCAGTCATCCTGTCGGCGAGAGACGTAGAGGCGGAGGTACTTCTCGATTTCTTGGTTGGCCCGCTCGGTCTGTCCGTTGGCTTGAGGGTGGTAGGCGGTTGTGAGGTTGGACTCGATGCCGAGGCGCTTGAGCAGAGTGCGCATGACCTTAGAAGCAAATTGAGGTCCTCGATCGCTGATGAACCGGAGTGGGAGGCCGTGGGAGGCGAAACACTTCACGATAGTAGATGTCCGCGACGCCTTCAGTGGTGATATCGGATGTGCAAGGGAGGGCGTGAAGGACCTTGCTGTAGTGATCGGTGAAGACAATGATTGCATCGTATCCATGGGCTTCCGGCAGCTGGGTAATGAGATCAACTCCTACCGTCTCCCAAGGTCCTTCGGGGACGTCCAAAGGTTGGGTGGAAAGATCGGGGGTGTTGGGTGTGCTTCCTTCGGGCGCAGATATCACAACCGTCGACGTACTTCTTGACGAAGGCTCGCATTGTTGGCCACCAATATTGTCGTTCAACTCGCTCGAGGGTTCCGTGTACACCGGGGGTGTCCAGAGGTGGGGTCGTCGTGGCACTGCTTGAGAACGTCGCGTCTGAGTTCATCGTCCGGAGGTACGTACACACGACCCTTGTAGTAGACGAGGCCATTGTCTTCTTCCCATTCAGCGAGTCCGGATGTGAGACGGCGAGGCCCTGACTTGCGGAGTTGGGCGAGTCCATCTAGGACCTGAGATTCACGGGCGCTGGCTCGACGAAGTCGGTCTTCGAGGGGATTGGCAAGGGCAGTGTGGGCGGCTGCGAGCTTGGCGAAAAGCTCTGGTTTGAGAACAACCTGTTGCTTGTTATCCTCTGCGTCCGCAACCTGATGAATGTCGAGGCGGGATAGGGCATCAGCTTGGGTGTTGGCCTTTCCAGGATGATGGGTGAGCGTGAAATTGAAGCGAGAGAGGTAGAGGGACCATCGGGCCTGTCGTCGACTGAGATCTTGTGCAGTGCGCCAGTATTCCAGGTTGGAGTGATCGGTAACAATCTCGAACGGTTTGGGGAGTCCCTCCAGGAAATGTCGCCAGTCCTTGAGTGCTTCGATGATAGCCAACATCTCTCGGTCGTAGATTTCATAGTTGCGTTCGGCCGGTTGCATGGAGGCGGAGCGGAAAGCAACGGGGTGCCAGAGTCCATCGTCGAGCTTCGTGAAGGAGGGCTCCTCCAGTGGCAAACCCGGAGGCGTCTACTTCAACGCAAGTCGGTCGATCGGGGTCCCATAACGTCAGGATTGGAGCGGAGGTGAACGCGTTTCGGAGGGTGTCGAACGCCTGTTGTTGCGGTTCGTTCCATTGCCAGGGCATGTCCTTCTTAGTAAGGTCGTTGAGAGGTCGGGTGATAGTAGCGAAATCCTTGATGAAGCGGCGGTAGAAGTTGGCGAAACCCAAAAACCCACGGACAGCGCGAAGGTTGCGGGGAACAGGCCAGTTGCGGACAGCCTCTACCTTGGCAGGGTCCATACGGACTTCTCCCTCCCTAATGACCAGGCCGAGATACTCGATCTCTTCCCGCTCGAACTCGCATTTCTCCGGACGAAGATAGAGGTCGTGCTTCTTGAGACGACGGAGGACTTCGTGTACGACTTGGCGATGCTCGTCGAGGGTGGCCGTGAAGATGAGAATGTCGTCCAGATAAACAACGACCTTTCCCTGAAGCGATGAGATCGGCAAATATCGAGTTCATGAGCGCTTGGAACGTTGCCGGGGAATTGGTGAGACCGAAGAACATGACCAATGGTTCAAAGAGTCCCTGGTTGGTGGCGAACGCGGCCTTCCATTCGTCTCCTTCCTTGATACGGATGTTGTTGTAGCCCCATCTGACGTCGAACTTGGTGAAGTACTTGGCGCCGCGGAGTCGGTTGACAATGTCGGAGACAAGGGGAAGGGGGTATCGGTTCTTCACCGTAATCTCGTTGAGCTTCCGATAGTCTTGAACGAACCAGGAGTTTTCCATCCTTCTTCTTGACAAAGAAAACCGGGGAGGCGAGGGGCGATTTAGATGGTCGGATATAGCCTTTCTTGAGGTTCTCCTCGAGGAATCGGTTCAGTTCCTCCTGCTCGTTCTGCGACATGGGGTAGACTTTGGTACGCATGGTGGCCGGTGCTCCTGCAACGAGGTCGATGGCATGGTCCCAAGGCTTGTGCTCCGGGAGGCGATGAGACTCGGATTCAGAAAAGACGGAAGCGTGCTGTCGGTACTGGGGTGGAACCATCTCCTCGAATGTCTTCTGGGGTTTGTCCTTCTGGGACTTCTCGGCAATCTGCTGGGAGTATGTGAAACCTGCAGCACCACCAAAGTTCGTCGCCTGTGTCCTCGATCAATCCCTTGCGAACCCACTTCCGCCGGGTCGTTCGGTTAGCGCGGATGCGACAGAGGGGGGGTTCGCTTGGTTCGAAGCTGGGGTCGGGTATCGAGGAGTCATCGGGAACGTTAGGAGTGGGCGGATCAGGGTTATCGTAGATCTGTTCAATAATAGCATTGCCGGAGGGTGGTTCCTTTCGAGGAGGCTGTGCATCTTCGTCGGGGACTTCTTCAATGGTGACACTGGAGATGCGAGGAGGAGGAATCTCTAACGTGCCCTTCTGCCAGGTCGATCTGGGGGTTGATTTTGCGAAGCCAAGGGAGACCTAGGATGACATCTTCTCCCCCGAGATCAGTGATAAGGAAATCCGTCCACTCGGAGTAGCCATCCACCGTGAGCTCCAAGCGAGCGAAGTGGGTGATGCTTCCTGCCTGATTTGGGGTTCCATCGATGTTGAGAAGTCGGATTGGGTGTCGAAGGGGATAGGCGGTGATCCGGTGCTTCTCCACAAAGAGGTTTGTCCAGGAATTTGCCGGTGGCACCACAATCGATCATTGCTGCGGGGTTTGCCGTACGATTTCTGCCTCTGAGTCTGATGTGAATGCGGAAATGCGAGGAACCGGGGTGTATTTTGCGTATAGAGCTAATGGTACATGAATAAATTGAATCGTACTCAGAGACGGCGTACAGCGGAGAAAAGGGTGCGTGCCTTGCAGCACGAGCAGGCACCCTCTTCAAAAACCCTGTTGTTGGATCTTCTCGAGGCGCTCCAGGATGTCTTGTTGGTTCTTCTGCGCAACCAAGAGGTCGGCGAGGGAGACGTTAGACGAGGCGGCGGCAGGTGGGGTAGACGAAGTGGCAGCAATGGTGGCGGCGGGCGTGGAAGAGTCATCAAAGAGCGAGAAGGGGGCTTCCTGGGTGGCAGCAACGCGACGTCGTTGGGTGAGTCCTCGACCGGGCGGATAGCCCATGAACTTGTCTTGGCAAACGTTAGCGGAGTGGCCGAGACGCTGGCAGTGGTTGCAACGAAGTGAGCCGTGATTGCCGTCCTTTTTGATGTGGGCGGAGGATCCGCAACCAAAGCATCGTCCACGCATTGCTTGGAGGAAGTCCTCACGGGAGCGGCCACTAGGTCCAACACGGGTCGCGTCGATATCCATCGCATAGGGGTCACGGGCAGGGGTAGAGCGAGACGAGGCGGTCGGGGTCAAGAAGGAGGCGCTGCTTCCGTGAAACGTAAAATCGTTCTGGTTGACGATGTCGCAGTAGTCTTGAAGGGTCTTGGGCTTGGCATCGTCCGGTTTGGTGATGGCGATAAGATCCAGCATGAGGCGATCGTTGGAACTGAGTTTGCGACGAAAACGTGCCATACCATCCTTCTGGGATAGACCGGGTGCGGGGAAATATCTCCATGAACTTGGCTGCGAACTGGGAAGCAGATTGTTTACCCTGGGTAAGGGCCTCGAGAACGGAAGCTTTTTTCTTCTCGTGGTCGAAAGCGGGCGCTATTCAGGCTGCCGAGAAGCTTGGCATCGATCCAGACGACATTCAACGTACCAACAATCCGCTCGAGTCCTTCAACGGCCATCTGAAGGGTACCTACTGGGACCCATATTCTCATTCTGGTCGCCTTCCTCGCCTTGATCTCTGGGTCCGGCTTGTTATCACGGATATTATTCCTGACTTTTTCGAGAAGCTTCGCATTGAGGAACAGAACCAAGCTTACCGACAATCTATTCTTCAAGGTCCTCCTCCTGCATCAGCATCCGCGAAGACCCCGGTCCAGTCCTGGATTGACGAGCTCGAGAATGGATCTGATGACGAGATTGAGGACGAGGTTGATGCCGAGCCCATCATGGTTGATGACCATGATCACGCCGAGAATGATCAACCCAGGTATGTTGTTCAGTTCTCTTTCGTTGCCGCAGTGCATCGTGAATTACCATAGCTAACATTATTCTTCAGAATTGAAGATGTGCGCGAAGAGATCGAGGACCAAGATCCAGTCGTTAGCATCGAAAATGGTGAACCCAAGTACGCTGCGCCTGATCGTAAAAATTAAATTTACCACAATTAACATTACTTTTCAGAATTGATGATGTTCGCGAAGAGATCGAGGATCCTGAAAGCTTCGTGATGGTCTCGGAGCCTTCATTGCAGGCCCGTGATGATGATATGATTATTGAGCCATCTGTTGTTGAGGAAGAGTATGAGGACTTTGTTCGTGGCTTGGAGAACACAGTAAGTGTCTTCTATTCAAATTTGATGCAATTCTAAGAGAACGTAGCGCAAGAAGGATTTTGATCATCTCCGGCGCCAATTACCGCGCGGAGAGGAAAGCATGGTCATTGATGACTCGTGCGCCATGGAGGAAGACTCCCTACGGTTACCTGATCATCATCCCCCGGTTTCCCTTCCCGAGCCAGAGCCCTGAAGCACCACTCCCTGATCCTGCTGTCAGTATCGCCTCCAGCACATCAGCAACGTCCCACGACCTTTCGTTATTGAACGAAATCACAACACTCACCATGGATATCCAAAATGATCACGATGAGCTCTGCCGCAAGGTCCAGAGGCTCCTCTCCATATCCCCAGATCCCGAGGCTGCCCAGGCCTCAATCCATTCATACTTGTCCCCGGCTATTCTCAAACGGCTCAAGACAGAAGACATCTCGCGAAGTGTATCGTCAATTGATGAAACAACCGAGGCATCCGCAGAACAGCAAGACCCGGAAGATACTGAAGGTGGCGGTGGTGTGGTGCTTGCAAGGACCTTCGATGGCAAGCTGGTACCATTCGTGAAGAAGCGCAAAGAGAAACGAATCGTATCTCATAGGATTCGGTGAATAGTATACGAAATCAATAATATTTTATCCTATATAAGCACACGAGAGATAGTCGGGGGTCTGGGGGGAACCCCCAGGGTGCCGCAGGCGAATGTCGTTGAATGAGAGGACCTCGGGGGACTGGGGGGAACCCCCAGGGTGCCGCACGGCAAGTACCATTGAAGGAGAGATGTTGGGGGCCTGGGGGGAACCCCCAGGAACGTCGTATGACAAAACCTATTAAGAAAAGAATGAGCGTCGCAGACCAGGGGGTTTGGGGGACAGAGTCCCCCAACCGGGTCTGGGGTGGAGCCCCAGCCGTCGCGGCCGGCGCCGCAAATGGTCCAAACGATTCTGACAAGAAGCCACCGTGAATTACTCACCCGATGCCACCAGACCCGTGTTCATCCTGCAATCCTCCCAGTCACCACACAGCAAACAAGAGAAACCGATGTCGCCTACGGCGAGAAACCGAGAGAAGCCGCCTCCGGCGCTCCCCAAGACTGCTGGAGATCAGCGCGGAGGGAAAACACGTCGACGAGCTGGACAACGAGCTCGCCCACGGCGAGTGAGAAACCAAAGAATGAAAGAATGCAGCCACGTCGCCACAGGCGACGGAGATACAAATTCCCACGGAATTTCAAACCCCGCTTAAGGGGTGTATGTTTAATGTCCTCGGTTGTATGCCGTTTAACGGCCCGCAGCCCACTAGTTATCAACACGGCTGGTTAATGGTTGCGGGAGGTTGAAGGATTGACGTTGGCGGATGGAACGGTGAAAGGTTGAAGGGTCGCCGGCGGGGGACATGAATTTGACAGACCATGACCTGCAATTACTTAAAGAAGAGACGTCGACGAGTGCATTGGTACCTTGGGAAGCTTCGAGTCCTCGCTCAGGGAAGGGATACCACTGGCAGAGAATGTTTTGACGGCAAGAAGCTCCGCGCCTCACAGCACATTGCTACATAGCTTTTACCCGATAGTCACGGACAGACCACGGGAACTTAATATCGTTATCAACGATACATAGGGACCAGCTGGGAAAAGACGTGACCGTTATCTACAGGGCAGATGCTGGTGTGTACCAGCCCAGTACTATAGGATAGTTCTGTTGACTGTAGGCTAGTACTACTATAGTTTATGCTGTTGACCAAGGGTTGGAGGGTACAGGTACTAGGGCAGCCCCGTCATGCCCGGGTGTGGCCTACCAGGTGGACTGTATCTATCGGCGGTGGGGGGTATCAATCAAAACAGGACACGTGCCTACCAGTAGACCTTCTCAATTCTCGGCTTGGAAGGTATACCGAGTGTATGGGCACTGAGCTTCCTTGGCTAGGAGGGCCACCTGGCGCATGGATGGCTACTTTCAGTTGGTTGTGCATTTTGTAGATTTCACTGAGCATAGTATAAATGGAATTATAATTTCCAAACAGGCCAAATGCCCATCTCCTTTCCAAACGCACTCTAACCAACTACCTCGAACGTATCGGCCGATCTGGAGGGTAATAGTCACCTTCGCGCCAGCTAAGTTCCAAAACCAGCGGGCCACCTGTGTCGAAGCTAACGGCATCTGACTTTCCGAATGGGACCAGGCATCTACCGAGCACATGAACACCACGCACCTTGAGGTCCCAGGGAGCTTCCGTGTAAGTGTCATGCTTGTGTAGCCCGGTAAAGGCGAGGACACCTGTCGGAATTAAGACCAGCGGTGCCGAGTCAAACGATCTATAAAGACATCTTTGTAGATGTGAAACATTTCCCGAAGGGCTGAGGAACAAGCAACGTGGTGGGTGGTATATGTTTGGGAGGGCCGGGGAAAGCTGTCCAGTGTATATGGTACCCACCGCAGGTGCGCAACCACCACAAATCTTCTACTCACAAGTAACACTCACGTCGGTGATACCCACTGTGAATACCACTATTATGGATCCGAAGAGAGCTGTCTCGTAGATATAGCCTCATTGGAACCTGGTATAAAGTGGTGCACGTCCGGTGAGATGCCATAGAATGAGGGCTCACCAAAAAAACGACTACCATTTTGAACCCGAGGTAGCTGTCCCGTGGATATATCTTTATTGGACCCCGGTATAAATTGACGCACACCCAGTGAGATGCCATACAAGGAGGGCTCACCAAAAATACGTGGCAGTGGCAGACCTCTGGCAAGGCGTCCCTTTGGTATCGATGTTGCCTTCATAGCTAGACACGGGAGCGGTTGCCATCACATTTGTGGTTCACATCAGCCCCACAGTAAATAACAGCTGTTCGTCCCACGATACACACGAGGCAAGGGGAGGTGTAGGTGATCGGGCCAACTCCAGCTTAATCGCGTCACAGACCGTAATAAGTTGCGCGCTTTGCGTGTACGGATTTGGTTGCTTTGAAACAGAATGCATGGATGGAAGGGATTGTAATAGTTCAGATGTCCCCTGGGAGAGACTTTACATAGTTACATTTTCGCGACTTAGGCAAAAAAAGCAAGAAAAAAAGAAAAAGGAAAGTAACTGTAGAGTTAGCCTGGTGCGTGTGGAGGTCCACCGCACCAGGCCTACTCTTCAGTTTGGGCAGGAGAGGGTTCGAACCTCAGACTGTTAGCTATGAAGCATGCACTGTCCCCACTAGACTACTACCACTGATATAATATCTTAACAATATGTCTTTTGTCAAGAAATCCTTGGTTATCACGCACCGAAAGCAAAAGCCAAGAAATGCACTTTGTCGTCACCGCCACCCACGTAGACGGTAGGAGCTTCGGTTTGATTCCCGACAGACTTGGCGAGACTTGGCGGCACACATCTTTGTAACCCATAAACCGCTTGGTAGGAAGTGAGTCACCGATCGTGCGCTTCATTGGTACAATACTCTTGGCAATACATCGTCATACAACCCACAGCCTTGGTAGGAATCAGCAACTGGTCCTAATGAAAGAGCTTGGTGATGGCTCACTTTTGATTCGTAGGGGTTGCTCACCGACGCCTGTTCGTGATCCTCAGAGTCCAAGGGAGCCGGTAGCCACGGTGGAGCGATGGAGCTGTCATAATTCAAGAACAATCAACGTTGAATCAACGACCAATCTTCTTGAAGCCGGAGATAAGTCGGATAGTTGCCAAGAAATGAATGAGAGCACCCCGTATAGTCACCAACGCCACGATCCCGTGGAACTCAAGTGGCAGTACGCATGGCCTTGTTTAACCTGTTCAGGCATCGTCATCTTCCCCATGGATAGCGCGTAGTCCGGACCCGGACATAGTCGAGCAAGGGGTCGAGGCAAGATTACCCTCAGATATCAGATAAATACCTTACGATCGACAAGTGGTGACCCTGCGTGGATTCTGCGACGCCGTGCACTGCTTGTCGTTCCTTTTCCAAACGGTAACTATCCACTATCGACAAACATTACGACACCAATGGTACCCCAGAATCGACCAAGAACTTAACACAGATGAATCTTAGCAGTAGTCACTTTGTCCCAGTCCACGCGCCCGATCCTGGCAGCAAGCGCCCATGCCAAGGATGACGTCAGTGTGCCACCGACGGACAGCGGCTATCGACAAAGATTGCGACAATGATAGTGTGCCGATTCAATCGGTTTTCTGAAACCCGCGATATATACGGCAGACCTTGCGCTTCGACATGTTCAAGTTGACCGATGACCCATAGTCTCAAAGCCTTGCGCCAAGGCAAGCGCCCAAAGCCGCGCGGGAAAGAAAAAAAATGATGTGCTCATCCATCATCCATTCACGCCGCCGGCTTCTTTATTGACTTAACCTCCTACACCAGTTCGCCAACGCTATGACCGACGTGTCTGTACAGAAAAAGGCGGAATTTGTCAAGCATATGCAAGATGGTGAGTGCTGCTGGGATGTATGACCCCCTTACTCATACCCATTACAGCGCTCGAATGTCTCTACAACCTAGCGACTACAGCCAATCTCCATATAGCGGACATCACACCAAGGCTTGAATGGCTCAATGAGTACACAGACCAACTGCCGTCGGATGCTCAACATGACCACAGTGAAAACTTAACCGACTCGATTGCCGCCCTTGCCGCCCTCCAAAAAACCATTCGTAGGATGCTCAAGGAAATTAGAGACGGGCGTCTGAGGACGAGGGAATATATAGCAGAGGACGTCGAATGAGCGCCATCTTTGTTTGGTCCGCTTACATAGATAATCAGCCTTTTTTTCATACTTAACACCCGGAGTCACTATGCCTGCCAAATCATAACCTTTCTTCTCTCATCAAATGTCGAAGTGGGACGGAGGCTATGAGGAGGGTCGATCTCGAGTTTTCACTGCGGTTAACTCTGCGTGTCATGATCGAGATAGATTCGAGGGCTGGTTCTTTGACAACATTGGCGGTGTAAGTTGTAGGGCTCCTTGAACTCCTCACCTTGCTGAATGTATCCCCAGCCCTGTAATCAGTCCCAGTGCATCAGGTTTCCAGGCGGCTGTATGTTGACGAAGGAGGGTCTTGGTTGCGCTCCCTGTATCAAGAAAGGATCACCGTGCCCCTGGAAAGACGCCTACATCATCGCCGTCATTCTTGGGGAGTTGGACGTGCCCTACGGGAAAGCGTTCGAATTCTTCACCAAACTCCTCAAAGACCCCATCTTCCGCGATATCCTTCGCGGCGAATACTCTAGGAACCCAGATCCCGCAGGTGATCTGAACCCCGTCCAGATTCAAGCCCGCCTCCATGAAGTTGAATTGGAACTGAAGGAGGCACGCGAGGAAATCGAGCGTCGTGATGCGAACCTCAAGAGGCTCATTGAGGGTGAGTCATTGCAGTTCATTTCCACTTGTGACGGCTCGATTAAACCTGTAAACTAGATCTTAAAGCCACCAAAGAGAAACTGACTGAGTCCAGACGAGAGCTTTCGCATTATGCGAGGCGCTATGTCGAGGTCGCTCCCTCAGGATCCAATAACCCCGCCGCTGAACGCTCTTCTCGACCATTTTACGTTGGCAGCAAGCGGTCCCTGGCTGCCTATCGGAAATCGGGCATATTTCCGCCACGTTCTCGTAGCTCGTCCCCAAACGGACAGGGCCTATAGCTTCGCTCATTGACGTTTAACCTTGTTTTGTGTCCACTTTAATTGTATCTTAGCTTTTTCGCTCCGCATTCTCATTGCGCTCTTGTGACTTGACTTGCCGAGCCAGCACTTGGCACACATCTGTAAATATTTCTTTGTGTGGTGAGAGTTCTAACGTTCTTGGCACGACTCGAGCACAGCTTAGCCACATCTGTCAAGCCATGACGGACGCGACCTTGTGTTTCAAGCGTACGTCCGTTTTGGACATGCGAGTGTACAAGACCAACCCGCCAGGGTAAGTACCTTGAGCGCCAAGAATGATTGCTGGTACCATGTGCCAAGAACGCTAAAGAACGCTACCTTGAACAACCTTGGTATTGACCTCGCTCACGGCGAAAACAACAATTATTGTGTCTGGGGCCGTCCAGGGTCTAAAAGTTGGCGTACAAGTCACGACTACGTAAGGTGATCAGCTGAGCTAATCGATGCTATGTATGCTTCAACGAATGTCAAACTCCAACACTGTTCACCTTATCCCAGCATGCCGACCCTGCCTTCGTTCGATTTGAGTGCCGCCGGAGAACTAGCACATAGCTACGGGCGTTACTGCCAGGCGCTATTCAAGCGCGAACTTGTGGTCGGAATGCCGCCTGCTAAACATCCTGATTTGGGGAGGCACCTACGAATCGAAGCCTACCAGTTGGTTAGTGTCGCTGAATCGGCGTTTGGAAATGAGAGTGAGTGACATCAATGTCGCACAGGCTACAGCAGGATTGCACCCATGGCTAACTATCTACTTAGTGGCTCTCAGCTGGAGATTTGAAGACTTTGCTTCAAAGCTTATCAGGGCCCAACTGAGCAACGAAGATCCCCGAGAGGAGAATCTTTCGTTGCAATTTCCGCCTGTGTGGAGGCCCAATCCAGATGGAAAGTTTCCACTCCGCACGTTGCCCACCACATTTGTGGATAGCAAGGGCATCATTGGATGGTGGTACTTACCCTCCTCTATAACAGAATCGCGACAAGTAAGTCATGTCAGCCGTTTGAGTCTCTTCCAAGACTGACATGTAGCAGGCCACAATTTTACGCGCAATCAGAACTCTCTGCAACCACAGAGGAACCCCTGTTCGAACTGACTCTCAAGGAAACTGGCGTTCACATCCTAGCCAGTTCTCGGAGGGTGGACAACTCAAGCCAGGAGTTGCCACATTTTCTTCTTGCTGGTACCAGCAAGGCCACGATGTACGTTTTCTTACTGCCAAATATTCACACTCCACATGCCTAATTGTACCAAGGGCCCCTACGATTCCCCATCTCCCTCGGCGTCGCTGAAAGGTCCTCCTGGTCAGCAGTTCATTAGGGACATGACCGAGAGCTTCGCTGTTCTTGGTGGAGTGATTGCCATCACTCAACCTTGGCTGTTCAATGCTGGTCTGGAAGTCTTGGAGTCGCTGCATCGCCGCACATTCCCTGTGGACAACGCTGAGACGTTGGATGCCATCCTTAATTTCTGGTCAAACCCTTTCACCGCGTTTTCTGTCATTGTCAACAGAGAGTCCTCGATTCACCGCGACATCTCCAGTCCGACTTGGGCCTATGATCTTATCTACACCGGCGGGACCTATCGTAATGGTCGCTTTGAGAGCCCCACTCTTGGCTGTCGGTTTGTGTACAACCCAGGAACGGTTATTGTCGGGCTTGGCAGTTTGATCAGACACGGCGTAGCGCCCGTCGACGGTGATCGCGTATGCATCGTCTCATATTTCCGCGAGTCCATGCTTGAACGTGGATCCCAGTACCATGGTGCCAAGCCACCATCTTCCACCCAACTTCGTGACTTCTACTTGGATACTCCAATGTAATCTGACCGTTCTCTTCAGTGTAATCTCTATGTTTTCTTTGGATGCTGCGCTATTGGACACGAAGAGTCAGTCTTTCGTAGACTGACCCTGTTTGACAAGACTACCGGTAGATTACTCAGCGTGATAGTCGCGTTATCGCGGCTCGAGCTTTCTTCACTCCTCCCACCTTTATGGCTCCCATTCTCTTTGATCTTCACCAAGGCGGCCGATACAGCGAATCCTTTGGGCGCTACTGCCAGTCCCTTCTCGAAACTCGATTCGATGAACATCGCAAAGTGGCCAAACCGAAATTAAGCCTCGATCTCCGCTCAGAAGCGCACCAAATCGTCAACATGGCCTACTACGCCTTTACGAATCGAGGTGCAATGATCTTCCCTGGCTCCTATTTACCCCATGCTTACTCTCGTGCGACAGCGCAGTTGAATTGGTCTTTCAAGGACCTCTCGAAAGCTCTCGACGCTCTGGGACCCGGTCAACCTACCCCTGAACAACGGCACGACCTTCTCAAAACATTCGAGCCTCTCGGTACACCACTCTCAACTGGAAGGCTACCATGTTTGACGGAACCGTCGTGCTTCGTGGACTCTGAGGGAGTGATTGGGTTTTGGAGCTTCCCCAGTGTTATCCAAAGAAAGAGACAGGTGCGTGTTGTCGCCTCGTCCAAAATGGAAATCAGTCTACTAACAATCTCCATCGTAGGACTTCATGCTGAATGCGGTACATGCTCTTTCTGACGGAAACGGGTTGACCCGCATGCCCAACGATCCAAATCGGTACTTCGATGTCGACGGGAACGCTCTCCGCGGTGGAACAGCCAAGTTGGAATTGTGCAACCTACCTGATGGTGTGCGTCCTTCCCTCTGCTTTTACTCACAACCTCTCACAGCCTGACGGATTGATGAACCCAGGCGCGACGCCCGGCATTGTGCCCCATCTTCCTTGGTCCCGATAGCGCCATGTACATCAAGTTTCTGGAAGAGATGCAGGAAAGCTTCGCTGTACTCGGCGGGATTCTGGCTGTCACCCATCCATGGCTGTTTGACGCCGGCCTCTCCATTCTTTCTTCATTGGAGCACGGAAAGATCGACATTTCTCAGCCCGAAAACCTCCTCGACGTTCTGTCCTTCTGGTCATCGCCGTTCTCCAAGTTTGAGCTTGTCACAAACAGGGAAACCATCCTCCAGCGGATCGTCACCAGCCCCACCTGGGCTTACGACCTTGTCTGGACAGGGGGAACTCTGACGCTCGGTCGTTTCGAATGCCCGACATTGGGATACCGGTTCCATAACACTCCGGGTACCGTATTCGTCGGACATTTGAAGCTAATCGAACACGGTATTGCTCTTGGCAAGTCCGAACAAGTCCAGATCTTCGCCTCGTTCCATGAGTCCATTCTCAAGCGTGTTCCTCAGTACTACATCCCCAAAGCTCCGACTTTGGAAATGTGGACAGGCTACTGGTTACATAAGTAGTTGCACGTATCCGCAGGAAATCTCGTATTCATCGTTTTCTTTTACAATTTACTGGCTATAGCCTTGGAAGTGCCAAGAGTCCCTTCGCCCCATGTTAGTGAGAAGTCCAGTGTCATTCACATTTGACACAAAATGTCATCCACGTTGTTATGCTACGGTACAAGCGGCAAAGTCTAAAGGCAAAATTTCAACAAGTGCCGAGAACCTCTTGGCACACCTTCTCGGTCTCTGTGATAGCGGCCTCGATGGCGCGCACACCTTTGAGCGCCAATGCCATGTCCCTTTCTATGAGGTCGATTGCCTTCTGAGTCGAAGCAGACGCTCTTTCCAGACTCTCGTCCAACGACCTGGAAAGAACAGTTTCCGAGGAAGCCAAGGCCCTGCTCTCTCTCCTAACAGCCTCAAAGTCGTCCCGCTGGGCCTGCCAAGCCTTGATCAGGCCCAAGAGTGAAAGTCCAGGCGTCGTATTTTTGTTCCACCAGGCATCTGCGTACGCGGGAAGGACGGGGTCGGGTATGGGGTTGGGGGTTTCATAGTCTGCGGTGGAGGCGTGTCGTCCCAGGTGGAGCATCCCGGTGAGCGTCGATTTAAACATCATTCCCAACGCTACAGGACGTTGGATGATCCCTGGATAACGGAAACAACCACTCGAATAGAGCAACATGCCAGTTTCCTTCCAAACGATAAATTAGTAAGCGTCTACCATCCCAATGTCGACTGTGAACGCACCAGGTCACGATATAACTGAGCTGCAAAGTGCTTGCGTTCAGTCGGGGAGAACGAGTCGCCGTGACGGTTCCACACCATCCCCGCTGCACGGATTCGGGAGGAGGCGTAGTCGATTAAGCACTGCATTTCACTTGCAGTCAGCGCTTGTAGATGATGGACCTCTGAGAGGAATGGATAAGAAGAGCCTTGCTGCAATTGAGACATTGGCCCCAACGACGTTCAATCTAGGATAGAGAGAGCGATTGACAATGGACGTGAGTCTGACTATCTACTTCTCAAATGCCAATATATTTATTTTCAGACCCTAACCCTATTCGTATTTGCTTTCGCCTTCGCCTCGGCGAACGCTTTCTCCGCGTGTACGCCCATGAGCCTCCACATATTGGCTTGGCGGATGGCGTATGCTCGGTGCCCTGGTAGATCTCGAGTCAGAGTTGCCCAGGCTTTGCATTCATCCTCTTTAAAAGAGAAAAAGTTCGGAACCCACTCCATCTCAGAAGTGAGTAAAATGTGCTCCTCCTTCCAACGGTCTGCGCGGGACCTGGCACGCAGCCAATTGACCCGGTACACTAGAAGTCAATATTGTTGTCAGTGTCCCACAGCTGTCTTTGTATCGGCATTAACGGACTCACATTCTTCCAGATACTCGGAATTTTGTGAGTCTCCTTCAACGTCCATAGTCCAAATCCATGACAGAGCAACGTTCCTTTGATTCCTAGCGTTAGGCTCATAAACCGCTGTTATGGCTCGTGTATCCTCCTTTCGGACCTCCCGGTACCGTTGAAGGACTTCGCGTTCAGCGCCGAGTCTTCCAAGGGCCCACCTTGCGCGGTTGTAAGACTTGATGTGGAGGCGCATGTTCTTGTCGACTGCTTTCACCGCGGCGTATCCTCGCAGCCGCTGCTGTTTTCCATGCGCCAAGCGTATGTTGGAACGGTACAGGTAAGACTTGTGGCCAATTTCAATTCTTACTGATTCCAGTGCATCGTCCGCCTGGGCAATGCGAATCTTCAGTTCCTTTTCAGCTGCACTGCCAAGGCCAGCCGGAAGATCGACAAATGATGATGGGAGAGGGATTTCGACATCTTCGGGTTCGTTCTGAGACACAGAAAACGGGTTCCTTGGATTGTCGTCACGATTCCCATCATCGTCCCCGTCAATTTCGACTGAGGCTTCCGGTGCGCTCTCGCACCGTTGTTCGTACAGGTTGACGTTGGGGAAAAGAACGCCAGCGTCCTCGTAGAATGCGTTGATCGCGGCTTGGAGATTCTCTCGGCGCTTTGTGACCTCGAGGCGTTGCTGGTCCGTTCTCAAACCCTCCCTTGGCAAACCAGAAATGAAAGCCCTTAGACTGTCCCTGATATTGGAATATTGTGAGTTGTGGTCAGGGTAGCGCAAGAATATAAATGCATACTGTGCGTCTTGGAGTTTGATTCCAGCAATTAGCCAAGAGGTAACGCCAAGCCCGCTGTTCAAAGATTGCTCCGCTGACATTAAGTCGTGCTGGACCTTTGCCTTCGAGGGCGCTATAATTCAGATGAGTTGGTTAAGAAAAGCCACAATGGGGTATGAAGAGATGGACTCACGCTTCTTCAGCTTCATATTGAGCACATCCATGCTCTCGACATCCACCTCCCGGTCGATATGCGTATTCTCCAGTTGGGTAGACCACAGCCGCTGTTACGCCTGAGGGTCATCTGACCCTTCAAAAATCGCGAATAACACACCGCCGGACTAATTTCGTCCGGTAAAGCGTACATCTCGATAAGTGACTGAAAAGCCCTAAGGCACTGTGTTTTTCATAACCCGGCGGTCACTTATTCTGTCGTATGAGTTGAGACCAGAGCCCAGAGTCGTCAACTAAGTCGAACTCTAAGAACGACTCTGAAAGAGGTTGAACGTAACGCATCATTGATACCGTAGTAACTGACGGGTTAAGGATGTGTACTGGACCGATTGAAGATCGAACTACGGTAGTGAGAATTTGGCACGAAGTCCTCACCGCCGGGAGCAAGACTATCCATGGGAGTGCACGATCGACTTCAAATCGACTAGAAAGCTAGTAGCGACTTAACAAGAACGACTACACTTAGCACCAGCGCCTGTCAGTACCCTAAGAGGAAAACGCCCATAAGCGCCGCCGGACGGTCGGAATCAGCCATCAGTCGCGGAAAGCTAAAGGGGACCTCTACGGATTAGGTACGAGATCGATAAGATAGAAGCCGAGATAAGATAACCAGAACGACGGGACCAGGAACGGATCACACGAGATGTTCTATTCCGTTGGACAGGTGTCCTCTCTAGGACAGATGAAACAGGGTACTAACAGTCCCATGACCTGTCAACAGAAAAGAAGTAGTACAGAGAGAAGGGACAGAACGATGAATCCATACGCCGCCCTCCGGCGGTAGTTACAAAAAGGGTATACCATCTGTTTCCGCGGAAGCATCTTCACGGAGTAACAATGGAGTTTCCCACAACACATTGGTTCCGTTCCGACTGGACGGAACTACCAAAATTCACGCGCTTCAACAGCGCATCAATAGACGCCTATGGGCATACTCGGCACGACACCGCCGGGGCTTCTTTTGTCGCGTTTCTTTCCTATTTCGTATTTCTGATTCTCTCGTACCTCCGCTCCGTCTCTCTACTCTCATTTTCTGTATCATGCGCATGTATTCGGTTTGTTTTATAGTCTTTGCTAGTCTTTGTTTTAAAGCTCGTAGTACAAACATTTTGTACCATATATATAGGCCCGCCGGGCAAAAGAATCAACAGATACCCCTTTGACTCGATTATATATCTGTCTTTGATCGGCACGAGTCGTCAGTAAAAACAAAGAGGAATTCTCTGAGTGTTGAGTGAGCGAGTTACGAGTTTAGAGTCGAGTCCGAGTTTGTGCGTGAATACACGAGTCCGAGTTTTAAAACGAGTCAACGAGTGATCCCGCCGGGACGAGTTTTAAGTGTTTCCAAGTCCAAATTCGAGTTTCGAGTCTAAGTCGTGTTTAAATCGAGTCGCGAGTTGAACTTAGTGTTTCCCTTGTGTGTAGAGCACAACAAAATACAAAACACCACCTGCATAAAGTCAAGAGTCTTTTCAAAGCTCTAAAAACCCTAAAAAACCGTTCTATACGAGTCAGAGAGTCTTCTCCTCGTTAACTTAGTCTACTAAAACAACAACCCCGTCGAACTTGCGTGCCAACGTACAGACAGTACCTAAAAGTCTTTAGATTTAGCCGTCGGTCTTCATCTTCGTGTCACTTGTCTCACAACAAGCGCCACTCGATTCGGGACCGCCGGTTGTTTTCTTGCTCTTCTTTGTGCTTTCTGTGCTAGTCAGCACATCATTTGGAGCCCACCGCCGAGGGGTTGTCCAAATTCCAAGTTTAAGTAGACGAAGTTTTGCGAAAGCAGGACTTAAAACAAGTGTAGCACGATCTTTCGGCTGCGTCAGATCTTGAGTTCGGACTTAGGTCTTTGAGCTCGATCCAACGTCTGCCGGGAAACCAAAAAGCCTACGAGATTTCCACTCTCAAGAAAAGAAATCCTAAGGCACCAAAATCATCTGTTGAGGCGCGAATAAATCCGCTCACAGGAAAAGCGTTTGAAGAAAGAACTACGAGAAGACAGCGTCAAGGACAACCTCTGGAATACCAGGAACTAGAGTCGGATAGAGCGCTAAAACGTCAAATTAAGGAGGCTAAAGCAAAAACTACCTCTGGAGAGGACGAAGAAGCCGCAGTTGAAGATCTAGTTGATCCCGGCGCAGAGACAGAGTCAGAAGAGGAATCAGTTCCTCCAACTTTCCAATTAGGAGCTAGTCAGGGACCAAGTTTCCCCGGCGGCTTTGAATTACCAAAAGCAGAAAGCGTTTCGTACCGTCGGTTAGACAAACTCAAAACCGACGTCGCAGAATTAGGGTTTCCATCTTCGCTAGGAACCCCCAACGAGCCACTTTACTTCGAGAAACATCCGTTTAGAAGTAGTTACCGCGTCACAGAGTCTTCTGCCACTGAAGGCGATTTCTCGGACTTATCCTTAGAAGACTTAGGAAAGTCAGTTCAATCCCCAGCAGTTCCCAAACCTTATAGTCCGCTAGAAGCTTCTTTAAGCCAGCGAGAAGAAGGTAAAGAACTTAGTCCAGTAAAAGAAGAAAACGAGGTAGAACTTCCCGCCGGAAGTGACGAAGTAGAAGGTAGTTTTCGATCTCACAAAAGAGACAAAGGAAAGCAACGCGCTACTTCAGAGGATAGAAGTTCGACTTCAGAGCCCACTACAAATACACCAAGCGAACCTACTACAGGGGAAAGTTTTGTGGATTTTGGAAACAAGAGCGAAGAGGATATCGAACGACTCCCTGAACGCAGAACAAGAAGAAGAAAAAGGACGAAGAAAACGAGCGTCTTAAGAGAAACGCCAAAAGAAAAGGAACAAGTTAACGTTCCACAACCGCCGGTAATTCAAACGGCTACTTCTGTTCAACGAGAACAAAAACCTTCAGTTTCGAACTTCGAGACTCCTACCCACGAAAAAGCACCCTCAATCTCTCCGTTGTTACAAAACCACCACAAGATGGAATACGAGATTTCCATGGATCCCAGGGTTGATCACTTGACAACCCAACAGTTGTATAAGAACCCTAGGGTTCCTCAATTATGGAAGGCGAGCCACTTAGTGTTGGAAGATGACACGGCGGCAGAAGTATGGGCTTACATCGAGCGGATGGAGACGATGTTTGAGCAAGCGAGCGTAGTGCTGGACAGGCACAAAAAGAAGGCGTTGGTCGACTTCGTAAAGAAAGTCGATTTAAAGGATCAGTGGTCCCGGCTGACCCAATACAGAGACGGGACATATGCGCAATTCAAGGCAGAAATTCTGTCTTACTATCCTGGCATCAAGGAACTCCAAGGAAGGAAGCCTTGATAAGTTGGAGAAAATCTTCAACAGATATGTTAGGATTAAGATGCATGAGGAACAGAAGTTGATGGACCTAATTGCGAAGGTCAGGACAGAGGTCTCAAAAATTCGAGAGACCGAAAGGAAGAGGAAAATCCAACTCCTTTCAGAATAGGACGTTAGTCCAGGATTTCCTGGCGTGTTTGGATCGTAACTTTAGAATGGCGGTTCAAGTACGGCTCTCAACAGCCGATCAGCGAAGGATCCTGGCAGAGTTGAAGAGAGAGAGCAGAGCCAATGCCAGAACATTGGACAAGAGGCTGAAGAGGATGGAAGCCCCGAAAGGCCCAAAGGTGGAACCTGAAGAAGGCAAAGAAGGAGGACCCTCTACGGCCCCAGAAGGAGATCTTGGGACAGAAGTCAATCCTATCCAAGTTGAAGACGATGGGGACGACGACTTCGATGGCGAGCTCTACGACTCCTCAGGTTTGGAACGGGTTATGCCCATTGTTACTAAGTACACGCTAGATGATCTGCTGTACGTAGCACAAGTGGTAGCCCGGGAACACTCCAATAGTTCGGTCTTTGGCTTCACGACGGATCTAAGTGACACTGGTACAGCAGACCAGGACGTCATTAATACCGCCGTGGCAGAAACGTTGAAGAGATTGGGTATTAAGCCCAAGAGAGAAGAGCAGCATGTGCAGGAGGCTGGACCCCATAGAGGGAGTCAAAACATGCCGCCGGGGATGTACCAGTGGGCAGGACCTTCTAAGTCGGACAACGATGGGTTTAAACTCATCTTGGAAAGACTGGACCAACAAGAGGCCAAATGGAAGGATACCCTCACGGGTCTCAAGAAAGAGCAAAAAGAACAACTGACGGAGTTTGAGACGAGAATGGAGGCCAAAATCGACAAGAGGTTGACCGACCATTCTCAGCGATTCAACTCGCACAACTCGTCAGGAGGAAACCCCATTGGTCAATCCTACGTTCCGCCGGGAAGAAGGAACTACTCGAACTCGGGTTCCTCAGGCGGAGGATACGTCGACTTTTCGCGTCGACCAGGTCAACAGGGCTACAGCCAAGGCGTGTGGCGAAACGGTGACTCTGGTGGTGGAGAGCGACGAGGAGTGACTTGCTGGTTCTGTGGTGAGCCAGCTCATGCAGTTATGGGCTGCAAAATTAGAAGGGTGATGTTGGATACGGGTCGTATTCGTCATGAAGGTGGCGATTATCGTATCCTCGAAAGTAATAGAATTATTACGCCCTTCAGAAATGGGGAAGAATTTACTCTCGACCTCATTAGAAAGAGTATGGAGAGTAGCGGCCATACGTTGGACCTCGACGCGATTAAGCGCGAAGCCCAGTACATACAAGAGGAGCCGCCGGAACATAGGTGGAGGGATCCGTTAACGGGTCAACCAACGCAAGAGCAGTTGGTACATGACCTTAAGGAACGGGTTAGCCAATTGGAAACGGAGAAGGCACAGAGTTTGGGGTCGGCGCCTAACGACACGTCCGCGGAAGCGCCCGTGACAGACGAAGAAAAGGCAGCGATGTGGAACGCCTTCCAAGTGTTCTACCAAAATTCGCGTCGACAAGAGGGTTTTCAATGACGACGAGGAAGGCAGCAGCTGCTGCTTCTTCCAAACCGGCAGGAAGTAGCAAGACTGAGCTAGAGAAGTCTAAGAAAACCGCCGGCGTAGAAAAAGAAAACACCAAGAAAAAGGAGCGTGTCGAGGAGAAAGAAAAGTGAGAGTGAAGAAGCAAGAGGTGGACGAGTTACCAGAGGAAGAAGTAGGAACCGTTGCTAGGTTTGTCGAGGTTAAGAGAGTTGGACCTCCTAAGAAAAAGAAGAAAGTAACATGGTCAGATTCTCAACCAACGGCGAAGCTTACACCGTCCGGAACTCTACCTTATGTAGACGTCCCTCCTCTCTCAACTAAACCTTTAGGTGCATTCAAGCCTAAAGTGAAACAAGGAAGAGGAGAAATCTTTTGAGAAAGAACGAGAAGTGGAAGAGAAAGGTGAACCTCTACCGGAAATCGACCGGCGGGGACCAGCCTATAACAAACGCGCACCTGTAGAACAAAATGGTGCGGCAAAAGCGATCGTCAACGAATTGCTTGAAGTCACCGTACCGGTGAACATCAAGTCGCTTATGGGGGTTTCGCCAGAAGCAAGGGAATACCTCAAGAACCTCCTGACTCGGAAGCGAGTACCTACTAGGGAAGTCCCTATCCCTAGAGAGACTGAGGTATTTAAGCGTTTCTTTGACGATCCGCACGAAGTTAAGCGTCTACACGTTGGCTTACAATGGGTAGAAAATAGTGAGGAAGCGATGGCAAAAGCCGAAGCAGCGGTTGAACAAAGAGCCCTAGCCGAAAAGCGAGACAGAGACTATAAAGAAGCCTTCAACTTTGCGACCGGCGGTTCGAACTGTTGCAGAAAAAGGAGATGAGAAACCATTGGGGAGTATCACTATCTCTGACCCGGTGGAACAATATATGATTGAACTGGGTACTGAGGCTAAGCCAGTTATAGTGAAAGCTGAAGAGTCGTCTTCGTTGAGGGTCATCTACCCTGAAATCAATGGAGCCATGAAGGAAGAGTCCTTATTAGACGGCGGTTCGACAATCTGCTCGATGCATGAACAAGCCGCAAAAGACCACGGCCTTACTTGGGATCCGGCGGTGACGGTGTGGATGTCCTCAGCGGACAAAGGATTGAAGAAGTCATTAGGTTTAGCAAGAGACGTGCCTTTTGTCTTTGGAGAAGTAAGAGTGTACCTCCAAATACACGTACTTCCAGACGTGGGTTATAGGATCTTGCTTGGAAGACCGTTCGAGATGATAGCGGAAACGCTAACAAAGAACAATCGAGATGGGTCGCAAACGATTACCCTGACCGATCCTCAGAACGGCAAAGTGGTGAGGTTGAACACTTATCCCTAGAGGAGAACCTCCTCCAGAGTTAAAGGCAGAGTTGGACGCCAACCCGGCGGTCTTTTCAGAACTCGATGAATCATCAATAGATGTAGGAGAGCTTGCAGTCGTCTTTGAACAGACAGCTTCTGGGGAGATTAAAGTCGAAAAGGTGTTCCAGCCAGGCCATAAAAGTGGAAAGTTCAGCCAAGAAGACGTGAAGTTAATGTTTATTCAGGAAGCATTAACTAGGGAGGTAGAAAACAAGAAAGCTGCTAAAAAGGTCGAAGCTTTCTTGCAACAAGTCAGGACAGGCAAAAGAGACAAATCCGTCGGTGAAGTCATGATGTTAGATACTGTGATAAAACACTTCGAACAAATTTATCAACAGTTAAAAGAGGATATCATTGAGGATTCTGTTAAGACTTCGTCAACAACCTCCAGCGAGAACAAAGACGAAGTAGTAGCAGGGAACCCTAACGTTAAACCAAAAATTAAGGGTGTCTCTACAGGAAAGAAGTATAAGAAAGTGGCAGATAAAGTAAGACCCATCTTGGGGACTCTAGCAGAGGAGTTTAGAATTATTCGGAAGATTATAGGGAACCCACTGGCTGAATTGCCTAAGTTACCTACAAATCCGCCGGAATTCACACCCCAAGGAAGATACACCACAGAGAGAAAGGAAGCCATGGATAAGGTCCACGGCGGTGATTTCATTTGGCCAGAAGAGCGGAAACTATTACACTGGTTAATAGGTGTACACAACATAGCTTTCGCTTGGGAAGATGCGGAAAAAGGGAGATTCAGACAAGAGTTTTTCCCTGATGTCCCTATTCCAACGGTACCACACACACCGTGGGTATTGAGGAATAGACCAATCCCACCTGGGCTTATGGATAAAGTATGTAAGATTTATCAAGGAGAAGATAGATTCAGGCGTGTATGAGCCTTCGAACTCGAGTTATAGCTCGAGGTGGTTCTGCGTACTTAAGAAAGATGGTGAAAGTCTGAGAATTGTACATAGTCTAGAGCCTCTTAACGCAGTTACGATTGCGCACTCAGGCATCCCGCCGGCAACAGAAGAATTGGCAAATCACTTCGCCGGTAGAGCTTGTGGAGGTTGCATGGACTTGTTCGTAGGTTACGATGAGAGACGATTGGACGAAAAGTACAGAGACCTTACCACGTTCCAAACACCTTATGGAGCGATGCGTTTGGTTACCCTACCGATGGGGTGGACCAATTCGGTACCAATCTTCCATGACGATGTAACTCATATCTTACAAGACGAGATTCCTGCAGTCACGAAGCCGTATATTGACGATGTTCCTACGAGAGGACCAGCCACGAGGTATGAAGATCGGAAAAGGAGGTTATGAAACCATTCCTGAAAATCCTGGTATCCGGCGGTTCGTATGGGAATATCTAAATGACGTGAACAGAGTGATGCAGCGTATGAAGTATTGTGGAGGGACATTTTCAGGAAAGAAGTCGATCATTTTGGCAGACGAGTTTACAGTAGTAGGACATCTTTGTACTTACGAAGGAAGGAAAGTTAATCCCGAACGCGCAGATGCAATCCTTAAGTGGGGAGCATGTAAAGACGTTTCAGATGTACGATCTTTCCTAGGAGTACTAGGGACTTTGCGAATGTTCGTCAAGGATTATGCCCGCCGGGCAGAACCTATCCAAGAACTAACTCGTAAAGAAGTACCATTTAGATGGGGACCAGAACAGGCAGCAGCAATGGCCGATTTACAGGAAGCCATTCGAGTTGCACCAGTATTGAAGGCTATAGACTACGACAGGAATGTGCCTCTAAAATTATCCGTGGATACGTCGTACAAAGCCATAGGATGGATGATATCCGTCCAAGATGATGATGACCCTGATAAGTGGCACTATGCTAGATTCGGGTCTACAACGCTAAGCGAGAGAGAAGCAAGGTACGGCCAAGCAAAGAGGGAACTCTTTGGCTTGATGCGAGCTTTAGAAGAAAATAGGTATTGGTTACTTGGGTGTCGAGAATTGATTGTCGAAACGGACGCTAAGTACATTAAAGGCATGTTACAAAATGCTGGAAATGGACCAAATGCGACTATAAACCGATGGATCGAATCCATACTCATGTACCATTTCACCTTGGAACATGTAGCTGGAAGTAAGTTTGCGATACCCGACGGTCTGTCACGTCGAGTTCCACACCCGGATGATAAACCAAAGACTCCTTACGATCACTCGGAAGAAGAGACCGGCGGACTCACTGGGTACAGGAAACCAAACCCCGACGACCCAGAACCGTTGGACTTCGAAGAGTTCAAACACGAAATCGATACTCGTGGAGGATATCTTCAAGACATCGCAGATTTTGAAGAAGATTTGGAGTTAGATAGGGCAGTGGCGGACAAAGTGTTGTCACTAAGGCCAAGAATGGAAACTCAATTCGTAAATGTGGAAGTACTGCCAGATTTATCCTTAAAGGAGGATCCTAAACTTCGACAAGAATACGATAGAGAGTCCCGCCGGCACCCGCTTATCAAAGAGATCGACAGAAAAATACCGATCGTAGATAAGTGGTTAGAAAACCCTTCAGTTCGACCAAAAGGAATGAGCGACGCGGAATACCTAGCATTCGCTAGGTTTAGTACGCATTTCTTTAAGAAAGATGGAAGGCTTTTCCGTCGAGGAATAAATGGTGAACATAAGATAGTCGTTTATCCAGAAAATCGGATGTACTTGATGCGTACAGCGCATGACGCTACAGGGCATCGAGGACATTATGCTACTAAGGAATTGCTAGCTAAACGGTTTTGGTGGCCAGACTTAGACGGGGACGTAGGCTGGTATACGAGAACTTGCCATGTCTGTCAAATCCGTCAAAAATTGTTCATGAGAATACCCCCGACGGTAACGGAAACTCCATCTATATTTCAAGTCTTACACGCCGACGTGATTCATATGAGTATTCCTAGCGATAAGTGCAAATTCATAGTTCACGGAAGGTGTGCATTGACACAGTGGATGGAAGGGAAAGCCTTACAAAAGCAAAATGCTAGTACTATTGGCAAGTGGTTGTTCGAAGATGTAATCTTAAGATGGGGTTGCATCAGAAAGATAGTGACAGATAATGGTGGACCTTTCATAAAGGCTGTTGGCTGGTTAGAAGAGAAGTATGGAATCCGTGGGCATTCAAGTAACGGGTTACAACGCTCAAGCAAACGGGACAATCGAAAGGCCTCACTTCGACGTAGTAAATATGCTAGCCAAGGTGACCGCCGGGAATTTGTCTAAGTGGAAGTGGTATTTCCCTCACATTATGTGGGCGGACAGAATCACGATAAGAAAAAGATTTGGGTGTTCGCCGTTTTATATGGTAACAGGAGCAGAACCAGTAACACCTCTTGACATACAAGAAGTGACCTGGCTGATCGAACCTCCCGAATCGTTCGTTTCCACAGAAGACTTGCTCGCGCGAAGAGCTAAGGCGTTGGCAAAGCATAGAGACTTCGTTGAGTCAGTGAGAAGTAAGATCCACCAGGCGAAGAAAGATAGAGTAGCTAAGTACGAGATTGAACACCGGCGGACGATTAAAGACTACAACTTCAAGCCAGGAGACCTCGTAATAATGAGAAACTCCCCAATTGAGGATAGCCTTGATCGAAAGCTAAAACCTAAGATACAACGGTCCGTATGTAGTGCTGAATAGAAACAAAGGAGGCGCCTACATAGTTGCCGAAATGGACGGGTCAGTATACCAGTCTGTAGTGGCAGCGTTTAGGCTATTACCTTACCACGCACGAAAGAAGATTGAGCTACCTCGAAATATTCACGAGAGCATCGACCTAGGGCCGGCAGAGTTGAATAAGCTAGTGTCTTCGCGACGAAAAGGCGGACCGACGGACGACATAGCGTTCGAAGGAATGCCTAAAGGGAATAGACGAAGCGAACAGGTGAATGAGGACAACGATCTCGACAACTTGGGAAGCTCAACCGAGGACGGTTGATATTTCTAAGTTGGGGGGAGAGGAGTACCAATAGGGCGAAAGAATGTAACTCAAAAAGAGTACATTCTGAAGACCAAGTAAACATTAACCTAAAGTTCACATTAAAATTTTTCGATTTTCCAAGTCAAGAAGACTTAGAAAAGACTTAAGACAACTTAGAGCACTTAGGAGGAGTTCACACACAGATAGAGAGGTGCAAAGCATGATGATATTCAATATAGTAGTAGTACTAGGGAAAAAGCGAATAATCGCAACAAAAACCTAATACTACTACAAAACGAGACCCAAAAATGAGAAGAGGCTAAGCCTCAGTCATGTCGACGTCACCGGACGGCATCGACGTCGCCCCCAAGAGTGTTCTCCGCCTCAAGAGGAGGAGGGGAAGCAGGAGACTCCATAGAAGAAGAAGGAAGATCCTTCTCCTCACAGAGGAGGGAGTTCCTTCTCCAGATGGGCCTGGATCCTATCATACTCAGCGAAGAGTACTTCAAGGAATCGAACGTCGAGACTGAGAAGGTGGACCCGCCGGAGGATCTCAGAACGAATGTCAGTCAGCGTCGCACGAGTCGACGAACCGACGTTGACGGCGTCAGAGTAGTTGGCCAAGATGTTCTGTACTTGAGACAGAACACCATTGACCCACTCGTTGTTGACGGCGAAGTGGTCGGCTAAAAAGAAGAGAGTGAGTAAAAAGAGTAAGAAACAGAAGATGAGAGATGACTTACCAGTCTTGACAAGCATCCCGTCGGGGAACAGGTTGGGATATTTGGAGGTCAAAGCGTTCTTATTGACCTCCTCGAGCGCCTTGGCGTCGAGCGAAACGCGAGCGCGCTTACCCAGCTGAGTGGCCTTGAGAAAAGCGGGGAGATGATAAGTCGAGATTCGGAACGAGGTAGTAAGGGACTCGTACGACGGCAGCAGAAGCACCGGCGGTGGTACGAGAGCGAGAAGGGCCACCACCGCGGCCACCCTGTAAAGTCAAAGAGTAAGTAACGAAACGAAACGAAGAGAGGAAGAAGAAAGAACTTACTCGACCACGAGCGACGACCTTGCCACCACGAGTCGACGAAGTTGAAGTGGAAGCAGTGCCAGGACCGCCGTTTTCAGTACCGACGATTTCCTGAAACAATAATAGTCAGTAAGGAATAGAAAGGGCCAGAGACCAACACTTACCACGTCGGAATCGTAAATGATAGCGGGGGACTGGGTTGTTGCCCACCTAAGAGAGAAGGATAAGCGAAGATAGTAGTAGAAAGAGAATAGGACTTACGCTTTTGGGGAGTAGGAGCCTCCTCCTCCTGAGTCGAAGACCCAGTAGCGAGCTTTTTAATGTTATGGAACGCCGAGCTGACGTCGAACGGGTCAGCATCGGCAGGAAGGGGGATGGTGGGAGCTTTCACCGCCTCGCTAGACCAAGCGAGGTGGTGAGAGACCTCCGCCGGGACGTCGAGCCCGATGTCCTTGTCACCGCAGAACTCGACGAAGACCTTCAGCGCCGGATACATGACGCGGAGCTGCTTCTGAACGAGGGCGGTGTAGGCCATCTGCCCGCCGTAGAGGCGACGCTTAGGATACTAAAAGAAAGGCGTAAGTAGAAAGGAAACGAGTAAGCAAAGAAAAGAGACTCACCATGTAAGAGACGAGCTCAAGGGCAGCCGTCTTGTACTCCTTAAGGATGCTGAAAGGAATAACTTCCTTGGCGATCGCACGAAGACGGAGGTGAACGCCGGTGAGCTTGTGGATGCCGCGAGCGACGTTGGCGTTATCTTCAACGTAGACGCGCTTCATGCCATCCCACACGGACGGCGGGATAGACTTGGCCGGCACTGGGAGACCAAGAGGAACCTTGGGGTCGAAGCCGAGGATCTCCTGGAAGACGTTGGAGGCGGGAGAAGACATGGTGATAGCAAGAGAGGGAAGAGAATCGAAGAAACGAAGAGGAGAGCGATGAGAAAGGTGAAAAGAACCAGAGGAGGTTGCTGGAGAGACTTGACCAGGAAACCGGCGGTTTTTATAGCAAAAAGCCTCTCAGTTTTAGGGAATTTCTATTGGTAGACGTGTTCAAGGAAAAACCGACACGACCACGATCTCACAGTCGAAAATCGGTGGTGCAGAACGTGCCCCAAAACCGAAAAACATGAGTCTTCCTTAGAAATTTGTGCAAAGTCGAGTATCCCGAATTGGCAATACCGCCGGAGGGGTTGATGGCTTGGCAAACGCCCACATTGCCACTTAGTTTGAGAATTGCTTCCGCGGACACAATCCGAATGGGTTAAGATGATCCCCAGAAGGCAACTCAGCCGAACGGTTGGCAATTTCACCGCTTCGAGAAATCACACTAAGTCTCAGATAGGATACCGGCAGTAGAGATAACCAAACAATTGGATTTGAAGCTACACTAATATGACTACCTAAAAGTCAGTGTAGTAATCCAAAATATACAAGAGCATATGAAGGACATGAGTATACAAAATCAAGCAGTGTGCGAAAAACAAATAAATACGAGTGTCCCCAATAAGCGCCTCCCCTGCCGGCGGCCAGAGTAGAAAGAAGAAATGTCTCTCAGAAAAGAGCGAGAGACGCGAAAAGAAAGAAGGAAGAAGAAGAAGAAAACGACGAACTTAGTATTCAGGGGAGTCAGAAAGGTCTCCCTCGTCGCTTGAGTTCGAGGACGAGGCGCCACCACCAGAACGAGCAGAGGAGAGGGCCGAGCTAGACCTCTCGTCGACGTTCATCGCCGAACCCTCGATGCCTGGCCACTCTGGAGACTCCTCTGACGAAAAGAGACCAAGAGAGTCCCCAATGATAACGTCAGCACTGGGAGCTACGCCAGTACGATCGTCGTAGACTAGAAAGCAATGTTAGTAGGAGTAAGATAGTGAAAGAGAGCGATATGACTTACAGTCATCTTCGTCGTTCGGAGCGGGACCACCGTCCGCCGGGTCGACAAGAGGGTCGAACGCGGGAGGAGAGGACGCGTCTTGATCGAGGAAATCGTCGAACTCGTCGTCGAGAGGACGATCGAGTTGCGACGGGGACCAGAGACGGCCGTCCTTGGCCATCGGGAACTCCTGCGCAATGAACGAACCAAAGACGTAAGGAGCGTGAGGAGGGTTGGCGACGGTAGGCAGGAGTTCGTCGTCAGGGATGGGTACGCCGGAGGCCCGACGCGAACGGGTGAAGAGCTCGTCCATACGCTGGACAAGCTCGGCCTTGTTGACGGTGCTACCGTCGGCGCCCACGAGGAAATTATCGAAGGTAAACATTGAGCGAAACTCGAGGTACGCATCGAAGTCGTTGTTGAAAAACTCGACGACGATGGCCTCGGGTCCCTCAGACGTTTCCAAACGATAGATGGCCGAGAGAAGACGAGCGTGAAGCTCGTAAAGGTGGAGGGAGTGGGTGAGGTACTGATTGAGCGAATCTCGCACCACGTTAGACTGGGTGCAAGATGTCGCGCACGACAGTGGTCAATGTCTAAAGAGTAAGACATAATAATCAATACCGGCGGAGGAAAAGAAGGTCACGAGGGGACTTACAATGAGAAGATCCCTCAGCTGCACCCGCCAGCTGGTTGCGAAGGCCGCGACGAGCGTCGATGTTCAACGAAAACGGACATGGCTTGTCCGCTCGACCGCAGTTGCCGCAGCTAAGACCAGGACCACGGTACTCACACCTAGGGATGCCTAAGAAGGCACACCTAGCGCAGGGGCCCACAACCTGGGAGGGTATTAAGTTAGTAAGAAGTTAAAGAGAAAGAAAAGAGAAAGGCAACTTACCAAGGCATGGTCGGACAACAACCGCCGGGAACCCATGATACCTGTGAGGTTCTGGTAAAGGATGTTGCGGAGGTCGGTAGTCTGACGTTGCGCAGTAGGCATGTTGCGACGAAGGGACCCGACGAAGGGGTTGCTCGAGGAGCGAGACGCATCGTCTCTAGCATCCGACGAGCCTCCTTCAGAGTTAGACGAAGAAGAGGAAGACGAAGAGGAAGGGGAGCCCTTAAGGAGGGACTGGTGGACGCAAGTAGTGCGCCTGGCGTTCCTCCCGGCTCAGGTGTTGAATGGAGACGCCAGTCCTCTGTGAGAACTGAAGCTCGAGAGGAGTGGTGTCCCTCCCTTGGGACAGGAAACCCGTAGGATCGTCAACGCCATCCCGGCGGACGATCGGGTTGAAACCAACGGAAGGGGGATGGAAAAGCTCTCCATCGATCGACTCAAGGTTGCGCGGGCCAGTGCCGGTATAGCGCGTACTTGCTTGAGGACCTTTAGGAGCACGAGGGAAAGAGGAAGGACCGTAGACGGCGGGTTGACCAGGAATAGGAACGATTTTCCTCGCAGAGGAAGGAGTCGCAGGGATAGGAGGGATGCCGGGCGTCTTGGGCGTCTTAGGAGACACCTGAAGGGAGCGAGATCGACGAGGGGTTCGAGGAGCCTCTTGATGCACGTCTTCGCCGCTAGGCGAAGGGTCGAGTTCGTCGACAGCGTCCCCGTCGTCAAGACCCGTACCCGACGCGACTACAGAGGACGACACGGAACGACGATCGTCTAAGGAGTCGTCAGCTCGTCAGTTAAAGGAACGGAAGAAGAGAGAAGAGCCTACTTACCCAGAGTAGACACAGGAGGCACCGAAGAAGCAGGAGCCGCCTGGGAGACCGACGCGCTGGTACCAAAGACTTGACGTTCCAGACTCGAAGTACCAGAGGGCGAGAGGGAAGCAGGCGCAGAGTCGCGTCCCTCTCCTCGAAGGAGAGCAGTGGGCGGTAGAACAACGCCAGGCGGAAAATTGCGAGGACGAACAGTAAGACGAGGAAGTTGAGGGTGAGGATGACGAATAACAGGGGTACCAGGAGGAGGCGAAGTGTGGTCAGCGAGCCATGCAGCTCGCTCCCGCCTGTACTTGGCCAAGGCCTCTTCAAAAGAAACGGCCACATCGATATAGATGTGCCAGTGCTAGATATTGGATCCCCTCAGTAATACGCCACCCGCCGGAACGATCAGAAACTTACTTGATAGTGAGGATCTGCCCTCCAAGTGGCCCAATCCATAGGCAACGCTGGAGGAGAAATGAGTCGCCAGCCTCGTAAAGTGTTGTCACGAAGGCGACGAGGAATGAGGAACGGCATCTCAGCGTCCTAACAAGAGAATAGTAAGTAAGTGTCCGAGAAGAGATAGATAAGGAAAAGACGAACCGTCGAAGGAACGATTGGACGGGTCAACCTTAAGATAGCCATCTGGGGGTCGGTGAAGACGATGTTCATCATTCGACGAATGCCCATATTTCGGTGGACTGGTTCAGCCCAGGCCCGCCAGGAGTAAGGCGCAGTAAGAGGGTAGCGAGGATGACCAGGGGGACCGTCATTGCCTTGGTAGACAGTCATGAAGGCCATGGTGTAGGCCCTCACTGCCATCAGCGAATGACCGCCGGGCAACCTCTGTAAGATACACTGAAAAGTCAAGTCAGAGGACAGAAAGTTGAAGAAACAGCACAAAGACTCACCAAGTCGTTATAAGTGGCGAAAGATAAGAAGTCCCACTCAGGGGAATATATAAACGCCTCCTCGAACCTGAATTGGCCGAGGAAACGATTGAGGTGGTCGACGATGAAATTCCAGCACTGTCGAAGATAAGGGGAAGAACGAAAGAGACGGAACGTTTCAGCGTTGTCGTCAATTTGGAGACGTTGGTCGCCAATTTGGATGAGGAGACTGCTGAGGCGAGAAGAATGCCTCGCAGCCGGAGAGAGTAGCAGGTTGAGGAGTGGACATCGATGAAAGATAGCACAGTACAACAGTAAGCCAGGAGCTTGGAGAAGGGAAGACCGGCGGTCGTCCCCTATATATATAGGCCAAAGAACGACCCCGAGCGGATAATCCCTCTAGGAGCGCAGACTGACTTCATGAGAAGAGGTGGGGAAAGTATTAACGCTGGTACTTCCCAAAAAGGAAAGTGATAGACCCTAACAGGAGTCAAACCACGGCAGCTTGACCCTTAATATGTGGTATCAAACCCCACTAGAATTTAACGCTCTACTCATCTAAGTCAAGGGCAGAAAGATCAGAGAAAGTAGAAAAGCGAAATTGTCGATCCAAAGTACGTTCGAAAGCAACGTTTGATGTCTTGTCGTAACGGCGGCAGATTCAAGAGCCACTTAAGCGCCAGATCACAAAACACCACCGTATCACGACAAGTCCAAGTTTGGGACGACGGGCTAGTCTAGCAAAAGTGAATTGGAGTTCCTGTAAGGTGGCGAAGAACTTCAGAAGTCGATGTCAAGAGGAGTGACGGATCGTATATGTCGAAGTTCCAAGAACTTCGACAAGAATCTGACTGGGGACAGTCCTCATTCTAAGTTGGGGGGAGATGTTACGCCTGAGGGTCATCTGACCCTTCAAAAATCGCGAATAACACACCGCCGGACTAATTTCGTCCGGTAAAGCGTACATCTCGATAAGTGACTGAAAAGCCCTAAGGCACTGTGTTTTTCATAACCGGCGGTCACTTATTCTGTCGTATGAGTTGAGACCGAGCCCAGAGTCGTCAACTAAGTCGAACTCTAAGAACGACTCTGAAAGAGGTTGAACGTAACGCATCATTGATACCGTAGTAACTGACGGGTTAAGGATGTGTACTGGACCGATTGAAGATCGAACTACGGTAGTGAGAATTTGGCACGAAGTCCTCACCGCCGGGAGCAAGACTATCCATGGGAGTGCACGATCGACTTCAAATCGACTAGAAAGCTAGTAGCGACTTAACAAGAACGACTACACTTAGCACCAGCGCCTGTCAGTACCCTAAGAGGAAAACGCCCATAAGCGCCGCCGGACGGTCGGAATCAGCCATCAGTCGCGGAAAGCTAAAGGGGACCTCTACGGATTAGGTACGAGATCGATAAGATAGAAGCCGAGATAAGATAACCAGAACGACGGGACCAGGAACGGATCACACGAGATGTTCTATTCCGTTGGACAGGTGTCCTCTCTAGGACAGATGAAACAGGGTACTAACAGTCCCATGACCTGTCAACAGAAAAGAAGTAGTACAGAGAGAAGGGACAGAACGATGAATCCATACGCCGCCCTCCGGCGGTAGTTACAAAAAGGGTATACCATCTGTTTCCGCGGAAGCATCTTCACGGAGTAACAATGGAGTTTCCCACAACACATTGGTTCCGTTCCGACTGGACGGAACTACCAAAATTCACGCGCTTCAACAGCGCATCAATAGACGCCTATGGGCATACTCGGCACGACACCGCCGGGGCTTCTTTTGTCGCGTTTCTTTCCTATTTCGTATTTCTGATTCTCTCGTACCTCCGCTCCGTCTCTCTACTCTCATTTTCTGTATCATGCGCATGTATTCGGTTTGTTTTATAGTCTTTGCTAGTCTTTGTTTTAAAGCTCGTAGTCAAACATTTTGTACCATATATATAGGCCCGCCGGGCAAAAGAATCAACAGATACCCCTTTGACTCGATTATATATCTTGTCCTGATCGGCACGAGTCGTTCAGTAAAACAAAGAGGAATTCTCTGAGTGTTGAGTGAGCGAGTTAACGAGTTAGAGTCGAGTCCGAGTTTGTGCGTGAATACACGAGTCCGAGTTTTAAAACGAGTCAACGAGTGATCCCGCCGGGACGAGTTTTAAGTGTTTCCAAGTCCAAATTCGAGTTTCGAGTCTAAGTCGTGTTTAAATCGAGTCGCGAGTTGAACTTAGTGTTTCCCTTGTGTGTAGAGCACAACAAAATACAAAACACCACCTGCATAAAGTCAAGAGTCTTTTCAAAGCTCTAAAAACCCTAAAAAACCGTTCTATACGAGTCAGAGAGTCTTCTCCTCGTTAACTTAGTCTACTAAAACAACAACCCCGTCGAACTTGCGTGCCAACGTACAGACAGTACCTAAAAGTCTTTAGATTTAGCCGTCGGTCTTCATCTTCGTGTCACTTGTCTCACAACAAGCGCCACTCGATTCGGGACCGCCGGTTGTTTTCTTGCTCTTCTTTGTGCTTTCTGTGCTAGTCAGCACATCACCGCCTTTGGGCGTCCGAGGCGGTTTCATCCAACAGTTCGAAATCCTCTTCAGCGATTGAAAGCTCAATACGGCTCGCTTCCCAGCGCTTGCAGATGGATGGCACTAAGAGGAATCTCAAGTCAGCTTTGTCATTCACGGTCGTCCCATTGTCCACGTACCCAGTCCCAAAAGCTTTTTCCAGTTATTATCCAGAATGAAGTCATCCAGGGCCTCGTCTCTTTGCGCCAAGGTCATCATAGATGTTGGACCCGCCGCCAAATTGATCACAGACCAAAGGGGCTCCAAGATCTCGCCAGCGCTCATCCCCGCCCCCCGAATGAACGTCAGCGCGTATCGAGCGAAACACGAATCCTGGTGTCCATGGACATGGAATAGACCAATGCCAAATATAACAGTCAGCTTCTCGTTAATGCTGAGGTGATCTGCCTCTTCGATCCGTTCAAATAAGTGCTTGCTGTACTGACAGTTGATGTCATACACTAGCAAAACCTTCGAGAGTTCGTCAGTATGGGTGGTCTTGAGTGCTTCACAGAAGCCGTAGTCCATATTGACTTGTCTATTGGACTATCAGAAGCATATCAAATGTCGTTGAGGAGCACTCGCCTTTCTCCCTTTTGGAAATCCACAACACTCCCAGGCGCAAAGCAGCCATGTCTCATACATGCGAACGCGCCCACCCCTGTGACATCGCACCCCTTGTGGCCTTTACTTCTGTCTGCAATCGCCCGGTGCTCGTGACAAGTTTGAGGCTGGAAAACTATCCTGAGCCTGAGCTATGTTGAGAAATGGACTAGCACTAACCTCTTTGCGTTCTTCTGCGGCCTTGAGATGCTCCTTATACCGAGTTCTCTCAGTCATGTATCCCTCCCCGCTTTTCAGGAATACATCGCCCTCCCCCTGCCTTTTCTGTTTCCGATGAACCAAAACAAAGTTGCCATCGGCAACCAAGCTCCTTTGGTACTTCCAATCATCGCGATCGTCCTTCCAGTCTTCAGGTAGGTTTATTCCTGGCTGAGGGCATGCCGCACAGAACAATGCCATCTCCCCCCTCCCGGGAGTTTTCCTGGTGTGTCCGAACCCGAAGCGTTTCAAGTCTTTCAAGCGCCTCCATTGGCGCCCAGCCCTCCGCAGTTCTCGAGTACGATCCTAAACACATTCAGTCCAAGATTGCACACTGAGATAAAGTAACGCACGGGCACAGAATGAGGAAAGTTTTTGTTCGTCACTCGTCGTAACTTCGAATAGTAGTGATGAGTCGAGGTGAAGCATTCCAGCATTTCCAAGAGGTAGTCATCGAGCAGTGCGTGTGTGAAGACAGTCCGGATATCTCTGAAGGTAGCCGGATAGAAACCATGCCGAAGTAACTGCACTTCATCCGACGGTGCTTCGGCACAGCGACAGAACACGAAGGGAAGGTAGTGGACGCCGTTGGTATGCACCACACACATGATCTTTGAGCCAGGATGAAGCCTCTGGTTCGGCTTTGCACCAAAGGTAAGGTCCTCATTATCAGTCCAGTCAAGCGCCGGTTCAACATGCGCATGTTCGGCGAGGTCTGGAGTCTCGATGTCAGGTGCTAAAGTCGATGCACATGTTCCCGATTTGCAAAGAGACACATGAACGCCCGACTTCCAAAGCCAAGATGGCTGGAAATGTGAATCCTTCCAGAGCTGAACACGATGGAGGGGGCTGGTCGAATGAAGCTGCCTGCAGCAGTCGGTGCAGTAAACAGGTTTCCCGAGACAATCTTTACAGCGCCAGACATCGGTTAAGATCGTTCCATGGCAGCCATGACATTCTAGTGGGTTAGGAAGAGCTTCTTGGTCGAGAATTTCGTGAAGGTACAGCCTCTCCTTTGGAACCCACTCACCCATGTACTCGTGGGTAGTCTCAAGCACATATCAATGTAAAGCTCTAGCCGTAAGGAAATGAACACTCACCTTGGATCCCGAATTCCCAATTCCACCGAGGTCAAACGTTACGAATTCACCGTGGTCAACGTCTCCTTCAAAAAATTCTGTTTCCCTCCTGGCCGACCTCTGTGGAACTGATGATTTTGACGAATGTTTACGCGGGGAAAGGGATTGGTTTCTCTTGCTGGGAGTGTGTGGGAGGAGCTTCAGTTTTGCGCGGCCTTTCTTTCCTCCACGGGTCAGGCGGCAGCGGTAGAGCTCTACCCTCTCTCGCCTCTTCACTTCATGTTTACGTCCAGGGGCCATAGCAGCGAGGATGAACTAACGAAGACTACCGATCGATAGTCGAGTTGAACTTCAACCATATCAACACAGCCACCGGAGGAACCATCAACGGATCACTATCCCTGAGTCTTCGTTTCTCGGAGTGGTCGACGGATCGACTTGCTCAAGGAACCGTTTGGCACGCGACTTGGACCAATCCGACCAAACAAAGACCGACCTGAAGTGCGAGCATCACAAACACTTGAACAAAATACTTTGCATAAATCAACGACATCTACCTCACCCTTAACCATGGCTCAAACCCCCTATGACGATGTCAGCACAGAGTACGAAGGAGAAGAAGAGTACGAGGGCCAAGGACAATCAAGCTCCATGGAGGACGACGAGTGGGAGGAGGAGGAGGAGAGCGGGCACGGGGAGGAGGAGGAGGAGGAGGAGGAGGAGGAGGAGGAGGAGGAGGAGGGGAGCAACGAAGAGTCGGACCCCGGCATAGACTCAGGTGTACAGGGTCCTGGCAACAGTTACCAGTTTACCGCTTCTCAGGTCGCCTACCTCAAGACTCGTCTCCCTCAATACCGTGAAGGCACTTCGAAGAGGAGGGGTCAGTTGGTTTCCAAGTCGGCAAAAAACATCATCTCAGAATTGTACGCGATTACTGGGAAGAAGCAATCTCAGGAGAAGAAGAAGCTCATCACCCGGGTATGTTACACTTCGAACTATGCCAGAGGATATGCTAATTGTTGATTGTAGGCAGTGAAAAGTTGGTTTCGGGGGCGGGTTGACAACTCACAGGCAAAGGCCAAGAAGTCCGTCTGGGGTGGGCGATACTACGGACAGCTTGTTTTCAAGCGAGAGAGAACTCGAATTGTCCAGTACTTGGCAGACATCATTTCTCGTGGAGACCCCATCCCCAACGACCTTCGAAGGCTCGTAGACCATGAGGACGAGTTCTTGAGCGCCCAGTCACGCCAAGACAGCGAGGACGAGGACAACGAGGGCTTGTCGCAACCCCGAAAGCAGACACGGGAGGGATTCACAAAGTTTCAGACAGCCGCGTCGATGCTCTGGAGGGTATTGACTTCGAGGGAAAAACAAGCGTACGAGGACAAAGCCAAGGCTTGGAGGGAAGGGACTCCCCCGCCGGATCAGCAACGAAAGTAGGTGTCTAGAAATCCCCCGTTTTGCCAATTCGACTCAAATTGTCAACGCTAGGGCTGCCGAGAAGTTCGCGTCCAAGAGGTTGCTTCAGTTCTCTGAGGGGCTCCTCAAAGAAATGAATGCCCGATTGCATATTCTCGTTGCGTTCGAAAACTCAAAAGGAAAACCAGTGGCATTTGACTTCGAATTGTCGGGGGGCAACGCGGGAGCTCGGGGGCAAGCCTTCCGCGACCTTTACGACGCCCAGCTGAAGGAGATGGGTTTGCTTGAGCTATGGAAGGATTTCGCAGCTGATGTATTTTTGGATCCACTGGAGCAGGAGGAGGAGGCTCGGGGGCGTCGCATGGCCAAGAAATCGCTGATGAATTTCAAGAGAAACGAGTTTAACGAACCAATCATCCCATCCATCAGGGATAAGCCAGGGACCGAGAAGCGCTCGATTTGGCTTACCAATTTCTTGAGGTCATACCTGACAATTCATTACAGTGAGTGCTGATTATCATGACTTGATCTATCTAACACATCCCACTGGCAGACATCGCTAGAGGAGACCCTGGCGGGCGGACTCCTGTTCCCTGGAAAAGACTTGGTCTTAACGTTCGACGGTTCATTTCATCACGGTTCCTCCCAGACCATTTGGCAGAACTACTCCAAGAGCCAAGTCTGATGTCATCCGGAGACAGGGAGAAGCTCTACAAGTTTTGGCGCAAGCGCCAAAATAATCCCGAGGTCGAAAATGTGTTCGAGTTCAAGAGGTATTGGGATCGCAAGTCGAAGACATACAAACCTCGACACAATCGCAAACAGGCCTCTGCTAATGGGCAACATGACGACGACGAGCAGGATGAACGGGACGACATTGAGGATTGGCGGCCTGAGGATGTGCAGCCAGTGGCCCCAAACCCGCCTGCCAAGAAACGTAGTGCCAAGAAGAAGACGAAGAAACGAAAGGAGACGCGTACTGCTCGTGACAGTGATGAGGATAGCGGTTGGGATAATCTGGATTCAGATTGGGGTGCGTCCAATCAAGTGAGTGCCAAGTCGCTGATTAGACTGCAAACGAGCCGCAAAGTTGACATTTGTTGCCAAGGCTGGAACGTCGCGAGGACCCTACCGTACAAGCCAGACTGCCGGTGCCGCTGAAGAAGAGCCCGGGCCAAACGCTGGGGAGGATGCTGAAGACAGTCTGTGGGACGACGTTGACTCCGACTGGGGGATCAACAAGGTACGGTTTTCCACCAACTTGTGAAATCTTCGATTCACACTCTCATCTGAAAGGGAAACAATCCTTCCACCTCATCGCCAAGACGGAGGTCGTCAATTTCAACCCCTCCACCTGATGAAGAGGAGACTTCTGCCCAGCTGGTCCAGGTAGGTCCATAAGGGCGACCGCCAAGCACTAGCTGACTTAGACCTGTACAGCATGAGCAGGATGATGAACCCAATAGACCGGTTACACCACCCGGCGGGAATAATCGTAGTATAAACACTCGTGCGGTGGATACGCGCCCAGAAGATCGTGAAGGCCTGAGTGCCGTTGAGGAGTCAGAGGAAGAAGAATCCGATGAATTGCCAGCCGTCTACCAGGATCGCCCCTCGCGTAACAAGCGCCAAGCTCCATTGGACCAAGTTGAGCAGGTGCCCTTGCGAAGATCAACTCGACCACCCAAGACAAGAAGGATGGTTGACTACATTGACATGGCCACACCCGTCACGCGCAGTCGGAGTGTTGAAGACTCTGGCATGCGAATCACAAGGTCAGCGGCCAAGAAATCTGCAGGTACCTCGCGCGGCACTGCCTCAAATGCAGCCAAGACTGGGCAGAAGCGGAAGTCGAGAGACGATAATAGTGGTGGGCCTGCTCCAAAGAAAAGGAGGGAGAATACCGGAGCCTCAAAGGTGACGCCTGCTCGACGGTCTGCTGTTTCTCAAACGACCAACGCCAAGAACTCAAATGCCAAGCCGAAATCGCGTGCAAGACGGGGGTGACTTCTTCTCGTAGGCTCTCATTTTTGTTTTGTATTGCTATTTTTTTTTCTGTATTCGAATCATCTACCCTCAATCCATGATCACTTATCCTTTGAGATCCAGTACTCTCCTTTCCCAGGAGAAGATGAGCATCTGCCAAAGACCGATGTAGATTGTCTGAAAGGCTTACCCTGCACTATTGGTAACGAGAGACGTGGTTACATCCCTCAGAATAGAGTGAGCGATGGAGATTACATTATGCGTAGTACATACCAAGAAATTACAAGGACGAACATGCGATGTACACTGAAGAAAACGCGATCAAGTGCTACCTACCCCCTCCCGCATAAGTCGTTCGACCTCCTCTGTTTCCTGAAGGCCGTTCTGGTGGAGGAAGGTTGATTGGGCTATGACCAGGGTAAGACGTCTGATGCAACAACCATACAGAGAGGACTCACCGTCTACACCTGCGCTGGATGGCCCCTCCTCCGGAAATTTGATGTACTGCAGCATTTCCCCTTTATCACCAGAGTCTTCGTCGACGATGACACGGTGTGGGAGAGGAGGGGGGTTGGTCGAAGTCCCATTGGAGCTGTCAGCGTTCGATGTCGGGTTGGAAGTGACCGATCCAGAGTTGGGGGGTGTTGAACCAGTCGTCACCAGGGGCATCGGGATATCGATACCGTTGATAGTAGTCTCGGTTGGAGGTGTGAAAGCCGTGCCAAGCTCAGCCTTGATCTTGGAAGCCACCCAGTTGTTGACAACAGCCACTGTCGCTGCAAGGCCTTGAATGCGCTCGGTGTTGATGTTGTTCTGGTCAGTCAGAGCCTTGGCATCGTTTTCGCGATCCTTGTGCATACGCTGGATTTCCTTCTCGGCAGAATCTACCTGCGCTTCCAACGCTTTGATCCTGGCATCCTGTGTAGCGGCAGTGGCGAGGATAGCTTCGTATTCCTTGGCGTCCTCCAAAAGGACTTCTAGAGTGGCGGTGAGGTAGTTGATGGACGCCTGCTGACGAGCGTTCTCCATGAGAAGGCGAGTGACCATTCTCTCGATGCTGGGCGAAGAGAACTCAACGGCGGCAGCAGGAGCGACACGACTGAGACTGCTTCCCTTGTCGTTGGAAGTGGAGTTCTGTGAGGCGATTCGTGAGAAAAGTGACATGGCCAAGGGTTGCAACACTCACCGTGGAATTGACGACAGCACTCGCGGCGTCTGCTGATGTGCTGACAATGCTCTGGCCATAAGATGTGGGTGAGTGTACAAATTATGTGCAGATGGCGGTCGTACCATCGAATCCGACTTGGCGCTTTTCAGGTTGGCGCTGGTACCTGAGACGGCCTGATACGGTAGATCTGTAAGAGAGTTTCGTGCTCATCGACTGACTCGACTCACTGAGGCAGAGTCCTTGGCTTGCCGAGTCTTAGACCGTAGCCACGCCTGTTCGGCCACAATGTCGAGACCGTTTCGGGGTGGAGGGGAGGGGCGTGCGTTCTTGGCTTGGTCTTGGGCGTCATTGACAGGAACGTGGCGAGGGACCTTGGTCTTTGGACAAGTCGGTTAGCAAAGGGAGAGCTGGCATGGAAAGGTATTATACTTACCTTAATCGCCGAGGCCGAGGTCGGCTCTTCCTCTTCGGGATCATCGTCATTCACCTAGGTCATACATCAGATTAGAGAGGCCAAGAACATCGGAAAACGTACCGTGGAGAAGTCCTCTGCGACGTCCTCTGCGGGGCGATCATCCTAAATTCAACAGTGAATTAGCTTGCGTCAGGAAAGAACTGCCAAGAAACATTAACCTTTACCCCGTCGTCGTTCTGAGCCTTCCGCCTGCGAGCGCTAAAGTTACAAGTCGCTACGCGTTTCTGCCCCGGGGGTTTACAGCTGTAGCAAGCCACCCTTGGCTTCGATATGAAGCAAGTCAAACCTTTGTCGCGACATGTGTCGCATGGTTTCGATGCCTCGTAAAAGCCATCGGGGACGGTAGGCTTACTCCTCTTGGAAGCCCCGGCGTTGCCGTCGTCGTCGGCTCTTGTGCGTTTAACAGGCACCGATTGAACCTTTGGCGTCTGCTTCTTCTTGGCGACATCCTTCTTGATTGCCTTCGGTTTATCCGAGTCGGTCTCGTCGCCGTCGTCGTCGCTTTCGCGGTAGGAGTCATCGGTGTCGTCCTTGGAGTTCCAAGACGGGCCATCGTCCGCCTTGCTCTTCTTTCCCTTCCTTTTAGGGGCAGTCCCATTGTCGTCAACTTCCATCGCGCTGTCCTCACCGCTCCCTGCCCGAGAACCCTGCTTTTCCTTCCCAGTCCTACCCGTCGATGTCCTCTTCGGTCCACCTGCCTTCGCAGACTCGGCCGTTGAAATTCCTTCGTCGTTATCGTTAACTCGACTCCGATTCGTGGGCTGAGGCTTGGGGACTGGAAGGGTAGGGCGCTTGGCAGTGGATGGAGGAGGATCGGGAAGTGCAACGCTAGGCGAGCGATCTTTGGGTCCGGGGAGAGAGGGATGGGGGTTGTAAGGCTTGCCTGACAGGAGGGGGACGTCCATCGGGACTTGGAACACCTGGTGCTTGAAGCGGGTGAGGTTGACAGTTTCGGGCTTCGTCCTGAACTCTTCGCGCTTGGCAAGGTACTTGAGCCAGAGAAAAATAGCATCGCCCAGGTACTCCTTCTTCCGGTATTGGCCATACCTCGGGTCTTTGGCGAGGAGATCAATGAGAGAGTACTGTTGCACGTTCAGCACGGATTACTCGTGAGCTATAGACGGACGTACCGACGCCGTAACAAACAAAATCTTGTCGTCGGCCTTATCTTTTCCCCATGTCTCTGGACGACTGTTGATGAATTTCTCGAGATTTCTCAGAGCCGAGGTAAGGGCTTTGGCCGGCGGGACAGCGATGGATGAAGCGGTGGACATTGGTGGAGAGAAATGAACTTTTGGTGGGAATTTTGCGACGGGTTCAAAGTGGCAGGAAGGGCGTAAAATGTTAAAAGGTGTTTGTTTACTCTGAAAACAAGACGGCGGACCTGATGTTATTCGCACCGAGCTGCTATGCCAAGTCGCGCAGGTTCCCTCCCTACCATCATTCTCCCGCCCTTTCCCGCCCACTACGGTCCCAATGCTACGTGAGTCGTCAATTCTATGACATCAGAAGGCTGCGTTCTCACCAAGGGAGATAGTAAACACTGTATCCCAATTTAATCTGGAGGAGGAGGAGGACATGCCACCCACCCCAAAATTCGCAGACTTGGACGCGCCATCATTATCTACGTTTTCATCAGCGAGTAAGGGTATGTTCCAAGATCTGTATACCTTGAAAATTGTCCCACCTTTGGCCTCAGCGAGCAGGGGGTTTGATTCGGATTCGGATGAGAACGTATTGGATTCGGACGAGGGCGATGTGGAGGACGATGGTTCAGATAACCAACAGTCGACCGGTGATGCCCCGGTGGCTGTGCAGGAATCTAGGACCGATTCCGATGCCGAGATGTCGGATGGTGCGTCATGGTCGGATGTGTTCGACGACGACTCCGATTTCCTTGGTTCCAAAGACAATGGGCGCGTTCGAGTAAGTCCAACTTAGCCGAACGTACCAAGGGTGTTGCTAACGGAACTAGGAAGACTCTGGGCGGGATTCAGCTTCCAAAGCTCTCCTCGAAAGAATACTCCGTCAGCACCTGGAACACCTTCGTTCTATTCACATGGACGCCTTGGCAAGACTCGACGCTCTGGCGAAAACTCGCGTGAGGCTGTCTGATCAATTGTCCGCCATTAATTCAGCAGTTTGCTTGCGGCGTACGTCCAGAGGGGAACTTCCCCTGAATGCGACGGAGCAGCCCGCGACCACCTAAATTGTACATGACTTGTCCACCTCTGACCATGTATGAGGTACTTCTATATGCCAAGTGACTACTTCAATCGCCCCCGAACTTCATTTCTGATCAGCTAAATCGGAGTTCAAATTAGATCGGTATGTATAAATGACTTGTTCGAGGGGGGAAGCTCTCTTCTGCGTTATAATCACCCTCACCCCTCGACCTCGAAGTCTTTCCCTTTTTGGGTTGTTTTTTGAACCCTCCAGAATGCCGAAAGACGTCGACGTCAACAGACCGAGGCACTCCATTGGCAAGAGCGGTCGAAAGCCGCCTAGGCGACGGGGCAAAGAGGCAGATTCCTCTGATGACGACGGCCCCTGGGGTTGGAAGGATGTTCGGAAGGGTGAGTGACCATAGTTGACCACTTGAACGTTCCGTTTAAGCCTTCCTTACTCCTTCTAGCCCAGACAAAAGGCCACAAAGACGCCTCCAACGCGGCCGACTATATCCGTGACATCAGTGCTTCTGTGAAATCACTCCTTTCCGACCTCCAGCATCACATTCACAGCTGCAATTGCGACTGTGCATGTTCTTCCGACCTCCTTAGAATTTTCCAGTCTCACCATGAGTCACTCGAGGGGAATGTTGAAAAGGCGCAGGCATCTTTGGTTGAAGTCCTCACCGAGTTTGAGATGGCGACCTTCCTGTTGAATATAGTGAAGTCTAACCGATGAGGCGACAATCCCTGTACTTTGTTGTGTCTTTGCGAGCAACCATCTGTCCTGATAAATGTTTCTGAGTTCTGTCTTCGGTCTTCGTGCTGTCTTTACTGTGTTTCGCGTCCCCCAGCCCTAGAGAGTGATTGATAAGGTGAAGTTAAGCGCCGCTCCAAGGGTGCCAAGTCCACAGAAGCCAAGAGAGTACATTGCTTGCCAAATCAGGACTTTGGAACCCCTCACTTGACGCGAACCCTAAAGGGCGCCAATCCAGAGCCTTGGCATGGCTTGACACGGTTTTGTGCCGAGTTGGACTTCAACCCTCCTGGCAAAGGGCACCTTGGACAAAACCACTAATCCGGGAACCTTGACCCCCCAGACTGTTTGGGCTATTTGAGATTCAAGCGGAGCTCAGAATTACAAGACTTTTAATTACTCCAGCCCTCAGGATTCGACCTGCCTACTCTCGAACGACGATGACCTCGAAGCTCGACAGGGAAATCAACATGCTACTTTCCCCTAACCTATCGATGAGAAGCAGAAGCACACAATCTCGGAACAGACGTGGAACAGGAGGTTCTAGTGCGGCAGCAAAGAAAAAGCGCAGGAGATTTCGCATCGAGAAGGTGGGATGGAAATACCTGAAGGATTGTGAGTAGCATTTTTTCAATGTCCACTTTTGGGTACCTGATGCTGTATTTAGCTCATCGCGACTGCATCCATGATGCAGAAAAGGGGGCGGCTGCCCTTCACAATCTTTCAGCGGCAGCACGGGAACACATGCGCAACCTCCAGCATGTACTCACAATCGTAACTAGGAAGTACCCCAACCTAGAAAGCTGTGTCTCCTCAATCATGGACAGCCAAGAAGAGTTGTTCAACCAGATGAGCGAGTGCAAGAGGCGTCTATCAAGCATCCGCACGGGGCTCGAGGTTGCCAAGAGCTTGGTGGAGGTTCTGGGCCCAGGGGAGGAGGTCGATGTGGAAGGGGATGAGTAGATTAGTGTATTGCGTCGTCACACACGAATTCTTTGAACCATCCGTCTCGTCAACGAAATATGGGAGAACTTGTCAATGTCAGTCAGAATTATATCCCTTGGCATGGGTGGATGTGCCGATGATGATTGGCCTTCTGGTACACCCTGCTCGGATTGGCTCCATCGGGAACCCCAATGTTATTGGGCGCTAAAGTCGTGGAAGGTTCCAGTTCGAGGTGGTGGCATTATTGCGAGTATAGTATCTGACACTAATGTCGGGGAAGGTTCCACCGCCCTCGTCGTCGGTGGATAGTGTATGTCTTAAGTGATATTGATGAAGCTGTAGGTGCAACAGCAAAACGGATGCTATCCTTGGCGCTGGGTTCTCGTTGGAGGTTGTGATTGACGCTGCACATTGACATATCGTGTCCAGTGACGGCATTGATCCACCCCGCTAATCTCGGGAAAGGTTGACACCGCCTGTCAAAGGACGGAAGGTGGGTTGATGGTAACGAGATAGCTGGGGAGGCTAGCCTCGGTACAGCGCCCGTCGATAGAATATGTTCAGGCGCAACAGCGAAATGGATGCTATCCTTGGCGCTGGGTTCTCGTTGGAGGTTGTGAATGACGGTGCACATTGAGATGTCCCGTCTAGTCACGGGGCTGATCTACCACGCCAATCCCGGGAAAGGTTGACAAGTGCCGATCAAGACAGGGAAGGTGGATCGATGGTAACGGAACAGTTGCCTCGCTAGCATCTGGGGAGGCCAGCATTAGTAGGGTGCCATGGTGCTGGCGTCGGGACTACCCTGCGTGTCACAGCTAGTGGGGCAATGAGTGGGGAGGCCAGCATTAGTAGGGTGCCATGGTGCTGGCGTCGGGACTACCCTGCGTGTCACAGCTAGTGGGGCAATGAGAAAGACGGGGCACCTCCTTCGCCATTGCCCACAGCTAAGCAGCGGCCTCGGTGATAACGACCTAGATAGAACCAACTAATATCGTGATTACCGGCGGAAGGGTGACCAAGAGGGCGCGTTAGCCTGTGGCTACCTCCGCGAGTATAGCCTACACAGACTAGGAAATCTCCATCGTGATTACCGGTGGAGGGGCGGGTTCTGTATACCACTATCGGTTTGACCTCAGGAAATGGTGACCAGATGCTATGTAGCGCGGACTGGAACGGTGACGCACCTGTTCACGCGTGCAGGCAAGGTGCTCCGTGGCTAATGGGACTTGCGACACTTGTCAGGTATAGGTGTCTTGCTAGCATGGCGGTACCTCCCTCGTCATTGACGCGTGTGATAATAGCTTCATGTATGTGAGAGGTGCAACCCAAAGGATACTTGATGCATGGTGAGCAGAGCCCCATTCTCTGGCTACACATAGACTACCTGTCGCTGAACGGGAGGAACTGGAAAATCGAAGGAGAGGTGCTGCGGTAAAGGTGGCTGCAGGGTGCACAGTACCAACCAGCCACCCTCTTCTATAATAGCAGGTGCCCCGTGAGAAGCGCTGCCTTAAAGTGCCTTGCCCGTGCGGCAAAGGCCTTAGTGGGTGCTAGTGGGGATGGCATTGTTCACACTGTTCATGGCAGCCTGGTTCTCGGCACCAAAATCTCTATTAGATGTGACCCACTCAGTTGAATACAATTCATATGTATATATTATACACGTATATACTGATAAAAATGTATGAGCGCCTACAATGGGCATCCGTGAGAGATACCTCGTAGGTATCGGGGTGTAGTGTTCAAAAGCTAGAGCCTCTTTATCGTGACTATCGGGATTAATGTCGTGGGATCTGACCGTCATTAACGGTGCTATACCATATAGCAGCCTGCTCACAGGGCGTTGAAGTTCTAACCTGTCCTGCAGAATGTGATGCTCCGAGTCCGACTCAGCGACGGGGTTGTGTAAGTAAGACCCTGCGGAAGGCGGTACGTCGGTCGAAGCAGACCGTTCCCTACATAGTTGAAGCGGTTCACCTAACGTATGTTCGCATTCCGTGAAGATTTCCATCACAAAGATCAGCTACACACTAAGCTATGTTCTACGGTGTTGGAGGCGTTGAAGTGGAGGTTTAGAACCGAGATCTGATTGAGGCTTGTACATTTAATTAGGATTTGATTTGAAGTCCGCGATGCAGAAGTACATAAGGAAGTTGGAGAGGCGGGGAAGAAGAAGAAGAAGAAGTGGAATTTATTATCGGAAAAGCTGTGTAGAGAAGAGTAAGGAAGGTTATTTATGAGAACGAACGAGGTGAGGATATGAGGACGGCATCGGTCACCCAATAATCGTGCTTCGCCGCGATCCGAGAGCGGATCGTACCCACGGGAGATTCGAGTCCTCCAGGCTCTCGTTTCCTTCCGCCCTTCCTTTCCTTCCACATCCTCACCCTCCGTTCCAGAAATGTGCGGGAAGATCGCTACCATAATCTATCGTCAGTAACTACTAAACCACCAGAAATAGCACGAGTTCGAAATTGCCATGATTCAAGAAGGACTTGCGATGCGTTGGAGTCCGTAATACTAATGGTGCAGATGTGAATCAATCATCCCGTCATCCACCCTATCGAGCGGGGATACTTATAGATCACCAGAAGAGAAGAGAACTTGAGTACCAGAGCCAAGACTTTGAATGGACCCGGGATTATAAATGAAGTCTACATATCCACGTTTCTTCTCCGTTGGATTACTTACTTATTCCTTGAGCTTGTCCACTGGGTGGCAGGATACATAAATCCGAGGAAAAATAGTGAAATTATCTTGGAAATATACAATTTTTTTCCCCCAGAAATAGGTTGGAAATATCGAAGAAATATTTAAATCAGAATGTTTCCATAAGATTTCGGGGGAAACTTTTCAGACATATTTTTTCCCGCTTCACGGTTCCCGCCAGGGTTCAATATTTTTTCCATTGTTCCGCAGAAATATTTTGGGCTTTGTATTTTTTGCCGGAAAATTTGAGTAAATATAGAAAGCTAGATGCCACTGACTTGGCCACAAATTGGACAAAGGACACTTTGTCAACCCAGGGGACTGTTCGCCCGCCAATGCACCAATCACTGTCGCGTCGGAAATCGATGCTGTCGTTTTTCATGATCAATGACGTCGTTCTCATTCGTTGCCGCCCAAACGCAATCGGGTCTCCATCTTTGTCCGCCAACCTGTGTCGTGGTATTTCCCCATGTCACCTCTGCGCATACCCTCGATCGTCGTCATATTGGGAGCCCAATTTGAATCATGATCAATTTTGTCTCAATACGCTACTTGGCCCGTAGATTTGTACATGACAAATTTGCACAATGATTGGTCCTTGTCATCATCATCTTGGAGGCTCGAGCATCCATGCCACCTACGCTATTTTGTCCAAATTTTGTCGCGTCGAGCACACGGACAATTGAGAAGAGGTTGTCCGGCCGACTTAAGGCACAAATCCAATCGTTCGGAATCCTAACCCTACGAAGAGATGCCATGCTTGATCGTTTGGCGTCTTGACCTTGGCCGACATTCTTTGTCCGACTGGCTTTCACCAGCCTCTTGCAATCGACGTCCAACGGGCCAGACCATGCTGTAACTCGGGCGGGGAAGTGCATAGAGCCGGTATTCGACAAGCGTTTTCAACGGACGCTGGCAGCAGAGGTGTGTTATGACGCCCTGTCTAAATCGCTCGATACTCATGGACGATGAAAAGCACGTTACACCTCAGAATGGCCCCTCAATGACGACCGTCGAATCGACAACCATGATCCCAAGCCACCGTCCGACTCCGGAATTGCACCCTCCCAAAGATCAAAGGTCACCCACCGGTCATCCTTGCGATCGCGCGTAAGCCAAACGGATTTACAGCAGTTCGCGGTACATAGGGCGCGAGCCCAAATTCAACCAAAATTTGATGCGCGGCCACAACGTCAAGCTGGTGGCAGCCGCGCCAGCAGTGTTGGCCCCATATCTCCCGCTAAAGTAGTCCGTGCATGTAATTTTTAGTGCGTTTAAAACGTAGAGAAAATGCGAATCGAATGATATAGTTTTTATTGTAATCGTCCTACTACATGGAGTGGAAGACGACATATACTGCTGGCATAGACAGAAAATCAGGTGCTGTGCATCATCATCTTCTACCACCACCACAATGCCACCCAAGAACAAGGCCAGTGGCGAGCAACATTTGAAGAAGGCCACTCGACGCTCTAATCGACTTCAACCTGAGCCAAAAGCCCCAGAACCTCTCCCCGAGCCACTCAAGATCAGGATCATTCGGGCAGTGGTTGATACTGCACCTTCCCATGAAGAAGCCTCAAACCGCTCGACTCCGGCTCCTTCAGCCCACCAGGAGAAGAGACAACGTAATGATGGAAGGGAGGAGTATGTTGATGCAGGAGACGAGCACGAGAAGCTCAAAGAAATCCCGGAAGGTATGTTATCTCCCATCATCAGTCTACCGTAAGTACTCATTCTTCGTTCGCATTTCTAGACTACAGGCTACCTTTCCAGCCATAGGTGACATCTCCACACCATGCCACGTCTTGAGAACGCGCTGAACGACATGCAATGGGATGTCAAGATCAATAGCTATTGCTGTGGTGGTTTTCTCGAGGACCTGCCTCTTGTTTTTTGCGTGGCATAGCGAGGAGAAGGCTTGCAGAGAGCGCTCTGGTGGGTCTGTACGCCAGTATCAAGATAATGGCAAGAAGGAATGGGTGATCCTGCTGAATGGTAGTTATTTGGGCAGGATTGATGATCTGGCGGTTATTTGTGCTAAAGTTCTGGCACGTATCTCAATAAAAATTGCATCATTCGATTCGCATTTTCTCTACGTTTTAAACGCACTAAAAATTACAATGAACGGACTACTCTAGCGGGAGATATGGGGCCAACACTGCTGGCGCGGCTGCCACCAGCTTGACGTTGTGGCCGCGCATCAAATTTTGGTTGAATTTGGGCTCGCGCCCTATGTACCGCGAACTGCTGTAAACTCCAGTTCTATAGCAAACTGCCGAACGATCCCTTTACGAAGAAGTACCAAAAACATTGCCCATCCCTTCTACGAGCCAATAGTACTATACTTGCGAGGATCTCACGAAATGATTTAGACTGGGATTTTATTGACGCTCTCACTTTCGAGTAGAAGAGGGACCTGAGCGAGACAAATGACAAGCTGGATCTGGAAGAGGTGGTGAGGGGCCTGAGGGCTAAATTCCCAATCAGAGAGTTCATCGACGGAGTTTCGTGACGTACGTCCTCCCTCGCTCCCTTCTTTGGTCCATCCTTCTCAAAACTTGCATCTGCCAGCCTCTGTTCTTCCCGACTCCGCAATCTCGTCATTCACCCTCTCAGGCGGCCACCAGTCACCATGCTTAGTGGCGAAACCCCCCGCACTTTGCGTGTTGGTGTCATTGTGTCCGCTGTCGTCAATAGAATCAACAGCGGCTTCGTCAATGTCCGACTGGATTCTGGCATCGAGGCAACTATCAATGCTCAATACATCGCAGACAAGCCCGATAATCCCAACAAACTTGTTAAGAAGGGTCAGACCGTCACCGGCGTTATCATCGACTGCAGAATCGAGGAAGACAACAAAGAGACGTTGTTCGTCGAGCTATCAACGCGTAACAGGGAGGTCCAGGACGGAGACCAAGCCTTCAGGCGGGTCGCTCATGACGAGCATTGGAAATCAAGCTCAGCACGACAAGGACAAGGACGCTCTCGAACGCAAGAAACGTCAGCAGACGGATAGGTCCCGCAGGGTTATCAAGCATCCCAACTTCCACAACTTCAATTACGCGCAGGCCGAGGCTTATCTTGAGAAGCAGCAGCGCGGCGACGTCGTCATCCGCCCTTCATCGAGGGGCAACGACCATTTGGCTGTTACTTGGAAAGTGGACACTGGTCTTTACCAACACATTGGTGGGCAGTATGCTTTTCTCCGTTTGGAGCCTCCATCTCACCGATTCTTTGCAGATGTCGTCGAGAAGAACCCAGATCCCACGGGCCAGACAGCGGGAGGGTAGCTCTATGTCGACGACAACCACGTATATGCGGACTTGGACGAGCTCATCGTCAACCATGTCCAGGCAATGGCACGTCGTGTGGAAGATTTGATGAACCACGAGAAATTCAAACCTGGGACAGAAGAAGACTTGCGTATGTTGTGTTAAATTGCTCCTCTTTTGGCGATGTTGCTGACCTTTTGACGCTAGACCTATTTGTTATGAACATATATGCTTACTATACAGTATTACTATACCTGCCTCATCTCCACCTTATGTTTTTCATTTCAACTCATAGTCTTACTCATATTTACTGCGCATCGCTGATTGCTGACTGATACTTATTAAAAACTCATTGAAACCTACATACATTCCACGGAATACGCATGTTACCCATGAGGACTATGCCTCATGGCTAACACACGTCTTCTAGTATATAAACTCTCTAGTTCTCTTAGCTAGTTTCCTCACTTCGTTCTTAATTGTTCCCAAAGCTATACCAAGTCTCAGTGCAAATACAAATATCTTTAATTATCACTCAAAGTCTAGCTCGAAGTTCACAAAGCTACAGGCGAAGAACTCTTGACGTAGTCACGAGTTGATTCATCGACCACAAAGTCGCTGAGTACTGGACGACACGTGCTTGTATCACGTATAGTCCATAACACTATTCCTCAAGAACTTCCTCGCTGCAAATCCTATGAAGAGCATGTACGGTTTCACACTCAATCGCAAGAAGCCAGGCAACTTCAGCCTCTGCTTCCTCGCCAACAAAAACTCGACTGTGCAAACCTGGGTATGTTATCTTTTGACTGTAGAGTATGATTACAAACCTAATCGCCATTTCAGCCAATCCGGGTTACTCCTGAAGCATACTATCTATTCGATGCTTCCGCTATCGGTGTCTCCGAGTTGTGCGATGCCTTCAAAGTTCGCCATCTTCACGAATCGCAAACTCGGGCAGCCCAAGCACAAAATGGCGGGAAAACCCCCTTTGGTGCGGGACATGGTAGAACACCAGCCCGACCTATTGGCGCTGCCACTCCTGGCCACGCATCTGTACGACATGTTGGCCGAACGCCCAACCCGGATGGGCACAACCCCATGGTACCCCAACCTCCATATGGTTCCAGCACTTACGGGTACCAGACTCCGAGCCACCGACCCCACCCCAACATGCCGCCACCTGGCGGCCAGGGACCTCCTCGTCCTCCGATGCATGTACAGCAAAATAACCCTGGTTCTGGTTGGGGGCAAGGAGGCTGGTAGTGTTCATTCAATTACTTTCTCTTGTCGTCTTGTAATTTGTTGCTCACCTGGCACGTCTATTTTTTCTAATTTCGTTTGTTGTTCTCTTGTGTGACGTTTTATCTATGTCAGTTTCGGCAATGGCACTGTGTACATTAGATTCTACATTTCTGAATGCGATAGTAGATTACGGTCATCCGACTAGGTAATAAAGTAGATGGGCTGAGAAGAATGGCTGGTATCAGAACAACTGTTTGATGTCATGGACGAAGACGGTTCTTGTCGAGTCGCCGTGCCATCCTCGATTGCTGCTCGCTGTTATCATAAACCTGGCTCCTGGGTCGACAACTGGAGAGCGACTGACAGTCCCAAGCGGAAGGGCATGAACGAAGAGACTAATATTCAAGCAGAAAAGTTGATGCTTCCAACGCTTGGGTTCCTCGTCGATTGGGCGCGAGTTCTGGTTTCTTGCTTCGACTTTTGTCGTGAATTACAGTAAGCACTGTAGTTAGGGATTAGTTGCGACCATTTCCTTTCCTTTTGGCACAAATACATGACTCGACATCCATTGCGATTCCTCTTGTAATACATAGAGACACAGTTACGTATGCAGCGATAGAATCTTCCTATGACGACGCAGGCGTGAACGAGGTCCTCCGTTTGCACCACGCGTACGCCTTTCAACGCTGGTCCACGATGTCTCTGAGTTTCCCCTCGTCGCAGTCGATACCGCCTCGAGCGCCTCTGTCGCCACGAGATCGTCAAGAACCGATGTTGTTGATTCGACCGCAATGGCCTCAGTCTCCGAGCTCTCCTCAAGTACTACTGGCCTCGAGGTTTCCGCCGTCGACACGATCTCGATCGACCTTGTCGTCACGACGTCGTAGTGAGCCATAGGAGATGTAGGACCTTGCCCCGTCATGATCACGGTCGATACAATTGTCTCTGCACGAGATCTTCTGTCGACGGAGTATTGCCCCCGGATTTCCTCCGGTGCGATCGTCGATGCAAGTTCAATTGCCTGCGTAGTCGCATCCGGGGTATCGCAGTTGCTGGGGTCATTCAAGGACCAGTCGAACGGCACGGTTTCGAGTGTTGGGAAAATTGGCGTAGGATTCTGTTGCTTTGAGTTGAACAAAAAGACAGCGCAACTGGCAAGAATGACGGCGGGAATTGTAATTGTGAGTGAAGAGACTACCCTTGAAGGTCTGCACCCTTTGAGTACTGAAGCACTGACGCATCAGACTTGGGGGGACATCGTCAGTCATCATTGCTCACGCACCCGATAACAAGGCCTCTTTTGCAATGTACCCCCTCGTTGGCTCTCCCTGCATGGTCGTTTCTGATGCGTCCGTGCTGTACCCGACTTCAACGTCCTGGTAGCTCAGCCAAGGGCACCAGCCCCAATCTTTCCATCCGAGTCCGCCATTCGATGAGCTTGGAACCGAGTATCCTAGTTCCGCGGCAAGGGGACTTCCACGCTCACTCTGCATTGGTTGTCGCTGAAATAGCCACTGTAGAAGCCTATCCTGATAAGCAATGTAAGCGACAGGCACCCAAAGCAGCAAAATAGTGACGAACCACTTGAGAACGTTCGTGCTCCAATTCAACTCTTCGATGTTCGGCCTGCTGTGATTGCTCGGTTAGCTCCAACACAAGCTGGCGTAATTCTGGGGGAGATGGTCAACACGTTCCCTGGAGAAACTAACGTCCCATACCTTCGAGTTGCTCTACGTGTATCTCGGCATTCTGAGAAATCTCGTTTTCGTGGCGCCCTAAGGTTTGCTTCATTGCATACGCATACTTCGCAACGCCCGTCAGTTTACGAAGGTGGTCATAAATCTGGGCATAAACAGGTTCAGTCAGAGAAGACTGATTCATTTGCACAAAACGTCACCTTTTCTAATCTCGATCTGAACGACATTTGCGACGCCTTGAGCTCTGGTAGCGATGAGCCCGGGTTGGTGAATAGACATCCCCAAGGTTTGAATGACGATCCTACCATCCTTGTGCTGGCTTAACTGTTTCTTGATTTCGGATACACAGCCCTGTAGATCTTCCTTGAAAAGGGTTTCAGGGTGTTCAAACCTCACGAGAAATAAACTTACCACATTGGACTCAAGATCTTTCGACAAGGCTTGCACTTTACTCTTCAGCTCTTTGACCTCTTTGTCTCGAGCTGACAATGTATATTGGTACCAGTGACATCGAGAGGAAGGGTGGAAACGACTTGCCTGCGACTGAATCGTTGAGTTCGCGACCAATCTTCGCTATTTCATCATGGCAGTCGACCTACAACTCATAAGTATGGATCATAAAAAGCTAAGGAACATTTGATATAACATACCACTGACTCTTTCAACTTGTCTAGCTGACGTCCATAGGCCGTTGAGGTAACCTTCAACGCATCGATTCCCTCCTGCTGATCGGATTGAGCTTGACGAATATCTTCGACGCGATTGTCAACAAGGTGATTGACTTCCTGCACAACTGCGCTCGGAAACGTAGTCGACGTTCCACTCATCTTCTGCTCGGGGCTCGTCGTGATCAAGAGTGAAACTTGGATTCAGTGGCATAGCGGCGTGAAGAGTTGCCAGAGGTGGTCCGACCACTCCAGGGTCCGAACGCGATTGACGACACAGGACTCACGAGGTTATTGGTTCCGGCTCCTGACAACTAGCCACAACCGCGGGTTGATGAAGGACCACCATTGTCGCGACGACACCCAGACGACACCGCCAAATCATGGCTAGAGAATGGCTCCGACTTATCTTTGTCTCGCCACAGTGGATCCTATATATGTGCGTGCTCCTTCTCCTGAAGTCTCACCTCAACTTCGAGGCTGTATCGCATTCTTTTGCCGATTCCTTCAGCATGGCACCCCCCAGAGCCAAGGCTCGCAAGTGGTACAACATACACGAAGAACCGCAGGCGGGCATCGGAATTTCGCTCACACCGTTCAGCCCCGACGACAGCATCCAAGTGGCACCGTGTCGCTACATTCGCAGCTCGAGCCAGCCTCTTGCTGTCGGTGCTTCGGCGGTAGGCTATCTTCCCGTCAGCTCATCGGTCATTGATTCACATGGTTGCCCCACAATAGCACGGCACGTCCTGGGTGAAAACAGGCTTCATTTGGCTCTTCACCATTTTCTTCACTGCTTTTCAAACTTGGTGCTGTACGTTTGCAGTTTCCACCGTGCTATACAAGTTTGGATGCACGCCTGAAGGTTCGACCACCGTATGCATCCCTCTTGAAATATTGCCGGGTTTCGGTCCCTTTTTCCGCCTCCAACATCGCCTTGCACAAATGTCGGGCAAGATCGACGATATGCAGTATAAGCTTTCCCGACTAGAGGATCAACTACCGCTGGACTTTCACAATCGTGATTTCGCACTTTGGGGGCTTGGAGCACAGGTTATTCCGGAACTAACATCAAGAGACGAGGGGGACGCAAATGCGGTTTTACCCTCAGCTGTCCTAGATGATCCTCCATTACTTGGAGAATGCTGGGAGTTTATGGGTCGACGCGGGCAGATTGGAATTCAACTTTCCGATGCTGCAAACATTACCGCGATGTCGGTAAGCTATATACGCCCAAGTCGACTGACGAAGCGCTTTCGATCGAAAATCCCAAGAACACTGGTCCTCTGGGGTTTAATTCCCGCGACAAGAACACTGGCCACACATGGGCCTGTCCGAAGAGTCGACGAATTCTTAACGGTGCCCCAGCTCAGCCAGCCCTTCGACGAATCTGTCCTTGTCCCACTTGTTCACGCCCATTACAACGCCACTTCTCCCCAATCCCGTCAGATCTTTGCAGTGACATCCCCAGTTGCGAAAGTAGTCCGTTTTGACATCGTTGTCGTCGAAGTCTTAGACAACTGGGGAGGCGAGTCTACCTGTTTGTACCACATTGGTGTTCATGGGCTTGAGGATTAGACCTGGTCATGCTTGCGTGTTTCTTCCTTAATCTTATCGTAGCTCAATATATCTCATGTATTCCAACCATCTAAGCGCACTGGTTTGAAATGTCTTCCCGAACATGGGAGTGTCGCGGTTGTTAAACAAACAGACATCGCGGCTCGAAATACTATCGGAATCGCATAATGACTCAGTTCGTACCTATAGTTTACCGCTTCCTCCTGTTGCATCGTGTTTGATTACCCTCGAATGTTGTTGAGTTTACACCTTATTCCCACTACGTTTGTTCACCCATCGGGAGCCTGAGTGAGTGAGCGCAGTGTTCGGCCTGAGGCCCCAATATGGCTCCATGAGCCATCCGGATACCAGCACAATCCAATGTACATGTACAACTACGCTCTTCGAGTCACCTGCACAGCAAGAGAGCCTGATACCGGCGCGCCTAGACCCAGATATAACGTAGAACGGGCTGCACAGTGTAAGTGTGAAGGAATAAATAATTTGGATTACGTCGCACTCTCTGAGGGACCAGTACACAACATGAAGTCAACTGTATGTGGATATTATGATTAAGCAGTCCCCCAATGGAAGCGCGAACCCGAGTCAGACACCATTCACAAAAAGGAAATCGAAAGCCCGCTGACCACAGTCCTCGGCAATGCGACTGTAGCCCAGGTCGTCAAGGTCCCGCCGGATGACTTGGTAGAGCTCGCTGAGAATTCCCCGAATGGTATAATTGGGAACGGGGACTGTCTTGACGGCGTGGCGGCAAATCCAGCAGCGATACGAGAACACCTCTTCAGGTCGGATGCCGTGGCGCTCAATTGCTGAAAGGGTTCGAGAAAATTGGATAGCGTTGGTTGGGGCACGGCTGCAATGGGTGATCGAATGTCCATAGTGATAGCCATATCTCAATGGCTCGAGATTGGATTGCAATTCCGCCTTGAAAGCCGTCGAGAGGCAGGTAGTACAGAATGAGTGACCGCATTGCAGGCTAGAAAGGTGGGTCAACTGGCGAGACACGACGAAATGCGCCAAAGTGTGCTTACCTGGACAAGTTCCAAGAAATACATTGGCACATCTGGCAGATACCATTGGCGATGAAAACTTGAATCAACTACAACAGCGGTCAGAATAGGGAAGGACAGGGTGCGCAAAAAGACTTACTTTATCGCGTACGTCCTTGTCGGATACTCTGGAGCCCAGTAGTGCCCCCAAGACGCTGGGTAGCGACGAATTGTCGGACAAAACGGAGGGAACACTACAGACACTGGTCTTCTCCCTACGAATGGTGCGGTTGTAGCGGTAGGTGCGAAGAATGACGGGAGTCCTTCGAGTCCCCTCGGGAGAATCAGCCTCTCCGGCAGCTAGAGCATTGGTAGAGGAAGGCGTGATCAGACCTCGAAGCGGGACGACATTCGGGTTGGTGGGCGTGGACGGACCGGCGGGGGTAGAGGGCTGTGCAGCACCGGATCCACGCGAAGGCTCGCCTAGCCGTTGAGTGGGAACGGGGGTGACGGGGGTTGGAGGTCGAGCGACGCAAGCTTGACGACGAGGAGTCGAAGGAGGGGGGGTGGGTCGCACTTGATGAGCTTGCAAAGCGCCAAACTTCTTAGAGCGGTTTGCGGAATTCTTGGCGGCGTCGCGTTTCGCGTCGTCGGAGGAACGAGGGCGGCGGCCAGGCTGCGTAGAACTGATGGAACTGACACTGTTGTGCTTTGAAGGCATGTCGGTGAACCGTGCGATTAGTACTTTTACCACACAAAGCATATATACATTCGCTTACCCTTTGTGAAATCCGTGCTGGACTGGAAGCACAGGCAGTTCTATGTCCTGGTGGCATCGCATGGCCGAAGTTGATGGTCCCATACAACTGTGGAATCGGCTGCTCCACCGTCATCGACGCCCCTTTGGCATGGTTCAGGTGCAACTGTGGCATTGTCGTCCAATAGTGGTGTTGACCACATCCTTTGTCGTGCACAAAGGGATTCGCCCACGAGGACTGGAATCGGTATGTTGATGGAAACAGACTGAGGCAGCTTTGTCCGACTCGACATTTCCTGAGAACGGTATATTGGATTGTCTGGACAGAGTCGAATGGTCTTTTGTTCGCGGTTGGCGGTGGAAGGTAGGGGCAAGGGTCGGTCTCGATGAGATGGGTGGATCGCGGATAGACGAACCTCGTGAGACGGCCAAAACCCATCCGTTTTCGTCGACAAACCCAAATTCGGTGTAATATGCCGAGACTAGGGTTAGGTGTCCGATCCATCGCGGATTTTTGGACCGCAGAAGATAAGTTTATCGAAGATTGATTGTCTTCCTTTTGTCCCCAAATTCGTCGTGACAACAACAGACGGTGGCGTCAATGTCCAATCGAAGAATCCACCGACAAGTGGCCGGCGCCTGGAAGCGACAATAAGAGTATGCTATCATCACGCTTCAGGTACCTGACACACTCCTCAAACCACCCGACTCACCAACCCCAGCGCATGTTGAGGGTGCTATTTCGACATTTCATAGATAGATGACACGAACTCTACAACGGCTACATCCATTAACGAAAGACAGCTAGAAAGGGGCGAAAAAGATAGTATCGGGAGTGCAATGACTAGGTCCATTAGTATGGTCGCTGAGTGTTCTTATACCGTCGTTGGTAGGTATTCAATGCAAGCCAGCAACCCTCGTGCTTGCTATTGATCGTGAAGACGTACGTTCCTTCTTCATTGAACTGGTGCGTGTCACCTGGCGAGATGGAAATCCAGTCCTCACCATCCCAATACCAAGAGACTGTCGTTTGGTCTTCAATGTCTTCGGAGACCACGAAGTGCACGTACAGCGAGTTCTCGTCAAGTTGAAAGTCGGAGGGGATTGGCGGAGGGTAGTCTAGAAGGACGCTGCTTCGGGATTCGAAGTAAAGATAAGACGCATTTGGACCTTTGCCGTACAGTTGCTTTCGCCTCCCCTGTGAATATGGGCTGCGAGATGGTGGACGCACCTGAAATGTAGAGTCAGTTAGTAGTCGGCGTACAGTAGCGGAAATGACATACTTGCTCAATTGAATAGGGCTTCTTCCTGCCCCTCTCTCTGGACTCCATATCCCCACTTTTCCTCTGAAACGCCGTCTTGCCTTTGGTAGCCGCTCGTGGTTCTTGACTAACTTCACTTTGGCCGGGTGGATTGTCGACACTCTCCGCGTTTGTCATGATCAGGTCCTGGATGATGACCTTCTTGTTGGAAGCAGGGCTCTGATATCTCTCCTTGCCCTGCTTCATGATCGAGACGGGCGTCTTCCCCCTGGTGTTGGAAGCTTGCGCGGCATGAACAGGAACTGGGGATTCTTTCGCGCAATGAGGATAGAGCTGCTTCAAGTAAAGAAAACACTCACCAAATCGAGGCGTGTGTTGACGGCCCACGAATGCGTTCTTCTCGTGATCTCCCCCTCGCCTTGGAGGCACAGAGATAGAATGGCTGCTCTGGATCGAGGAAAGGCTTTGGGACTCTCTGAGAGTTGGAGGTAATGACGAGGGAAGAGACACCGCATGCGGACGTCCCCCCTCAAATGCGATCTCCAAGCGTACTTGCCAGTAGCGAGGGAAGTCGGTGATCCTAGGAAGCGAGTCTTCTGGAGGCGCGGCGACGGTCAGTTGAAGAACGAAAGTGACAAAAAAGGAAGAACTGACTAAAGGTCGACATCGTGACGAGGTGGAAGCTAAGTCGACACTGGCATTGTTATAGGCAGTTAGCTGTCTGTTGCGGACAAAGGATTAAAAGGGGTCACCGGCACACCGGTCACCTGTCGCCACCACAAACATCGTGCATTTGTCATCGAGGAGCCAGGACACACTTGCTGGACAAAGGTTACGAAGGTCTTTTCAGCCAAGAGATCGACTTCTCATCTCTGGCGATTAGGTCAGCAACGGAGACTAGATCATGAATGTCCTTGCAAGACTGCGATGCGCGTGGGGAAAGCTCTTGCTGGAATGTGACGGTAAGTGAATTATCGATTAATACATAAATTGTTAATAATATATTTAATAAATGTGGTCCTCCCGTTCCTTTGTTTCGTTACAAGTTGTGTTGCACCGGTTGTACTTATATTGAGTCATGATAATCTGGTGCGTTCTCTTTCTCCTTCAACCTCTATTCACTGCCAGTCGAAGACTACTCGCGAACGATGTCACACCGCGCCTGTTGGTAAGCCCACGGAGTTGCTGTCACTGGTACATACCGTTGACCACCGATATCGCTCATTCATCCTTTCACTTGACCAGGACCAAGCGACTTGCTCCTAACCAATTAACCACTGTGATCGCCACCCACCGTATCCAGATTCAAAGTGTATCCTTGACCCGCGAAGCCGACTCGACTCGAACCTCCCTGATCTTTAGGTTCCCCATGCCCAGTGGCGAAGTCGGGGAGGCGGTTGTTGCCAATGTGGTACGGTATTTGGTGCGTGCCCAGTTTTTGGAGCGATGTCAGACGACTGAGGTGATGTCTAGGAGGATCAGTTCCCACTGAACATCGACTTAGAGCCGCCCAATACCTACAGCTTCCTCGTAGATGGGCCTAAGTACGTGTTTCCTTTGTCCTTCTCGGGCGAATCGCAAGCTCACTGATTTGTTTCAAAAGTACTCTCGATCTATTTGGGTCCTACGATACATCGATGAAGGCTACGGTCCCCGAGCCCCCTCAGAAAGCTAAGGGGAAGGGGAAAGGAAAGGCGAAGGTACAGTCAACTGAGGTGGCTGAGAGTGACACAGTCCCTCCGTCAACGAAGGGGAAGGGAAAGGCACAGGCTCCAACGCCTGCAGCATCAGCAGCGGCCAAGCTCGAGGCGACGGATAGCGTCGCCTCTGTCAAATCATCGGAGACCGCTACAGGCACCAAAAAGCGCACCAGAGCGACTTTGAAGAAGTAGAGCGATAGTCTGTTACATGTGGTACATATTATAATTCAATGTTTACAAGTTCTTTCCTATCTCGATGCGTACTTGATCGTCGATGATGCGCATTCATTAATATTCATTGGATGATGGCTGTTGCCGCGTCGACGTCGGCCGAGGTATTACCACGACTACCACGTTCATATCTCACGACCACCTACACACGTCCATATCTCAATCCTTTACAGTGCTATCACTTGCACCCATCTATCGATGGATTCAGAAGCCACGGAGAGCAGCAGAGGTCTCCACAGGGGTTTTGTCGGCGGACCATGCGGAAATGGTAAGAGGAGCTTCCTTTGTTCAGCAAATGGCATATTTGAACTGGCTGGACTCCGTATGTCCTTTCATCTATCTTTCCCTAGATCTCGTGGATGTGCATTTAACGCCATGGACGTCAAGTTCAAGGTATGTTGGTCGCATTTCAATCTGCAAGTAACGCTGATCGGTTTCCCAGCTTCTTGCAGAGGTGGCCAAAGGCTCTCCCCGACACATTCGACGCCTTTCCGAATACTCCACAACCTTTGAAGATGCCGACGTGGGACTGGTTGAAGCAGTGCTTCCCTTCGTCGCAGGAGGACCCTCAAAACCTCTTGGGCACTACCGCGAAGTCTTTTCTACCCCCGTCATTACCGACCCTCAAGCTCTTGCCGCCATCAACAGTCTTAAATTCCTATCATCCTTTTGCCTCCTCGCTGATCGCCCCGGAGTTCCCTTTGACATGGACCGCACGTCCGCTCTGCTGGCCAGCCATTGGAGCTCCATTCAGCGTTGGGTGGAGCTCTTTGTGGTGCTGGACTACAACCTCACCACCTGGTCGGATTTCATTGTCCGCGTATCGTTGGCCGGCTCGCCTCTTCAAGAGAGACTCATGAAAGATCCCCCGACCGTCTCGTTGGCCATCAAAATATTCGTCGCATGTCCTCCCAGATCGATGTCGAAAGCTCGAGCGTTGGAACACCATTGGACCGTCAATTTCATGATGTACTCCTTCTTCGTCCAAGAAGACGGCGCTCAAACAGCTTGCGAGATCATGACATCCAACATCAACCGATCCGAAGATGTGATCCTCAGCGTCTTCCGCCGACTCAAGTACATAAAAACCACATATCCCAACGACGACGAGTGCTCCGGCAACGCAGTTCACCAGATCCGATATCTCTACACCGTCATCAACAACGCCTTTCTCAACACCCGGCTCCTCTCCAGCGTACATGATAGTCGCATCGCGAGCTGCTTCCGCCTTGGCGCAGTCGCATTGTGGTCCATACTCGCCTCAGAACCTCCACTTCCCACCGAGACTACGATTTGGCTCGATCTAATGCAGGTACTGAACATAACCATTGCCTGGACCTTTCACGGAGAGCACTGTCCTATTAAATCGCTTACCACCCTCCTTGGCTGCAAGCTTCTCGACCTTCTTCTCCTTGCACTGGCGCACACGCCGGTGAATTCCCTGGCACATCGCGAAGGGTTGGCGGGCCTCGAGTTGCTGGCGACATGTGTCGTCTACCGCCCCATTTGGTCCCGAATTAACCTTCCTCCGCTCAATCCTCCCCTCTTCCAGAAGCTCCCGCTTGAAGCCATGCTCATACTCCAAGGGCTCCGTCTTAACCTATCTAACGCACGTTCATTGTGGCCTTCGGCGGTGCCTATGAACTATTACTGCGATTTCATTGAGGTAAGTGTTCGATTAGTCCGAATTCCACTGCCTTACATATACATTCCGTTCAGCATCATTCCGGCTCGTGCACTACGATTTCGTCCAAATTGAGGCAGTGCTCAGGTTGTCGTCGCGTTCGGTATTGCTCCACGGTATGCCAAAAAGGAGATTGGATCGCTCGTCACAAGCTTGAATGCAAGGTTTTCCAATGTAAGTCAGATGTCGCGCTCTGAACACCACCAGGTATTGACTCGTGTGCCAAAGATCAGGATAAGCGCTCCTACATGCCCATGTCAATCAAGTTCGACTTGTTAGCATACCTGCTGCAATATGCGGTATCTTCGAATGCGCAACCCACCACCGTTACTCACCTGGCCAAGCTTGCCTCTCCTGAGCATAGGGTCATCATCATCGACCATCGCTCCAGTCGATCCGACGTTACGTTGGCATGTTTGCAGGATTACGTGGAACACATGTCCGAGTATCCGTCCCATATTGTCCCACGTCTGGAAAGTCTCCTCCACGCGCGATTTTCACTCAGAGAGGTTCGGCTGATACACGGTATCTTCAATTACGGCTCCCGGAATGCCCACGTGTTTCTTCGTACCAGTTGGAGGACTGCAGACAGACGACAGCCTTTGATACTCCTCGGCGTGTGCTTCATTCAGTACGTCCACCTACACCTGTCATGAACGTCCATTTGCTCATTGCTACCTTTCATAGCGACGTTATTGACCTGGGAATTGCCCCACCCTGTACCTGCGCCTAATGATTTCTGTACATGTGAGATATACCTGGAGTGATCGTGAATGCTTCGAGCCCTAGTCTCCCGTAGTCAATTTAAACGATACTTACGCGGTCTTTGTAAATTTGAGAGCGGTTCTGCTTTTAATAGTAATACGGCATGTTGGCGCGACGTGATATATAATTGCCACGTGTTGGCAGTGATTTCTAAGGCTACGAACCCCCTCGAACTAGCACTCCTTCCTAACCAGATTGTGTCAATTCGAGTCTGATCGTTGACGTTGACGCCAATACACCAAGATGGGGCAAGGAACTTCGAACACCAATTGTGAGTTTCTCAACCCCTGCGATGTTTGACCGTCGATTAATTCGTCTTCTCGCAGCAAAAAATAATGGAGGGGTGGACCACTCTCTTGAAGGATCGGTACATGATCATCCTCCCAAACCCAGGAGGATAGTACTCCCTCGTCCCACCAGGATGGCCAAAGGAGTGTCGTCTCATAGACTATCGGAAGGTTGGTTTGCAGATCCGGATAGACGATACTGTTGTGTTGACTGCTTCATGCAAGATCCCACAGGGCCAGAGGATGTGGACAAGGCATGGCCAAAGGATGGCGTTCAAGTGTCGCGCGATCTGAACCCAAGGCCCGGGATTCTTGAGACTTTGCCAGACGATCTCATCATCCACATCTTCACTTTCTCCGTTGGCTTCCTCCATCGACGCAAATACTACTCCTGTGCTCCGGAAGCTGCCACTCTCATCAACATCACCCACACAAATCGACGATTCAGGTCCATCGCCATTGGACATGCGCCGTTTTGGGCGGAGAATATTCAGCCAGACACCGACTGCTACGACAAGGTTCTCACCTTCCTGCATAGATCTTTGCAGGAACCAATTCACATCATCAGCTGCGCACGCCGTCCGGTTTGGGGACCGTTGAGGGAGCAACGAATGGCCATTTGGCATGCTCTTATTGACCAATTCTATCGCTGCGCCACGCTTGTCGTCACGCTCGCGCCCTTTGGAGAGGTAAGGCCAATTAGCGAGCTCCTTGGCGCTGCCCACAATCTAGAAACCCTTGTAATCGACATTGAAGCCCACGACGCCGAGATCGACCCGCTCATGCAAGTACCTTTTATTACTTGGGCGGCGGCAAACACCGAGTTCCCTGTTCCCCCATCCGTCCCCAACCCCTTCGCAACTTTACGACAATTGTCCGTCCTCCAGTCTAATCGGGGACCTTCCGAGCCAAAACCATCGGCGATGGAGTGGCTTGTCGCTTTATACCACCTTCCCCAACTCGAAATCCTCGAACTCTGTGACGCCATTCAAGTCCCAGCCTACCACTGTCTAAGCTACGCCGATCCTTCTACTGTCGTGTCCGAGGGCCGCTTCCACCACATCAAGGACATTCGCGTCAACGGCAACGCGTATGCCTGCGGACTGCTCATCAGATACCTTCGACCGCGTCCGCAGGTAGCTGTATTTCGTCTGGCTTGGCAGAAGTTCCCGAAGTGGCCCCAGCCACGCAACGAAAAGGAGATGGAGATGGCGTTAGTGACGAGCAGTGTCGAGGCCCTCCTTCACCTCCTTATTCCCTCGGATTGGGACACCTGGCGCATATCCTTCGACAAGGCTACGTTCGGGGTCAGAGCTACGAGTAGAGGGCCCTCCAATTACTTTTTCGATATGGCGATTTCTGCGACCCACCCAGCACACCGCACCCCAATGGACCATGGAATCTATCATGCACTCCACTCCTTCCAATCCAACCTACTTTGTCGAGATGGCGCCCTATCAGGTGTCGACACCCTGTCCTTAGCTAGCGACAGTGTAGACGTCGGGCGATTTCCCGAAACTTTGAAGGCTTTATCACGACTACATCAGCAAATGGGGTCGGTCGCCAACATTTACGTCGATTTTAACGGTACCGAGCATCTCATAGGACCACTGCTTTGTTCCACACCTGAATTCTTGGATATCACGCCCAACAACCCCACTTCTGACGCTCCTGCAACCATCGCTCGATTTGCCGCGCCCAACGCTTCCCTCTTCGGTGTTCTCGCAAGTGCAGTTTTATCCCCGGTGAAGTGGGCTGACATACATGGATTTCTTGTTTCTCGCCTGAAGAGCCCCGTAGAAGTTACAAGAATTTCTATTCTCGCAGTCCGGCTGGACATCGAGCCAGAACAGGAGACGCTCGAAGAGCTTGCTCGCATACTCACTGCCCTTTGTCTCTGTCCCGCAGGTAGAGACTTGTGTGTAAAGGTCCATGGGAATCCAAGATCGCGGGTGTGGTTCAAATTCCAAACCGACGGAGATGGGGAATTTATCCAAGGGCCGGTTTATGGCTGGTGATATCGATCATTTCTTTAAATTTTGTTATTAAGGGGGACGATGAACGCGGGGAAAATAAATACATTGTTGGGTGCCTATGGAATAGTCTTCAAAACACAAACGCATGTCCTGCGTACGACATGCTCTCCCTCTAAACGCCACATAACATCAGTCGTGACACTGTACCAGAAACCGCTTGAGCGACAAGCATCGCAATTGGGTTGAACACCGGGGTCGCTCCGATGGTAACCTGCTGCATCAGTCCAAGCGAATGTTATGCAATCGAATGGTGAGAAGTGCGGAACAACACTTCTAGTAAGAATGTTGTATCCATCTTCTCCGGTTAGATTATCTACCAGTATGAAGGTCTTGATTTGAGGTACACCCCGCTTCTCGGCTCTGGCAGCGAGAATATTGGCGAGGTATCGGTAATCGGATGAATGGATGGAGTCGGGGCCGTCGTGAAATGATGAGGCGATGACGACGAGGTGCGCTAGGTTTGGAAGGGTGTGATGAAGGGTCAAGGGCGGGAGCAAATACGAGTCGCTGATGGCACTATAGGCCGCTAGAGAGATGCCGTGGAGATGGAGCTTGGTAACTGACGTACAGCGACGGAACAACCCTCTCGCGAAATCCCACCGGTGTCCAGACCAACCCATATTGCCCATGGACGAATCAGGCTCCAGGCGCAACCGTAAAGTGGTGGCCGATTCTAGATCCCATTTTGCTAGGAACGAGGGGAGAGTGGCTTCGAACGCGTCGTACATCACCCCCAGTGACGTCGCGCCCATGAGAAAATCGACCAAATCGACGCGTATGTCGCAGAGAACACGTCCCTGTTTCTCTGCGCGAATGAGGAACATAGATCCAAACGCGAAGCTCCAGGTATCGACGCCCCGCTCCTTGGTGACCAGACGAAGAAAAGATAGCAGCGCATTTTTGAAGCGAGCAAGATCCCAAGTAGTCGGAGCGTTGGAGAAAACACGTAGTATTGTGCGACAGGAACTTCGGAGCTCTTTGAATCCCGCCAAAAGGCGCATCGCTGTGAATACCTCGGTGGTGACCTCGAAGTTGGTAAGGTGGGGTAGGTCGACAGTGTTGGGAAGATCGGCTGCCGCTTCGGTGTATAGAGCCTTTCTGAAGGATACATCTTCGATCGCATCGATGTTGTACATTGTCGGTTCGCTCCATTGGATAACGTTGTCCAAAACAAGGACCCTCAGGTCCTTCATCATGGAAATGAAGGTGATGAACGAATGTGGGGTGAAGAGATGAGAAGGACCATGTGGGTTCTGCCCGGCAGTTATTCGAGGGCTGCCCTGAAGAACCAATGATGTCAGGTTGGGGAGCCGATTGGCGAGAGACAAAGACGCGGTGTGGGCAGGCGGGCCCCGTACGTGGAGGACTTTCAACATATGAGTAACGTTAGGTCCGTCTTGCTCGATTGCCGGACAGGTGCCAGGCGGATCCCCGAATAGATTGAACGACTCCAGTGGAAGCAGTGTTTGGGAAGAGTAACTTCGCAGATCGAGTGTAAAGGAGTGAATGGTGGGTGCTCTCGCCCTTACAGCATCGATGAAGGCCTGCCGTGAAAGGATATCCTCAGCCCGCGTAAGTAGGATGTGAATCGCCTTGCATTTTGGAATGTGTTCGAACACCTTGGCATAGCTGGAGATGCGCATGTCGACGGAAACCTCGGGCCCGTGCTCTAGGGGTCCGACCCACAGTGTCAACGGGCAGGCGCCGGCCCTTGAGATGATGGTGTTAATGGTTTCGGGCAGAAGATCGGTGGCGACTAGAGAGGCCCAAATCTTTGGATTTAGCAAGAGGAGTTGGCGCCAGCGACGTGATACAGCAGCGAGGGTGAATGCCGACTTGACTTCATAGATGACGGACGATTCTGGATAAGAGGGAATTGTAATGATCTCAAAGATCGTATTGAGGACATCGTCAGGCACTTCAGAGACGAAAGAAATTGACACGTTTGTCGCGTCGGTGGTGCGATCTGAATACCGGCTTATAATTAGCTCCTGACCCACGTGTCATAGGGTGCTAGGTTGGTGGACTTTACCTGTCATTTCAAGTCAAGTACTGATATGTTGTGAGGTCGCGAGCAGTGTCGGTGGCAGGCTTGGGTGACGTGCTTAGGGATGTCCAATCTCTACACGAAGCTCCTTAAATTGCGCTGGGGAGATTGACAAGGCATTACATACAAAGGGTGGCAGCTTTGTCACGGTTAGACCATGCCACCATAGTTGTCGGTGGAGTCGTCGTTTGGACATTGAGGCCACTGCCAAATCTTGTCGCGACAAATCTGTGGACACGATTTGAGGAAGACAAAAGGAGCCAAGCATCGCGTCCAGTGGCACGATTTTATCTTCTGCCAAAACAGATACGGGAAGTTAACACCTAACCCCGGCGACAAGCGGTTTGGATGAGAGGTCCGTTTTAACGCTCGCTATCTATCCAGTTGTTTATCCAGATACCAACCACCTGGGGATTGACCATAAGGCTGGAATATTCCATGGGCTCTGCATGTACACTGTGTTCAACTTCTCAGACAAACCAGCATTGAAGCGAGAGATGGTTCAAATATCACAATGCACTTATTGTCCACACGAATCGTTGACGATAAGGAAACGTTAATATTACTCTGTAAGAACGACATCTAGTGCTCCCGCCTGAAACGTTTCATAGACGACTCTGCCGCCTCCCTTTCGACGTATTCTCGTTCGTCGGCCCATCTATCTCCCTCCTCGTACCTCTTATGCCTCTCCCTTAGTTCAAAGCGCCTCTCCTCATCCCGCCTGTCATCGTACCTGTCATCGTACCTTCTGTCGCGCGGGATGCGGTCCTCATACCTCCTGAAACCCCTTTCACTGTTAGCCTGCTCCTTGTGATCGCGGCCGTCGTAATATAACCAGCTGCCCTCGTCGCGGAGTCTCCTATCGTCACGACCTCGTCCAAAGTAATCGTGCTCGTTGTAGCCCCTCTCGTTTCGGCCCCTGACGCTCTCTCGGTCATCACGACTTCCGTCAGCGCTGCCGTCTCCCCTTTCGAAAAGATTGTCCCCCTCGTGACGACCGCCTTCGCGTAAAAATTGACTCGACAGGAGAATCGAGTCCAAGGGTTCTTCCTTCACTTCGATGGGTACCTGCCCGTTGGCTTGGGAAGCGCCCATGTGCTTACCCTGGGAAGGGCGCGGGGGACAGGTTGCTGCAGCCTTGACTTGACAGGCAGCTTCCGGGGTGGGCAGTCCCGGCCCATGCTGTGGTTTGAGGTGACGCCTGGAACAGTGATCAATATCCATAATCATTGAATTCAGAAAGGGATGTCGCGTACGTTGGCAGGCGCCGAAAGACTCGGACGATTGTTTTCGCAACGTTGACTTCCTTGGGTACTGAGATACGATGTCGTTGTCAAAAAGGATGACAATGTCTGCAGAGAAACTTCACTCACCGATGAACTTCCCGAATACATGAATGTGACTGGTCAATGTGACTGGTCAATATGAGTCAAGAAGGGGCAACTGGCGAGAGCTTACGCTTTTCCAAAGGCTTCCAATATATAGTCCTTTCCAGGATAGAGGATGTGATTGAGGGCAATGGAATCGCGCTATGCACTCATTAGTCAGTTGATGTACCTCCCAAGCGCGCTCTGGAACTTACGAGTCCGGGGGTGAGTGCACCAATATATGCCTCGCCAATGCCTTCATTGAGTTCGTAGTCGCCAAAGGAGACACGAATCAGGGTGCGAAAGGTTTTGTCCACATCCAAATTCTTTCCCATCTCGTCCCCTGGATACTCGGGGACGATACGAGGAAGTGAAGCCGATGTGAGGATAAGCGGCGCGGCGGGGCGTATCATATATTTATACGCGTACTGGAGAACCGTCGACCTGAAAGGCAACGCCGTTGTAGCTGAAGCAAAGCATTCAGATAAAAAGGAAGACCCTTACCAGTATCCCTCAGTATCGAGCAGCGTTGGTGGTAGTTGACGAGGATTAGCCATTGCGAATTTGCGATACTCCGTTGGATGGGTGTGGTATGTCGAGGAAAGGATAACCTCGGTCCTTCAAAAGTAGGGTAATCTTTAGTGAGAAAAGGATTAAGCACGTGTTGTAGCTGGACATGACGATGGACAAAGATGGCACAAAAGAGCGTGGACAAGAGGCTTGAAAGGGAGACGACACCCTTTGAGCGGGGTTTGAAAAAGCATGTTATCGGCAAGTTATCGGCGGCCGGTCCAAGCCAACCGTCATGCGGCATGCCGTGCTCTTTCTTTCACCTTCCTTTGTCACGTCACTGCCAGATGTCGAACTGGATAACTCGAGGTGGGTTTTGTGTTTAACACTCGATTCGCCTTGATCACCTCTTGAAATGCCCTCCATGCCACGGCAGACCATATTCTTGACCCCCTCCAACTACAAGAAAACTTCAATCATTCCAATTGGGACCGCTCGTTCTGGTCTCTGTAGCATCTACTTCTCACCCGACGGACACTACCTAGCTGGTGCTACAGGCCGCAAGATCATCGTCTGGCAATTACAATCCGACAGAGGCGTCAATGACAATTGCAAAGAAAGATGGACTCGTCACGTCGTTTATTCCCTCGAACCTCATGATACCTCCATCATCACTTGTATGGTGTGGGCATTGGATCATAGCATTGTTATCGGCACGAGCACAGGCAACCTATATTTTATTCAGCTGAGCTCATCCGTAAGTAATTCTCTCGTTGTCTTGTTCTGAAGGTTCAAACACTACATAGGGGACGACGTTGGAGGGGTTTCAAGTCTCGAATCACCCCATTAAGTTCATCGCTCTCAACAGCAACTCACAGCTCATGGCAGTTGTCGCCGGCAAGCGCGAGGTCGGCATTTGGGAATTCTCGGCGACCAAAGGTATTTTCGCCTGCTTTGTTTCGACTGAAAGACCGCTGACCTTGGACGGTGCCAGATTCTTGGCAAGGGTGCATCTATCTCCGCTCTCCTGAAGACTCTGTTGGCGCAAGCCGAGAGGTACTCGTCACTTCTGTGTCCTGGTGCAACTCGGAAGTTCCACTTCTCGTCGTTTCCTATTTCCACCACGGCGTCTTGTGAGTACCGCATTTTTCGTGCTATTGAATCGGAAACCAACCCCTGAATTGAAAGGACGTGGAACCTCGCAGATCTAGGCGTCGTTTCAATTGTCAAGACCGATGTCATGTACGTTTCATGTTATCTTCCTTGGACAGTCCCGTGGATGACGATAAACCCAGTCCTAGTGCCACTCTCTCCCCGGATGGGCAAATGATGTCGATCCCGAACGCAAAAGGGACTTTCGACTTGTACGATCTGGAGCTGAAGGAGAAAGTGGCGACATTGTATGATCCCGATGAACCTGTGTCCCGTAACAGCAAGCCAGAGGCTCGCCCTGGAAGGTTCATGTACGGCGGGTCCTGGTTCATTGGCGGCAATGGCACGAGCCTCAGATTATGGGATGTATCGAGCCATCTCCCTGCTCAGCGACTTTGCTTAGGTATGTTGTATCGGTTTACCCATGGCATACGGGTAGTCTTACAGTTGAATCCAGGTGAAGCCCCGGTCAGCCTTCGGTTGCTCGCTGTCAGCGGTACTGTTTCGGGAGACGCCTTCAATAATGTCAGGGTCGCTGCCCTTGGAGAAGGCGAAGAAACTGGCATACACATTTGGACAGCGTCCTTTGAACGTGAGCTTTCTCTTACTTTATGGCCCTACATATCGTGTATACTTATCTTCAGCCGTGACTCCAGATAAACCCGCCGGACACTCGATCAGGCCGTCGTCTTCGCGGATTCATCACCAGCAACAATCACAACAAATCTACAAGGCCTGGACTCCTTGGGCAGTCATTGGCTCCTTTCTCTTTCTTTCTGTGTTGTTTTCGCTCTATCCTTAGTACCAGATCAATATACGCGTAGAGCCGCGTAGATGTATTGTGTATTTACGAGTCTATTTCTTCTGATTAATGAATTGGTTCTCTTGTGTGGAACGTTCACCTCTCAATGCTTGAATCAATGTCCAAGGCGTCTTTTGGAAGGGGGTTTCTGTTTGGGTATTGACAAGAGACCGACAGTGAAGTACCTGTGAACTACAGACAAAGCCTAGCGACTAGCATATGATACATTTATTTTTCTTCGTGCGGCTTTCTTCGTACGCGGCTTTCGGTTGGGTGCTCCGACATACGCGGATGACATGAGCAAATGCCCGCTCGACGTTTTCTCCAGCTTGGCCGATGTCTCCAGAAAGTCGCACGAAAAGGATCGCGCCATGGCCCTCCCCTCCTCCCTCGACACTTCTCGATCATGCTTTCTGTCAGCTTTATTCCCAATCAGAAGAAACACAGGCTTTTGGCCCTTGACTCTAGTCATTGCCTATTGAAAAATATGAAGACGTTCAAGCGAAACTCGCGAGTCGATGGAGTAAACGAGAACGAATGCGTCTGCCTCTCTGGCGAAGGGATACGTTAGACAGCTGCACCGTAAAGACGTTGAAGACATGTCCTACCGAATCCACTGATCACGCAAACTGGCATACTCCTCTAACTCAAGGGTGAACATTAATTCAGTGTGCTAGATTAACCCTTACCCTGTCCGGCAGTGTCAATGACTTCCACGAAGCACATCTGCCCGTCCAACACCATTTGTCTTTGGTATGCGTCTTCGATTGTAGGGTCATATATCTATGACCCGCGTGACAGGGCATGTCTGGTAAATAACCAATAGACTGGTGGTTTGGCAGACTCGTCTCACCTCTACGAACATGCCCATGACAAACTGCGCAAATGAATTAGTTTATGGCGGAGCGACTTGGGCGACATGTGCACCTGGACTTCGTGACAAGGGATTCTGTTATGATCACGGGTTGTGGCATCTCATCGCATTTGCCGAATATCGCGATCGTCTATAATAATATAGGTGTACAATAAGACGCAACCTCAACACAGTCGTCAAAGGTCCACCCACAAGACCATGGGTAGTCGACGATGTTGACAAAGGTTTCCTCGTGACAATGGCTGACCTCGGTCAATTCTCCAAACCCCCCTAGTTACAATGCCACTAGCCACTCAGCCGATGGTTGTTTAAATCCTGCGCCCCGGATCTGTCATGCAAAACTCTTTTCAGCGCCCTTCATGGATTCCTCCGGATCCCATCATACTCGCTCGCGGCCTGGTGCACCTCAGCGCAATCTCGCCTTCATCCTCGGTCTATTTCGTGATTTCCCCTCCTCTTCTCGGGTATCACAGCTGATCCAGTAGGTCCCCTCCGAGTTCTGCAACCTTATATAACATGCCCATGGTATCCTCAGGCTCAGTATCAGCTTGTTCCATCTTCTCGTCGTCGTATCTGCGGCGTATACGACATCCAAGACGATCCAGATGCTGACGGAGGACCTGTCCTTTCGGTTCGAAGAGGAGCGACAAGGTTATAACATACAAATACCGCTCGGCAATGTCATTGACGCGAAACCACAGCTTCTCTTTTCCAAATCGAGGGATGCCGCAGGAATTACGAGGATAATCTTTGCACCAAACGACCTCCATTTATGGCCGAGCAGTGCAACTCATGGAAACTTTGCATGCTTAGGAACCCAGCGGCCCTCAATCGCGTCTCACTTTTGAGTGAATATCTTGGAGAGGCGATCGACAACTTCGTCACCAACGTCTCCTGGACTTCCTTGGTAAGTATTTGACAGTCACCAATATCCTGTCCACCAATCGCTATTCTAGGTCTTCCTTGCGGCGTCTTTCTCGTGCTGGATTCCCATTTGTCATAATTGGGTTAAATCCTTTTTCGCTCATCTCTTTGGGTCTGACTGAGTCATCGTTCAACGCAACGTTATCTCTTCCGTCCCTCCTTAAAGCATTGGTTATTATTCTGTTCCATATCCATCCATCGCTATGCATAGGCTACTCGGTATATTTGCAATTTCGATTACATCACTAACTCGACACCCCTAAACCTACATAGTGGTTCACATCTGAAACAAGCGCATCGAGAATGTCAACCTTGACAGGGGACTTAGAGATACGGAGCAGTATGCACCTTGTCTAGCGGGAGAACCGTAGTGCATTGAATTGTCACCAACGGTCCCGCTACGATTTCCTGAGGACAAGCCGCGAAGTGGCACTGTACTTGAGAAATGTCGACGACTGTGAGTTCGCCCCTGAGTGTTCGCTTGAGCAGACGGCCCCCAGCAACCTGAAACTCGCGGTAGTGGTCCAGGTGGCGTAAATCGTCCTCCAACTCTTCAAGTTCTTCGATGGCTGCAAAGGTCTGGCTGACCCTAGTACCCATGAAGTCTCTTGAATGGGAAAATATCGAATGTATTCGGCCTGCTCTCCACTCCCCGGAGTGTCCAACTGAAAAGATCACCCTAGAATCGGTTTTCGATGAGGTAGATGGGGTGAATCGTTGGCCGAGGCGCGTGATGCTCGTGTGATAGGTAGCTTTCTTGGGGATGACGGAGACGTACGGCTGATGTGCTGAAATCCATCGGGTCAAGGCTTCATGCTCCGACTTTCTCAAGAACGCTGACTTTTGCCCCTCGCTTTCTACCGCAGATTTGAGTACTTCGTACCGGCTGTTGTGAATGAGAACATCGTTGATGCGAGTGCCGCGGTAGTCCTTGCTATAGCGATCGTGGAAAATCCGAACCAATTTGTGGAGGGCAGCAGGTAGAGCGAAGCATTTGTAGATTGCCCTTAAACACTGGGCGGCGCAAAACCTAACGAACATAGTCTTTTCCATTTCGCCTACAAGACCGGATATAAGGTGTTTAGTATCGGGCAATGGGAAACAAAAGAACACCCACCGAATTTCATATTCTTAGGAATACTCTGCATAATGTAGTTGTAGCGTTCGAACGGGAAACAACGCCACGCATGTACTGGGCCGAAAGAGCGCAGTTGCCGTCCAAAGTGGAGAGCGAGGTGTTGATAAGGGGTGATGGTAGTACCGGGATACAGCTCAAGCAGCGTCGTGAGGTACTGGCGGATGTGAAATTCATATTGGCGAATACGTTCTTCGTTTAATCGGTGCATGGTGGCTAACTTGACAGCGCTGACAAGGTGCATGAAGTTCTCGAGGCGGCGGCGTTCGATAGAGCCAGAAGGCTTGCTTCCCCACAGGCGGATGAGGGTGATTGGAAGGTTAATCATACAGAAGGTCCTCCATTGATCTGCGGTGAACTTGCCCCATTTCTTTTCTCCCGGTCGCTTTGGAGCAAGCGCTTGCCAAGTGGGGACCCGCAGTTGCACCATATCGCGTCGTATTTCCTCCAGGACTCCTCTACCCAGGACACGCGTTTTCCTTGGCGCAGTTGCAGGGCTCGATCCGTCCGACGATATCAAGCCTAGCCGCTTCCGCTACGAGAAAGTGAGCATGGTAATGAGAAAACCCGTACTCTGGAGGCGTAAGTGCACTAACCTCGTTTTGGATGTACTCTTTGAGAACCTCCTTCCCCAGTCTCGATACAAGTTCTTCCGACATGGGTGGAGAAATCATCGGCATAACCTTGCTACGGAACACGATAAGTGCGTCTACCTTCGTGAGCTTCCTGATGTCCGTCTTGCTCCCGTTCGCGAAAAGGTCTTCAATTGTTCGCCCTTTGGAAAGTTCAGATTCATCGTTGCTGACAGGGGCAGGATCTTCAGACGAGGAGGGGGGTACGTATCGACCTGTGTCCGTGAACCAGCCCTGCCGGACTCGCTATCTGAGGGTCAGTACTTTGTCGAGATATCTAGACGAGGTACGTACATATTGAAGCAATCTGTCGACAAGAAACTTTTTCTTTCCCCGGAAATTCAAGGTAGATGTCTCGCGACATAGCTCACGGAGAACGGGAACAGATAGCCCTTTGAGCGCTTCCTCTGTGCCGTGGCGGAGGATATGCGTGCCATGTCGAACCTGGGCTTCAGTAGGCTGTGTGCCTGTGCGATCGAAGGTGATCCCGTCCCCATCTTCGAGAGTGACATCCATACCCCAAATCGACCGACAGTGGTGTTGAAATAATCGAAGGTAGAAAGCGTGCATCGAGTCGATGATGGTGAAGGCGGTAGGATCCCAATATGGCAATCGCAGCAGCTCCGACCAGCGCACTCCATGTTCATGGGTGATCGCTTCTCGTTCGGCTAGAGAAGATGCCGATTTCCATTTCCTAGCCCATTCGAGATGGTCTTTCCAGCTTCGCCTTCTCCAATTTTCGACGTCGAGGTCATTGATGTCGTCCAAACACTGATGGCATTCCGAACAGAACTTGTTGGATTTGTAGTGGGCAAAGCCGCTCGTTTGTCGCGAAGCTGGCAGATCGCATACCAATGGGACCAAAGCGCCGCGGACAGTGCAGCCTTCAGGGAAGCGAAACGTTTGGGTGAGGTAAACCCCAGGGCTCCATAACCTCAGCAGATCCTTGACAAGCGGACGAAGAAGGTGGTTGAGTTCGTGTTGGGAAGGACCTTGAGGACCGGGAATGATGCCAACAAGGTAGATGTTTTCAAGATCGTATCTGATCGTCGGTGGTAGGTTTAGGCAGACCATGTACAGAGCCCCTACCGTCACCTTCTTTCCTGCCTCTTTGTTGCGGTATGGGTTAAAGCCATCCATATTGAGGCTAAAGACAAGACGACTCTCCCCCTTTGGAGCCTTGACGAATGTCGTCCCGTCGCTGTCCTTGAAATCTCGAAGTGCAGTTGCATCCCAGATGTCCCAAACGAAGTCTTTGTTCGGGAACCTTTCTGTGGGATCGGAATATAGATAGTCTTGAAGGTCAGGGCGAGCGAACAGACGCCCAAGGTATTCGTTGAACTCTTGGTGATGAAATTCACGGATCGGTGTTTCGGAAACGCCTGAGCGGGTTTTTCGCCTCTTTCGTAAACGAGCTCCGCAAACAGCGCCAAAAGTGATGGCAGTGCAGAGCTCTGGTCGACTGGTAGCAGGGAGGGATGGATCTACCCAGTAGAGCCTGAAGCATTGCGGACAGCAGATGTAGGCGCGAGATCGAGGCATCAGGTCGAGGTACTCGGGACCTATGATGCGACGAATATCGAGACGAACATGGCTTGCGGAACTGTGAAGGGGGAGGGTGCTAATACCGGACTCGATGATTTGAAGAGACGTGACGAGGGCGAATGATTTCAACAAGAAGGTGCAGTCGTCGATGGATATATTTGAAAGGAGATGCAGGGTGGAGACGATTAGGTAGATTGCAAGGACGGTATTGCTAAACAAATGGCGCTTATTCGAGTAGAAGTGGCCTGCGGGCGCGGGTGGTGGGGTCAGCTTTAAAATGGACTAGACATGAACCATAGGCGACCTACTAGTATTGAAAACATTGCTATGAAGGGATACCTCCTTCTGGCGCTCCCACTCCTTAAGTAACAGTTCCTGACATCGTTTGCGGTTGCGTTCGACGGTTTTCATCAATGTGGTCGCTCTGAGTCGAACAGACACGTTCGGGTGGCCCTTCTGGGACACTGCATAGGCGTGCGCCCGTTCCAGTAGGCCAAGGTAGCCGATGGCTTGGGAATTGGCAGCGATGGAGGGGTCCAAGGATAAAATCTCCTCTAATTCCGGGTCCGAAAGGGCGGGCGAGCGCTGAGAAGCCCCTGGCGAGGTGGAGAAGCAAAGAATCGTTGCTGGATCGTTGAATATTTGGTCGGCCGGTCGAATTTCCTCGAGTAACAAATTGATGGCTGAAGAGGCTGAGTCGTTGGGGTGACTGTTCTTCTCAACCGTTTTGTACTTCTTCTTGCTGCCATCGTTTGCGGTCGGCCGACTCGAGCTCGCAATCGGTCGTTGGTACGCCGTGAAAGGTCGCAAATTGGACGGTTCGGAGACTCCGACGGTTTGAGGGGATAGTGTGCTTGATGAATCAATGCGATAAGGCGCAAGTTTCGATGAAGCAAGGCCCCGTTTCTCCTCGAGCTTCCTATGGGCTTTGGCTTCCTTCTCTGGGATCCAGCGGCCGGAGGAAGGAAGCCCTGTCACTGGGCAGGGTCCAGGATGGAGTGTGCACTCCGAGCACTCGCAGAGATGATTGATCACAGGAAGCTTGGGTGGTGGCATAATGGCACATCAATAACCAGGAATCGGGAGGGGAATTTCGTGAGTGGCAGGAGTCTGGAGAAAGAGGTAATTCATAACGAGCACGAAGAAAGTTGCCCGGGATCAATTATCATCAAGGTGTTGCTTGGCGTTGTGATTTTGATCTGTCTTCGATGACATTGTGAAGACCCTTGGACAGGCCCTTGATGATACACTTCTCACAATCTTGTCCCCTTCGTACCGGCAAAGGTGCAGGTACTTACATATCACCTCGATGCCGACTTTTCGACAACTTTGTGGCAACCTTTGAACGCGATTGCGGGGATTCCATGATGCAATCACTCTTGGTCGCGGTCATCGTCAGTCATCGTCATTGTCACCGCGGCATCCTCAACCTTAGACCATGGCGATGACCACCCTGGACAATGTTTGTCACATTCGTCCTTTGCCACCAGGAATCTACTTTGGATCCTTTCGCTCAATGTTTGCGGGACAAAGAGGTCGTTGAAGGGGTCGTGTCGAGGTGGCATGCTTGCACTAGTGTTTGCAGAGACGCAGTGTCAGGTAAGTATATATATATAGATCCGAAGCTTGTCGTTTGCGATGTACTCAATCTGTGTGTCTCTTCACAGACCCCAGAAGAATAATTCCTCAGAAACAAATCGCTTAGGATGGCAGGTTCATTCCATCTTCATCTCTCGTGCGCCAAGGGCTGACCGACAAACTTTCGCTAGAGACATTGAAATGGGCGACAATTCTAGTCCCCCGAAGTTCGCAGGGCTGAAACGTCGAGGAATAATGGGAGACGATGGGCCTGAACTCAAGCGTACCAGGTCCTGGCAACCACCAGGGCCATCCCAACCCCCAAGGATTCGCCGTGCGAGTCGTCTCACAGCTTCGAGAGCCAAGAGTAGGTGAAATGTTTTTTTCCGCCAGCTTCAACGCGCTCAACCATACTTTATAGGGCGCTCATTTTTCACGCAGCGACGACATTCAAGTAATGTCCATACCCAATCATCGAGTGAGTAATCAGCATCCAGATCCTCGTTACGGTTCTAAGTGGTGTCGTCGTGACTTTAGACGCTGCCCAAGATCAGGAGAGTGAGAGCGAGATCGAAATGCACTTAATGGTTGCGGATGAACAAACTACAGAAGCGCCTCCCACCCCTTCAGAACCTTTCCCTATATCCAGCAACCACCTTCATGACGCACCGGCAGGCCCGACTAGCAGCATGAAGATCGATGTTCAAATTCAAAGACTAACCGAAGACGGGAATGGGGGTGGCGATTCGCAAGACGAGATGGCTGAAGAAGAGGTCGACCAAAGCCCCGATACTACACAGGACGGTCAGAATGGGAGAATGGGCGACGGCGACGATGACATGGGTGAAGAAGATGTCGATGGGGACCGCGAATTTGTCATGGATGAACTGGAAGGTGACGGGAGACGGAGCGAAGGCGATGATGGGGCAGGTGACCTGTACGAAGAAGAGGTCGACAGGGTCTCCGGGATTGCGGAACATGAACCGGAAGAGGATTGGGATGGGGGAATGGGCGAAGGCGAAGATGGCACGAGGGTAGAAGATGACATGGGCGGAGGAGACGTCGCTGACTACGACCACCGGAAAACTAGCGGAGACGACAACGAGTCTGCCTTCTCCGGCCTCGATATTCAGCTAGCGATTGCTCCCAGTTGTTTGAACCCCTGCGCTGGTCTTGTGCCAAATCCTCATCCGTATAATGACGCGACAACGCACGGCAGCCACCCTTACCTCCCCACTCACACCCCTACAACCCCGTTCTGCGACTCTCCCAAAGCCTTCGCTGGCCTCAACTCAGCATCCTCCTCCGAAGTATTGCACGGCTCTCCAAAGGCATTCGCATCCATGGCCGCCCAAGGTATCACGGCGAACCCCGATCAACTGTCGAATATGGAGGGACGAAGAGGTGTCGGGGGAATGGGCGAAGGCGACGCGGACGAAGATGGCGAAGACACGGATGAACCAGAAGGGAATGGGAGATTATCAATGAGCGAAGGCGACGATGGCGCGGGGGAAGATGGTATGGAAGGAGATGTCGATGGGGAACATGAACTTTCAGTAGAAGATAACAGCGCCGCTGAACACGACCACCGGAAAACTAGCGGAGATGACAACGAGTCTGCCTTCTCCGGCCTCGATATTCAGCTAGCGATTGCCCCCAGTTCTTTGAACCCCTGCGCTGGTCTTGTACCAAATCCTCATCCGTATAATGACGCGACAACGCACGGCAGCCACCCTTACCTCCCCACTCACACCCCTACAACCCCGTTCTGCGACTCTCCCAAAGCTTTCGCTGGCCTCAACTCAGCTTCCTCCTCCGAAGTATTACACGGCTCTCCGAAGGCATTCGCATCCATGGCTTCCCAAGATATCACAGCGAACCCCCATGAACTGTCGAATATGGAGGGACGAAGGGGTGTCAGGGGAATGGGCGAAGGCGACGCGGGCGAAGATGGCGAAGACATGGATGAACAAGACGCCAATGGGGACGGTGAATCTGTCATGGATGGACCAGGAGGGGAGGGGAGAACGGGCGAAGGCGAAGATGGCATGGATGAAGAAGATGCCGACGGGGACCCTGATTCTGTCGTGGATGAATTGGAAGGGCGCGATGGGGACCATGAATCTGTCATGGATGAACTGGAAGGTGACGGGGGACGGAGCGAAGGCGATGATGGGGCAGATGACATGGACGAAGAAGAGGTCGACAAGGTCCTCGTAATTGCGGAGCATGAACTGGAAGGGGATCGGGATGGGAGAATGAGCGAAGGCGAAGATGGCATGGGCGGAGGAGACGTCGCTGAACACGACCACCGGGAAACCAGCGGGGACGACAACGAGTCTGCCTTCTCCGGCCTCGATGTTCAGCTATCAATGCCTCATAGAGCCTCGACTACCTCCGCTGGCTTTGTAGCACACCCCCATGCACCTAGCAATGTGATGATGTCCGATTACCACCCTCCTTCCCGCACTGTGCATGACTTTACAAACGCGCTCACTCAGGCCGCCCGTGGGGGGCCGATTGAGTCACTACAAGTGACGAATGCACCTACCATTTTGTCTACAACACCTGGAGATGTCAAGATGAACGACGATCTGCCGTTCAACATGGGCTCCCCTGATCGCAAACCCGCAGGCTCTGCCACAGGCGTCAACTTCTGTCCGACCTCAACTCCTAACCAACAGGTCTCGGTCGACCATGAGATGGGAAATGAATGCGATAAAACAAGCCACGGTATGTGCCAAATATGTCAAGATCGTGTCAGAAGGCTTTACTTAATGAGCAACGAAACAGACATAGTCCTGGTTCGAAATTTGGCTGCTAATACAACGTTTACATTCTCCCAACCGCACTCTTCTCGAACCATACCTTACGGCAATCACCTTCCGAGGCGGTTCGACTCGAATGTCTTCGACGTTTCGCTTCGATCGTCATCGAATGCATTCGAAGGTCTAGACAAGTCAATGCAGGTGTTACCTACCGGTAACGGCTTGCTATCCTTTCACTCTCTGAACACCTTTCAAACCCAGCGTAGCACCGGGGCATCTGGTTTAAGAAAAGGACTTGCGTCACCGGATAACCTTTTCAATCCTTCCTCATTCAACTCTACCCTTCCACCCTCATTCGACAAAGGACGCGATTTGAACAGGCTGAACAAGGTCTCCCCGAGAAAACCCTCGACTGGCCATGTCCCATCGTCTTCGAGAGCGGCAGTTGAACTTAGACAGGAATCTTCCGCGGGTTCATCGACAGTGCGCGGCCTGTCACCATCGAGGATGTTGGTTGAACCCAGAGGACGGCCGTCTTTTACAGTTCGCCAGCCATCGCCTTCGGGAACTTTGCCTGACCCGCCATCTAAGCCTACTGCCCCTCCTTCCCCTCTCGAACAGACGCATACAGGTGCCTTCCGTGATTTGCACTTCATGGAGCAGGTCATACCAAATAAACGGTCCACAGAACATATCTCCTCGTTGGCGATTGAATCATCGTCTAGACAAACTCCGCCCTCCGCTCTCGAAAGGGCCCGTATCGACGCCTTCGATGGCTTGCACTCCATGGAGCCCGTGTTGCCAAAGAAGCCCCCAACAGTACATTTCCCATCCCCCTCGAGACCACCGGTTGAACTTCAACGAGGGCCTTCCCCTTGTCCGTCCTCGTCAACACCGGTTCTTGCAGCTTCTATTGAAAATCCGCGTACCGACGCCTTTAGTGATCTGGGTTCGATACAACAGGTTGCACCGAGTCGCCTTCACTCGGGCAACATGCCTTGGGCTGCTCAGTCCTCCTCGTCGAGAGTACGGACAGGAGCCAGCATGCAGCGCGCCAATGCGTGCACTCGGAGTCGCACGAAATCGCCAGAGGTGGCTTCAGCTCCTGCTTCTGCGTTCGACGGCTTACTGGATGCACCTCGCGCACACACGTTTGACCCCCCCTCGCCATCTGGGATGCGTCAAGAGAGACCTGAACGGTCGCAAGACCCTTTCGCCATGGAACTGGACAACCGAGAGGATATCTTCGACTCGGAACCCGAGGAGATCCAGTACGGGGGTGAAGCGGACCGCGACTACGACAGCGAAGGCACACAGAACTTTGACCATGAAGATGCGGACGACGACCTTGCTGATGACGAGGGGGCATCCACTCAACATCGACCCCGACCAACGCAACAACCGGCCTTGGAGCAGGCAGGTGCTCTGACCCGTTCGACAGGCCAGCCGGCTTCTCAGAGCGATGCCGAGTACGACTCGGAGCAGGCGAGGACACTCACCCGCCCTATGTTAACAGCGCAGCGAAGAACGAATAGCCCATACCCCCGTCCTTGGAAGGGAAAGGGGCGTCAAATCGATCCGATAGATGAAAGGACGCCAGGCCCCAGTCGAAGGCCAGCCATACGCTCTTGGAAGGGAAAGGAGCGCGAGTTCAATCCGATAGATGAAAGGACGCCGGGCCCCAGTCGAAGGCCAACCACACGCTCTTGGAAGGGAAAGGAGCGCGAGTTCAATCCGACAGACGAACCAACGCCGGGTACAAATGATCAAATGGTGGATGATGCCGAACGAGGGTCGAATCTGAACAGTTTTGACCATCCATTTGTGGTACGGACCTCTCCACATGCATTAAATGTGTATTCACTGGTTCCCCTTCAGGATGCTGTGTTTTCCTCCTTTCAGGGAAGTTCAAAGGTCCGTTGGGTGTAGTTTGTATCGGCGCCCTCACGCTGACATACCTGAAATAGCCTCTGACCCAGGACGACATGGCACAGGCCCTACTAGCTTTGGGACTCATCCACGGACGACCAAATGGCACAGAACCTCAACCTCAGTCGCTCAAGCCGCAGCTTCAAGGAGAACAAGGGCAGTCTCTCCCAAACCCTTCAAAAGATCCCAAGCAAAAAAGGCCTCGCACCGAAGATAGGAAATACAAACAGGTGAGCTTCGATAGCGATTATCCTTCTCGACATTATTGACGGGCTTAATTATTTGTTCAAGAAATGTGTGCGAAGCCACGCACTTAAATGTATGGGCCGCAGGAAGGGGACGAAACTCTCCCCACATCCCATCACGAGTGTGGGACCCCAAAATCTCGAACGGTTTTACCGTCACAGAAATAATCCCTCCTCAGAGTATGGTCCAGATATCAAAAACCTCGTCTTACACCTAGACACCACAGCCCACCCCACCGTTCGCAAGCGGGGTGCTATCTGGAATGAAGAAGCGGCCGATCTTTTCGTCGAAGACATTATCCTGGAAGATGACTACGGATTCACCGATGACGATAAGCCCGAACTGCGAGAAATATTTTTGGTCCATATCAAAGCATTGGAAGGACAATACAAGGCCTTCATGGCCGCAGACGATATAGTAAACCTGGAGGCTAAGGCTTCGGTTGCAAGGCGACGATATGTGCGTTGTTCTCCGCATTTGCTGCGACTTCCCTTTCTGATTTACGTTTAGCGCTTCGAGCGGCGTCTACAAGTATGCCTCTATTTTGAAGATGAAGACGAAGCCTTCAAGAAACTGAGCCAGCTTTTCTCCACCTTCCGGTTCAACTGGGAATGTTGCAGTGGTGACGAATCGGAGGGTCCAGGTCCTAATCGACCTCGCTATAAGCGTCGTGCCATCACCACTCTCCCTTGGCGAGCCCAATGGCTTCGGGAGGTGATGGATGTATTGGATAAACTCCATCTTGTTCTGCGCTTCCCCGATGGCGTACATGCAACTCCCGGTCGATTCCCAACCCCTCGCTTCGATCCCGCGGCTTTGGACCCTTCCCGAAAAATCGAAGAGACCGTCTACGCCGCGCCGCGCCACGGGCTACCGGGTAACTTCTACGACGAGGTGTGGTTGCGTGAAGAGAACTTCCAGTCTCAGCGCAAAGCTTTAGGAAGGGACAACGACGTGATAATTGAGATCTCGCCATATGTCAAGAGGCTCGTCATTTTCGCTCGACTCCAAATCATTCAATTTTGACTGACATTGTGGATTACAGGCTGGCAGAGACCGCCCGACATGTCATTAACGCCAAAACACCACCCTTGCCCAGACCCCGACGGGATTCGTAGGGAGTACGTTCCGTATACGTATCTACTCGTCTCTGGCTGTTATAGTATACTTATTTATTTGCTTCATAGCGTGATGATAATTTTGATCTTGATTTGTCAACAATTTGACATTGATTTGACGACAATTTTTGACCGTTCCCTCTGCTCGCATTTGTCTCCTTCCGTGAAGTTGTCTTTGTCATTCCCCCATTGACAAGATTCTCAGCCCGTAAACCCCTTTGACGAGATCCAACTCGTGCCTCTAGAACCCAATGGGACCCGCAGTCGTTGGACAAAGAGAGTCGTTGACAAAGGGCGATGGATTCAGATAAAATCAAGGACAGTCCCTGGGTCGACCTTTCACTTGTCCCCCACTGTCTATTCCCCGTATTATCTCGCGTCTGAAGCTCGACAACATCATCGCTATTCATGGCGAGTCACATTGCTCCCCCCGCATCTCCTCAAAGATTGACCGTCAGTTCCGTTCTTTTTTGGAGCGTTTCCGAGACTTACTAGTTACAGGTTCGCATACTGTCGTTGGCGGAGAGCGGCAGCGTCTACAGCCTGCGACAGTTGTATAGCTATACGCAAGCAAGAGGACTCGGAGCCGACTTGAGGCCCATCCAAATCGCCCTCTCCCACCTTCGCCAAGACCTCATTCCAGTCCAACGTTTCGAGGGCAACATCGAGGACACCGACGACGACGACAACAACTCCACCACTTACGAGAAGATAGAACGCGCCTTGATCAGCCTCAAGCTTCTCTATTCCCTTTGTGGCCTCACCAGCGCCTCCAACGAGATCTCCCAAGAGGCCGTCGGAGCCCTTATCATCACCCGTTGGAATAACATCTTGGCCTGGGTCAGGTTTATCGTGGGCGAGTGGTGCCCTGCAGAAGGACGTTCGTGTGAAGATGCCTTGAACGCACTCCAGGTTTCCATTGCTGCCTTCTCTGCAGTCTTTGATCTAGGCGACCAAATTCGCGATCAAGCCCTGGCTAATCCGGCGACCATCGAAGTCATCGCCTCGCTCTACGTATGCCACGCCGACAACCATTCCCACTATCCATTCCACTTCATCGGTGATACAGACATTTCAAACGCCTGCATCCTCGACCTTCTTTCCTCTGCCACATCCACCCAGGAGTCATTCGACAACTTCAACCGAGCGGTCAATGGCCCCGACTTTCCCCAGCAGCTATTTATCCATTTCACTCACCGGCGCTTGGAGGAGATGTTCGACGAGGCGCTACTGGGACCAGACGACCCATCGGTTCTTTTGCGCGCCTTTTCATCGTCATCTCAACTCCTTTCCCGTTTCCTCTCTCATCCTCCTCTTCGCCGCCACATTATCGACCAGAAGATTCTTCGATCGTACAGTCGAGTTCTCGATACCACAACACAACACTGTTTGAACTCCGATGCGGATTGGGATATTGTCCTTCGCGGTGCGGAGGACGTTTTTTCGGCAACTGTCACCTACGGCATCGCCATACGCAACTTGGAAGCCCTTTTATCAGGCGAGTTCATCAAGTTTCTCGTGTCGTGCATCACACGCGACAAGCTCGAGGGCGAACATGTTGAGATGGATGTGGACATGGGTGGGGCTTTTGACATCGATGGGGATGGGGGGACGGAGATGTGGTGCTCAGACGAAGAAGACGAGGGTCAGGAGGATGGTGATACCGGTAGAGATGATGAGGCTGAGACTGAGATGTGGGACTCCGATGAAGAGGCTATGGAGTTTGACGAGGGACTGGCCGCGGATGAGCTCGACAACGACAACGACAACGACAACGACAACGACAATGACAACGACAACGACAATGACAACGATAACGATAACAACAACGACAACGACAATGAAGATTCACTTGCCCGCCGAGCTGCTAACATCATCGGCTCACTCGCCTCTTTTGCGGTTTATACGCCCATCTGCAAGCTAATCGGACGTTCCCTCACCTTTCTCGACGTTGAAGACATCGCAGCCATCGCTTCCAAGGCCAAGGTGGTGCGCAGTCAATGGCTTAATATGGTTGAGAATACCGAAGGTGCGGCAAGACAGCTTCTGAGAGGTCGATCCATTGGCCTTGTATGCGACAGTGTCGCAGTGAGTGCATCCTTCTTCCTTTGAATCACTTTTGGCTAACATATATCCAATGTAGCATGCCCTCAGTAACCGATCGGTCCGATTTACGACAGGTGCGGTCATTTGTGCCACATGTGAAGCACAGGTGTACTGCTCCGAAGAGTGTAGGACAGAGGATTGGGACGAATTCCATCGCAACGAATGTCCACCTGTCGCTTCTCAAGGTTTGTCACTTCAATCGATCGACGATTGAGGTCAATTGGTACTGACACTCCCTCAGCAGTAGGGGGTCCAAGGTTGTACTCCTCCATGAAGGCGGATCAGCTTGCGTTCTTGGAAGATTTCTGCAACTCAAACCTGTCTGCACTTCGATTCATGAAGTCTGGCCTCCCGACTGACGGGGTTCGCCGTTTCCTGGGAGTTGACTTCGTAGAAACCTCGGTAGCCGTCCTCCACCTTCCCTCCGTTGCTCCTCCCCACGATGGCAACAACGACTGGGCGCGTGCGCGCACTCTCGCGCTTTCGCATGTAGCGCCCACGGACACTCGCCTTGTGCTCGCCAGATTTGCCATCGGGGTCCAATATGTGATCGTTTTGGCGAGGTTCAAACCCGGTCAAGGTCGCTTCGTCGTCGCAGGAAGTGCCGTCATGACCCCTCCAGGACAGAACTAGGGGTCGATTTGTCAGGTCGTTACTTTCATACATGTATTTAATTTTGCGACCTTATTTATTAGATTCTCGATAAATTTAACTTGTCTCGTCACGGCTGCGTGCCTTAAGTCGGCCGGACAACTTGTTCTCAATTGTCGGTGCGCTCGACAAAATAGCGTAGGTGGCATGGATGCTCGAGCCTCCAAGATGATGATGACAAGGACCAATCATTGTGCAAATTTGTCATGTACAAATCTACGGGCCAAGTAGCGTATTGCGACAAAATTGATCATGATTCAAATTGGGCTCCCAATATGACGACGATCGAGGGTATGCGCAGAGGTGACATGGGGAAATACCACGACACAGGTTGGCGGACAAAGATGGAGACCCGATTGCGTTTGGGCGGCAACGAATGAGAACGACGTCATTGATCATGAAAAACGACAGCATCGATTTCCGACGCGACAGTGATTGGTGCATTGGCGGGCGAACAGTCCCCTGGGTTGACAAAGTGTCCTTTGTCCAATTTGTGGCCAAGTCAGTGGCATCTAGCTTTCTATATTTACTCAAATTTTCCGGCAAAAAAATACAAAGCCCAAAATATTTCTGCGGAACAATGGAAAAAATATTGAACCCTGGCGGGAACCGTGAAGCGGGAAAAAATATGTCTGAAAAGTTTCCCCCGAAACCTTATGGAAACATTCTGATTTAAATATTTCTTCGATATTTCCAACCTATTTCTGGGGGAAAAAATTTGTATATTTCCAAGATAATTTCACTATTTTTCCTCGGATTTATGTATCCTGCCACCCAGTGGTCATTCCGTTCGACGTTCGACACACTACGTATTTACTACTCCCCTCTGCTCGTTTTCGTTCCGCGACGCTTCACGGTTACGCCCTCGAGTTTCATCTTCCACTACGACTGACGAGTCGAGGCACGACGAGCAAGACGAGTACGACAAGCAAGACGAGTACGACAAGCAAGACGAGTACCACAAGCAAGACGAGTACGGCAAGCACACTGGGCAAGGGCAAGCAAGACAACCCCGTCAAAGAAGAATCCGGCGGCGTAATTCATAACACCCGTACATACATAGGGTAGCAACGGAATCCGAACCCACTCCAACTTTTCATAACTCGAGGCTAGTGCTTGTACTTAGCGCTCAAGCTCAAGGGACAAGGGACAAGGTTTACCAAGGCCATCCGAAAGAGTTTACCAGGGATCCAGAGTTTACCAAGGGCATCAATAGTTTACCAAGGGCATCAAGACCTTCACCAAGACTGAACCAAAACGACGACATCAAGGCTCGACGATCCATTGGGTTGGGTCACTGAAAACCGGGTTTTGTGTGTCCTCAAGCAGGTGAGTACATACTCCACAAATTTGTTCTCTCGTACTCCACAATTCGGCGCCGCGTTGGAATTTTCTCTTGGGTGCATGTGTGTAGTGTAGTGTATGTACCCTCGTTGCTGCCGTGTACCCTCCTCGTTGCTGTTGTGGGCCGCTTGCAGTCGTTGTCGTTGGGAGGCTAGCGCTGAGCGCTGAGCGCTCCCCATTTCCGCAGTCAGTCGGCCGTCGTTATGTCGGTTTGTGTGTGGTGTGGTGGTGGTGGTGGTGGTGTGTTTTTATACAGGTTCCAGGCATCACACACAACTTTACAAAATCCTTCCTTCCTTCACTCGTTCTTGCTTCCTTCATCATCATCGACTTGTTTCATCACGTCTATCTATCCATCTATCCATCGAACTTTATTCCCCCCGTCCTTCCCGTTTGTCCTCTTTAGTTCCGCCCCTTGCCTAGACAAGGCGGCTTACATATACCTTCTTAACCTTCTACCACCACCACCGTTTTCGAGGGTTCGCTCCTCTGTCCGCTTTACTTGATACATACTCGTGCCTCTGGGCTACCACCACACGCTCCTTACCTTTCTTTTTCGTTTTTCTGGTCTTTAATCGAGGTCTATACCTATACTTATACCCCCCAACATCGCCTTGCCTCGCCGGAAATATCTTCAAACGATAACTGACCTCGTCTTAATCCAGCAATTCATCCGACGTTCACCCGGTGTAGCTCGCTAGCAATCAGCGCTCAACGCTCAGTCTTTCAAAGTTCAACGTTCAACATTCGAAGCACATACTTAGTTCGTTTTTGCTCGTTCGTTCGTTCATTGCCTTTCAAGGGCGCCGCTGCTCGTCGACCAGAAATACTTACTCAACGCGATACCATTCTTCCATCAGTTGTGACGAGATCCCGACCGGCATCCATCAACCGACGGCGGCCTTGCTTCTTGTTTCTTGTTCATCGACTACGACGACAAGGACAGACAACCAACAGCGCCTGCATCGCCAACGACGACAGCCTCGCCAACGATATCTGCGATTCTGCAGCGCTTTCAGTGACGAGTGGACGTTCCGAGCGGCTTATAACCATATAACCAGTGCATAACACACACTCGCCTCCGCTTTGGTCCACGGTTTTTCGACCTACGACCCTTCGAATTCCGAATTTCGACCGTCGGATACACACAGCCGGACAGTCGACGCCTACATACAAGACACAGCGTAGCATACCCACGCAGCGTATCCATCCATACCCACACGCATCACGCATACATACCCGCCCGCCCGCCTGGACGACTACACAAAACGTACAGCCGGATAGTTTAATTGGAGGGATAAAAGGAACGTTCTTTTGTTAGTTGATTGAAGGATTGGATTTGCATTTGGGAGTTCAGGTATGTTCCATGCTACTTTGCGGGTTTTGGGGCTCCATTCGAGGTCTTTCTTTCCTTGTTCCATCTTTTGGTTTCCCCGCTTCTTCTTGTGTTTCCGCTTCGTCTTCTGTTTCCCCGCGTTTTCTTCGCCTTCTCGGTTCTCCGAATCCTGTTTCATGTTCTACTTCAAACCCATGGAGCGAGGGGTTGCTATGCGCGCACGGCGAGCCAGGCGAAACACCCTCGGTCATGCATCCCGCTTCGCCTGATGCTACGCTCGCTTTGAATTCAATTATGCGGGGAGTCCAAGAGAGCGCCCGTGTTACACATTCCTTGCCTCTCGGATCTCTTGTTCAACATTCCGCCCTGAGGCATCGTCCACCTTTACGTTCTTTTGTTGCCCATACGTTCCTTCATCCCCACTTTTTCGAACTTTACCACCGGAATCGGGCGCTCTCCAGCGATCTCGTCTATTTCTGGTGTTTGGGACATTGAATCATTTTTCGTTCCTGGGCGGGCTCTCTTTTCGAGGAGATGGATGTGGTTGGGTTTCTACTCATCTCTCTGGACCGGGGATGACAGGGATGGGAATAGACGATGGGCGTACCACCCACCGACTTACACCCCTGGCGCCCACACACGAGCCCCTTGCATTCATTTCACCTTTCACCTGCCTGTCGGTGAAGGCGTTCCTGGGACTTTTCGCTTGTTTAGCCTTTTTGTTCACATTTGATGATCTTTCTTGCCTTGGCTCGACTCGCTAGTCGAGAAACTTTGGCGCCACCTTGAAACCCGAGGATTCGAACGTTGGAAGGTGCTTACATAGCTTCACCATAATAATCTGTTCAAATTCTCGGGTATCAAAGTTATATGACAAAGGGAACTGGCTTTCATTAAATAGTTGCCCTTTGGTCCACGTTGCGCTTTTGGTTCATTACTTCCTCGTTGCGACGTTGTCATTTCACCTTCTCGTCCTTTCTTCACCTTCCCCTTTCCCTACTTGCTGCCCACTCGTTCTTAGCTCTTGCGTTTTAACGTTGGGGGTTTTTGAAAGTTTGAAGCCTGTCATTCATTTCGATTTGATACCTTCCTTTATTTTCATTGGTTTGGGTGAATTTTGTTGGATCGAGCGGCGGATCTTGGGTGATAAGCTGACCGTACCTTCTCTTCCAGTTTTTACAACCTTTCGCTGAACCTTTACCTCAAATAAAGAACAACCGCGACCTTTAATACCCCGGGTCAATATACACACATACCAGTCGAGGTATGTACCTTTTCCGTGCACTGCTCCCTCTCCTTTCGGCCTTGAAATGTGTCGCCATTATCGATTCCCGCTGTCCTCCGGGCTGCGCAGGGCGCTAAGAGCATAAGAATATGGGCCGCCTTGGATTTCTGGGACACTCGCTAAGCCCGCACAAGCCCACTCGGCATTGACGACAGCCCAGCACCGCCCAAGTTTTTATTTGACTCCACTTCCATGCCTCTTATCCTTTTTATATCACGCCCGACTTGGTTTTAAAGGCCTCCCTTGCGACATAGGCTGACGACCCCTGCTCCTAGCTTTCAGACCCTTCATTCATCCTCGATACCGCATTTATAACCGAAATATACGCCTACGACATCGACTCGACATTACAATTTCGACGATGCCTACTAGAACACGAGCGAGAACCAAGAGGAGGGTTGTAGCTGCTCTTGCTGCTGTGGCGTCTGTTTCGGCGCTTTCCCCGCCTAGCCAGTTGGTTGCGAGGGGTGTTGATAGGTGAGTTGTCCTTTTTTCATGTGGGATGTGGAGTGGGAGGATCTACGTGGACAAGTGCCCGGGGGACAGACGATGCGCAGCAGGGCTTGACATGACGGGCATGGGTGGCAGCCAAGTGAAACGACGTGTCCCGGCCAAGTCGGTGTGTTGTACTCGCCGTCTTGGCTTTCGGGCTGCTTGTTCCCTCTGCCCAGCGTTCTCGAGAACTCGGATTAGGAACTGGGCGACTTCCCGAGGCTATTCGCCGCTCTCTTCAACGACATCGAATGGGAAAGCTGATGTATATTCTATTCCCACAGCCAAACGCACCGCTATTCGAAACGTGAATTCACCCTTATCAACCAAGACGAGGTCCTCAAGTCTTACGACTATGTTATCGTTGGCGGTGGTCTTGCCGGATTGGTCTTGGCTTCTCGCCTTAGTGAGGACAAGGACACGAGTGTGATCGTCCTCGAGGCTGGTTTGAGCGGAGATGAAGTCAAGGAGGATATTGGTGCGTTGCCCTAGGCTGTGTCTTCATGCCTTTACTGACGTTTGTGATTTAGACGCACCCGCTGGAGCCTACTACAACTCGATTGTCGGCACTGACTATGACTGGAAGTACGACATTGTCAACCAGCAATACTTGAACAACCGAGGTGGACAATGGCCACGAGGAAAGGTGCGTACTCCTCTGGATCATATCGCGGATCTCATCTAACCCTTACCCAGATCCTCGGAGGCTCCACTGCGATGAACGCCATGTACCTCGTCCGACCAGCCCAAGTGGAGCTCGACGCCTGGTCCAACATGCTCAGCGAGGAATCCGACACCGAGGACGGCGCCGACAACTGGAACTGGGCCAACATGTTCGAAGCGATGAAGAAGGCTGAGACGTTCCACCCGCCCGAGACGGAAGCTTGGGAGATTGGAGGGCAGTTCCCGTTTAGCGCTGAAAACCATGGGTCGAGTGGGCCGATGCATTTGGGGTATCCTGGTGTTATGTTTAGCGCTGTGGGGAATTGGACTGCGGCGCTCGATGCTGCTGGGATTCCGCCGCTTGAGGAGCCGAATGGGGGTGTTACGATGGGAGGGTTTATTAGTCCTTCGTCGATTAATCCTACGAATTGGACCCGCTCGTATTCGAGGTCGGCGTATATTGATTCACTCCCGCCCCGACCTAACCTGCACATCCTCCCGCAAGCCACTGTCACCAAAATCGGGTTCTCGGACAAGCATCGAGCGAATACGCAGGGTGAGAGGGACCAGCTTATTGCGAATACGGTCGAGTTTGGGGATGAGAGGGAGGAGGGAGCGATGGAGGGTGGTGGGACGCGGTATGTGATTGGAGTGAATCGGGAGGTTGTTTTGGCTGGTGGGCCGCTTGGGAGTCCGAAGGTTTTGATGCATTCTGGTGTTGGGCCTAGTGATGTTCTTACGCAAGTTGGGATGGATGTTGTGCTTGAGTTGCCGGGTGTTGGACAGCATTTGCAGGATCATATGGTGCGTCGTGATTTTGTTGTTGGGTGGTTTTTGGGTGAGGCTGATGAGCGTTTCGTTTTTTTGGGGGGTTGGGTAGACTGCGGGTGTTGTTTGGGAGTCGAGGGTTGAGACTGCTGGTGATGTTAGGAATACTGGGTCAGAGTTCTCGGTGCGTTTCTCCTTTTTGTTGGGTGTTGTGGGTCGGTGGCTGATGGTTGGTGGGTGTGGTGTAGCGTTCTCGGGAGTTCCTCTCTTTCATCAACGACGCTGTCGCGTTCGCCGGCATCACCCGTCTCTTTGGTGAAAACAGTGACCAGTTCCAAGGCGAGATTCTCAACATCCTCGAGGCTATCAGCGATGGCAACAGCACTACGGTTGACGACCGCGAGATCTCGCTCGCGACGCTCGTCCCTGAAGGTTCGCCTGAAGTCTTTGAAGGGTACAAGGCGACGTACAACATTACCGCGCGCGAGCTCTGGGAGACCGGTCAAATCGAGATGCTGATGTCGCTCATCTCTGAAGGTGTCATCTCCATCCAGAGTGCCCTTCAACACCCCTACAGCCGCGGGCGTGTGTACATCAACTCTACGAACCCGTTCCACCCCATCCAGATTGACCCCAACTACTTTTCGCACCCTATGGATCGGGTGATTATGCGTCAGGGAGTGAAGATGGTTAGGGATGTGGGGAATGTGTTGAGGGAGATGGGGGTGGTTGGGGAGGAGGTTGTTCCGGGGCCGGGTGTTCAGACGGATGAGGAGATTGATGGGTGGTTGAGGGATGGTGGTGCGAATACGCAGTATCATCCTATGGGTAGTTGTGCGATGCTTCCGAGGAAGTGGGGTGGGTGTGTGAATAGCAAGTTGAGGGTTTATGGGATCGGTGAGTCTTTTTTTATATGTATTGCGCTCGAAGCTCGGTTTTACTGATTACTGATTGGACATTCGTGTAGCTAATGTCCGTATTGCGGATTCCTCTGTCTTCCCGTTCGAGTTTGCGGCTCATCTTGCGAGTGCGACGTTTGGACTTGCCGAGACTGCGTCTGACTTGATCAAGGATGAGTCGTACGACGTTCCGAAGAATGCGAAAGTGAATGAGAGGGAACTTGGGAGGCAGGGAGGGGATGGTGAGAGTGGAGCTGCTGTTGCGCTTACTGGACGGGGAGCGGGAGTGGGAGTGGAGAGGTTTGGTGTGCTGGGTGTGTGGGTTGGTGTTTTGAGTGTTTTGGTGATGGTTTTGTAGTTGGTGGTGAAGGTGTGGTAGTTTTGATGTTAACGTTGGTGCGCTAATTCATGCGTTGTGTTGTGGATATCTTTATTTTCGATCCTCTCGATGAAAACGTCTTGTAACCCTTCTCGTTGTGATTTGATGGTTTGGTTTTTTTTCTGTGATGCATACATACCTCTTTTTATATACTTGGTGTCCTGTTTGGTTAATACTTAGTTAGATCCTGAATGTTTTTTATGCTTTACGCTTTGATTTGAATATTGAGCCTTTGTGATTTGTGTTTTTTTCTGTTATTACAGTCGCATTTATGTCGCTCTCGGGTAGTCCTACGTCCCCTTCGAGACCTTGCTCGGCGTGGCTTCATTGAAATGGACAGTTTCAATGGCTACCGGATGGAAGTATAGGTGTACTTGTGTACGTGTAAGAGCAATTTGATATTATTTCGGGCGACCTCTATGATACATATCTATAACTACGGACTACTTTCGAATTAAAATAATGACTTTCACCTTTCCGCTTTGGACTAGTCGCCTCACCTTCCCGTAACGTCACCATATATCCCATATTCCTCATCTTCTTGCTAATACCGCGCCAGGATATATTGGGCCTCTTCTGCCGGTAATTCGCGACGAAATTTAATGAGATTCCTGAATCGTTGATGGGTTTCGTTTGGGTTTTCTCGTCCTCGAAAGTCGGAAGTGGAGATTTCGGGTGCCGTTGCTTGGGGATTCCCTCGCGGATCCGGCTCAGCCCACCAGTCCTCCACTACTGTGGCGTTCCTGTCCTCATCCTGGGCCAACCAGCGAACAAGACCTCGTCCAGCCACGCCGGGTTCGATACTCACCGGAGTGTCGGACAGGAGCGGAAGCATGCGTTGGTTAAAGGGGATTTCTCGTCTGGCGTTATCTTTCTCTTTCTGCGAGATGATGATGTAGCCTTGACGAATAGGATTAGAGACGATGTTTTCGTCTTTCCAGAAGATGTACTCGTCGAAGCCGGCTGCTTTTAAGGTTCTTGCGGTATTGTTTTGAGGCGTCAGGCTGAGGATTACACTGACGAAATCGATCGCGTTTTCGAGGTTTCCTTGGACGTTGAGTGGGGTCTCTGGTGTAAGCAACACGCCACTGCGGTCGAAGTGGAAAAGTCGGTAGTGGCCACTGTGGCTTAGGGTGAGGAGGCGGAAGAAAGTACGGTTAGGCTGAGTGTAGAAGATGTATCTGTGTGGAATATATATCTCGTCAGTTTATTCTAGGTCTAATTAAAGGGTAGACAGACTACTCACCGTGCAAAAGGCTCGAGAAGCTCGGTTTGCATGAATAGGGGAGGGGAGGCCAGGTTTTCGAGAACTTCGCAGAAATAGAACGAACGCTCGTAGCTTGGAGTGAAATGATATGCGGTGTCTGCACTACGGAAGCAGGGGCCAGTTCCTGTCACGCAGATGTTCGGGATGGGATAGGAGTCCTTTCCGAAGAATCCTTCGTCATGTCGCCTTTTGTCTTGTGCCCCGACATCAGAAACGCGCATTGACGCTTTATTTAACCTGATTTCGACCGCTTCTTTATCGATGTGGTGCTCAAACGACGTAATCCAGGCCGTCCGATACCCGCTATCCTTTCGGTCCAATTGGAAGTGTCTCAAGATATCGGAGATGATGGTATGGAAGGCAGAAACGTATTCTTGGCGCGTCCTCGCGTCTTCCAGGATTGGCCAGACACATCTGTTACTGTCCCAAAGTTCTGTGTATGCCAGGTACTCGTAGACGTCAGCCATGTCAACAGGGCACTCAAGGAGTGCGTTTACGAATCCAGGATCCCTCTCCCATGCTTCGTGCATCGGTCTCATCGGGTAGAGGCCCAGACCTTTAGGCTGAACAAATTGGAGGGGCGAAATTTCGTCTGTAAAATGCATAGTCGCGAGTTCACTAGTGTCTGGCGACGATGCTACGCGATTTCGACGCGTTCTGGTGGGTGTGATTGGGTTCATGTTTGGGGCATTACGAGCCGCACTTCGGAGGGATCGACGGGATACCATGGTGGTTGCGTGTTTAGACTTAGATATTTCGTGGCCACATGTAATTAAGGTCTTATATACCTTTTTCTCTGGTGTGGCTTTTGGTCACACTCATGCTCGTTGGGGACAATGGGTAACTGGACGGTTTCCACGTGACAGGGGCATTGTCCTTTCTTTGGCTTAGAACTGCTTCGAGAGGTTAAACATTAAAATAGATGTCATGTCCCCCTACGTGACAATGGAAGTGCGTATTGACCATTGATACCCCATTGGTACGCGTTGCGATGGCAGAAATGGACCCCCCTAATCTTAACTTTATGACGCGACCGCGTTGTTTGTTGCCTATTTGCAGTTTGATCCCCGATCAAAACACAGCCAAGACAATTTTCAAGTTCTTCCAGGACGATCCCTCAAACGACCTTTTCCACCTGTTTGCCATGGTGACTACACGCACAGGCAGAGCCACAGCTCCCGACAATCATCCCCATGCTGTCTTCCACAACCATGAATTGATTGAACAAATCATCGGATGGACTGCCCTTTGGGACGCTCCTCTCGGGATGGGGTTTTTCGGCGAGACAAAGGATGACCAGAGGACACTGTTGAACAAAGCAGATCTACTTTCTCTCGCTCTGGTTTGCAAGGCTTTTGAAGAACCTGCGCTAAACCTTATCTGGCGGAGTATCAATTCTATTGGGCCGTTGTTGGAGATGGTTCCTACTGTGCATGTGGTCCACAATCCATCGTCAAAGTGCAACTATGTGAGTCCTGTTATTTCAAAAATTAAAATAAACCAGGTATTGAACACCGTCATTTCAAGTATCTACTGGGCGATGATGTGGCGCCCGATGCTTGGGTCCGATTCTCCAAGTATAATACGCGTGTCCGGCACTTCACGCTTTCGTATGGGCGGCACCGCGACGTTTTAATACCGCAAATTATACGCAAGTTGATAGAGCGATTCCCGCCCACATTGCCCTTCTTTCCTCGCCTTCGATCTATCACCGTTCTGAACGAATCAACAGTAGCGCAACATTCATTCCAGCTACTTTTGGCGAGCAGAATAACCGACGTCTGTATCGAGCCCGGACTGCCAACTGGATGGAACTACGGGGCGCTGCTGGACTTGGCGGATTCCTCGACTTCACTGGCGGACTTGAGTATTGCATTCCGGCGAACGGAACTGCGGAACCTTGTATCAATCTCCGACAAGTTCACGTTCAAGTCGCCTGCCTTCAAGAGGTTGAGCGTTTCGGTCCTGACTCCTCTCGGAATTCGAAACCATGACCGACACGATCGTCTTCCGCGCGGACTCTCCTATTACAACCATCACTCCAATCCTACTCTGCTTGGATAGTTCGGCCACTGAAGACCAGATATCTCGCATAGTATCGCCATTCCTGCGAACAGGCAAAACATCCCTTGTTTTCAAGGGACTTTTCGAGGAGCGCAACATTCGACCCTTTTCTCTCGAGGAGCGGATTCCACTGCATGCCATCTCCCGCGGCTGCACCTCCATCGATATCGACTTTCGTCAAAAACAAGTCAGAAGTTTAATGTACCGCTTCATGAAGTGGAATATCGACTTCATAACAAATGCGACGAATATGCGCCAACTCACAGTCCGACTTCCTACCACTTGGCGATACCACCTATCTCCTGAAGACGTCCTTGCGCTAGCAAAGCTCCCGTTACTCCAGGAATTGACGCTCGAAGGGTGTATATCTCCGTTTGAAGATTTCGACAGTCTGGATGGGTTTGTAGAACAGTTGGAGCGTGCTTTCAGCTCGAAAGCTGTCCCACTACGGGTGTGTCGATTGCCGCGGATTGCTTCTACGGCCCCTGGCGCAGACGAACCCGCACCTCAGCTCGGCTTTTGGGCCTTAACTGTGCTGGCCGAATGTCTCTCTGATACTGAAATTATACGGATCTCCATCGATAGCGACTTCTCCACCCCACTCGAAGGCTTCCCTCTCACTTGTATACCTTCCAAGTCAGCTACGCGCCGGTTGGAAGTGGAGGATCTGAGAGGAAAGGTCATGGAGGGGAGGATGTATCGGAAGCTCGCGATTTATCTGAATCGACAGTTTCCGAATTTGGAGGTGATGGAGGTGTGTGGGGAGACCAGGGCGGATGTGAAGGAGTCTTGGATGGCAGTGGAGGAAATTTGGAGGGACTACAAGCGCTGTGGGATACTTCAGTAGGAAGCTTGGTGTCAGGCATCTTCTAAAATTACGCTCCCTCCGTCGCTCCACGCCCGGCCTTATAGACGCATGTACAAAATGACTGCCTTTACGAGTCCGTTAGGAGTCGTTCTTATGCGGTTCGAAAAGTGAGACTTCATTTGAGCCTTCATTTACGCCTGACAGCCTGGCTTCTTTTCATTTTAGGTGTTCATTTGATCTTTGATTGCCTTTTGATTGATTTCATTTGGTTAGTTTAGGCCATTTACTGGACAGTGAGCCTTCATTTGGACGCGCGGCTTCGTGATTTCAGTGCCTTTAGGTGGTCTTTCCCTTTGATCTTTTGATTGCTTTTGATTGCTTTTAATTTTCCTGCGCAGTGAGACTTCATTTCCACCCACGGCTTCGTGGTTTTGGTACCTTTCCACTTGCTTTCAATTGATGATTTGTTCTTTTGATTGCTCTGATTGCCTTCATTTGTCGCGTTGTTATTAGGCTTTTTTCCTGGGCGGTGAGGATTCATTTCGCCCCGCCGTTTTCTCTTTCGATCCCTCATTTCTCGATTATATTGATTGCTTATCGTGTTTCGCGGGGATAATCACGTGTTTTGCTGTGTCGTTGCTCGTTGAATGGGTCTTATTCCTGTCCTCCTTTCTTTCCTGGATCCGTTTGACGTCGTGTTGATGTCTTCCTTTTCCTCTCCCTTTCCCCGAGTAACAAAAACTGGTGGTGAGGGAGTGGTTGGCCACCTCGGGGTAACCTGGGATGGATGTGCATAGCCTATGTTCTTTTTCACCCGCATTGACCCTGCTACCACGTTCCATGGTTCATGCCGTGGCCGTCCTCCCGAACCGTGTGTATGCATCCTGACGTTGTCAATCGGTCCCCGGAATCCTTGGTGGCTTCGATGGAAATCTCATTCATGCTCCATGTACATCATTAACCCTCCTTCCTTGGGGTTTCGATGGGATGGAGTGGATACAAGGATAGTATGTTTATATTTACTAGAAAACTGTGGCACAATCACGTTTGCTCTGTGACATTAACTTCATGGGTCGAAGGTACTCACGGATTAATTGGCCTTGGCCGCCTCGGATAAGCCCTAGGATTACGCATTCCCTCCCATCACATCCTTTCCGAGCCGCCAAATTCCACTGAATGAAAGGGATGTCGACCCCCCCACCTTTCCGTTCGGAAAAGCTCAGCGTGATCACTCCCTCGTCGGCTGTAGTGCGATTCGTTTGGGGGCAGTAGCTCCATTCCTTGCAGGTATGTCGTCGTGCTGCTTTCCATCGTTTAGATACCTCTTTATCCCTTAGACTCCATACCATGGCTAATCCACAAGACGAGTATTTATCCCATATTTTCTGCATATGCGGTTGCAGTTTTCTTTCCGTTCCTTCGGTGATGCCTGTGCTGTTGAGCACGCTGATTCTTTTGCAGGTTAGCGTGCCGTATATGGACACTACCCCCTGGTGAGTGATGGCGTTCATGAGTGCGGTGGAGTGGAAGGCGAGAATGGCGGTCCACGGCTCGTGCGTCGTTTCCATGACATTGATTTGCTTGCCCGTCTCGGAGTTTATCATGTACGTGCTTGATAACACGCCTTTGGCCGCCAGGATGTACCTGGAATGTACAATGCCTCTGGTGCTGCCTGTACCAGGGGTACATTCCCGGTACGCCGTGTCCCGTACAATGTCTTGGATGAGAGCATCTTTGCTGTGAATGGATACGTATATGTCGAGATTGCTTGGTTCGACGCATCCGGGCACCACCACTGCGAGAGCAGCAGAGCCTGAAATCAGTGCCGAACGCGTCTTAAGCATTCCAAGAGTGTCGGTGACGTCGAGGTTGAAGCGAGAAAGTGTTGATGATACTCGTCTACGCAGTTCTAGTTCCGTTTCATTCCTGTGTTTGTTGACTTGCTGGAGGTTGTATAGCTGATTTATGTCCATATGCGACGTGGTCTCTAGTCTGATTTCGGGAGGCAGCTCGGTCCACTTGACTAGATAGCATTTGTGTATCAGCGTTGACTGTTCCCTTTTTTAATGATCACGTACAGTGCTGGTTTCCTTTACAGCGCCCTTCCATCTATCGGTTGCACTTTCAAAGTCAACTGCTTTTCGTTTTGGCCTTGATTCGACATTGATGCTCCAAGGTCCGGCAGATTTATATATGTGTATCCTGCGTGCGATTTTTTTCGTCTGTTTTATAGTGTTAGGTCGAGTTTCTGAGCCTCTGCGTGTACCCACATAAAAGGTTCGAGAGGCGTTTCGGATGTGCGTTCCGAATGCTTGCTGGTCGTTCCTACTTTGTGCCCCTGCAGAATTTCCGTTCCCTCGTTAATAATAATTATTTTTGCTCTTCTGTATATGATTCCCTAATAGTGATGGCATTTTTTTGCCTGAAACAGACCCCTGCCTCCCTGCGGGATTGCCGTCGACATCGCAGGCGAGGATTGATTGCCATGTGAGGGGCGGATTATTGTCTAATCCCGCTGTTACTTAGTCATCTGTTCCGCGACATGGAACTCTCCAAAGTGCGAGTATTCCTTGCACCCCGTGCTTCTTGTGGTTGCGTGGATTGCATTTCCCTTCTTTCATACCCGATTCCGACTGTCCGCAAAGTCGAGTTCTCCGTCCGACGGTGTCGTTGACTTGAGCTCGTTTCTTCTTTGCATCTCACGATGCATTCGCTATGAAAAAAAAAAACCCATCTCCTTTAGATTGAAATCGTTTGCTGAGTTATATAATGAAAAGATCTTCGCTGCTCGTTCGTCCTCTGTGGAAAAGCAAGGTGCGGAGTTTTATGGTCGCTGTTTATAAGGATGACATTTTCCCCTTTGCCTTTAGCCTTGTTCCCCACGACTCGATCATGACATCTACTCAGACGTCTTCCCTCGCTCTTGACCGACCTCCTCAATCTTTTCCTGTCTTCTCTCCTGGACCCGCGACTCTCTACCGTCCTTCATCGAAGAGGAGGTCGATTCCCCCGGATGTATGGCTTTCCGTCATTCGCTCGATGTTTGAAGCGGCGGATTTCGCCTCATTGGCAAGTTTCGCCACCACGACCAAAACCAATGCCGCCCTTTCGCAGCCTTTCCTCTTTAGGGACATCGTTATACGTCGAACCAATAATCGAAACCGCAAACGGGCCGATATCGAAGCACGCAAATCGACATTGCTCAGTTTGCTCAATATTCGACCTTTACTCGTTACTTATATCCGTTCCATCTCGATCTATTCGTCCTGTCGGGACACTTGGTGGATTACCAACACTTCTATGATGGCCTTAACCTCTCATATATTCACGCGCGGCACGGTAACAAGTATTACGATCGCCGGTTATGGTCCCAAGGGCCTCGATGGTCGCCTATTACACTCTTCTATTCTCGCTTCTCTACCCCCAACAATCGTGTCGGTCACTTTATCCAACATTCATTTCTTGTCTCCTCGCACGTTTTACGCGTTATCGACCGTCACCGAACTTCGCTTCACTAGCGTATTTTGCCACGCTGTTGGCTGCCGAACCGTCGGTCGGCTCCTGCAAGCCAATCCTCCCCCTCCCTTTGGCCTTCGACCATCCATTCAATACTTGGAGTATTCACGACAAACGGATGCCGCGGAGACCTATTACGGTAGTCCATGCGAGGTGATAGGGCAATACGTACAACTCGGTGGTTTGGTGGAGGCCAGATTTCGCACCGACCATGCAGATGACTACGACATGCTGTTCCCAACATTACAGCAAGCGGCTCGAAGCTTGCGTACCTTAACTGTGGACGTGACAGGCGTTACCATCAACAGTGAGTTTGTGCTTTGATTGACCCTCAACCAAGACTCAACACTGTCTATTTGTTAGGATACTTCCGTCGATACCCTTGTTCCGCCCAGTTTCCCGCGCTGCACGAACTCACGGACCTTGTCCTTGTTGTCACGTATTCAGGTGACCATCCCATTCGAGAGCATCCTTGGCAGGGCTTGGTTTTTACGCTGGATTCGTTGGCAACACCGAGGTTGAGTCGGTTGACGGTCCGTATCATCTATAAGGGCTACTGGAAGGTAGATTTCATGTACTTCCTTGCTGCCCTGGACGATTGGCAGGCTTTGGATAGTGCCCTTCGGGCACGCCTCAAAATTTTCCCAAACCTCGTCCTCGCGCTGGAATTCGAAAACTTCAAGCGTTCCGATAATATGCTTTGGGGTCAAGGGGAGCACGCGCAGGCTTCCTTCATTCAGCAGGCCCTTCTTGATGCAAGACAGGTCGGACCGTTGCAATACGGGATCTTGACTTCGTCCCAGATTGCACGCATGCTCCCTGCTCTTTTTACCCTGCCAAACATTCAATCGCGCATTACATTTTCGTGGACCTAATAGTTGCGGATTACCTCCCAGATCTACTACGTGACCACATATATTAGAGGAGAGAAGTATTATTCTGCTGCTTCTTATCTGTTCGGATATCGATTGTTTATTTATTATGACTTCTGTTCTTGGCACTTCAAGCTACTAAATATTGCTCTCTGAAGATCTCCCTTGTAAATCGATTCGATCGCTTCCCCCTAGAGGCTGTTTGCTATTTAAGCGGCAGATGAGTTGTTAGCAAGTATCATTGCAAGTCCCTTCCCATACCTTCTTTACCCCGTCCTGACATGAGCTCCAATGCGTTGTCAACGAACGATAACAACGTTGAAATCGGGGCTCCTCCAATAATGCCGTCTCAGTTTCTGCCTCAACCTGTTCAGTCTCAGATTGGTACGTCGACTTGACTTTATCTTCCTATCCGGAGTTGTATCATGACTTTACTTATAGCACAGACCTCCCTACTGGCGGAGATTGCTGAATTGAGGTCTATCATTGCGCACTTATGCGATGAGTTGGAAAAGGCGGAAAAAGGTACTTTCCGACTCTCTTGGATCTCCTTCTTCTTTCTGCCTTTCTACTTGTTATTCCTCTTGATCTTTTCGTCCATATTTCCTTGCAGGAATGATTATTCTGATTCATCTCTCACATAGATTGCAGGACACTGTATGATTTATTGGCGATTGCTGTTCATCTTTTTCGTCAAGTCGAGGAGGCTGCCTTGGAAGAGCGAGATCCGAACCTAGATGAAAATTTATCGAATCACTGGATACTGGCGGGCGTGGTTCTTTCCCTTTACAAGGATAAATACAGGTCAATCTATGAGAGAGACGGGATGTCTTTACAAGCTTTGTATGGTCGAGTATTGGACGGAGTGAATGCCGAAAGTGGGTCCAATAATTAGAATTCGTATCGTGTTCGATAGTAATATATCTTATTTGTGCCGCGTGCTATTAAGTTCACCCTCCCGTAAACCATACTCCTCGATCATATCCTTGCTAATAGGTGGTTCCATGTCCCATAACCCCTTGGTATGTCCATCCTACGTAAATCCTGTCGTCGTCTGTTTCTTCTCGCAGAATGGCTTGCAATTCGGACACTGTTTCGTGCGGCGGCTTTGCGGCGTTGCATGCTGAATATTTCACTATTTCGGTCACTCGTGCCAGTTCTCCCCTTAGCATTGCAATTTCACGTTCTTTGGCTTCGTATCCTATGTAGTAGTTGAAAGCTTTTTGGTTAGGGACTGGATCTGAAATAAGTTGGACGCGCACCTGCTGCAGAAATGAATATCAAATGATCAAGCAGCATGAAATGTTTTGCTGTAACCCTGTCCCTTCTTGTGGCAGCAAACCGTAGGCGTACGTTCTCTTCAAGATGTTTTCTAAACCTTTCCAATTCTAAGAGTCCGAAGTACGTTAATAGCGATGTCAAAAACAACGCTGAAATATGAGCTTACCGCTCTTGAGACTAATTGCCACGTTCCCCTCTCGCCGTGCCTTCTCCTCAGCGTCCAACCTTCGGCGATTGAATTTGTTCATGGTCCTCGATGCGAAGCTTCGCGAACACTGCAACTTATCCATCATGGTAACGATAGCCATTTCGTCGATGTGAGAACAGCGAGTGCTCGAAAGTACACAAGCTTTACAGCCTATATAAATATCGTCAATTCCTTTTTTTTTGGCCATTCTACGGATGGGTCTTACCTATTACATTCATCAATACTTCACAACGCCGTGATGTCGCTTCGCACCTTGCGCACGACCCAAATGGTCCTCCATTTCTAAAGCGCCTTCTGAACACTGCTGTAATCCATTGCCAGAACAAAAGATTAGGTCGGAGATGGTTAAAGTCTGCTCCTTCAATGGGTACTCTGGATGCCATTGACAGACTTGAAGCGAACAAGGAGAGCTGACCTGAACATTTTGCATGGTATTTAAAGGATCACTTGCTATGGGTCGAGTAGTTCGTGGAAGTTGTCGGACCGGTAATCCCTTAAATGTATACCGGATGCACGGGTCCGTGTCCCGTCTTCCTTCGAAACCGACAATAGCCGACAATGCCACGCATGCGTTGAGTTTGTCCTCGAATTCATTGGCGCCCAAGCACAAGCTGATTTTAGAATTACGTCATTGGCCGTGGTAGCTGATTGGCGCAGCACACAATTTGATACGTCATACATATGCAAATCGGGTCTCGCGGCCGGTGTCCGTTATTCCCACGGTTGATTTCCATTTTTCTTCCGTCCTTACCTTTCGTGATAGCTGCTAGCTAGGGGTTGTCGATCTACTGCTGAAAACTGCGCAGGTCTGCTTTTTATATCCTTGTCTATCAATGTTATAACATTGTATTGATTAATGGTCCGTGCTCCTATCTGCGAGGTATAAAATCTGTCCAATGATCAAAGTCGCCGGTTACAAGGGTGCTCATGTCGCTGCTCCGAGGTATGCTTTCTGTCCTCCTTCAGTTGGCGTTGTGTATCGATAATGCGTCCATCCCGTCCTCTAGTTCCCTACTCGTTCTTAACGGAAGACCTCCAATACGAAATCCTGGGGCATTTGAACGCAGCAGATTTGAAGGCCATGACGGCGGCTGGATGTCATCTTGCCTCCAAGGAGCTTCTCCGACGATTCACCTCCATCTTGGTTCAGTTTTACTTGGACCCAGATGGGTTTCGTGCATGTATGAAGACTTGTGGTGTCGTGGTATCGGGCTCAACCGCTCTTGCCATCCTGCTGCCCCGTTCCCGCGCCTTTCATCCCAACGACATCGACATCTACGTCAATTCCGAGGGTCTATCCGGCCTCTTGCATTACCTTCACACAAATACCCCTTATACTCAAGAAACTATCCTTACTCGTGCACGCCGCTCGGACGACGACTACAGCATTTTCGTACGAGGGACTGCCATTTCGTCAGTTCGTCTTTTAGAAGACACTGATTCGGGCAAATCCCTGAACGTTATCGAGGCTAGTACAACATCGCCGCTTTCTACGGTATGGGGTTTCCACAGTACCCTTGTAATGAATGTCGTGCTTCATTCCGGGGTCGGTTCTGCCTATCCTTCCCATGTTTTGGAAGGGGTGGGTATAGTCAATTGTGTACGTGGAAACTTGATCCGGAGGCCTGCCTTGCTTCGAGCTTTAGACAAATACCGTCGACGCGGGTTTCGTCTTTACTCGAATCTTGTTGAATTGTTCACTTCCAAAGACCCTGCGTTACTAGAGAATCCTGCGCTGTCATGGCATCTTTGCGGTACGTGGGCGTATTGCCCCCAAACCGTGCGGGATTCACTAGATCCTGGTATGCTCTGGGTCCCCTTCCCAGAATATAACACGGATGACCTGTTGGAAGATGTTCCTTCCGTCGCATGGAAGTTGGCCCACGACGGGTTGTGTTCCCGAACCCAGCTTGCGTGTCCAGGCTGGTTGGAAGATGTGGATGGGCGTCGCTCTGGTGAGTTCGTGTTTCTTCGCACCTAATTATAGTTGATCGACTAAATCATATCTTATACCCAATTCAAGGCATCGTGACCGGATTTTAAATTACATCCTCTGCTACATTTCCATTGATCGCACTCATTCCACGCTTACTTTCAATACCAATCGATCGTGAACCAATTCTAGCTCATACCACCTTTCTGAGTCTACCTATTGTCTTGGTGTTCGTAAGTCAAATCACATACATTTCTGCGGAACAGATCAAGAAAAGTCTAATTCTATCAGGTTATACGTGGATGTTTGAGAGATAATCTAATTCGTCGTACGTCTTCCAATTTATAACAGCCCTAGTGCAAGAATGATATTAAAACCAATTAGTTGCTCCTTTTCGAGGCGAGAATGGCAAGGACTCACAAATGCTTTGACCTTCCGACGTGTGTACCCAGCCGAGTTTCATTCCGAAATTGGTTTTGCACCTGCCTTCGGTGGCTAGAGACCAATGAACCATTGTGACGTCTATATCCTTGTCTCTCCATTCAGGAAAGACGAGACACGCAACGCCTGGGTCGTTGATGCTACGGCTAGTCTTTGGACAATACTCCCATACCCCGCAAACGTGGTTTCTGATGTCGGACCACGATTTTCGAACGTCTTCTCTTCCTCGGTAGTTCCATATCATCTTTATCCCTCTTTCCTTGTACTTCTGTCTGCTCTCCTCTATTTTTGGTGTTAGTTGTTTATTCCTCCCTTCGTTGAAACTGGTACTGTTGAACAGGCCGATCTTCCTGCAGGTGAGGTTGCCATAAGTGCATACAACACCCCAGTAGGTGATGAAGTTCATCAACACGGTGTTGTGGAACGCGAATATCGTGGATATAGGGCAAACGCTGGTCTCGATAATGTTAACCTTTTTGCCGTTCTCGCGATGAGTAAGGTTGTAACTCTTGGCGATTCCGTTGCGTTCGCGTTTGTATTCCTTGCCGTCCTTCAAATTTGGAAGATGATCGTATTTGCTTTCCCCGATTAAAGCTTCGACAAAAGATCGGGCTTGTTCTGTCTTCACGTATATGTCGACATCATTGGGCGTGAAGTTGTTGTCGAGGACAGCTGCAAGAGCGCAAGATCCGGATATGATAGCGTCATGCTGTTGCATCAGCCGCATCGTAACCTCTATGTCCAGGTCGAATAACAAGAAGATATGGGTAATTCGGCGATACATTTCCTTCGGAGGTGAGGCTTCTGTTCGCGGATAATCTGCTGCTGATGTCTCTTGAAGGCCCATAGCAGCCTCCAACTTGAGCAACTGATTGATATCCATGTGGGTTAATATCTCCTCCTTCAGTTCTAGAGGTAAAGCCGTCCAACCGACTGGATCGTTTTGTCGTCAGTATATCTAATTCCTCTTTTCCTCAATATAACGAGGGTAGCCGAATCAAACTTACATTGGCGCTCATCAGAATTGCTTTTGCTCTTGCTCTTCTTTTCCTTGTTTCTAGGCATAGTGATCGCCGGTTTAGACGTATACGCAGGGTAAAGAGACCTAAACGTCGAATGGGTAAAGTTCTTTCTCGATCTCTGAGACTCTTATAGGTGGTGGTGTTATTTGGTCGCTGTTGATTAGCCGGTACGTGCGCATTGCCATAACGTACAACAGTTTGGTCAGTCCTTTCTCCCCATCGTGCTGCGTTCTGAAAACCCTGAGAGAATCCTCGTTTGCCGTTTCATCTTTCCTTTCCTTGGTAATTGATTTCCTTGTCTCTCGCCTTTTCGTTTTTACAAGAGTTTACGTCGAAATCCGCTCCGATCCGAGTTGCGGTCGTCGATCAGCTTACGTGGTCGCGTTTTCTCGGATGTGGGTCCCGGACTCCCAAAGATCTGCTTTCTACATCCGCTTACTGGCCTCGTGCGCTATTGTGGGAGTGGGGAAAGGGGTTTCTTCCCTTGATTAGTCAGAGTCGTTAACTGCTTCAATTCGAATATGCGATTAACAATGAATGCCATTTCAAGCGAGGGGAAGGTACAGGAATGCACTACAATACTTCGAATGGAACCTGAAATTTTTTCGTCTATGCATCTGATTCCAACATCTTGTTCAAGATATTCGTTGCCACTTGGATTGCTTCGTCTTCATGAGCAATGAGTGCAAAGAGTTCCCCCAACCTTTCCGTTATGGATACAACGATTTGGTTCAACCTTTCAGTGGCGGGGTCGTCCGTCGGTCGATTTGTTCTTCTATACACTTGTGCGATAGTAAACCAGCGTCTGAACCAAACCCTTCCCTCGATGATTCGCTCTAAGGCATTCCTTTCATCTGCATCTTTAGCGGCTACCAGCTCGATGGCAATCTCGTCTGTGCGACGATCAGAATGTATGGTCGAATAAGTGCATAGGAACTATTCTTACCAACATCGCCTGGTAATAAACAAGCGGCAGCCCTCCTCATGTCCGCATCTGGAGCGTTTTCCCTTATCTCTTTCAATTTCGCTTCCATCAATGCCGGTCCGTTGTCCCCGTCTGGGGAGGGTGTGCTGAGTACCACCCAAAGAGCGATAGCTGCTGACGTTGGCATGATGTGCCGGAAGATGTGGTATGGAAGCCTATTAGGAGGAAGTGACATGGAGCCTGTAGATGGGAAATTGCGGGTAGTCGATGTATCTCCTGCTTTTTAAATGTATTCGGGGCGAGGTTCAACTCGTCGGATTTATTGTCAATTTGAATTATGTCGTCGACATCGTCTTTGAACCTTCCTGCGTGTGGCTGTTTCTCGTTGAAGCTATTGGACACCTGCATCCGCTACGCGTGTAGTGTACTTGCTGTTCATTCCCGCCTGCACTTCTCGCCTTATTGGAGCTGTCGAACGTCTTTCACCCTCCACCTGGAAGTTCCAGAAACTGATTAAGCTTGTGCATATAGCCCGTTCATCTTTTCTTCGTCGGTGTCGGATGTCAGCGTCTATTAGCGGGTAATAGTCAATTTAAATACCGACTACATTAATTCCGCCCTTCCGCTGTCCAGCAACTGCGCGTTGGACGACGTAACGTCCACCAATCATGGTCAGAAAGAGAGATGTAAAGGTGGTCGAAGTCTCCTTATGCCCTTTGAGTTCGTGGTCTCCGAGAATTGCCATTTCCACGAAATAGTTGACCGATCAAGGAAACACCACGGAGTATGTGCAGCACTCTGACCCTGCTTTCACCTCATTCCGCTCTTGGCTCTTCTTCTTCTTATTAACTTTAGGTATGCTTCTCCTTTGCATCCTCCTTCTACATAGTCCTTTCCAAGCACTGTCTCCCTTCGTTTCCACCTCTCTTTAATTCCCGCTTTAGTCAGCATTTTGGTCCCGCCTTCGTGCGTTTTCGTTTGTGCAGGTGTTGCTTCTCTAACTGCCTTTCCTCCCGTCCAGACTCTTCCCTTGGAATCTGTTAACATGCATGTCTTCCTGTGATTCACCTTTGATACAATTTTCACTTTGCTCCAGTTGGGTTCGAGATAGCCGCCGTTCGAGAGGGAAAATCTCGAAGCATCGTAATGCCATTTACCCACAACGCTCAAGGAAGAGTCAGTAGTGGTATTGTTATTGGCGCTCGATTCTACCGTTCTCGTTTCATAATCTCGTCGAATCCATCCATGCTCAACGGGCATCCCACATGTATGCTATTGCGACTAGCCTGAAATTCATTTTCTTTCGTTGCCTGCTTTGGTCGTTTCCGTCAACGCCCAAAGACTCTGCGCAGCATGTCGCTACTGGTCTTCGAATTTTCCACTCTTTTCCTGATCCTGTCGTTTTCATCTATCCTGAAAATTCACTGCGCGTGGCATTATCGCTCCTGTTCACCTCTTCCGCTCTCATTTCTCAATACCGTCGATTCTATCCAGGCTTCTCCCTCGAATCCTCTCTCTGCCTTCTCTTTCCGACCATTCTCGACCTTCCCTATTATTTCCACCCTCCCACACCCCACCACCATTTTTATTTTGGTTTAGATCGTCATTTAGGTCCCGTCTTCCCGTTCTACCCTTCACTTCGATGTCTATTGGCCTTTGTATCGTAGTTACTTGTATAATTCCTGGACTAAGTAGCTAGACTATAACTCCTTCTTCAACCGCTTTCATCCATCCACGTTCATCCTTTGGAGCTTGTTAATGGGAGCATCTTCCTGCGGTTCGTCTTCAATATCTTTCCCAATTCTTCGTTTCAACCGCATTCGATTCACCAGAGCAATGCGAGGCATTGATGCGGAGCTTCGCCGTATGGCTTCCTGCGGGTGGCTCTATGTCAAGCTCATAATAATGATAATAAAAAGGAAAAAATAATCACAAGGGTGAAGGATGTGTCCATGATGGTAATGCAACGTAAAACGGCGTTCATCTTCCATTTTTGACCCCTAATCGGAACGAGCATGAAGGTAACCTGGATTTCAACGAGGTCCCCTTCTCTGATCTTGACTGGGCTAACGTCCCTACATTGGAGACTGAACCGCATGTCAGGATCCGTCCTTGACCATTAACGACAAGCTTGCCTACCTTACTCCCGCATCTGAGGTTTCTACTTTCTCCAGGTAGCATACCACATTATCTTCGCCATAAAAATATTGATCTCCCGCGACTTCCGCGAGGGTGCCATTCGGATCTATAGTTGATCCAAGAATATGCGCCTGTCCTTGAGGGTCGTCCGTTCGGGATGTGAAGTATCTATTTGACGCTGCCATGGTACCTCCTCCTGGGTTGACCGTTACGATTTCAGAAGGGATGAGAGTACCCTGCTTAACGCATCTACTGAAAAGCGAATGGATTTCCGATATGTTTTCTATCGCACGGAGAAAGGAAGGGGTGTTGAACCCTTCGATTGTCACCCCTTGTCGAAGGTACCTTGCCTTGGCTTTGATGTTCGCCCTGCAGAATATACCATGAACACGAAGCTTTCCTCTTTTCCCTACATACGTACCTTATATTCGTGTCGAAAGGAGGCAAATCCTTCTTGCTCAGTGCACCCTGGACATGCCATACGACCTCGTTGGTAGACATATCCTCATCTACCTTCTCCACGATTCTCCAGGTCTTGTCGTTTTCGAAATACGACATCGTCATTTCGGTGCGTAAGCGTTTCTAATGAGGGAGACTATCAGTGCTTAGTTTAGCCGTAAGGTTTACCGGCCATACTGGATCGAAATCCCCTAGTTGGAGACCCACTAGACGATGCTCTGTTCTCTCCATAGCGATTTTTTCCAATTCTACAGCAGCAGATGAAGCCGGATAGTGAACATTCATCGCTTGGGGATGATACTCGATTCGTATCAAGCTGTGCGATTGAGCTTTTCAGTGCTGATTTTCAAGTTTGGTGCCATTTGGTTCCCGGCAGTAAATATATCATGGTCGTCGTTCGATATGTACAGGCCTGTCCGTTCTACATTGGGTGAAAACGAGATAAGTTTGGGAACATGGTTAATTGAACGAAGGCGAGGCACGCAACAAACGCGGGCTGCCGGCCCGAATGCGGAATACCTTGAGATTCACAGTGTAAGTTCTTCTTACACGATTCCTTCTGTTCTCTCTATCTCCTCTCCGGGAACGTGTTTCAAATCTGGATAAGGTTGTGACCATGTTGAACGCGATCTACGTCTGGTATCACATATTACATGACACGGTGATTACTTACTATGAATGCGATTCCCTTGTTGGTTCCACCTCGTCCGTTTTCTACGACACGTCTCGTGCAAAATGTACTTCTTCGGTTTAATCCCTTCTTGTGTTCATATCGCTTTACGTGTTCGTGTGGTCGTCTGGTGGGGGGGGGGGGGGGGGGGGGAGGTTCTCGTTCCCGAGACTATTATATTTAATTGAGAAAAGTACAATCATTTAAATAGGTCAGTGTATCCAGGACCCAATCTTCATCCTACCTGCTTTGCGCTACCAACATGGTTTCCCCTCCCTTCGACGCTGCATTCCAATTCGCTTCTCATGTTATTGCGGTTAGTATACCTTTGATTTAACATCGACAATCCAGCAAACTGATCTCGACTTATTTTCGTCGGCTACGGTTCCATGTTGCTCCTTGTTATCTCTTCGGAAGACCACCGGATGTCCTTTCGTGAATGCGGTGGCTTTCCCCATTGATAAGCAGATTCCGATGTTGGCGCCCGTCCCAATTGCCAGCACCAATCCTGCACGTATTGGTTTGGCAGGAATCAATATGACCAGTTATCTTGATCAAACGCCTGCACTTTCATCTTTGCTGAGCTTTAAATTGGGGGGCGATCTTTCAAACTCGATGCGTGGTCGAACGGGGTACATCTTCGAACTCCCAAAGGACACCGTACGTAATCGATCAGCTCGATTATTGTGAATGCTGATTAGACCTTCTTCGGAACTAGGAAGAACTCAATCCTATGGTGTCAAAAATGGCTCCTGGTTCCGGTGTCAAAGGCCACATGTTAATAGTTTTGGTCGACGATGACGGGTTTCAGGTAGATGCCACCCATGCTGACATCAGACCTATCTGTATCGGTGCTGCTCGGTACGTGTTCCCGACAAGCACTCACCGAAGTAGAGGGTCGTCTGATCGTTTTTACTTCATTTTTTCATCCTTAAGAGCGCTTTTGACCCGTCGTGCTGACGCGTTGGCGATGCTCGCTTTCGATAATCTCGATGTTCCCGTCACCTTTTTCACCAATTTTCAACATCTCCCCGAATACCGATTTCCCATCAATTTCGCTGAAGCGATGCCGACTGTAACTCCATTTTACTTTTTACTTGGTTGAATGGTTCTTGGTACTCTATCGTGCGAAGTCAATCCCGCTTTCTCGTTCCGGTTATCCGTGAGTTAAATATTTGTTCATTTTGCCCAAATGCTTTATAGATGCAATGCAACCCGGTTCTTTCGTCCTCATCTTGCTTTCCCATGTCCCGTGAACCGTTCCAAGTGCCCGAGCTCATCGAGCTTATTGCCAGCCTTTCCAATTGGTCGCGTCGGGATGTCGGTGCCTTTAGATTGTCGGGACGTGTCCCATCGATCGTTGGTCGCCGTTTTCTCTTTAAAAGCATCATTCTACACGGCCATTTCGACGCAATTGATGGGCACTTGCTGTTGTCAAGGATAGATGCATTGACCGCAATGGTGCACTATACACCGTCCTTGGCCCCTCTTATCAAACGCGTTTCCCTATCTTCCTGGGGAGCGGATGGAGGGTGGCTACGCTCTGATGCCATAAAGAACGCACTTTCTATCTTGTGCGAGGGGGGTGGAGCGACAGAGCTTTGCGTCGCTCGTTTGGGTGTCGAAGAGTCACTGGGATCCGCCGTTCGAGATTTGCTCCAGATCGCGGGAAGTAATCTCATTCGACTCAAGCTCGTACATATACTCGATGCACCCAAAGACATCTTGGAGGGCTGTGTCAATCTACAGGACCTGAGTGTAGATGGCCTTCGAATGGTGGACAAGGGTCACATACCAATCCGAAGCCCCTCATTAACTATCTTTCGCTACTCCCACTCCTCTGGAATCGGCCTTGCAAATGGCGACTGTTCTCCAGACCCTCTCCTTCACGCTATCAATTGGAATCAACTCCAACGACTAATCATTCGCACCTCTTGGTACCGTGACGTCTGGGCGCTCAATTATGTTACCATGATGGCGCACATGTCGCTGCATGAGCTAGAACTTGAAATATCCAGTTTCCACCGTACGTGGTCCCGCTATTGTGCATTCTATACCCTTCTCAAATAATCTTATCCCCCTTTCCTTCCTTTCCCGTCGTTTAGGCCACAACACTCGACCCCACCTCGATCCTATCTTCCCCAAATTAGGCGAACTTCGAACGGTCCGTATGGTCTTGGCCACTCATTACCATTTCATCAATTCCAGCGACTGTCCCCCTTCCGCTTTTGCGTTTTTTGTCGCTCTGTTGGATTGTCCTCGTCTTAAAACTGTTCACCTTGAATGTGTATTCGGCGCTTTACTTCGTCGAAGGTATATCTATAATTTGCGATGGGATATACTAGACAAAGAGTTGGTTCGATTAGGCAGATACGGGAGGGTTCGAGTGGAGCTTGATTTCGTTTACAACAGTAGTTTCAATGTTCCCAATTGGGACCCCATTCCTCATGAGGAAATACCTGTACTTGTAGATGGTAATTTCCTGATGAAGTATTTCCCATTAAGTACGGCTTCCGATTCCATCGACCTTGTTCTTGTTTGATCGGCCACTCGTTTTTATAGATATAGAAATTGCCTCCCAGTATATAATTTCATGTACCTGAATCTCGATACCTGTAAACCAATGGAGTTTGACCTGTATACGATCTAAATTCACTCGTATGAACATCCGCCTGTTAAAAACAACTATTTGCTACGGATGAAAGAATTCTTCTGCTTGTTTTTTATTTGCTATTCTTTGCTCGCATCTCTCTCACCACTGATGCCTGGCGTCTATGTGTTTCTGTAATTCCTATAAAGAGACAGGGGCCTGTACTTCATCATTGTCCTTTCTCTCCTCTGAACTGCCTGATTCCTCTGCTTCGGGCAGCTCGACCTGAAACGGTGCTACGACGAGCTACTAACCCAAGGCGTATCAAGCATGGAGTACGATTTCAGCCTGTCTCCTGTCGGCATCGCGATTATGGCCCTCACCGCCATGTACAATACGGTAAGCAAGTCTTCACTTCACCAAATGTACTTAGACCGATTCGTTCTCAATCGTGGTTTCCCCAAAGAATTACGCGACGACTAATCGCATTGGTGTACTATGGGCATCCGATACTGAATATCCAGCGCTGCTTCCTGTCGCATCTTCGGTGGCTAGTGAGCCTTCGACGAGTAGGGCACGCATGATACTTCATGTAGAGGTGTTGGACCCGGACTTATTAATAAGAACCGACCTCCCTTTGCGCTGGTTCTCCCTTCCTAACCCAAGCGTCAATGGGGCGGTCGGCGGGGCCGTGTTCTTCCGACCCTCTACCAAGGTGGATATCCTTATCGCCTTTAAGGGGTCGTAGTCTAACCCATTCGATTGTAGAATCCTTTAAATCCCTCCTTCTCGAAGATGCTTGGACCGGATATGTGCTCGTTGCTTGGTGCAAATGGCTCAGTGCTCGCGATGTTGTTCGACGCACAAGGCGTAGCGATCGATGCCACTGAAACAGACATTCCTGTTGTATGCAACGCGCTTTGCAGGTGCAGTTAACTTCTTTATACTACTTGGTATATTGTTATAACTGAACTTGACGCAGTGCCATGTTACTCACAGCAAGCGAACTTATCAAAGGAGTGGGTTTCACAAAGCTGGACGTACCATACAAATCTTAATAGATAATTCATTACACTTGATTGTTCCCTTACAATTTTCGCTACTCTAATCAGCAAACTTCCACCTTGATGTAATCTAATAGCCGATCTGGTTGACCCTGATGCATGACTTCTTCCCCGCGCCAAATTAGACGCGGAATCAATTTCGTGAGAGAATCACGATCAAAGTCCTGTGAGCTACACCACCAAGTCGCAAGTTCTTTCTTACACGATATTAAGCCGCTCGTGGTTTTAGTACGCCAATTAAATATATCGCTGTTGTACCTCATTTTTTGCTTGCAATACCTCATGAAAAATAAAAATCTGCATTGTCGACGATCGATTGCGACTTCCCGATCGCGATGCCCTATTTGCTCGTGTTAATTGTGCTCGCTCCGAACATCCGTGTTTCCTGAATCGCATTATACTATATTCGTTCTCCTTGAGGTCCTTTGGCAGATTCTCGATCGTAATACTTCAAATATTTATCTTACATTGGTACCAGGTCCGTGCATTCGTTTCGTAAGTATAAAAGGCAGAGATACGAAGATTCCTGAATCATTCTCTTTTCCCCCTTTCCTTTGTAAATAACCCTCCATGTCTTCTAACTCTCGTTCGTCTAGGCTTCGCCATGAACAAGCTGATAACAGGTCAGTTCGAGTCTAAGCAACTGCGCGCCTTTCTGATTCCGACTGTTTCATTACGCATAGCTCGAAAAGATCTGTAAAACATAATGTGAGAGTTCTCTCGTTCCTAAGTGGCGTTTTGTATCTAACCCAATGTGCTTCAGATGTCGGTCAAGATAGAATCCGACACTCCAATGCGAACTAGTGGTCGAGCGTCAGTGAATCCATTTCAAGCACTCTTGCATGGCATTGAATTCAAGTATTCCAGTCGAAAGCCTTCTTCAAAGGTTATGGAAATGCAGGGAATACCCGAAAACATCTTGTCTGACGAAGATGATGATATCTGTGTTAACGCTATGAAGTCAGAGTGAGTCCGTTCATTAACCACGAATGACCGGATTGCATAATCGTCCCTTTACTAGTCGTCATCTACCTTTGGATCACACCGATGAATCTACTTTACCTGTTCCATCTAAACGGTATGATACTCTGAAATTTTCCACCATTGCCTTTCCTTACTATCCATTCAGGCGTCATCAAAAGCTCGAATCCAACAGTTATCCTGCTAGCGTTAGGCGATCCACCACCCCTTACCCATCACCTGATGTGTCATCGGCGCGGAAGGGTCCTAGGGCGGTTGCCTCTGAGGAGGTCATATCCATACACGACAGTGACTCTGACGGATATATTCCCCATAAACGCGACAATGCCTTTGTGGATGATGAAGCTGTCGAATCAGCGAACCTCTGTTCCGATTTTGAAGAAGACCAGGATCGATATGAGAGCGATTTTATTGACGAGTGCGTTTGTACCCTGGACTGTCGACGTGCACTAACACAATCTTCGCAAGTGGACCAATTTCAACACCTACTTATCGACAGTTGCCAAATGAAGACGATTCCAGTTCCTTCAACAAACAACAACGCAAACGTCCTAAGCTCGGGTCGCCTTTCTTCTTGGAGGAGAGGTAAGTACCTGGTATCCCGTTTTCCTTGCACCTGCATCTGATATATACATATGTACATTCTATAAGTTCTTCCCCTTCACCAACCAAAAAACGAGCGATTACTCTTCAGGCTGCCAAAAGCACGCCAACTGGCTTTGGCCGTGGGGAACATCGACCGAATGACGAGAAGATGATCCGTACTTCCAAGTCTAGTCGACGATCCAGCAACTTACCTGCAAAAAACAGTTCCGACACGACGAGTCAGTATTCTTCTCCTAGCGGTAAGGCCTCAGTCTTCAAACCATTGCCTTTTGTCGACTTGCGGGACTCATGTCTGGAAGTAGGATTCACTTATCGTCGTTCACGCCCTCTGCCCCGAATTGCCGCGGCGTCATCATCGGCTAACACTCATTCGACCCATCCTCGTGCAGATACTTCAGTACTCGCCAAAGAGCCTTCAGAATCCGAGCGACTGGATACTAAGCCACAGCCTTCCCCTGCGTCCAAAGACAAGTCCGAATCACCTAGCGAACATTCCGCCTATTCCAACGAGCATCGAGAAGAACGTGCTCGCGCTTCCTCGAAGCCGGATCTTAACACGGAGGCAAGCGTCGAACATCCAAACGAAGGACGCGCGGATGAAGAATATGAAGACGAGGTCACAGTACCATTACCGAACGATGACTGGCTTCGTCCAACCTACAAGCATCTCCCCAAACTTAAGTACGATTTTCTTATACCTTCGTGTTTTACGCACGCTAACGAGTCTGTAAATAGATATGTTTTGCTCGAGAAGACATCCAAAAATCAGAAGGAGCGTGTCGACGATAGTTTGCTGTCACCGTCGATGATTAAAGCGTGTTTCGAAAATAATGGCCTAGACTATATTCAGAGGTGACTTATTTCTCCGGGTAGTCTCGTTTGTTATACTTATTGCAAAATGTAGTCGACTGTTCAAGATGTTAACAATGAAGCATTACAAGTTGTACGCCAACGCCTCCAGAATTGATCCGTCCATGATCAAGGCGTCCAGCAGTGGATCGAGCACTTTCTTTAATACGACGCCCAGCATGTATCGACCTGCCGAACGCTCCCTTTCCAACAACGTTTGCTTTGTTATGACAGGAATGGTCGCCTACTCTTACCTTACCGAAGAGGCCGTCAACATCAGTTCATACAAGACCACGGTTGATCATCGAATCGGCCTTTATCCTTTCGACGGGGAATTTCAGCGCGCCATGACTCTGTTCGGTAACTTGGCTGGTAAAGATTCGCTTGTGTACACCTTTCATGGAGGGGTGATCCCTTTTACGACTCGAGTTAAAGGTAAGCCTTATATCCTATGTCTCGAGCCTATTCTAATCTCTCACGAATAGTGGGGAACGAAGATCAAGGAAATATAATTGCGTCTCCAAAGAAAGCCGGTCTCTTTTCGAGTGGCATCCCTTCTCAATCTACCGGATGCAATCCATTGTTATCCAACATCAAGAGGCAGCATTACCCGATGCCGCTAGCCTTCGATGATAAAGGTAGACTCCTCGTTTTTTATGATATCTATTTTGACTTATCCATCGAAATTGACAGTGCCCATCTTCGACGCTCGTCGCAAAGACAACGTTTTCGACGATAGCGATTGGGATCGACTGCACCGATTCCCAATTTGGACGCACAACGAAGTCCCTCCTTATTGCTTGGTGACTGTCGGTTATACTGCCAATACCTACACCATTTCTTCCAATTATTCTACTAATACTAACTCGCCTTACTTGTCTCTTAATTTGCAATTCGTTATCGTACATGCTGACCCTATCACCGTCTAGCTATCATGGCTACCTTCCTTTCTTGAATCATAATGATTGCATATAGATGTCGCTTCAGCTGTACCCTCCTCCTTTCTCGAATTTACAGACCTGTCCAAATTGTTTCGACGAATCGTTATCTTAATATCCACTGTAATCCGATCTTGAACAATCTCGCGTAGCCACTGTAGTGTGACACGAATTCCCTACCTACGTATCTATCTACCTACTGACGTACCTACCCTCCACTAGAATGTTTATTCTTGATTGCTGTACTCGACCCTTAGACCTTGATTGAGTACTAGGAATGATCAAGCGTGCGGCTCGACATAGAGTGATCGGCTGGCTGGAGACCAAAAGCTTTCACTTGACCGCAGTTGTACCTCTTCTTCTATATATCTTGTCCACCTTCTTCTCCCATGTAACCTCCGTCGAATGAACTTCCTTTAACTCCAGGTTGACATAGTCCCGTAGGTGTATCGTGAGATTGTCCATGAATCTCGGCCCTTCACGAGACTGAATATCAGGTAAAGAGCATGGATAGAAAGCGAACATCATTTGAAGTAGTTGCAACTTCTAACTGTCCATACCATTGAAAGACAACGCCGCACGGGTATCTGGTACCCCGGAGGTCCATTGCAACAAATTCTAGACTGTAATTTTATTCTTACTCTATGTACTCTCTATCTCATGTATATTTACTTATCTAGCAATAGGACTCGCCGAATGGGCTCTGGATATTGCACAAAGAGGGAGCTTACAGACAATATTGATGCGCGCCTAAACTACTTTAGGGCAGCCGCGCCGCGCATCATGATCCATGGAACCACCGTACACGGGATCCCGGACAAAATGCATTATCCAAAGACAATATCTCGCCAATGAGAGCCTTGGTCCTACTGCAAGCACCCTCACATGTTTGGCGGCGACTACCCCGATCGACCATTGCCCTTGATGAACGAACGAAGGCCAGCTACGAGTAAGGATGCTGTAGGAGGGTTTGCTTTTCTTTGACTATAGAAGCCTGTAAGGAACAGGTACTCGTTCATAATCCTTCTACATAATCACGATTACAGAGTATCCCTATATAATTGGGTCGATAACCTCCCGAATTTACAGAGCATATGCTCAATGACAAACACGTTGTAACCCATCTTTTGACGTATTTCTGGTCCGAATGAACGAATAATTTCAGCGTCGAGGTGTCGAAGGGCCAAAAAAATAGATGGACAATCATCGCAATTATACCCAAGAGACTTAAGGCCTTTCAAAGCACCCTTGCCGAGGGAGTGAATGACCTCAGCCATGTCTTCAAGAGACGGCATAGGCACTACACCGGCGATTGCATAATCGCCCGCGAGAAGGTATGCTGTCAAGGGCCCAAAAGACGGAAACTTGGCCGTGTTGAACAGATCTCGGAGAGCTTGGAAGGTGATGGGATGGGAAAGGCTCTCTCCCAGTAGCCAGCTGTTACACTCGTCCTCTCCGGTCGCCTCCCACAACGCCTCTGCGATATCGACCGTTCTATTTGTTCTGACACCATACGCTGACTGATTGCAGAAGAAAGATGACGGTTGATCGGGATAAGCTTGGAGTCGCGCACGAAAATGGGTAGCATTCATGAAGAACGTTTCTGAATGTTCGATCAGGAACGGTGTGTTATGGGTAATGCCTCTGTATACCGCGGCACTGAACAACCCTGCTCTTGTTCGTAAGTGGGTAGTCGAGAACGGACCATCGGCTTCAAGAATTCGTCGTCTGGAAGGGGCGAGGTCGCGGAACGGTAACTTTTTATCTCCGTTGTCGAATACGTGTTTCATGAATTTGGCAATAGCGCGACTTTTCCGGCTGTCGTTGCCGTCTTCGAGGGAAGAACACACGAAGAGAGAGTTATCGGGATGGTCGAGAATTGGCAGGAGTAGTTCGAGTTGTCGAATGAAATGAGTCAAATCAACTTCTTCGCTGCCTCCGGTTCTATGTGGCAGTACGACTAAAGAATATAGATATTAGTCTTGATAAGAGAATAAGAAAAGGTGTATCATACCTCCACTAGCATTAATAGACTTCCCCTCGCGCACCACGCTAATAAACACCTGATCCAAAGTCAACTCCGACAAATAACCCTGCGAAAACGTTTCCAGTAGTCCCGCGAACTCCTTCACCATCTCTGTTATCTCAGGCGTGTGCAGTTCCTGTAATGCGAGTCCAAAGTTCCGAACCCAGGAGTTGACCTTCTGCGATGGAAAGCGACCGGTTTTCCCTGCCGTGATAAGCTTGATGTTACGACAAATATCCCACAACTCTGGTAAGAAGAGAGCCCATATTCCCAGATGATCCACCACGACATCGCATAGGTCCGCCCTTACACGATTGGTAGGAGATTGAGGAAATTCGAACCAAGCAAGCAAGATAGGTTCCATGAGAAGGATGTAATCTTCCAAGGTATCGGTGATGAACACCCTTCTTTTCAGCGGCGCGAGGACATACACCTTGTCGGAGTGGGGCATGGTTGTCAGCAGATCCTTCGCATATAGCTCGAGCTCTTTCTTCGGGTTCAAAACAAACGAGTCCAACTTCGCGATCAGAGGGCCCAGCCAGGTGTCTTCGTTGTTGCGGAAGGCTACATACGCCTTCTCCATCGAACAACGCAGCCACTTCCACGACACCATGTTGACCATCAAGTTGAGACCGCGGTGACAAATGGCGTTGATTTCGAACGATCGCTGTTTTGCACCCAGCTGTGAATGAACCTTCCAAACGCCCAGTATATCGTTGTTGCGTAATAGCTGACAGAGGTCGCCCAAGAGTTCGTTGACCAAGGGGAATGAGATATGTTCGTCTTTGCTCTCGCGGATGCATTCAGCAATGTCGGCGACGGTGTCCATCATGCGCTTGATGCTGCATATCCTGCCAGCAATATCCGCCTCGGCTACTGGACCATCGATCTGTCTCCAATAAGGCTCATCCGCCAACGCTCGACTGTCGGAGTACGTGTTGTCTGTAGCGCGCTGATCCAATGAATTGCCGCCTGACATCAAGCAAAAGAATATAAATGTTAGGATGTACTAACACGTCAACTGTTTATTGCCTACTTACTCCTCTGCTTTACACGTTTGGCAGGAACTCCATCCTCCGAAAGGTCTGTATCGTCCTCGGCATCGCTCGGAGTATAAGCATCCCAATCCGCCGTCCTTTTCCCCTTCCCTTTCCCCCTCCCCTCCCTTTCCCTTCCCTCTCTCTCCCGTTCCCTCCCCTCCTTCTCCTTCTCCTTCTCCTTCTCCTTCTCCTTCTCCTTCTCCTTCTCCTTCTCCTTCTCCTTCTCTTTTCCCTGCCTTTCCTTCCTCCTCCTTTTATCCGTCTCCTTTCCCTTTCCCTTCCTATTCCCCTCCCTCCCCCCATCATTGACCGGCCCACTTCCCGACACCTCGGGGTTATTTCTGTCTCCACCACTCTGCCTCGTACGCCTTCCGCTCGTCTCAGTGTCCTGATTCTGATCTTCATCTCGGTCTTTACTACCTTCCATGCCGTTTTTAGAGGATGCGGTCCCAGAGGATGTCGTCTCCCCTGCCTTTCGTGTAGACCTGGTAACATCTACGAATAAAGTCAGTATAAACAAAAAAGAAAAAACATTAATTACTTACTCCTTCGAAGACTGGGATTTGCTTGGAAGTCCCTGACGCCGGTAATGTCAGATGCGATACAAAGCGGGATGGTGGCACTTTGAGCTTTGAGATGATGGTTCCAAGATCGTATATGCTGTGCGACCAGAGTGTTTCCGTACCGATAGTCGGAAAGGCTGTCCGAGTTATGGAGACGAAGGAGTTGATCAGAAGGCATTTTGCGAAGGTTTTGCTCGTACTGAGTGCCGATAGCGGTGTCGGATCCTGTCCATCCTGGGCCTAGTGCCCAAGGTCTGCAAGCGGTTCGTACACCATCATCGTTGACAAAGGAGAATGCCGCCAGAAACTGATCCTTGTCGATTCGCATGAGATAATGGGGAGGGAACTGATTGACGATAAAGGCGTTGAATTGTAAAAGGGCGCGAGTGAAATGTTCGAAGTGCGCTTCGCCGGTAAGTATAGCCTCGCCATCAATTCCGTACGACGCTTGACCCGAGGCATGCTTGGTAAATGACGATACGACCCTGCAAGATGATATCAGCGCTGAAAAATAAGAGACGAGAACGTATGCTTCAACTCACCCCCAATTCTTCATCTCACTGGCGATTTGCCACACGCGTTCCTTCCCTATCGCTGTCGGTAAAGACCCCTGAGCTGATGATCCCGGAATATCGAAAAATTTGCTGGGCGAATAGCAAATGATCATATTACGGTGATAGTGACGAAGGTGAGTGCGAAGTGCGTTGTATCGAGAGATAACCGCTCCATGACAACGAAGTCCGTTGAACATTATGGTGTCGAATTCCAGCATGATAACCGCGATCTTGTAGTCTGCACAGTACGTGATTTCTGGCGCCACGTCAGGATGGGGATAGCTAGAGTTGGTCATGGCTGTAATCCCCCCAGCTGAATCGCCACAATCAACGTGATTGCCACCAAATGGACCGAGGACATCACGAAGGGTAGTGACTGAACATGTGCGTCATGTCAGGAAAAGAAAGAGAAGGAATGAAATAACCATGAGTCAGGAATTGATTTTCAAAGAAATACCAATACATACCATCATCTGCAGACACGGCTGCCGAAATATTCAGTTGCACGGCAGGGAAATAAGCGTTTCGACTGTCTCCGACGCGAGGGATGTTAAGATACTCAGATCTGTCTTGAAGCGCCTCCGCCAACTCTTTCGATCCTTCCTCGAGGCCTGCAATACCCGCCAAAACTCCTGCCTTGAATAACGTGAGTAACGATCGAATGCATTATACTCAATACACGTACCTGGACGATATCACGTACAAGGCGAGCGTGTTCGTCGAGTGTCTTTCCCTCTGTTTTTCTGGCCTTATGTGGGGCGTCCATATCGCGCGCGAATTGATAAGAAACGGTAAGAGGATAGGCCCGTTTGTTGGCGTCTAATGGTATAGCAGCAGCGTTTCTCTCGAATGCAAGACCTCCCGAATATGTCTTGGTCGTTGCATCGAATGTCGGCTTGTCAGGGGTGGTATCCTCGAGATTGCCGTGAAGCCGGTCCCTGGCGTCTTTGAGGAGCTTGAGGGTGTTTTCGTTATGCTTATCTCTGGGAGTTGTTGTTAATAGTGCTCTTCGAAACATGTAGTAGAAATACGCGTACCCAGCTTTCGTCCACACCACTAATATATCCTTCATAGGATCTTGGTCTCCATCCATATTCCTCCATAGAAAGCGAGGCTCGTCGCGAGCTCTGACAATAAAGTACCCTTGCACGATTGATCAATTGTCTGATATCTGTCTGATAATTGTAGTACTTACCTTCAGCAATCGCGTCCGCAGCCGTCGCAGGGTACTGCGTTCGAACAGCTCGGGTGAACACATTCTGCATGGAAGCGGCGTCGCCTCTGCCACATAGGAGATAGATGTTACCCTCACGTCCTGGAACGAGCGGATGAGAGGATAAGCACACGATGTCCGCGACATCTGAACCTCGAGAAGGATGAAAGAACGTGGTCGAAGGTGGGGCGTTGGGGTTGGTAGGAAGAGGATCGGTCATGACCGACGCAATAATGCAGGTAGGGCCGGTAGCTTGAAAAACAAAACAGAGAGAATGGACGATTGGAAGGATAAGAAAGGGCATTGTCTTTTATAGAGCACTTCGACGCAGGGGGTACCGAATTCCTTTGGTTTTTATCGGAGTCAGCCTCATTAATTCGGTTGAATATTCGCTCAACTTTCCCTAGGATTTTCTAAGTGGTCAGCCCTGATTTCACAGACGCGCTGGCTTGGTCCAGCGATCAGCTTCGTTCTGTCCTGAAACGGTGCCAACGCACATCCAGTCCGCAAAAAAAGGAGCATTGCAAGTAATATTAGTCCCGAAAATCGACGACTACGTTATGTACCTACAACGAAGATAAAACTATGAGACGACGTTGAAGGATTGGTACGACAACGCACCCAAGTATAATCTCCTGCCGGTCAACTTCGTTTTCCCTAGCGTTTGTTTCGAATAGGGCGGTTGACTTCTGACGTCTTTACTTGTCCTGCGATAGTCAGGCCCGACGCAAAAGATGACGTATTTTGCCCTTGGGTCACTTCATTTTCCATGGCGCTGATTTCGAATAGGGCAGTTGGCTCTGGAAGTCTTTACTTGTCCTACCACGGGCAGATCCGACGCAAAAGGTGATGATCGATTCGACCTAGACCTGATATCAATCCTTCCTGAAAATATAGCTCATTACTGTTCTTTATCGATCTTGGGCTGCAAAAAAGGGTCGAGATGCATGAAAGTCTTGAAGAATCGCCGACCTATAACGAAGATAAGATTGTGACATAGCGTTGAAGAACTGGTACGACAACGCACCCGAGTATGAGGCCCAGTCCAGTTCGTTTTCATGACGCTGGTTTCAAACCGCCGGTTTCGAACAAGACGGTTGACCCTTGACCTTTTTACTTGTGTTGCCAGAGTCAGGTCCGGCGCAAAAGGTGACGCATCTTGCTATTGGCTCGATCACGGATTGAGAGGTTCGTCCAGGTCTCGATTCTTCTTGACTACTGAATGCGTTGCTGCTCTTTTCCCTGAGATGGGACGCAGGTAAATGTCGAGACTCGTGACTACAGAATCACCGTGTGCCTACAACGAAGACAAAACTATGAAATGGCGTTGAAGGACAGTTACAACGACGTACCCAGTCATAAGGTCCAGTCCAGTTCGTTTGGGTGGAGCAAGTTTCAAACAGGGCGGTTGACCCATGTTGACGTCTTTACCTGTCCTGCCACAGTCAGGCCCGGCGCAAAGGGTGACGCATATTGCTGTTGGCTCGATCATGTTCGTCCACATCGTGATCGTTCTTTTCTGTCGAGCGTATTGCTGCTCTTTCTCCAAGATAGATGGCAGGTAAGCTGTTTCAATATTCATGACAGTCTCGAAGATTCGCTGCTTACCTACAACAAGGATAAGACTATGAGAGGGTGATAAAGAATCGATACGACAACGCACCCAGTCATGGAGTTCCGTCCAGTTACAAATGGCCCTTGGGCCTTGACGTCTTTAGTTCGCTCTCGCGGCGCTGGTTTCGAATAGGACGAATGACCCTTGGGGCTTGACGCGTGACGTCTTTACTCGTCCTGCCACAGTCAGGCTCGACACAAAGGATGACGCACGAAGCTGTTGACTCGATCACGGATTGAGAGGTTCATTGTGGCTGTGTACTCAAGAGTATAGCTCAGGTTGGGCGGTGCACGCACCGGTCTATATAGCGTACGCGAGACCACCGCACTCGTTCTTTACTGGTGCCTCCGTGTTCATCAGTCCATCGCTACAGCCATAAAAGAAATGTGTTCCAGTTACTTGCCACGTTTATGATGGTATGACAATAAGCACTTGCAGGAAGGTAATCCTTCGCAGGATGAGGAACAGGTGAACATCACAGAATTATAGGTGCAAAGGTAACAACAAAATACATCGATACGACTCATTTACAGGCAAGCTCCTACTCGCTGTCGGACGGGATTCCACCCAAGGAAGCGCAGTCAGAATCACCGGAATCCCAAATGCAATCAGCTCCCAACTCGTTTTGAATAAGCATTGAAATGTGGTTGAGCTTGTCAGTGTTATCGCGATCGTCGTCGTTGAGGACATCGTCGATATCGAAAAAGGTGTTACTGAGCTGCTGAAGGCGACTGACAACGCTTCTATATTTGGTCCGGGCGATAGCGGCATCTAGATTAATAGTGAGCAAAACAAGAGACGATAAATACAGAGATAAATGGTTAACTCACATCCAGCAGCACGAGCCGCGAGTTGACGATCTCGGCGGCGATGTTCAAGCTTTGGAAAGCCTGTGCAACCCTGTTAGAATAAGCTCAGAACAATAGTAATTTTACATACTGCTGCGGTGAATGAATTTGGTTTTCCTGGACGGTTTCAAATAATAGGGCGCCTTCCCAGCCGTATTCTTGGATCTCGGACGAGGGAGAACGACGGAAGGGGCAAGGCTGCCAACATCGTCCTGAACTTGACAGGCAGCTCATGGTCAGCATTGACGGGTTCTTGGTGGTCGCTGGCCACAGCTATGTTGCTGTCAACCTGCCCAAAGAAGGTTCGTTAGGTTACTGGTTAGAACGAGTGATGTGAGCAAACATACTCCTTGTGGATCTTCGTTGAGCACTGGTTCAGAGGCGTTGTATGCGTTTTCGGACATTTCGATTTTTTTTAAGGATGAAGAAAAGAGGTTCGTGGTCAAGGTGCCGCGTCAGCAGTTGAACTTATATTGTGCCTTCACAGTTAAGACGTAAAATGATCAACTATTGACTAATAAGATGACAGGTGACCCAGTATGTTCAACGAGCGCCTGTGTTAGCCTTTACCGGTTACCCAGGACCGTCCGGAGGGGCAATTGAAGGTATCCGAAACGGTATGTGGGTAGCGAGTATATACGAAAAGAGGATGATGGGATTAGGAGATACGAATAAAGGATGTGAAAAAGAGTGGGATCCCCTTCGAAAGAATGGGGCAGGGGTGGAGGCGTGATTTCTCTCCATTGTCAGCATTGCGACTTCAAATTATTTCGAAGAAGGCGCGTCCTAAACCCAATCCTAAGCGCTCAACTCTAACCACCAACTCTCACCCTAGCATCTCCGCTATGCGCAGCTAACTGACCCTAACTCTAATAGCCGCCCATCAACGGCCGGCGTGGAGACTGGGCGGAATTGACATCACAACTCAAGGAAAACAGTGAATGACGCCCGTATCTCTCACTCTTGCTCCCCCATTCCATTCTTTTTTGGTCAATCACACTCTTTTTGACGCAATTTCACTTTGAATCTCCAATCCCGTCCTTTTCTTTTCGTCACCTCCCTCTCCCTAGGTAGCCTCATTTCCGTCGCACTTGCGTAAGGGATGATCTTGGGTGATCCTCACCATGAAAGACCGGATTCCTATGGCAGCGGATAACATCCGCGCGTCTCCTTCGTCCCTAATTGCATTCCAGTGTCTCATCGACAGTCATGTAATTATTGCATCGATATGAGACAGGAAGAGAACGGGAGAGATGAGATCTTCGGATATCGGGCCATGCGGAGGCAACGCGTAAAGATCAAATTCTTCGATATCCTCTCAATCTAGCTGGAGAGGAAAGGCATTCAGTCCTTGCTCATCGGCTTTGATTTACTCACTGTAGTCGAGGATCGGACATCGGCCCGATATGGAAACAACGACACACAGAGGTTGGATTCGCCTTTCGTGAACCGCACCTTTGTCCTCTCTGTTCTTTCTCTTCTCCTTCACTGGCTGCCCTCATGTTTATCCTCGGACTGTGTGCGGCATTCCTGAACACCATGGAAATTTATGTCGTTGTCTCCCAATGCTGGTCGATGGAGCGCTGGTACTTGGTTTTCACGGGTCGCTCCATATCTTTGCCCAAATGTGGGTGTCTCGAGTTACCATTAGTTTTTCTGGCAACTTACTGGCTCTTTGCTGGCATATCTGCGTCGGACGTGATTGAAATGTGCTGGAGGAACACTACCAGTGTTGATCAAGATCAAAAAGCCTGCCCATCGAGGTGCCTGGAAAACAGAAAGTCGGCGTTGGTTAACCTCGACAATAATGCCTTTTTTGATACACCATCGCTAGGCGGAGCAGCGAAACACGTCGATTTTACCGGCGATTTCAACAAACTGATAACTTCCGGTCACAAATCCACTGATTTTCCTGGGCACAGTCTACGATTTGTATCCTATGACCTCAAATCAAGTACTAGACCCAAAGTGCACGATAAAATCGTCGTGACTGCCTCACTGTCTTTATACAGACTCTTCTGTTTCTTATCTATTCCCCAAATGAAGAAAATTGCTGCACTACACGAGATCTCGTTGGGACGACGCAACAGAGCCAACATTGAATCTGTACTTTTTGACCACGACTGCGCCGAATGCCCACGATATGTGACTTCGTTGGAGATTGTTCCGGGTAAAAGGCTAGTTAAAAGGCAATTGAATAAGAGACGATCCGGGAAAACAAGATTTCCTGTCCACTTACCTGATGACAATATCACAGATAAGGACGACATTAAATTCCCTCCTTTGCCGCTTGATGACTTGGCGACTGAACGAATTATACGTGGTGCCTGTGCAAAACTCAGTCCCTCCGTATTTGAAGAGTCCGGATGTGCCGTATGTGGTATCTTGCACTCCACGAAGTCAATGCTCCCGATTTCCAGCATTCGAAACCTGCTTCATGTCTTGGAATCTCCCGGGGTAACACGGAAAGAGCGACGCAATACGAACGAGGCCATTGAGTCCTGCAAAGGTCCTGTCTTGGATCGAAAATGTGATAAGGTGTGTACCCCCTGTCGAACAAGTATCCGTAAACATCGAGTACCAAAGATGGCACTCGCTAAAGGTCTTTGGCTTGGTACCGTTCCTCCAGAGCTCGCTTGTCTGCGTTACGCAGAACGCCTCCTGGTTGCAAGAGTTCGACACTCTGTATGCTGGGCAAAGGTATCCACGGGTATGCGGAAGATGAAAGCGAACGTGATATGCTTCGAAGTTCCCCTGCCTCGAGTTTACAGTATACTTCCACCACCAAAAGATGACATACAGGAGGTACTCGCTATTTTCTTCACAGGCCCAACTCCTCCCACCCAAGAAGATATGAAAAGAACCCCTTTCCTTGTTAGGAGAAATGAAGTAAGACGAGCCCTCGAATGGCTTATCCTTAACCATTCCGACTACGCAGACGTAGCTATATCAAGTGAAAACCTGGAATCATATCCTGAAGATGCACCTCCCGTTGCGGTGGAATACGTTCATTCAACCACCAACAAGTCACCGGAAAATTCAAGTTTATTCGATAAGGATGAGGAGGACGGTACAGCAGAGGGAGACTGTACGTTCACGGTTCACGGGATTACAGGTGATAAACTAGAAAATATGTCGATTAAAACTCTAAAGGCTCGAGCGTTTCAGCATCTGAACAGACGGGGTAAATTCTTGGTCGTCGGTCACGAATCGGAACCACTTAGCTTTTGGAATAGCCCTAATATCTATCCTCAGATGTTTCCTTGGCTGTTCCCATATGGGCTCGGAGGTATAGGTTCCATTCCAGGAATATCCCCAAAAGTTCACAAACGCCATCTCCTATTCTATCACGACAAAAGGTTTCAGTTGGATCCTAATTTTTCCTTTGTTGCGTTTAGTCACGAGCAAATGTCGCAGGCACAGAACCAGGGGCACCTACTTGCCGATAGATCACAGTTCAATGACATATCCTCCCGTCTTCTGTCTGTCGATCCCGGCGTTCTTCAGAATCTAGTTAACAGGATGGCCAATGGCGAATCGGTAAGGCCCGAAACAACGATGGAAAAACAGTGCTGGAGGGTTTTTCATGACCTCGACCATATAATGGGGAAGGTAAATGGATCAATTACGAATAAGAAGTATATGCGAAACGAGGTTTGGTCCCTCGTCGCGTTACGAGGAAGCCCTTCCTGGTATATTACACTTTCTCCTGCGGATATCCAGCATCCCCTGTGTCTATACTTTGCTGCTACTAATGAGAAATTTACCCCGGACATTCTCCCATACGATCAACGTCTGCGGTTGATCTGTCGAAATCCTGTGGCTGCCGCTCGTTTTTTCCATTTCATTGTTGATTTATTCGTTACAGAAGTTCTGGGTGTGAAAAATCGACGCGAACCAGGCGCCTACGGACCCACCAGCGCTTATTACGGTACAGTTGAACAGCAGGGTCGATTAACCCTTCACCTTCATATGCTCGTGTGGATTTCAGGCAGTGTCAGTCCCCAAGTAATCCGTGACAGGATTCTCAACGATTCAAAATGGCAACGCAAGATAGTGGAATGGCTAGAAGCTGCTCATGTAGGAGAATTCTTGACTGGTAGCCTTCAGCACGTGAAGACTACCGTTGAAGAAAGGTCTAAATCTAACCTATACGTGGATCCTACAATGACTCTTCCCGTTCCACCTCCTCAAAGAGGGTGCGCGAATGAACATCCAAAAGGATGTCCTGATTGTGATCGAACAAAGACCTGGTGGGAATATTTCCGAGAAACCGTAGACGACCTATTCCTGAAGTCCAATCTGCACGACTGCGATAGAAATAGAAACAAGGACGGCTCCTTCAGCAAGAAACAAACCTATGTCAATTGTCGAGACAATAAGTGGAAACGATGCCGAGCACGATTCCCTCGGGAGCTGCATTCAACTACTAAGGTTGATCCAGCAAGCGGAGCCCTTGCTTTGAAAAAAGGCGAAGCATGGATCAACACCATGACGCCCTTACTTACTTATATCATAGGTTGTAACACGGACGTTACGAGTTTACTGTCGGGGACAGCTGTTAAAGCTGTAATTGTGTACGTGACTGACTATATCACCAAGCCCGGTTTGAAAACTCATGTAGTCTTTGATGCAATAAGAACAGTGCTCACGAGGGATACCAATATTATGTGGGGTGACGTCAAAGCAAAAGAGGTGGCCAGGCGGCTCATGACAAAAATTGTGAATCTGGTATCAGCGAAGATGGAACTTGGAGCGCCCATGATTGCGTTATATCTCATGGGCAATCCAGACCATTATACAGACCACACCTTCGTTCCTTTATATTGGACCAGTTATGTGAACGAGGTGAAGAGTGTCTTCCATGATGAACAAATCCAAAAGACAGGATACGATAAGGTAGCCGTGATCATGCAGCAGGGAAAATACGTCCAGCTTTCACACACGTTCGACTATGTGTATCGTCCTTCTGTGGTAGAATCATTGCCAGTATATGACTTTGTGCGCTGCTGCAAGCGCGTACAGATCTCTTCAGCACATCGTGATAAGCAGACACTTCCCCGAGGCACCTTTCTGTTTCTTCCTGGCCATCCTCTTGCTAAATCACACGCATTAAGAATCAACACGACTGCCATGGAATATGTGGTACCAAATCTTTTGGGAGGTACAATTCCGAGGCCCGGAGTTGGAAGCGAGAGCGAGTACGCCGTGACAATGTTGACCTTATTCGTCCCTTGGAGATCAGGAACTGATTTGCGAAATCCAGGCGAAGAATGGCCATCCGCTTGGAGTCGAGTTGCCATAGGAGCACGATACAGAGCGATAATAAGCAACATTAATCTAAAGTATGAATGCCTAGACGCACGCGACGATTTCAGAGCCCAGCTCAAATCGGGTGCAGATGTCAACCTACCCAATGCCAGCTGGTTCGATCCTAATGATGACGACTTCGAAGTTCCCTGTGACGATCAGAATGGAACGACAGGTTCACTATCCGAAATAATCGAAGGCTCTTATCGAGACGGGATACTCGCCGGAGACGAACTGGGAAAGTGTTACGGTGATCGGATGAATGCAATGAAGCGCATGGCAGCAGTGTTGAATAATACAGGGTGGTCAAAACCAGTGGCCGTGGTACACAACGAACCCGTGCTTAACAGGACGTCTGCTCAATATTTGCCCGCTTCAGGATGGAGAGCGGAAGTAATGCGAAAGCGCCAAGAAGTAATGGAATCTCGATCAAAGGCAATCCCCGCGACCGTGAAGGACACCCCTCATGGTCGCACGAGGATACCGAGTAATGCAGTTTTCATAACCGACAAGAGATACCTCACCAAAGACCCCATCTATGATCCGGTAATTCAAAGGAAAATCGACGTCGTCGTGTCAGCCTTCGGATTGAACTATGAGCAGGAAAAAGCATTTCGAATAGTGGCGAACCACGCATCCGACAGTTATGCAGAGCGACTGAACATGTATATAGGAGGGATGGGTGGGACAGGGAAGTCCCAAGTACTCAAGGCCTTGATGCACTTCTTCAAGTCTAGGGGAGAGTCTTACAGACTGATCGTGGTAGCACCTACAGGCTCTGCTGCTGCACTTCTTGGTGGTATGACATATCACTCCGCCTTTGGTATCAATGACCGATCCGGAGCAGGCATGGCCGCAGTAAAATCGAAACTAATTGGGGTGGATTACGTTTTTTTCGACGAAATATCTATGGTATCATCATTCGAACTGTACAGGATAAGCGCCAGACTTTGCAGAGTACTCAACACACCCGATACGTCTTTTGGTGGCCTAAGTATGATCTTCGCGGGCGACTTTGCGCAATTACCACCACCTATGGGAGGAGAAGCTGCTTCGTTATATGGAAGGCAAGTCGGACTGTCGGGCAACACTCTTCGTAAGCAAAAGGCGTCTATAGGTAAATCCATATGGCATGAAGTGACCACCGTGGTAATACTGAAGCAAAATATGAGGCAAACAGCCCAGTCGGAAGACGACGCGAAACTTCGAATGGCACTTGAAAACATGCGATACAAGGCATGCACGACCAATGATATTGCTTTCCTTCGATCCCGGATTTCATCGTCCTTACCCGGAAAGGCGTCTATCCGAGATCCGGAGTTCCGAAACGTCTCGGTAATAACCACATTAAACGTCTTAAAAGACACCATCAATGGAATCGGATCCGCGAGGTTTGCAGAGGAAACAGGGCAACGCTTGAGCTTTTTCTATTCGGAGGACGAATTTGTGCAACAATCTGATAACAGCGACCGGGAGAGAATACGCAACTTGGTATGCGACACAGAGATCACGCCGCGTCTGCAAAAAACATTGTGGGATCAACCGTGCTGTTCAACAGATAAATTAGTTCCAGGTAAAATAGGCATCTGTGTTGGACTCCCCATCATGCTGCGAAATAACAACGCAACAGAACTGTGTATCACAAAAGGACAAGAAGGCTGTGTGTACGGATGGCAAGGTGGAAAGGGATCCAAGAATCAACCTGTGCTAGAGACGTTATTTGTTGAATTACTCAATCCACCTACTCCAATCCAGTTTGAAGGTCTCCCTTTGAACGTTGTACCCATACTCCCCACAACAGTTAGCCATGTCCTATGTTCGTTACCGACTGACGAGAAAGTTCTGATAACCAGAAAACAGGTCGAGGTATTGCCTAATTTCTCAATGACAGATTTTGCATCTCAAGGGAAGACTCGTCAATATAACGTGGTCGACCTTAGTCCCTGCAAGACCCACCAGTCCTTCTACACTGCACTTTCAAGAGGTGTCTCTGCACAAGGCACTGTGATCGTCCAGGAATTCTCCACACAACCTATTACAGGGGGCATTAACGGCACCATGAGAGATGAATTCAGATCTCTGGAAGTTCTTAATGTTATCACCGATCTCAGGTATAACGATCTTCTTCCAAATACAATCAACGGATCCCATCGGCGTGAACTGATCGCGCAATTCAGGAAATGGAAAGGGGCAAATCACGTACCTGACGGAGTGCACCATGCTATCAAATGGAGCCCGAGCCGCCCTTGGGTAGAGGACGACCATACTCAACAGGAATGGGCCATCATCGATAACGAAAGCAATAGCGCCTCGCAAGACAACGCCTCTACAACGCAAAGCAAATTTTCAAACTACATCTCTGCCGAAGGGTCTAAATCTGTACCCATTAACGAGATTAACCCTTTCATGCTGGAAAGAGGAGCCAATAAGGAGGCTAAGAAGCAAGGACAGCAAGAAGATTCCACAACTAGGAAGCGCATTAAAGTGGGACCTCCAACAACTATTACCTCCTGTATGCCCGATATGATGGCAGGTATCGAGTGGTCCAACAACAGCTGTGCATACGACGCCCTCCTAGTAATTTTATTCTCATCGTGGTCCAAAAATAAAAGTAGATGGAGCAGATATCTATCGACTTTAGAAGGAACTTACGGAGAAACCCTGGAATCGGGCTTCCGCTCGGTTGCCCTCGGTTGCACCACGATGGAGAGCGTACGTGACAAGTGGCGATCGGCCTTGTCAGCGACATCCCCAGAAAACTTTCCGATGGGCGGTTACACCTGCGTGATGTACATAACAGATGAAGTATTCAACGTCCCTCATGCGGTATTTTCCGTCGACTATGAGTGTAGAACATGCTTCCAGGAAGACGTACATATTCATAATATCTACAACTGCGGGGTTCCTTTCCAGAGACAAATACATTCGGTCCAGCAAGGAATGGACAGACTTTATTTATCGGAGGCAATGCGCATGTGCCACAACTGCCGGTCCCGCTTGTTGATGAAGCAAACTTTGCGCAACGCGCCTCAAATGCTCATCATCCATCTTCCCGACAGAACAATTACGCGGATCGACAAGTCATTGCAGGTTCGGTCACACGAAGGAGAAATACATACGTATGACATGGAAGGCATAGTATATTTTGCGCACGAACACTTTGTATGTAGAATTGTGTCCCAAGGAAAGCTATGGTTACAGGACGGGATTACTACAGGCCATCAGTTTATCTATGAGGGATACTTCAGCTCATGGAACAGTACACAACTAGCCACTTGCGGAGAAAGATTGGCTTGTAATGTTGTATATTCTTTGAGACACACCCTATAATAAGCATTAGTATCCAGAAACGGACTCGTACCCTGCCAGGAGCCTGCGACATGGCCCACACATCAAGTAGGTTAAGTTCGTCTAAGTTGAATCAGATCACCCTAGTCTAGCCTTTCGACCGGCTTGAATGACACCGTGACTGATACGATCCGAGCGAATTACTAATGTTTACGTGTATGCCTCAGGTGAGGTGAAATAAGTACGAGACTTAGTACGAGACTTGACGTTGAACGATTTTTCTAGTGTCGGTCGAGAAACATTGCCAGGCGGTGGTTACAGCCAAACAATGACAAATATCGCGTCGCGTCGCGGTGAATCGTTGGTCGAGACGTCGCTCTTTCACTCTCGAGTCTTGGCCATGCTTCACACTCCAGAGAACCGCTAGCAGGGTGGGGATGGGACAGTCTCTTGGAAAATCCAAAGTCTATAGCACCGGTGGCCCGTGTCCTGCGAGTGGCTCAGATGGATGCGCTGACCTTCATTATTTCGATGGTAACCACCTTCCTAATCAAGAACTTCGAGGGTTGACTTCCATCAGTCTCCTTTGTCTCCCTCAACTCTGCAAAAACATATGCAAACATAAGCAGGTTAAGCCCCCGAGAATTGGTTCTGCCTCTCTTGAACCGCTACCACCATGTCTCCGGCTCCCAAACCTCCTCGCAAGGCTGCCACACGCTCTGCGGCCAAGTCCAAAGATTCTCTTTCTCAGCCTGCTGAGCCTACTACTATGTTTTATCACGAAGGGGTCGATCCTTCCAAGGATTTGAAGAATCTTCGTCGTTTGAAAAATGCCACTGACCTTGAAATCAGTGCCATCCATGCCCAGGAGTCCATTACCGATGCGCTATGTGCGACTAGTTTTCGAACTGCCCGATTGAATTCTTATTACAAGGCTTCGCCCCACTGGAGCACCGAGGCGAACGCTTGGAAAGGCGTGTCAGCAAAGAGAGAGCTGCCTGTGGCTATACGAGCTTATCAGACGATCATCGAGCACATTATGTCCCACTTTGGATTGGCGAAAACCTTTGGCGGCGGGCGCAAAGCTTGGGTGACTTCTAACGAGGCGATCCAGAACTTCAATGAGGGTGACTTTCCTGTGCCTAATATCTGTGTGACTGGAAAGGGCGACTATCTCCCTGCTGATGCGCAAGATCCGTCTAACCCAAGCTACGAGCGGAGTATCTTCTTCTGCGTGGTCCAACCGGATACCGAGTTCCAACCCCGTGCATCGCAAGCAAATATTTTTGAACCTTTGGCTAGGTCCGTTGTCTTCATCCCATCTCTGCTCAAACAATAGTGCTGACATTCGATGTAGACATATTTTCTATGCGCAGCCTCATCGCCGTTTCTTCCGCATGCTCCTTCTCTCACAAAGTGGCCACATGCGTCTGTTCCACTTCGACCGAAGTGGATGCATCGATACGCCCTCCATCAACATAAACGAGCGCCCAGCGACCTTCGTGCGCACAATCCTGAGCCTATCGTCCCATGATCCCACTGCTGCCGGTTTTGACCCTGATATCTTCTGGAAATGGGGACGAGTCGGGCAGAAGCGCGTTCGACAAGGCTATATTCGTATGAAGAACCAGGAGGGCAAATGCACACTCCTTAATGTCGTCGGGAAGGGGCCAATCAGCATCAGGCCTGGGGTGCAAGGCCCCGCAAACGCCCTGTACCATGTTGTGGATGATTCGGGTAAGCATCTCATCGTGAAGGACGCGTGGAAGTATACGGGTGGCTCTGCGGGTCAGTATCTCCCTCGACCTTGGGAACATGAGCTCCTTCTTGCTGGAAAGGACTTGCCCGGCGTGTGCCAGATTGTCGATTACTCCATCGGTGTCTCAACCACAAGCTTCCGAGGCTACCGCATGCCCGACGTTGAGTTTACCCATTACCGATTCTCCATGGAGAAATATGGCAACTGCGCCCTGGGATTTGAGTCGGCCAAACAACTTACATGTGGATTTCGAGATGCCATTGCGGGTACGTGTTCACTTACTGGCTATGACTTTGTCAATTTTTTCTAACTGACATCATCACTACAGGACACCAAAGAATGTATATCAAGAAGAACATCATCCATCGCGATATCAGCCCTCGCAACATCGTCTTCGGGACAGAGGACGCGGAACCTGGTTGGGAAGGGGTGGTGATTGACCCCGAGTTGGGTACCTACACAAACGGCCATCCTGAAGCCAACGAGGACCATGCCATCGCTAGTTGCGAATTCGTAAGTGGACAAGTGATCCTTCTATGATTAACTGAGAACAGTTGACACTGCAGTGTACAGGGAACGAAAGTTTTCACGTCGATGCTCATCGCGGAAACTTACCACCCGGATGTCCCGCCATTCCCGCATGACCACACGGATGATTTGGAGTCGTTCTTTTGGAGCTTCCTCTACGTGTTATCGGTATACAAGGAGCCTGGAGTGAAGCAGTCCCCCAGGCCCAAGATCATTGATGATATCTGTTCAGACAACATGGCGGACGTCTACCAAGCCAAGATGAAGTTCTTGGCAAAGGGATTGAACCAAGACGAGCTGGACGCCATGGTTAGCCCCTTCTGGGGCCATTTGGGTGACAAGGGCGGACTCCTTGACAAGTTCCTGGACTACATCTCCGACCTCGCCTTTGAAAAGGACACCTATCTCGGGAATAAGGAACAGCTGGAGGCGTTTGTGGCCAAGGCGGACGAACACTACGCGAAGGTCTTGGAAATCTTCCAAGAGGCGATTGATGGTTTTGACAAAGCCGAGAATGAAGATGAGGATGAAGATGAGGATGAAGATGAGGATGACAGTCGTGGTGTTCTAAAACCTAGCGGGGCTGATAATATTCCACGAGGAGGCATTTGGGGTGGGAAGAAGCGAAAGGTCGACGACAGTGACAACGAGGAGGACCGCTACAAAAAGCGGGCACGAGACATGTTGGACGACGAGAATCATGTGTACGAGAACGAGGTTTACCAGGGGAATAGTTTCGAGGTTTAGGTACTATATTTTCGTGGTGCATCACTTATGTACATATAAGCTGCTACTTAGTCGGAATGTGCCTGAATCCAATTGTGATTTCATTGTTATGATTACATCCAGTAGCTACCTAGCCTAGCAGAGTCACTCCCAACCAGCCTCAGAATGGAATACTAGCGTAAATTATGACAGGTGTATTTAAGACTTCGCATTCACTGGCGAATATCTTCTGAGCTCGAGCAGAACACGGTTGCCGACAGCACCTGTCGGAACCTTGACCTTCTCATTTGGAATCATAGACATCTCAAGGTGCTCGGATGACTTGAGAATGGCGGCTCGAACAACTGTTCTCGCCAATTCAAAGGTTGCTCCCTAGATGCGAAGAAAGTAACGATCGTTTGGCCATCAAACGGTGGAGGAAGGAACTTACATGCTCGGACGGCCTCGTCGCAACTCCCTTTTCAAGCAGGGAGCTCGACACCGTGGAGTAACTGCAAGCAAGTGCTGAACTATCGATGACGAGTGTTCCTGGAGGTAGGTTGTATTCCTTCTCGCCTACCGCGACCGACACACATAATCCGAGGCTGCGTGCGGGTAGAGGGCCATAATACCCGGGACGAAGTGTTGCAAGCGTGTCGTCAATCCACGAGGCCAGTACCGTCGGGTCTAGGAGGGAAGGTCGAGGCTCAACCATGTGCAAGTAGCTGGAAAGGATACGAGTCGATGCGGTCCAAGAGGGAAGGATGATATGATACAGGATGAATAGAAGGTTTGCCGCGGCTTCGTCAATACCCAGTTCCTCCTCTTTCGCCACTCTCAGCAGTTTTAACAGCAGAGGGCTCGCTCCCTCGATATCCCCGTATCCATCCAGATACCACCACTCCTCCAGATACTGGACCAGCGACTTCATCACCCCCAATCTTGCTCTTTCCAATTCCAAGCCCGACGGGGATTTGAACGATGACGATGTTAGCACGGGGTGGCTTTTCAAAATCGTGAGGTAGTCACTCGATGTTTCGATGGGATAGGTGGGTCCGAGGAATGCGGAAGCCGTGGCGCGGAAAACGCTGTGGAAAACAAAGTCGGACAGTGGTTGGTTCGATGGTTGGCTCAACCTGAGAGCCTTGATGCCAATGTTACGGAATAACGACGAGAATTCTGCGTCAACTTGAAGCCTTCTGTGTAGGGAGTGCTGTGACGATTCGGAAGCAGCTTCCAGTAAACTGGGAACCCAGGCTTCGTCCAAAACTTCGAGCGCCCGTTCAGCATTGTCGCAACTCGTTAGAGCCTTGTAATTCTCCAAATGAAGGAGGGATGTGTGAACCGGACTTGATTGGGAATAAAGGTGCGGGATTGTGTCCAGCCCACTGATGACAATTAGGGCGGTGTCATTCGCCACCGTCTGGTAGATTGTGCTTGTTTCATCCCTTCACTCGTGTCAATCATGCAATAGTAGCATAAGAAACTGCATACCTTGACTTTCGTGGCACAGAGGTGTTATCCAATATGGGGATTCCAGGTATCACCCTGCCAGAGCTCTGCGACTTTTGATACAGATGGAAGGCAGCAGCAGTGGAAATACCGCCCAAGGTTCCCAGCAGAAGCTTTGAAGTCGAACAGAGTGGGATGGTTGTAGGACCTGGCATGGTTCGGAGACGTGTCGCAATTGGTGAATAGTCGCCAATGAGCGAAATTAAAGTCGGATATTTATGTTTCCCCCACTGCCCAACAATCGCGATCAACTGCGCCCACAGGGAAAACATAAAATCTCGTCTCACATCTTCCTGTTGGAAGCTATGAGCGCTCGGGATCTCAAACCGTTTCAAAGCTGTGTCTGGACGGTTCCATCAATATGGAAGATCACCCTTACGGGCTCCATGGTGGGTTGGACTTGACGGGCGCTGCTGGTATTCGGAGTGTACTGAGGGGGCGGTCCAGGGAGAAGCATTGATATCTAGCAGAAAATGCATCTGTTGTTATCTTCCGCGAAGGGCCGGCGGTGGACAAGTTCGAACATAGACTTCGTCTCCCATGTCTCGGGGACTGAACATCATGATGGCTGTGGGAGGCATTGGTGGTACTACATATGGGGATGTCGACGGACAAGCTAGACTGAAGCGGACGCTCTATCCTTCGAAGATGGATGGTCGATAAATGTTCAAAGAAAGCCATGAATCCGGTTCCGATCGTAGCCTATTGACTTGGACTATCGAGAAACCCCATGTCGTTTGTACTTTACTCGCAGCTCCTCGACCTCCATCCAGGACTGAATCGAATCTCCGACATCCCCCATCACCTTGAGGTCCTTCAAATTTGGGACCAGGCGGTTCAAATATAACGCCATATCCTTGTATGAGGCGGCCGGAAGAGGGGTAGATCCAAGTTCGCGAATTTCGAGATGGCGTATGAAGTTGCACGGCTTGAGACTCGGAAGACTGGCCATATCGTGGTAGAAAGATTGCGGTGTGAGGGAAGAGTCGATGGGTAGGCGTAGTGTTTTGAGTGCTGGGATTTGGGAGAGCAGTTCGAGACTTACAAGAGTGCATGGATGAGAGAGGGGTTCTGGGAGACGGAGGACGCGAACACTCTTCCTCTCCAACACTCTTTGGAGAATCTTTTGTACAATGACATCCATTCCCGTGCCGTCCTTGTCCAAAGATACCTGCCCCGATAAATTTACCTCCTCGGCGCTGGTCTTCATCACGATTGGGAGGAAACTGGCGTTAATCGGGTGACCAGCAGGCAACCTGACGGTTAGCTTCCGGAGAGAATACACGGTTCTCTCTGCAATTGTGGTGAAAAGGGTCTCCATCTCCGAAGGCCCGTTACCCTCCCCACCCATAAGCCTAACGTCTAATTCCGTACAATTTCCGCCGTAGAAATGAGAGGGGATTTTGCGAAGAAGGATCTCGGCATCACCGCAAATTTGAACTGTCGTGGAGCCTCCCTTCAAAACAGGGATTATAAGTCGAGTGAGTTCACTCTCCGTGAGCGATCGAGGCGCTCTGAACAGGTCAAAGACTGGTGCTGGAGAGCTGATCGGAGTCAGCGAGTGGAAGATGATCGATGCCGCACACGTTCCTTGACTAGACTTGGAACCGACGCGCAGAATTCGCAAGCTCTCCGACTGGAAACGGATGTCCCTCCCAAAGGATAAAATATTGGAGAGAGATCTCGCGGGGAGCTCTAGGTGCAGATGGGTGAGAGAAGTGCCACAATCCTGCAACTGGAGAAGGACAGTCCGGAAGAAGTCGTCGATATCAATCATAACTCCAAGATGTTGAGTCGGCTTGGGAATTATGTCGACTGAATGGAGTGGATACGAGAAGAAAAGGCTGAAATATAGCAGTGATGTTTCGCTGAGTCGTTTGAGGGAGACGCTTTCAAGTAAAGGAAAGAGAGGCGAGTCGGAGGAATCGTGGAGTCGTTGGAATGCGAAGTACACTTGCGATGAGAGGGAGTCGGTCCAGCCTTGGATATGGATACGTCGGATTCGGCGGGCGTAATAGGAGAATCGGGTTAGGTCATGCAGTTCTCCTCGGGGCGATCGGAGGTACTGGTATTCGTCGTCCGCTGGGTCAGGCCGCTTCATTCGACCAATGGATGAAGCACTTACATAGAGATTATCCACCTTATCAAACCCTGGAATCAAGGAGAGTAGGGGGATCAATGACGGAAGATCGCCCCAAAGGCGTGTTAGGGCGACGTCCACAGTAGCCCTGCATACCCGTGAAACTGCATAGAGGTCCCGTAGACAGTACTGGAAATCGGGTGAGTCTCCATCGCTAGACCCTTCACTGTTCGACCCGTCGTATGTCAGGAAGTACAAGATCTCATTTAAGAGATCTTGATTTGCCAGCACGGCATGTCGAGGATCGGAGAGGGGGTCCATGGGTTAGCGTTAGCGAACGGTGACGCAGTGGGTGGAGAGGGACGAAGGTGAAGTTTGGCTTTTCCGGGATTCGTTCGGACAGATCCGACTCGGCTGTTTTAGTCAGTCTAAAATCACATGAATGAAGTACCTCCTGGCGCGTCTCGCCCCTATTAATTTTTCGCGTCGTGGAACAAAGCTATGGATATTCAAACCAACGCGAGTACAATCGCTGCAAGTAACACCACAGTCGTTCCTTTTGTAGTCCGGTCAGAGCCGCTCTCCTCATCGCTCTTCGCCTTGTCAACCGCGGTTACCAACCGCGAAGCAGGCAAGTCAGTTGGCTGATCCACATATTGGTTCTCAATCCTTCCAGACCCAATCATAACTTGAACACCGACGGAAGGGACGCCATCGACAACAACAAAGAGAAGCGCAGGTCCTGGGGCGAACAATGCTGCGTTAGGCGGGAGTTGGGAAACGTGGACAACAGCTGATCCATTGTTTTGGAAGGCTGTCCACGTTGTGCGAAGTTCGAGGAAGCGCTGGCCCATGTTCTTTTGAGGCGTTGAAATTAGTATAGACCGTAAGAGATGGTAGAAGGTGATGTGGGATCGACGAAAGAAATGGACTCACCATGGAGTGCGTTGAGAAGCCTGTTCTGATGAGGATCACCGAAGTCTTGTCGACGTTGGCGATATTCCCGAGTAAATCCTCAAGAGAGAGTCGGATATCAAATCGAGGTCCCCCATATCCAAGGGAAGTCGGTATTCCTTTAGGCTCGGGACGACGCTTGTGGTAATAGCTTGGGTAGAACACCTCCGTTCGGTATTCTGTCGGATATGGGACTCCAGTTCTGTAATCGGAGTTTGGGTTGGAGCCTGATACGAGGACCGAACCTACAGCAGTAAAGCCATGTTGTACCTATAAGTGGGAACCCTCTTAGATAAGCGATAAACTCACCGTCTGGGAGAAGAGTTGCCGAGGAGTGGTACATCCGTGGGATGGTACTGGCGCTAAATCCGTCTTTAGTCCAGCGATGGCCGACCTCTGCCGACTTTCTGAAGACGACTGGAGTAAGGACAGGCTGATCTGCGAATGATTGACCGACTGTCCAGGAGGTATTGCCGTATCCAGCGGTTCCTACATCAGAACAAGGTAAGGTCAGAGATAAAGACGAACACGGGTCCGGAATGCGAACCAATTGCAGCTCCGTTGAGTCCCAGTATTGTTCCATCGGGGAGATGGATGAGGTTCAACATGCTTCGTCCTTCAGGGAGTTCATCGTCGTGCGTGTAAGACCCTGAGATATCGGGGCTAATCTTCACACATGAACGTGATGGGGCTTGTAGGATCGGTATAAAGTCTTTGGAGTTCCACCTAATTGAGACGATGGGTGAGTCGTTGTAGATTCAGGAGAGTTCAAGTTATTAACCCAGCACGTACCTATCCGTAGCGACATTCACGCCACCACAGAACATTACAGTCGCAGTATAGTTGTTCTTCGGTGTAAGAGGCAGCATGATGCTTCCGCCACTAGCTGGGTACACGCGCACCGCACCTGGTATATTATCAATACGTACTTCCTGATTGGTTTTGTAGTCCAAAATCGCGGTTTCCCAGTTCGATTGAATGAGAAGTTTACCAGAGGGGAGTAGCCAGACTAGAGGGTAGAGATTTGCCGGTAGAGTTCGGCCTAGGATAGGTGAGTGGATAGGAGTTCCGTTCCCCCGTGGAGGGAAGAACTCATAAGTGGGGTTGTCCTGAAATTGGTCGTTCACGTATCCTCCCCATCTGCATCCTCCCATCTACAACTTGATGTCAGATGATTGAGGAGGAGAGTTAGTTAAGTCAGGACGTACAATGATGATGCTTCCATCCTCCAGTGTTTCCCTGTAGTCGGATATATGAACCTTACTCCATCCAGTGAAAAGGAAAGGGCTTACAAGGTAGGATACCATCTCTGGTCTGAGGAGTGCGGCGACATCCTCCAGTCGCAGCGACCATCGGTACAGGGATCGAGGAGGCGTATACTGCCATACGAAGAGATGTAAGCCAGGCCCACCAACACGGTAGCGCAAGTGGCCGACTTACGACTGTCTTCCATCGGGGTCGTCGTAGGGTGGCCCACCATCCTGTCGAGGAGCCTCCGCACCACCATAAGTAACCGCCTGGTTTCCCCCAACATTTATCCATGTCCCGTTGCCTAGGACATTACCGCCCTGTAGTACCAGTGAGATCGGGGGTAAGATAGGAACGACAGTGTTGTCTACCGCACAAAACGTGTTCGTCATTACATCCATCGCACGCTGTTCGTTATGGCTCAATTTCCATTCTGAAGAGACGAATAGGTTTAGCATGGTTGTTCATACGCTGGCGCTACAATACACAAACCTGATGCCCAAGCGGGGTGCCCATTTATCTGGGCGGGGTTGTTCTCAACTTTGTCGATGATGTACACGGCATCGGGGTTCCCAAGAAATAACTTCGCGCGCCTCTCGATTCATTCCCCTCAGAACAAATGGGGAAATTCACTCACCTGTTGCCCGCTAACCAGGGAGTTTCCTATGACTTCAAATGTTCCGGGCGAGCCTTTGCGCAGTGGCTGTCCAGGCGGGTCGTGGACTGATTGCGCTCGTATTATCGGGAGTGTGGTCGCCACGCCCAAGAGCAAGTTTCGGATCCACATGAATGCCATTAGAGCTGGACGACAAAGAAACAGATGAGCCCAGGAACAGTGGTGGTACAAGCTATGGCCAGGGAGGCTGACAAAGAGTCGCCTCCGAGTCGACGCTTCCGTCGCGCTTGTGCAAATCGATCGGTATCGTTGTGGATTTCAAGTTCAAGCGATGTGACCGGAGATTTTTATCGCTGTGGACATGCCAGCAGCAATAACATATTCATTGCAGATTTGAGAACGAATAAGTAGAATTGGGAATATCTGCTGTGCTGCGGTAGGGGAGGTGGCGACGTTGTGGATGGCTGCCATTGGTTGAATCATGGTCGACGCGGGTTGATGGCATCAGGCGCGACAAACCTTGCTTGACGTTGTTTGATATGGAGGCCTTTGCTCAAGAAGCGAGCGCTTAAAGCCTTAGTTATAAGGTGCGTCATAGGGCAGACAACTCTGACCTCACACGCGTCAGGACAAATTGGTGAGTCAAGTAGCGTATAACTCCTGGGCTTCGGTAGGATTAGTGCTCGCATTCCTCACTCAACAGCTCCCCTTGATGTGGAAGAATGCATTTCAGCGCATGCGACAGGCGTTGACTATTCTTCAATGGCCTGATATGCATCTCATAGATTGGCGTCCAACCAAGGACGGAGTCATTGGCTGCCGACCAACAGGTGTTGTAAAGCGACACATTCCATGACCATCTTCTTCGTAATCATGAATTCACTCAGGGAAAATACATCCTGTCAGAGGGAGGTCACATGTAAAGCTTGATCCAGATACCCGTGTCTAAAGGTGAGAGAAAAGAGACGACTCAGGTTAGAGAAGGGCGATCTCTCCCCGCGAGGTTCATGGTATTCCACATCCGTAGAAACTGCTCTTGAGATTAGATCCCGTTTATGCAACCGGATCTGCATTCAGCGTGTGGCAGGCAAGTCGGATAACAGAGGAGTAAGAGTGTGTATTGATTACGATCTTCCTTGTGACACACAGTGACCTCATCGGCCGGACAGAGGGAAGGAACATTAAAGTCCCACTTATTCGCCCAAGGGCAACCCCTGTCGCCTCTCTTCCGGAGAGTAACATGTCCGGTTTCGCGTTTGACATCATTGGTTCCTTCCCGGTTGCGAGAAACTTGTCAGATGCGGGGTGAAGAGGAGTATAACGTCTGGAAAGTATCATAGAATGTCATTTTAGATGGCATGGAAGGCTGTAGTATCACCCTTCGCCTATACAATGCTAACCGGAGGCACCAAACCCCCGAGAAAAATAACGGGAAAATAGCATATAAAGTCAACTTTGTGAGGTATATAAAGATGCAAGTGAGGGGCCGATTTCTTCAGCTCGAAAACATCGACACTTCTGCCTTACGCACTACGATGACCACCCCATTCTACGCCTACTGCCACAACGTACGCCTGTACCATTGTGGAGCTTACTACACCTACTCACTAACACTCAATTTCACAGGTCCAAGACGACAACACCTGGCGTCTTGGTCTCGTCTTCGCTAATCGTTCCACTGCTGATGAATGGTGGCGAGCCATCTCTGAGGCTACCTCCTCTATCCCAATCACCAAGTCAATTACGCGTGTCACGCCCCAGTACTACACGCATGACATCAGGGTTTGGAATATGTACAACTTCTTTGTCGATGGCAACATCAAGAGCATCTCGGACAAGTTCAGAGGAAGGCTCTTCATCACTCTCGAGTACGATCGAAGTGGAAGGGGCGTTAGCGTTTTCCCGCCCTTGCACATCGTTGATCACGTCAGTGGAAACTGGTCAGTTTTCCTGCGTTTCCCTTTGGTTAGGTGCTGAGCGCTGACTGTTCTTTGCTTAGGTACTATATTCGCTCCAAGACGGCTCCCCACCTTTTCTGGTTCTACGACGAGACACGCAACGCGATCTACGCTTCCAAGGAGAAGAGGACTCGCTTCAAGGTCTCCATCCGTAACCCGTCTCCCCAGACCCCTAAGGATGCCATCATGATCAACAGCGACGACGTCGTCATTCACATCAAGGAGAGTCTCTACGTCGGTGTCGACAGTTACCTGGGCCATATCATTCCTACCCGAGCCTACAGGACCTTCAAATTCGGCGAGCTCGAGGGCGGAGCCATTGCTGGTATCGAAGTCGCGGAGAACGCGGAGGAAAGGTGCTCGTCCACCTTCGACGGAGCGTCCTTGTACTTTGTCGGCCCTGACAGCTCTTCCCCTGGAGAGCCTTGGGAGTTGGTTTAAGGAATGACAGTAGTCCCTGCATGCAGTCAGAGTTATCCTAATCAATGTCAATGTGTACTATAGTCTGAAATTGAATGTACACTGTCCAAATCTCCGCCTCGGATAAACTTGCTCATCACAGACATATCACATTCAATAGTCAGTCCTGGTGTGACTCGCTGAGCCTACACTCCTACCGTTGAGGGCCATCGCTTTCACTAAGTAAGCGCCTGGGTTGGGCCTTGATAAACATCATGATCAGCCCTGTCTTCATCAACGCCGAACTGTTCGGTCGCTCGGTGCACAGCCTGTGCGCCCAATAGGCTCCGACGATATAAAACGACAGCGCCAACAACCTTCTGGACCTTTCGCCTTCCAACGCTCAGTCCTGGTGACAATATCCTGGTGATATCAACCTCCCCCCTCGAGTACAAAGAATCCAACTCTGCAATGTCCCAACTTCTCAGTCCACCATCTTCCCCTCGGGATCACCGACACTACATCCCTCGAAGGCCCAGCCCACTGTCTCTCCCCCCGCTGGCAGGGCAACTGACAGCATCCTCGGGCTCCTCCAACTTCCAGCCCTTCTCTCTCTCAGCATTCGTCATCGACTCTCCCAGAGCGGGAGGTAAAGTCCCTCGGTACCCTCTCGAGAAACAACGGCGTGCCTGGAAGGAGCTGGAGGAGGAGCAGCAGCGGAAGCGTCAACAGCAGCAGATGCAGAGGCAAGAACCCATGCAGATCCGCTCGTCTTCAGTGGAAACCTTGTCTCCGACGTGTACCCTTCCTTTAACGCCCAGAAGTGCGAAGAGCAGTGCGTCCAGCGCGTACTCCCAGCACGACGACGAGACCAACAACGGCAAGTCGAAGCTGGTGCAGAGGTCGTTCTGCGCTGCCCTCTTTGGGTCCTGCTTTGGTGCGTCATGTTTATGTGACATCACTTCGAATGCTAAACTGCTGCTCCAGCTGTCTTTCACACCTCGGCCGCGAGGATAGAGACCGCCCATGCTGCTCGCCAGATTGCGAGTGCTCGGTGATAAGATCGGGATTCCCATCCACAAGGGTGGCAGGATATTTGGGATTGTGTAAACACGACGCGGGACGTCGTTATTGCACTTGTAGTGTAGTATTGGAGGTCCGGGCGTGCTGGTTCATGACCCCACACCACAGTAATAAACAGGCTTGGAAGGCCAGTTACTCTTCGAATCCTGGGAGGTGTTTCTCGTGAGTGGTGCGACGTCCTAGGGTCGACCGGACTAATGGTTGTGCTGGGGGTATGCGCATTATTCCTGATCTCTGAATGTCGTTGTACTATTGGCGCACGGTATAAACACAGACAGAATCTGGGTGGAATGTGTGGAGACTGCTAACAATAACTGGGACTCGGCTCCTCTATCTTCACAACCTAGCGTCATCTCGGGCGCCTAAGCCCGGACGTTTTCATGTTCGAGCTCCCATCATACCAAGACCAAAGGAAAAAGTCTCAAGTCGCAGATCATGGTAATCAGACGACCAGCCTAGCTTCCCAGCGCTGAGCAGCCTCCGAGCGGTCGAGATCTGCGTCCAGCCTCAAATTCTTCAACAACCACCATCACTCGCCTCCCTCCATGCCCAACGTCCTTATCACAGGCGGAGGGAGCCAAACCGGCACCTCGCTCGCGCACCTCCTCAAATCATCGCCAGACATATCCTACAACGTCCTCTTCACCTCCCGCTCAGGGAACCGCATCCCACCGGGTTTCGAGTCCGTCAAACTAGACTGGCGCGACCCATCCACCTTCTCCAACCCCTTCTCCAACGGAAAGACCTTCGACTACGTGTTCCTGTTGCCCCCTTCAGACGACCTCGAACCTATCAAGACGCTCAAACCATTCATCAACCTCGCAATCGAGCATGGCGCGAAGAGGTTCCTGATGATCAGCGGCAGCGGGGCAGATAAAGAGAACAACATTGGAGGATTTGGGATGGTGCAGCGGTACTTTGAGGAGAAGGGCGTGGACTACTTTACGCTGAGACCCACTTTCTTCATGGGTGCGTTTTTCTCTCGATTTTGCATAACCCAATCCCACAGAGAGACACAACACCCCTGACCTGATTAAATTCGAATACACAGAAAACTTCAAATCCCTCTACATCTCCTCCATCCTCGCCAAAGACCAACTGGAAACGATCGTTCCAACTGGAAAGATCCCCTTCGTCTCGGTGGAGGATATCGCAGCCTGCGCCTACCAGGCTATCAAGAACAAGCAGAACGAGAAGAAAGACGCCATTATCATCGGACCTGATCTCCTGAGCTACGACGAGGTCAGTCACCTCCCTCTCCAACCCCTATCTTTTACCCCTATCACGCGGCTGACTAGTATGATCCTCTTCGAAATCCTCCCACCACTTCCTCCCATCCTCCCATCGTCCATGCATGCATGCTCCCCCACTATGTACTTACAGGTCGCACACCTAATGACCAAAACATTCAACCGCAAAATCACCCACGACGTCCTCACCAAGGACCAGCTCCTCACCAAATACACAACAGAGATGCACATACCCCAAGACGTCGCACATTGGCTCGTCGAGCTCGACAAAGCAGCGGAAGCAGGATCTGAGGCCAACTGGCATCTCCAGGAGAACAAGTACGTGGGGAATGTCTCGTTCAAGGAATGGCTTGAGAAGAACAAGGGTGCATTCACACCGTAGATCGTTAGCACCTCTGGACATTCGACATTCGACTGGTTCATCCCCTTAGGTTGAAGTATACCAACTTGTTGTAGCGCGCAAACGATGGATGTATAGAAATAAATAGCAATGTATGCAGAACACAAGATGCAGGTACTACGTACTACGATCTAAAGCAAAAAAAAAAAAAAAAAAAATGAAAAAAGGGACTAAACAGAACGAAGGAAGAAAGAGTCTAATAGGGGCAAGAAAACACAACAACAAAAAGGAAAGCTACACTACGATAAATTTTGTAACGAGTCCACGTCTCCGCTCCTTCCTCCTCCTCCTTCCTTCTCCCTCCTCCTCCTCCCCCCTCCATCTCCATCTCCACGGCCACTCCCCTCACCCGACTCCCAATCAAGTACATATTACCACAACACATCCACACATCCACTCAATCCTCATCCTCAAACCTCAAAATCTGCGCATCCTCATCAATCGGCACATTCCTATACCCCCTCCGACTCCGACTGATCCCCTCATCCAACTTGGACGACAACCAATCCATCGCAATACCAGCCATCCCAACCAAGAACCACGGCACACTCGCAAGTGTATCAAGCACACCCGAACCAGAACCAAACGTCGAACCCGGCGCACGGTTGTCGCCTCCCGGTAGTCGGATCGTCCTGTACATCCCAAGAGAGAGAGAGAGAAAAGAGAAAATGACCGTTATCAGCATCCCAACCCTCGTGCGAATAAAGCAGAGAGAACAGAGAAGAAGAAAAGAATAAAATAACGCACCCTCTAGCCATCCCACTCCGTCTATAATACCAATACCCAACAAGCGCCGTAAACCCAAACGGCAGCACAAGCATAACCATCCAAAACCACCCACTCTTACTCTTCACTCCCGGACACCGATGCGCAGTACCCCGATCAAGCCTCGTACCGCCCTCGCAACTCGAGTACGGAATCAACCGATAAGGCGTCCGCTCGTACCAGTACTCCTCGCCCTTCTTACAAACGGAATCGTCGTTCGGGAGCGGAGTTGTACCCGGTACGAGAACACATTCGTCTTTATCGTTCTTGATGTAGTTGAATTCACTGAAGGGAGGTGGAGTGAGCAGGGTGATACGAGGAACAAATGAAAGGAAGAAAGAGAACACACCATTCGAAGTCAACCCGCGTGCAGGTACAGTTCCGCTGGATCTTGGCTTCGACTTTAGGCTGATTACCGATATAACACTGTGCATCCCTAACTCGTCGGTGGTACAGCGTCTGATAAAGTTCAGATTAATAACCCCAGTACCATTCCAACAAGCAGCGACAAAACACTCACCTGTCGACCAAACAAACACAGCTCAACCCGATCCTCACTAGGACTCCACAGCTCAAAATCGTCATTCCCAGGGTTCTGCTCATTAAGCAGACCTACACCACAAGAAAAGAAAGCGCATCAGCACAACCCGTTCAACCCACCACCAGAATAGAATAGAGAAACAAAAGGAAGACAACTCACACTGCCGACTCGTCAACTCGGTAAAATCAACATGAATCGCCACCGACCCACCCTTCCGCCCCTCCTGCGTCCCAAACAACAAAAACCTCCTACTCCTATCACTCGGCACATTCGTAACAGCCATAACCCTAACCTTCTCCTCCGAAAACCGATACTCCTTCCACGTCAGCCCCTCATCCGTCGTAAACATCAAATGATCCGTAGGCTCCTCGTCGTTCACAATAATGATGATAGAACCGGAATCGCCGTACTCCCACATATGCGCGTCCTTGTGCACTTCTTCCCAGGTGAACCCGCCGTCTCGGGAGATGAAGGTGTCAGAGTCGCCGTAGGGCGCCAGGTGCGTCCCTACGTTCCCGACGGCCATCATCACACCGACCGCTGCGGGGCTGCTGTACGTCGCGCGTGGATCGCGCCGGGCGGTGTAACCGTGGATATGCAACGCGCATTGCTACAAAATCAAGTTCAAGAACCCGTCAGTTAAATTCAATTCAATCCACCATCCACCACTACCACCCCAAAACCAATAAATCAAAACACTCACCGTCCCTTCACATTCATACTTATTCCCCAACGAATCCACAACAGGCGGCGTAAGGGGCCTCCACGTACTCCCATCATTATGCGTAATCCTCGTCTGCAACTTCTTCAACTCCCCAACTTGCCTCGTAGTCGTACCACTACCCATCCCCAACCCACCCTTCCTAACCCCACCACCCTCCGCCAAAACATCAACATTCTGCACAACATTAACAAGCGCAATCCCATCCAACCCAATCATCTTCTCAAAATCCACATACCCCCTCTCATTCCGATTCACATTCTCAATCGAAACACCAAAATACGTCCCGTTCGAGTTGGATTTCAGGAGGGTGCCCCATTGTGGCGCGGGAGGAGGAGCGGTCGTCATCGTCATGTGGATGAAGAGCGCGTTGGTAGTCGATTCGAGGACGGTGTATGCCTGTGGAGAGGTGGGTGAGTGGGAGGATGAGGGGGAAAGGAAGGGAAGACGTACATGCGTGTTCGGACTCATCGACGGCGGGAACTTCCCACTCGCAAAATGCGTCCCATCCAACGAAACCTGCAACTCCAAACTCTTCGTCTCAGGTTGCAACTAAAAAACCCCAACATCAGCCTCAAACCTCCACAAAAAATCAAAGAAAAACAAAAAAGACGCACCCCAGCAACAACCAAAAACTCTGAAAACTTCGCAAACCCAACCACATTCTCAAACAAAACCCTCTTCCGTCCCTGATAATACCCACTCCCAGCAACAAGCTCCATCCTCGCACCCTTAACCTGCATCCCCTTCTTCTCCTTCACACTCTCACAAATGATATCACTCGGATCCGCACTCAAATCCTTATCCTCCGCAAACGCACAATTCCTCACATACTTGTCAATCAACGTCCACCCCCGCCCGTTCTTTCGTGAGAAATGCGCTTCGGCGTGACAGTTGGTCTTGCCACGCTCGCAGTCGGCGTTGCCGGTCCAGATTAGAAAGTCGGTGTCGGAGGGGCTGAAGCGTAGGACTCGGGCGTCGAAGGTGTTGGGTGGGTTCGGGGCGGTCATGGTGTTCCACGATCGACCGGTGTCCGTCGTGTAGTAGAATTTCTTGGTGCGGGTGATCAGGTAGGCCCGTTCGTTCGAGTATTTGTGGTGGTAGAAGGCGACGAAGCGTTCGTTCTTGAAGAGTTGAGACCAAGTATAGCCTTCGTTGCTAGATTGCCAGATACTTTCGTCTAGCAAGCGGACGAGGATGGTCTATCGCGAGGGAGGAAAAGGGCATTAGAATGGGCAGAGCGTAACGAGGGAGAGTTGGGGGAACGTACCGTCGATTCAGGGAAATAAGCAAACTGCACGATGGGACTGTCGAATTGGAACTTGGTGTGGATGACACTTCCTTCCGCAGGTCGAGCTGAGGATTCGATCGTAATCAGCAGCTTGTACGCGATACACCATCGAACACACATACCTTTGGAACAATACTTCTCAACGGGCTGATCCAACTTCTTGCCGCCCACACAGGTGTTGCCAGGGATCTTCCTGAAACCACTCGAGCCCATGTATTTCTCCGTCGGGTCGTTCTTCGTGCATACACCAGGAGGGACAGGCTCAGGACCAGCAGGCTCGCACTTGTCGCCGTTCCTGACAAAGTTGTAGTCGCTAAGGGATGGCGCATCAGTAAAGTACACGAAGAAATACACCACGACTGACCATTCATAATCCTCCTCGGTGCACTCGCAATTCTCCTCATGCCCCTCCGGATCGATAAACTTCTCTCCAACATAACAATCCGCATCCACCTTTCGTCGTTTGTACCACTGTTTATGCCCCATAATACACTCCCTCTTCCCCGTCGGCCTCGCATACCACTTGTCGAAATCCTTCTCCGTACACTTGTTCTTCCTCGTCTTCGCAAAGTCGAGATAGATGACCACCACTTTACCCAAACGCATATCCTTCTCCTGGTCCTGCCGCGAGGTCAAACCGAGGAGCAAGAACTTTTGGGACGTGGAGTCGGGAAGGGTGATCAGACCTCGAGACCGAATCTTGATACCAAAGTCGTAGGTCTGCCATGTCTTGCCGAGGTTGAGCGAGTACTTGATCTCGCTCGTCCAATCTTCGTTGTTAACGACGACGAGGATGCTGCCCTGATCACCAAACTCGTACTGGTGCGCCTCCTTGGTGACCATCTTCCACGTCAACCCCGCATCCGTACTCAGGAAAGTATCGCTATCCTCATAACTCCCCAAATGCGGGCCGACAGTCCCAACACCCATAACCAAACCCGGCGCCGGAGACGAGAAGATGCGACCATAGTTATGCGGGGTCGTGACCGAGTGGAGATGCAGTGCACATTTCTCGGAATCGGATGGGTCGCAGTTGATTCGGTTCCCTTCGTCGTCGCGGGGTGGAGCGCGGAGTGGTTGCCACCGGCGACCATCGTCAAAGGTGATCATCGACCGCAGTTTCTTTGGAGCGTTGCGGCCCTCGACTTCCTGTGCGTTCGCGACGACGTTGGCGAGTCCAACACCGTCGACGCCGTACACCCTTTCGTAGTCGACGAAGCCCTGCTCATTGCGGTTGGTGTCCTTGAGTGATTCGACAAAGTAGGTGCCGTTGGAGTTGCTGAGGAAGAGGGTGCCGATGGTGCTGCGGTCTTTCAGGACGACGTCGACACCGAGCGAGTGTGTCGTCGACTCGACGATGGTGTACGCGTTCTCGCGCAGCCTGGCGCTCGAGGCGTGCGGGAAGTGGCCTTTAGCCCAGTTCTTCGCGTCGGTAGTGACGTACAGCTGCATCTCTCCGTCCGACCTGCTCAGATCCTTCAACGCCACGACGCCGAACCTGGAGACGATAGCAAAGGCGACGACGCCGCGGGCGTTCTTGCCGATGCCCAGGTCTTCCACTTTCTTGTCCTTGTCGAAAAAGTCGGTGCTGGAATAGAGGCGCTGCGAGGCGAGGTTGTGGGCACCAGTGACTGTGCGTTGGTCAGAGGCCACACAGAAGATGAGATCTGGGTGGGCGTCGTGCTTGAAGTCCTTGTTGCTGTGCGCGAACTGGCAGCGGTTAACGTCGGTGAGCATGAGCTTTGGCTCGTCGCTGAAGGCGTCCTTGGAGTAGTAGGCGACGTCGTAGCACACGATGCCCTCGCACTTTGTTCCCTGGTAGATCACGTAGCGCCATTTCTTGGGATCAGAGTGGAAAGACAGCGGTCGGGCGACGACTGCTGGCGAATCCGGGATCGTGAACGGCCGCCAGGTCTTGCCTCGGTCTTCAGTTCGATAGTGTTTCGTTCCTTCTGTCAATGCGAATGCCTACAAATCATTAGAAATAGTATATGGTCATTAGAAAGCAACTCACAAGTCTTGTATCGTACGGATGCTCAATAACCACGCTCACACTCCTCTCTGGGATCCCCTCCGCCTTCTTCCACGACTTGCCCTCATCCTGACTCACATACAAGTTTCCAGAAATCCGATCATGATAAATCACACTCTATCCAAAACCCATTAGCTTCTCCCAATCAATATACAGCAACCCAGGCTCACCAATGTATCGTCGAAGAAAAACACGCGCGCTGGTGGGTTATCAAAGCTCGAGATGGCATGCTCAGGCTTCTGAGCTGCTGTTATGCTGATCCAGAGGACCAGAAACCAGAGAATCAGTCGGCCGCCAAAGGCGGTCGTGAGTCCCGCCATGGTGGTAGCAGCAAACACGTATGCGGCTCCTCCACTTTGATTGCGCGGCGCAGCCTTGACCGAGGGCTGTCACGTTATGATCCGTCCAAATCGGAATTGGGTCATCATCGATAGGGGCCGAGGCGCCAAGTTGGTACCCCAACCCTCTTACGACGAGCAGAGGTAAACATAGCCTTTTTAACTGCTACTGGAAAGGTCACCAACGATAACGCTTATCACCTCTCCTTACCGATTCGAGACTCTCGCCGGCTAACTAGCACGTCAGCCGGTGCGGCCGCTTTGGGCGCTTGCATCTTGAACGTTTGAACCTTGACCACCACCCAGCAGTGGCACTGAGTTTTTACTTCCATCTTACCTCCACCCTCAGATAAGGTAAGCCCCTCTACAGTATTCCTAGCCGGTACTCTGAACTCATCCATTATCCGCTGACCCAATCTTTTTCACCTGCACTCAGCAACCGCCCACCAACGTTAACGGTTAACCGAGCTCGAGAGTGGCCACTGGCCACACTGCGACACTCTTCGAGACCTGGGACCGCAGAAACCCTAGTGCGACACCTTTACTCATCGAGCCCTTTATCCGAGGCATGCAGTCTTGGTGCGGGGGATCGCAGCCACGGTGTCCGTCCGAAGAGCCCTCAGATCTGTCCCTCGTATATGCCAATGCAATGAACGAGCATGGCTTCTCAAGCGGGACCAAACGACGTAGTAGCCGCACCATCTTCAAAGAAATTGGTCCACCAATCTACAAGTTCAAGACCGTCCTCGACGTACTCTACGCATTGATCGATGCCATTCGAGGTGAGAAAGTAATTACATCTCCAAACTTCCACCGTGACCGCTGACATCCCGTGCTCGCGTTGGTTCGGCAGTCCATCAACGTATGGTCCAACAAGCAGGAGTCCTGCACGGCAATGTCAGCATTAACAGTATCATCTTTGGGGGAGTAGTACCCGGTGCCGACTCTGAGGAAGGACGGCGAGTATCCCTCGTCGACTTCGATATGTCTATCTCCCACGACTGTTCAGATGCGCCGCTCTCAGATGAACATCATCGAACTGTAAGTCCCGGCACTCTCCACAACCATACTATCTCTTACTGACTCCCCATGAAGGGCACCCGCATGTTCCAATCCCTCAATGTCCTCAAAGCCTGGCGTCCACACGGCTACTTAGACGACCTCGAGTCCTTCCTCTACGTCCTCCTCTACCTCATCTTCGCTTTCCCGACTCCGGGTGCCACCCCCACGGCCCAGGTCCAACGCGAGCTACCGAAGGAGCTCCAAGACTGGAACGCAGACAGTCTTCGCGAAGCCTTCAAGAGCAAGTCGACTTTCATGACCTACGGAGCTTCGGACCTTCCTGTCCCTCCGATGTGGGGACCTCACATCTCTGCCCTCATCGATGACCTTTGCCACCATTTCCAACCCATCCGCGCCATGTCCTCTCGCATGCAGCATCGGAATCTGCCCAAAGCCCAGCGCGACAAACTGGAAGCCTCGTTCGAGAAGAAGTATTTCGACGATGTAGACGAGCAGTATGACGAGGTTGTGGGATACATCGAGTCGGCCATCGAGAGTATCCTTGCGGAACAGGATAGCGCTAATGACTCGGAGCAGTCCACTTTGTCCGACTCCCTCTCCCACTCCAGGCCTTCGAAAGGGCGCCGGGAAGAGGGGATCTGAGGAACCCTACCTAGGCCATGACGCCGAAAAGCCTTCCCCCAAGCAAACTAAGTTCCCGTCTTCGCAATTGACTCATCATTTATGTAGATCATCCCCTCTTTTCACTGGTATTCTTACACTTATTAATATCTATCTATCCCCTGCCGCACTTTGAATTCTATCTCATCTGCATATTCCTGACCATGTATCATATTCTTACTATATACTTGCGCGCTTGTTACCACAACGGACTTTAGATTGTATACTATAGTTACGCTGGTACATGGTTTGAAAACATCGGACCCGGTGGGGCGCCTGTCATGGCCGTTCAAGTTAGCCATAAAGACCCATCCCGATTCCCAATAAATCTAGTCGCAACACTGTAACATCCATCGGTATCGGTAATCTAAACGAGAGGTTTTACTTCTATTCGAAGTTGAATCCATTGTCCCTATGGCCCGGAGGGCCATCCTTCCCGATCGAAAGTACCGGGGCTCCATAGTCAGTCAAGTTCCCAACGTCGACCTTCCCACATCTAGGAGCCGATTGCCTATATCGAGAACGGAGCCACCACGTGAGTGACGCGTCCACGTGAAGCCCGTCGCGGCTGTGATATCCCAGGCCTTTGCTGGGTGCGCTTCCTGCTTAGCATTGTGTCCTCGATCTGACATTTCTCGACGAAGTATTACTACTTTGAGAGAAGGTAAGTCCCCAGTTGTTACTTGAAACTCCACCATGACTGCTAACTGTCTGACAGTCTAACCCCAGCCGTTTCCGAGAACGCGAGTACTTGTCGTGGTAACTCCGGCAAGAGCTGGACTCTGGAATCGTTTCGAGGTGCGTCCACATCCCACATATGTCGAACTCTCAGAGTCACACTGCTTCCCAGGTCTTCTCTTCCGACACACGGTCCACCGTAGCCCGTCTCTCTAAGGCTGACACTCTGCTCAAAAGCCAGATGACGACGAATAGCTTTGTGACTACAGCCGATATGGTCGAGGAGGCTGTTAGCCAGGACGTGGAGCACCACACCTGGCTTTGCGCGACCGAGGAGTTTCTCGAGAAATTCCTTGGTTGCCAACTCGGCGACGAGAAGGTCCGTGCGATCCTCAAAAAGTTACCTCCCGAGGTGTATACGAGTAAGGGTGGGTGGCAAGGCCTTCCTGCGGAGGCTGGCGGGCCAGAGAAACCATACTACAAACCCCTGACCTTGATCCTCAATGCAATCGTGGAGGCTGCACGGAACCTGGGCTTCATCGGAGCAGATGCGATACAATGTTGCTGGCTGGACCGACACTCAGTGGCGCCCAAGTCCAACACCATGGACGCCAGCAAGATTCGGCCAGACATCTTGGACGCTATCCTTGGTCCGGATGGACCGGATGTGGCAAAGGAGTTTATGAAGGTTCGTTATTCTGGAATCTCGTATGTAGGCCACATTCTCACTCACGGTTTGCAGTCGGCGTATGATGCGGAACGTGAACAACTGAAAGCGGAGGAGGGGGAAGAGACGGATCTAAACCGCGCAACCAAGCGACCCCGCACCGATACAGAGGAAAATACGGTGAGACCTATACCCGTCCGCAAACATCTAGGGCTAGGGCCCTCGCTGACTCCATTTGCGTTCGGTATAGGCACCGCCTCCAACAGCTCACATTGCCTCTTGGATCAGAACTCTCCTCCCGGTCGAGGTGAAGCCGAAGGGCGGCGATGTTTGGGACGTCGCCAAGCAGCTATGCACCTACTTTCGCCAGATTCTCCGCGAACAACACGACCGCCGCTTTGTGTTAGGGCTCATCTTCCTTCACCGCTCTCTATGCCTCTGGTACTGCGATCGTTCAGGAATCCTCGGGACAGCGACGTTGATTGATATCGACGAGGTGAGTATGGATTCTTTGTCGAGGTCTGGGTGCTAACCGTATGCATACTCAGAATCCCGAATTACTCGTTCGCGTCATTGCTAGTTTTGCAATGATGACTCCCGAACGACTTGGCTTCGATCCCAATATGAAGCTCTCGGTGGAGGGACACCTTCCTTCCTTCAGCTACAATATGTCATACGTCAACATTCCCAAACTCAGATCGCAGTTACATTGGCGGATTTTGATTTCGGGCCAATGGTACCAAACTGTTGAGGCTCTGAGCACTGCTCGCTCCGAGGTCATGTGTGGCCGGGCGCCGGTCGTTTGGCGAGCATTCCGCATCGACGATCCCAATCGAGAGGTGTGTTCCACAGGCTGTGGTATACGTCGCCGGATTGTTGACTGTAGTTCAGCTAGTTATTATCAAGCAAAGTTGGCGCCCACACATGGGCGAAAAGAGCGAAGGCGAAATCTACGAGCTACTGGGGGACTTCGGCAGGGGCGAACCCAGAGTCATCTCCGAGGATGTCGAAAGGTCCAACACACAGCTGCATTTTCGCGGAAAGATTGACAGATTCGAGCCGGATGGCACCCCCGCCTTCGACAACCACACCAAACGGCAACGTCCCTTGCCTGAACCGACTGACGAGAATTGTCTGGTGCATCGGACCTTCAATCTCAAGTCGTTACGGAAGGTACCCGCCAAACCTCATAAGTTCATGGAACGCGTTCAGTGCCGGCTGGTTATCCCTGTGAATGGTCTGCCCCTCAAAATGGCTGTGTCTTCGAAGGATCTATTGTCCGCATTGGAGGGCATTCTTGAAGGTGAGCTTTCTCTATTCGCTCAACTATGGCCTCCTGAATCTTTGTCATAGATTACGAGTACGCCTATCTCATGAAGGGCGTTTGCCATCGCGATTTGAGCATCGGCAATCTCGTTATTCAAGTTGTATCTGGCAAGCGGCGAGGACGCCTGATTGATTTCGACCACTCTAAAGTCCTCGACAGCTTCGTGCGAGAGAGGGCCTCGTCCCTTCGAGAGGAACTGAGCGAGGAGCTGGATGAATTCCACTTCCTGACCGCCCATAAAAAGTGTCCGAAAGCCACAGACAATCTTGCACTTCTCCTTCTCGACCTTGCACGCCGCGAAGGGGGGAAGATTAGAGTTATGGTGTACAACGCGGTAGCGGCGTACTGCACATTGTGTTCATCTCTCAAGGTATGTTTTGCTTGCTCCTCATACATACTTCGGATCCTGATCTGCTTTGGCAGCCGAACAGGGGTTCAGGGCCGGTGGCTCCATCAGAACTGCTTCCATGGTTAGACGACGACGTGAGTGCCTTTAGGCTTGCTTCGTATTAGTGTGGCAAATGACACTCTTTTTTCCAGCCGGTACTTCCTCCTCGCTTTGAGAAACGAAAAGCAGTGCATAGTTTCGTGACGGTAACTGCACGACTTCTACTTCCTTATCTTCGCAAACTCACCATGGTTTTCGCAGGGAACTGATGCGTTCATTAGCCATCGACTTCTGCGTGATGGAGCCGAAACCCACATAGCTATCCACGACATGGAGTCACTCCTATGGGTCGTCTTGTACATCTTCCTTACCCGTGAGGGCTTTGGAGGTAAACCGCGACCTGACCCTCGTGATGACATATCCCACATGGCGGCAGTTCGACGGTATTGGCTCTTTGAGGCCTCCAAGCATGAAATCAAGGACATCAAGTCCCAGTTGTTCTCGCTGGCTTACGGCAGTGACCCCCAACTCTTTGACACGGAAATCCACCCATTCGTCCACCCCAGTTTCAAACCCCTGGCCCCACTCGTTGATGATTGGTGGAACATCCTCTGCAAGGCCTTCCATCCGGAAGATACTGATCTCCTTTACAAGTATTACCCTGTCGCAGCCTTCCGTCAGTCGGTGCGGAACCTCAAGGATTCGCTTCCAGCCTCGGACCATTCAGCTGCCGAAGGCCTCCTGGATCAGCAATTGAAGGCCATGGCTAAACTCCGTGAACTTGCTGCTCGGCTCACCCGGGACGTAGAGGTCGAATCAAGTTCCACCACTCCGCCTACTGCTAGTGCACAATTGCCGGCGGCCCCTCTGGATCAGACTCCCCCTGCGAAGAAGAAAGGAGTCGAGAAGTGGAACGTAGGTCAGCAGAGCACCGATCCTCTACCTACCTTGGAATTCAGCTAGAAAAATATATTCTTCGATGTATTGATACAGTTCTATACACTCAACTCGGCCTTGGGCCTTCGTTTCACTCCTGTTGCATTCCAGAGTCTGTACGACCTGGCAATTAGTATCCTTGACCTATAGTCGTCCGACGTCGTCGTGCCAATTTGAATATCTATTCTTCTGGAGCCAGGGCTAAGTCGTGGGGCGGGCCTGACCGTCGCCCTTTCACGACTTGATGAAATGGACCCATGGCCACAACGACAAACAGGCAATGTGATATCGCTCTGTCCCGGCCTTGGACGACCTAGCCACAATCGGCTTAGTACTGTAGTACAGCCTTATCAGCCTTCAATTGTGATGTGGGTCCTTCCTCCGGATTGATTGTTGCAAGGCCTGAGGATTTCTCAACGCTTCTCTAGCCAATGGTCGATTCAGAGATGACGGCGGACGACGTGAACCACACCTGGGTTTGCACGTCAACTGACCTCGTCGAGAAACTCCTCTCGTATGGCCTAGATGACAATTTGGTTACCAGGATTCTGGACAATCCTGAACTTTACACCAAACAAGAACACTACGAGCATTCCTACTTCATGAAGCGTGTGGTATGCCACGACGATGTCAATACCACGTATAAACGGCCACGGCAAGGACGTCTCGTTGATTACAACTGCGCCGAAGCTCTCGAAGTTCTCAGCGGCTTCATGCAGCGCAAGGCGTTGTCTCTTCGAAGGCAGCGGACGAAGGAACTGCAGTATTTTCACAACTTGACGCGTGTCCCAATTGATGACTCGCAGTATCCCCAGGCTTCAGATAGCCTTGCGCTTCTGCTTCTCGAGCTAGTGCGCAGGGTAACAACTGGAAAAGGGTCTGTTGGGTCTATTGGCCGTGAATGAATACAAAATACTGTGCTCCGACCTCAATGTACGTTCCATATCCTACTGCGAGGTGGTCTTGTCCTGATCCGTTGGCACTTGGCAGGAAGATAGGGTTACAGAACCGGTGACGATATCAGAGTTATGTCCTTGGATGGACGACGATGTGAATGTTTCAGTTAGACGCCCATCCTATCATACTGATTGACCGATGCTCTTTGTGTTTCAGCCCATTCTTCCTCCTCAATTTGAGAAACTAAAAGTGGAACGCAGCGTTGTGATGGTAGCTATTAGCTGTGCGTCTGCACCTCTCCAATGGTAAACTCAATCTCCATTCTAGGGCACCAGTGCGTTCATGAGCCATCGGTTTCTCTCGGACTACCCCACCGAATTTCATGATGCAATACATGATATGGAGTCGCTCCTTTGGGTGGTCTTGCGCCTCGCCCTCACCTGTGATGGCCCCGGAGGAAGGACTCACGCTGAAGCTTGTGACGAGATCTCCTGTAAAGCGAATTTACGCCGCCATTGGCTCTTCGAAGCCTCCAAGCAGGAAATCGGGAAGATCAAGTCGAGGTTGTTCAAAGGGGCCTGCGAGTATGATACTCACTGGCAAGTAGTGGAAGACGAAATCCACCCCTATGTCCACCCCGATTTCAAGCCTTTAACCAGGCTCGTCAATGATTGGTGGGACAACCTCTGAAAAGCCTTCAAGCCCGACGGCGACATACTTTATCGACATTATCCTGTTTCAGCGTTTCGTCGCTCCCTGGGTAACGCTCTCAAATCACTCCCAGACATGGAAGAGCCCTATGCGAAAGAGGGGTTGTAGGAGAGTTCATTGCTGATCTTCATCAGCGGGATCGTCTCCCCAAGGAGAATACGAATAAGCCGCCCCTTGGCCGCCCCTCCGTTCCATTGAAATCTAAATCTTCCCCAATTCTTCGTCAATGTTGAATTGGATTACACTACTATAATATGACAGTGGTGAAAGAGAAAGTTCCTGCACCCTCTGGAAGGTCGATTGTGACCCTTTCAGTACATGGGATTAATCAATCATTGCACGTCCCAATAGCGGCGCAAATGACTTTGACTGAGAGCTCGGCTAGCATATATATTACTCTTCAAGTTTCGTTGTCAATGTTCGTTCGGCTTCATGATCTCACTTTTGGCAATTGAACACAATTACATATAGCATTGCTGTATACGACATTTGAAAGACATTTACTGTAAGTAAAATGAGAGAGCTTTGTCTCATAATCAAGAATTTTACACCTGCTACGGAGATCTGACGGGGGAGACAAGAATCCCATGCTCCTATTACCCACTTTAGGCCTGCAATGGACCTTGCTGCCTGAACGACCATTGGGCAGTGCACAGTCGCTAGGGTCCTCATGCCCAGACGAGGATACCAACGCTACTCTCCTACTGTCCATTTTAGGATTGCAATGGGTAACGGCTCAGTTCTGCAAAACGAGCACGCAGCAAACACGAGGCCGATAACAAAGGTCCTGTGCCACCAACAGGAGCCGATTGCCCAAATTAAGGCTTTAACTTTGCCACACGTGAGTCACGCGCCCACGTGCTGACCGGCGCGGCTGTGACCTTTGTGATCCCAGTCGGACTTTTGGGCGCTTGCTCCTTGGACCCTGACCACAACCATTGTGTCCTCGATTTGGACTGCTGGACGGCCAGCACCTATAAAGCATCACTCAAAGGGCAAGGTAAGTCCCCAGATTTGACTTGAAACTCGACTATGACCGCTAACAGACGGACCCCAGCCGTCTCCGACGCTACTCAACAACCAGCTGCGAGCACCACCTCGGAGCTCAGCGATACCGTTGGACCACTTGTCACACTCCCGCCTCGAACGCCCAATCGAACGGTTCGACTTGCTTCCGGCTTTCAGTCTACCCCTCTGGCTGAGCGCAGTACCCAGTCCGTAGCCTACTCGACCACAATGACAGTCGCCGAGCAGAAGGCCATCATCAAAGCCGAGCTCGCGATCGCCACCGTCGCCTCCACTGACGAGGATTTCCCTAGACAGCTCTTCCCTGACCCAGGCGACGATGAGATTGACGCCTATCTTAAGGCAACTCCACTGTACGACACGGAGAGTGGTCGATGGGTGAAGCTTCCGAAGGATGTCAACTGCGAGGAGAAGTTGATCAACATCCCAATGTCGGAGATTCTGGGAGAAATACTCGAGTCTTTCGATCTTTCTGCCCCCAATCCCGGCAATAGGGTGGTTTGGGATCTTACGACTAAGAAATCACAGAGACTCGCGCACGAGAAGGAGATGGCGGCGAAAGAGAAGGAAGAGAAGGATAGGGTGGCACGGGAGAAGCAAGCGAGGCCGAAATCGACGAAGGAGAAGGTGGAACTGGCCACGGATGAAGGGGGAGACAATGGGCTAGATGGTAAAGCGGAAGCAGCCAACGGGAAGGGCCAGGAGGATGGTGCGAAGGAAGCGAAAAGAGCCAAAACTTTCCCGAAAGCGATGCACCATTCGGAGGCCGTTCCAACGAAGGCGTATTCGATTCCTGATACGGTCTTCACTGGTACTGGTCCAGGCTTTACCATCGACGATGTTGACATGGAACGCCCTCTCTACCGGGCTTCCTTGGGTGTCGTGGACTACAAGCGGGATTCCGAACTCGATGGGTCGATCACTGAGAACACAGCTCAACTGGGTGTATACGCACGGTAAGTCGTCCTATTCCTTCATCGGTGCTCCAGTCTGACCCCCTGCTAGGCAAGTTATGAATCACCAACCCAACCGTAACTTCGTGCGTGCAGCGAACGTGAGCAACGAACGCGTTCGCCTTTTCCATTTTGATCGCAGCGGCGTCAAGTACTCCTTGCTTTACAACATCCACAGCAACCCTCGCATGCTTGTACGCATTATCCTCGGCCTTGTCTCGACGAACCTAGCCGACCTTGGTTTCGATCCGTCGATCGTTTGGGAACCCACCGACGACCCTGCCGCAAAGTTCAAGCGCGGTACACTCACCACTCGAACCGCCAACAACGACACAATTGTCTACGATATCGTCGGTGTGGAGCCTTTTTATCAACGACGCGACTTGGTTGGACGAGGAACACTTTGCTGGAGTATCGAGATTCGCACGGCAAGCAATCGCGACCAGACTGAGGGTCAGGCGCTTTTCGAGAAGGAAGGATCGGCGGAGCGGGATGCAGACGTTGTCGCGGGTGAGGGGAGGAAGTCGGAATCGGAGGCGGCGGACAATGGGCTGTCCAGCAAGGAATCATGGTGCTCGGAATCGCGGACGTCGGAGGAGGTCTTTCTCGCAGCGGCTGTGGGTGTAAAGGGTGTCGGGCAGATGGTCGCATGTGAGGATGTGGTGGAAACTGCGAGCTTCAGGGGTGCCAATGCGATAAACGATCCTGGCTTCTTGAACCGAATCAAGCGACGCATCATCCTTAAGAAGTACGGACCGCCAATCCACAAGTTCAAGACGGTACTCGACGTACTCTATGCATTGATCGACGCCATTCGAGGTAAGTAAATTTTAACCGCCTCTGTTGGCACTCCCTGCTCACATTTTTTGTCTCAGCCCACCAGCGTATGGTGAAGGAGAAAGGAGTTCTACACCGCGATATCAGTGTTAACAATATTCTATTGGGAATAGCTGGTGCCGACTCTGAGGAGGGATGGCGAGGAGTCCTTATTGACTTCGATATGGCGATCTTCCTTGATCGTGCTGAAGCGCTTTTGAATGAGCTCAGGACTGTAAGTTTCGGCATTCTCTGCGGCCATATCTCTTACTGACCCCCGAGAAAGGGTACGCGCATGTTCCAATCCCTCAATGTTCTCCAAGCATGGCGTCCACACGACTACTTGGACGACCTCGAGTCGTTCTTGTATGTTCTGATTTACCTTGTCCTCGCCTTTCCTGAGCCCAACGTGGAATGCGAGCTGCCGAAGGAGCTCCAGGATTGGAACGCGGACAGTCTGTACGAAGCCTACAAGAGCAAGTTGACATTCATCACCCACGGCGTTTTGAACTTCGATGTGCCTCCGATGTGGGGTTATCACATCTCTACACTCGTCGAGGACCTATGTCGCCATTTCCAACCCATCCATGCCATGTCTATTCGCATTTCTAATCAAAGGCTACCCAAAGCCCAGCGCGACAAACTGGAAGCCTCGTTTAAGAAGAAGTATTTGAACGACGTAGACGGGCAGTATGACGAGATTGTTGGATACATCGAGTCGGCCATCGAGAATATTCTTGCAGGCCAAGACGGCGCTAATGAGCCTTCCGCTATGTCCTCCCCCTCTCCCACTCCAGCCCCTCGAAAGGGCGCCGGGAAGAGGGGATCCGAGGAAGCCTACCCCCATGACGCCAAGGAGCCTTCCCTCAAGCGATCTCGTCACTAAGTTCCCGTCTTCGCATGTGATCCATCATTTAGATTAACCTCTCTAAGAGAGGTTAACTCTTTTATTTACTGGTATCATCCTCCGTTCTTTCACTTATCTATCCCAACCGTACTAAACCTATATTCCTGGCGTGTATCATCTTTGTACTCCATACTTATACCAAATGAAAGTTTGGTTGTATTATCAGTCCTGAAGTCGTCGTTCGAAGTGAGGTCTATCGATAAGGATTTTCGCTTGTTGTATTGTCTCGTATTGTAGGTACAAGGCAGTAAAAATACTTGGAAGGCTCACATGGGGTCGCCCGCATGCACGTCGCACGATCCACTCAGGAAATACTGCGCCGGCCTCTGGACTTTGAGTGTGGTACATCATGGGTCACAATTGTGTGGTATATGGAATACTGTTCACAATGCAGAGAAGTATCTAGTAAGTGACATGTGGTAGGATCGCAGGCGAACATAATTGAAATTCAGAAAGGATGGGTATGTCACTGGGATGACCATTTAAACCCCGTCGAGCTATGATCGATGTCGCTTGCCGTCCTGGCAATTTCAGTGCCCAAACGATTCTTGTTCGACGTTTGGATCATCGCACAACGCTCAAAGTCGATGATTCTCCAAGGATGAACAGCATTGTGCCGTGGGCATGGCCGTCCTTGCGTAATGAGGAGAGGGTCCCTCACGGAAAGGACGTTCCAAGCAAGGAGATCTCCATGGACTACACCGCTTTCCACGATGTCCTCGAAAACCTGCTTGACTGCTTCTCTGAGGGTCGCAGGTTGATCAGCAAATCATATACACAAACACCAGGCAAAGGATGCTTACTTCACTTCAGGTCCCCGAAGGCCAGTACAGGTCTCGCCCAGAAGCTCTAGAACGATGACGCTAACCGTCGGATTGTCCTGTGTATAATTCCACCTATACCAGGGTGAGTTTTGCTGATAACCAGAGGGGTTTTCGTTATGCGAGGGTCGGCCGCGGTAAGGTGGGACATCATCTGGTAACCAATCTTGGGATGGGTATTGGTTTATATTGTTGGGTGGGCTATCAGTCGTGTCTTCGTATGAATATTTCCTGTTGGTCCATGGAGTGAATTCGAGGTTTGGAAAGCCCGGTTGCTCGACCATGGGTGATGAAAAGAAGCCGTAGAAGATCGGAACAGAGACGCCCTGGAGCGGTTCTATCTGCTCATAGAACCACGCCTCTCGCGCTAGGCCCCGACTGAATTCCTGTTTGGCGAACTTGAGGCAGACAGTTTCCGGAAGGGTCGGTCGTACGTCCACGTCGCTTCGCATGGCGGCAACCACTTTGGCTGTATACGTTACGCCAACTCGGCCTTCCCTAATACGATCCAAAAGCGTTAACTCGAGAGTACCCTCAGCATTGGAGACGTCCTTTGAGTTCCAGCTCTCAGGAGCTGGTTCACCGCGGTGCTCGCGAAACCAAATTGCGCTAGGGTACGATGGAGAAACCTTGAGGGTTATTGCTGCGGACTTGCCGCTGACAGTAGCGCAACGATTGATTATCAGCGTCGAGAACATTGCTGAGCTGGCCTTACTGGATGTCGGTGACTGGCGTTGTGGCCAAGCTGGATGTCGCTCAAATTCAACAGCGACGAGCGAAATCGATCAACCGAGGGGGGCTGATGGCATCAGGCTCGACGCAAACGTGGTGGTCAGATTCGTCGGGGAGGATGTCAAGTTCGTAGCTTTGCCACTTTTCCAGGACAAAGCCAATCTCAGACTGTATGAAATTCTTGTTCATACAGCTTAACCTAGACTCGTGACCAGTCTCCTTGGTCACAGTATGTATAGTAGGTAGCAGGAATATAAGAAGGGCGTAGCGGCTGGAGACGAGCCTAAGCTTAACCCAGCGAACTGTATAATTGTATTCTAAGAGTCGAGCGGGAAGTAGCGTACATAACTATTTATAACGGTAAATCGCGGGAGTCCATTCCGCAATACACCAACGGGTTTGATAGCAGCCAGAACCCAGACTTGTTCCCTTCCCAAGAGAAACATTCCTTCGACCAACCTGGAAGATCGGTCTCCAGCATGACGTCGGACGATGGCTTCGAACCGACGATCGCTGCCTTCTGGGAGGGGATCCGGGAGACGCTGCAGATAGACCTCGAGCTGAGGGTTGAACGTTGTGAAACGCACCGCGGTTATGACGTTGTGCCGGGCTGTGGGTCCGTCTATTATGTTCCTGGTCTCACTTTCTACCCAGTGCCAGTTCTTCTGGTACACTGCAATCATGAGCGCCAGATGCGATGCTCGGTAGCGGTGGCGGTATTGTTTGCGGAATTCTTTGAGGTCTGAAACCAGCGTTTGAGTACAAGTTGGGTTCGACGTGGACTCAAGGGGACGTACCGAGGTAGCCAGCGCGCGCAGTTTTACACTCATAGCGATGGAAAAGTTTCCAATCCTCCTTCTGGCACAGCGAAGAACAGTACGCCACCGAGGTACATCCGGCGCAGGTCTTACTTTTGTACCTGTCCCTCGGCTCAAAGTTTTCGTGATGCTGTAATTGGACTGGTTAGAGCGAAAAGGCGGAGAAGAAGAACGCAGACGTACGTGGAGATTGTCGCAGATGCTAAGCTCATCCCGAACCCAGCGCGTGGATTGGATTATCTTGGTGAAGAAATCGACACATGTCTTGAATCCGGTCCAGGTTCGGCCGCACAGCTTCTGGATGGCGAGTCCGCACCTCATCTGGTGCGGAATGGACCCGTTGAAGTGGACCTGTAGCTGGCGTGCGACCTTGGGATAGATGGCATACGCCGTGAGGATTCTCAGGACGTTGTTGATGGCGTGGTCAACCTTGGACGAGTCGATCTTTCGGAGGATATGGAATAGCGCGTGAAGTAGCCCTCCCTTGATGATATTTTGAACGTGCCAAATGGGTGCGTAGTCCGAGCTTACAGCCATCGTCAGAATAGAACTTTGCTGCTCAAGGCATTCCCCGGAGAGCTCCAGCAGCCAGTATTCGGAGACGATCGGAGACATATGGGCGACGATGTTGTAGTTGAGCTCGACAAAGGCGTCGAAGCATCGGGCCTCGAAGAAAGTGATGGGATGGAATTGGGGGTGTTCGAGGAATATGTTGCAGATATCGATCAGGGAGGTGAGATACAAGCAGCGGTTGACGAGTCGGTTTTCTGGGTAGTTCGAGTTGAGAGTGGTGATGTTTAAAGAACACAGTTTCGCGCGAAGGGCCGCTCCCTCCACTAGTGACCACGCGTCGCAGAATCCTCCGTCCAGCGCCCGATCCAAGATTGTCACAGACGGCTTAACCTCCTTTTCAAGTTGAAGGAAGGTCTTGAATAGATGTACGACGAGACATTCTTCCCGTGGCTTCCGGTCGGTAAAGAGGACGAAAGGATCGCCTTCTGCCGTCTGGGCGTGCCAGAAGTACAGGAGAAGGTCCAAGAAGACGGGTGTGGATACCATAGCTTCCCTGAGGGATGGATGGAGATCCGATAGATTCTTCATCATGTAAACGTAGTACACGAACTGCTCCTTGAGCTGACCGTTGGGCACCATGGACTGGAACCTGAGGTGCTTCGGGTTTCGAAACTGGACGACGAGGATCCACGAGGCGATACCCGCAATGCGCTCCTGTAGACGAACCCTGATTTCATCCCTGACGTCCTCTCGTTCCTCGTATACAGTAATGGCCATGTTCACCCCTTGTAAGCAGGTCAGCCTCAGAGCAAAATCCGGTTTGTAGTCGGGGTGGTCTGTCCTGTACCGGTCAGCGGTTACCTGAGCTGACTCAGGGGTGAGGTGGTGTAGGATCGCATCGAGGAGGGCAGGCGTGTATTGAGATTTCAGCAGTGCAACTGCGGGCTGCATAAGAGGAATCGAGCCGCCTCTCGCTGCTTCGATAAGCTGGGGGAAAAGGGTATCTTCATGAGTACTGAACTGATCCGGGAAACAGAATGCGCGACAGTCTTACCTTCTCGAGGCCGTCTTCGCTGAGTCTGGGGCCAGACATAGTCAATTAAGTCTCCAGTTCTGCAAACTGCCAATCGCTTGTGGTGGTAGTGGGTAGAGAGCTGATCGCGCCTCGTTTCCCAGACCCTCAAGCTTCAAGAGTCGCTATGATTCAGTGGCGCGGGGTTTCTTTGCAGTCACGGCTCAGTGGCCACATGCCTTTGTCCTTTATATATCGAACAATGGTGAGCCACTGGTGCGTCAGGATATGCTGCGCTTCCCTTTGGACCACGCTGACTCGAAGCAGGAACAAAACCCGGTTTGTAAAATTTCCGATGACGCCTCAGGCAGAGACCGGCGATCAGCGATTTCAGGCGGAGATGAAATTCGCTCGCTGAGCACTGCGCGCGACAAATTTCTGGCTTTTTTCCTGTTCGTCGATGCAGCAATCAGTGCTGCACTCTATGCTCGATATCAGCGAGTATTAGAGTAACGGAGCGACGATAGAGAGACCTTTCTTGCCGAGCTTCTTTCTCAAGTACTATTTGTTGTTCTTGGGAATGTAATTAGCGGGAAAACATTCCATATCCAAACAGCCTTGGTTCAAACGTTACTGTCTACTCTTGTCATTCATGATCATAGCGTTATTGGTGAGTCTGTTTACATTCTGAACTAGCGAGACATAGTCTGAGCTTAGCCATTAGACACTTTCCAGAGAATTGCCTCGTGCAGCCCTACCACGCACAGAGCAATGTATACTCGTCTTGAGTTTAATGCAATCTCGAAAACGCAGAGTGCGCATGTGAGGCACTGGCATTTCACGTAACATCGTCTTGGAAGCCGGATTCTAGGTCTCCGATAACCCCCTCGTGTCTTGGTCCTGTGATCCCTTTGCCTCCACCGCGTGTCGGTATGTACTGTTCATTGCCCACGACTCCAACCAAATCTGACAGCGCGCAAGTGTTTTTGTGGTCGCAGGAATGGGGGTTCTCAATGGCTATTAACCAGGGAATTGGATGAGGAAACCGCGTCTATTAGCGGTTTCTAAGCTCCTATTTACCCTTAAAAGTTCAGCGACCCGGACGATCGTAGAGGATACCGCGATGCCGGTCCTATACTACCTTTCTCTGACGCCTGAAGTTCATATCTTCCGAGTCGAATCCTGGAAGCATGCCGTGCGCGTGCGCAATGATAGGTATAAAGTGGCTCGAATGCGCGAGTGCACCCCGCATTTCTCCTTGCACCCATGTCACAAATGGCTGAATCGACGTCGTCCCGCAACCGTTCACGCCCCAGCGCTGGTAGCAAACGAGACGAGCGCATCAGGGACTGGATCGACGAAACCAGCTTGTACACACCTCCGCCCCACTCGATGTCGATTCTCCGTTCGCCTACCACCAAGCATAAAACCGCTTGGACCTCCAAGCGTCGCAATCGGCTGCATAGCCTTACACGTTCGGCTAGGAGGATCCACAGGTCAAGTCTCCTGCGCAGTGCCGATCGACATGCAGCGCTGTCGGTTGCGAATAGCCGCCAGAGCACCAATCCTCACCCCAACTCCCCATATTCCTCGGGTCACGGAGATGAAGCAACAACGTCGTATCCGTCGTTGGCGTTGCTCCTTTCCTCATTCATTGTGGTAGCCATGCTACCCTCCCTCCTTGTCCTCTTGGGATTCGCGGCGTTCCTGGCTTTCGTTCCGTTGCTACCCCAAGATGGCAATTCTGCAACTGGAGAGTTTACGGTACGTCCATTCACATCCTTACCCAGTGGACACCGTATTCAAGGACGCCAAGGGTGTTGCATCGCCTCTGGACTCGGAGGAATCGCGCCTAGACGGGAGATCCAGTGGTGGGCAGGAAAGCACCCACAAGACCTTCAAACGCAAACGCGTGTAACCAGCGACCGCGGCTTACAACACCCATGATCTCGATATGAACCATGCCTCAAGCTTTTAATCTGATGTACTGGTATGAATTCTTGTGACTTTCACCTTCCGAGACTCTGGGAGCCTCCTATGCCTAATACAACGTCACCCCACAACCTTGCTTGCGGTCATCAGCGACGGGCGCTCGGTCGGAAGTCTCTTTTTGGGAAATCGTGTTTGGGTCAGACCGTGTCGTCCTCGGTTTCCAACCTTTCCGTCTATCCTACTTGGTGAATTACGTGGTCTTAAGAGGGATCGCAGACTGTTCTTCATCGATGGTTCCTATCGTTGCATAAGTCAGTAGAACCAGGCGCATATCATCGTTGCTCAAGGGCCATCGATTGGCCTGAAATCCGATACGCGTGTGTAAAACATCCGACATCATCTCGACATGGCACAGCCGCCCGCGTTTGTGGTTGTCAACCTTCTGTCTTCCTGCTTCGCCGCTGACCATGCAGAAACCGGCTGTGCGATCCCTGATGATGAAACCCCTCTTCCTATATGTATCTCGTGCATCGATGCCGTTGTGTGTCCCTTTCCTTCCCCTCCGTCTTTCTGTCATCTCACTCGTGGTCCTTTCAGGTTTAGATCGTGGCCTCGACATCCAGGATATCGACGATGCTGAGCGCTCTGCTGCTCTTCAGCTCTGTGCTGAGTGCAGAGGCTGTTCGACTCAACTTTACGCGGACACACCTCTCCCATGAGGTTAGGGACCTCATCGCGCGCAACCCGCGAGTTTCGAGAAGCTTACCATCGAGGTTTACAAGGGAGACTCATTTGAAGGTGGAGAGGAGGCAGAGCAGCGAGGACACCGAGACGGCAAGCTATGTGAACAATTTGGTGCGTCGTCGTCTTCTTTATTCGCTCGGCTGTATGTGCTCATGCGCCGCGCAGTACACAGCGCCGATTACTGTGGGTGACAAGGGTGTGTTTGAACTCGTGTTTGGAGCGCCACTCGACCTCATGACCGTTTCACGATTGCAGAATACCTCGTGGTGCTAGACAGTGCGAACACCGATCTATGGTACTACCTATTCTGGTGGCCTTCACTAGGAAACTGACCATTAACCAATCCAGGGTCGACAATGCACCAGACGATGCGACCGACACGGGAGTCGACCTCACCCTCAACTACGATGTCGTTGGTGGCCACCTCGAGCTCGAAGGTTCAATCAGCATCGCGCCAGTTAAGTTCGGTACATACGAGATCGCAGAGCAGGGTACGCCGAGTCCTCATTCTATGAAGGACCGTTACTAGAGCTGATCATTTCCGCAGCTTTCCTCGACGTGGAGGACGATGAGGGAAAACTGTTCGAGCTCCTGGGTTTCAACGGATTCTTCGGTCTAGGGTTGGAGTACTCGCGACCTTCTCAAATTGAGAAGGCTCTCGAAGAGGCTGGTGGCGAGCACGCGACGCAAGGGCAAACCGTCCTCGAGAACATTTTCGCTTCCTCCCCCTCTCTCGAACGATTCATCGCCGTCGATCTGGGACGAAAGGACGACAACCGTGACATTGAAGGCATCGAGCTCAGTATCGGAGAGTATCCGGAAGCCTGGGCTGAGATTCAGGAAACGCCAGCCATCGACCTCTACCCCGATAACGCGGAAAGCTGGACTGTTCTCGTTGAAGCCATTCGCGTCGCCGAGATTCCGCTGGATTTGAAGTCCAAGGTCAAGGGCGTTCCCGCAGGCAAGGCCCTCGCCCACCTCAACATCGGAGATCCAGAGACCCTACTCCCGCCCGCCCTCATCGACGAGCTGTATGGAAACATTGAAGGAGCTGCTTCGTTTACTCTTGACGGAGAGAAGCGATGGCTAGTTCCCTGTCTCACTGAAGACGTGACGCAATTCACTATCAGGTATGCGAAGAGTTTTGTCGTGATGACTGGGCTGACATCGACTCTCCTTCAGTGGTCGCTCTTTCCCGGTTCACCCTCTCGACTTGAGTGATATCTGGCAGGATCGCCCTTCCGAACTCGAGGACTACACCGTCTGCATCAACTCCTTCCGCCCCATGTCTACCAGCGAGGAAGACTTCGATCTCAACTTGGGTTCCTCCTTCCTCCGCAACGTCCAGACCGTGTAAGCTCTCCTCACCGTTCCTCACGTCTATTTCTCACCACCCGCATAACAGATTTGGGTTCCCGGAGAAGGATGGAAGTGGCGAACCGTACATCCTCATGCAAGCAGATACGGAGGAGAACAAGGTCGACACGCAAGTTCGAGTCATCCGTGGTGGCCAGATGGAAGAACTCCCCGAGGAACTCTCCCCTGACGAGGCTGTTGCTATCCTCAAGGGCGGATCTGCCAAATCCAGTGCTAGACCCACGAACGGCCGAAACAAGGAGGCTCACCGCACCGCGGATGGCACTGGTGCCTCTGTACCGACTGGAAGCAGTGATTCGGCAGTGCTCAGCGCCGAATCCTCGGATTCGACGACGCTGGACAAGTACATGCCTGCGATCCTAGCGCTGTTGTCACTCAACATTCTCATTGGACTGGGTTTGGTTGTGTTGGGGGTGCTGAATTACATCAAGAGGAACGGTAGTGGGAGGAAGACCGGTCCTCATGTTTACGTCCCCGTGAAGGCCGCTGAGACTTCATGAGGCTAGTTTGTTGTCCTTATTTGATCCTTTTCCTCATCGTCATGAACCTTATTTAGAGAGTTACATACATAGCATTTTGTACAACGGACTGGTAATTATAATGCATGCAATTGTTGGAATGCGTCGTGGATACAGAACGAATATAGCGCTCAACATTTCAGGGGATCCCCTAGAAATGCACACAGTTGGAAGTCGCAGATGGATAACGAAAAGAACCAGTCATCTGGAGTCATCGTGTCATCAGCCTGCCAGCGAAGTTCTCAGTCAATCCGGTAATATCTAAATCCAAAGGGCTTGACTTTCTATTGATGCTATTGATACAGTGTGGGTGTTGCGATGGGTGAATTGAGACTTGCTTCGTTACATTCATGACTTCGTACTAGCATGGTGAGAGGGGATTGAGAAAAGAAAAAACTATGTAAACGACCTGTCCATGAACGTCCAGCGATAACCAAGAAATAAATTAGCCAAGCATCGCAGATGGCAGTAAGTGGAACAAAAGATATAGGAGATCAGACTCGTGATGATTGTGTGTTTCCGATGGGTATAATTGTCTCGAACGATGTTGAGTGCTTTTGAATGGGCCGAGGTAGGATGACGTTGGATGATGATGACAGCCTCACCTCGTTTCTGTTGAACGACACGAGGCTCGACGACGTGGACGGAGCTTGGGTTGTCGAAGGATGCGAACGGCGGGCGAAGGATGAATGGGCGATAGCGCGGTGAAGTGGATCCGGCGTCCAAATCGTCGTTCGAGGGACATCGAGGCCCAGTTAGGGGACCATACCCTAGTCGAGAACGGATCCTGGCTATTTCTTCTTCCTTAGCCGCCCAAAGAAACTAGAACCGGACGACGATCGTTGGCTGTCCCGCTTCCCGTCGACTATGATCGTTCCATAGGGATATGAAGAGGCGCTGGCATTGGAAGGCTTCACAGTATAGCCTCCCGCCGACTGACCGTGTATCTGGGGCACAGGCATCTGCATCGGGTAGACTCCCGCGCTCTGAGGAAGGGTCGTATAGCCACCCGAAGCAGGCGATGTGTGTCCAGAAGGGAGGTACATGGCGGACGTGGACATAGCGGGGACGGAACCCGAATATGGACCGCGCTGGCCTGCCTGCTGGGGAGCCTGGAAGTAGCCGTACATCGGTACTGCAGCGGGGATCATAGGCAAAGGGAGTGGAGTCGGCAGGCTCTTCTTTCGACGATGTTTCCGGCTGCTACGATGACTGCTTCCGCTGCTCGCTACGTGTGTAGTTGAGGTACTGGCCGGCGCCTGGTAGACCCAACATGTGCCCGTCCATTGAGGTACCAGTGGCGTACCGTTTTGGATGAACTGGTACCCTGGAGCTGGAGGATGCGATTGTCGAGGTTGTACAGGGGCTGAGGATAGGCCTTGGTAGGCTTGAACGTGGGGATACCCCATCGGTCCCATTTGGAATGGGAACACGCCTCCATAACCGACAGGTGCGCTGGCAGGGGGTGTAGGTGGACGATCGGGCCCGGAATAGTCGCTCGCGTCGCTGTCATCCCCGTCGTGTGCTCTACTCTTGCCCTTCTTCGATTTCTTCTTCTTGGAAGACTTGTAGAAGTCACTGTCGTCGCGTGCAGTCGATGTGGGCAAGAAGGGATTGGTGGGTTGGAAGTTGGCGTTGTTACGTCTCCATTTGTCGATTTGCGCTTGCTTTGCCAAATGAGCTTGCCAAGCGCCAGGGGAAAAGTCGTACTCGGTCATGGTAGTAGGAGGGCGAAGAAAGGTGGGTGAAGTCTAGATGGTGCTCCGGATCCGGGTGTTGGCAGATATACTAGGTCGGTATATTTACGCCGAACCTGTGTGGGCTTGGTGGATATGAATCAGAAACGTGTTGCGGTGAGCGGAGGTTGCAGGGTCTAGGAGGATGTTGTCAGGCGACTTATATGATGCACGGAAGGTGAAGAAGGTTGTCGATCGATCTGGTGGCGATGGAGAACGGGTGCAGGCCAGGGAGGTTATATGGACCCAATGACGAAAGTGACGAGGGATTAGTGGAATGAGGACTTCTACCCGATGGGCCGAATCCCTTAATAGGGCTCGATGGAGGAGCGAGGTGGTGAGAGCGAATAAAGATAGAAAGGATATGGGCGGTCGTGAGGTCTAAACCTGGGCTGATACGTCAGCACCGCTTTTGAGAACGAGGACCGTGTTAACCACGAGACCTACGTAACCGGGACTGAGAACGGGCTGGCTGTTAGTTGAGTCGAATTATCTGGTAGGGCGGCGAAAGTGCTGGAATCAAGGTGATGGGCTGTGGGGTGAGGTATTAAGTACGCCGCCGTCAGGGCAATGCAGCCGACGTACGTCAAGGTACAAACCAATGTCGACAATAACAATGGTTTCTGGGCACAATAATGGCGAGAGCCAAGTGGTGCTAGCCTGGTCGTGGGCGAAATGATAGGTCGCCGCAATTGGCTGTCACGTTTAGATCACCTCGAGGCCACAACGTTCAAGAACGCCAGGGTCCTGGGTGCTAGGACGACAAGGAATGATCAACCTCCGAGCAAGCTGAGAGGGGGTATTTAAGCCAGCTGAAGCGCGTTAACTGCAAGGGGAGTCATTGGGGAAGTGGCAGATACTTCCACAGCGGGAAGACCCGCAAAAACAAAAGGGTCGACAAGAAAGGGCAATCCGTTGTGGGCAGGCCGCAGCACTGGACCTGAGGCCAGAAGAATCCGCCTTACGGCTATCACCGAAAACATAATTTTTTACCAAATGAAGGCAAAAACCCCTTACCAATGTTCATGACTTGCCATGGGAGAGGTGCTGTTGCTGGACATGTATCGCGGATACGCTTGTCAAGTACTACAGCATGTGGCTACTTCGAAACTTCACCTGTAGGGGAATATGCGAGAGGCTAGAGCGTCTGCCATTCGTGCGATCCGAGCTCTCGCAGGGGCAGTAAGTGCAGCAAGTCATCTGTGTAATATTAATCGCGAGCTCCCCCCCAAATGGACTCTAGAGGTGAGTCAGTTCTACTGAGGTAGTAGCCTGGTTGCGCCTGGAAGAACACTGCCACAGTTCCTGGAGGAACTTCGGATTCACGCTGCACCGCAGTCTGGCAGCTTCTCGCGAACCAGCCCCAAGGGGAGTCAACCTTGAAAAAGGATCTACAGAGTCACAATCACTTTCACAGCAGATGAATATTGACATCCTTGTAATGCTTGAATGACTGAACTATGCTACCCGTCGCTTCCATAACTAATTCTTGAATCGGGATAAGTGGGTATAGGTACTAAGTCCACAGCTTGTCGACATAAAGCGTTACCGTATCCCCTGTATCGTTTTTTACTTGACTGGGACCTCCATCCTGGACGAAGCTATTGAAATTAAACGCGCGCTAACGTCTACGCCATGGGCGCCTCATTTTTGCGGGTTGTTCCGGGGGGTTGCACGTGAGTTCCTCCCACGGTGGATGGTTCTTTCCGAACTTTTTAACTTCGCTTTCTCTTCCAAACCCATTCCAGGAGACTTCGACGAATGTAGGGCAGTGAGCTCTCTGGATCGACTTACGCCTCAATGAGTGGAAGTAGCACCAAACTCTGGATTGCCATGTCATTTCCGAAGGAGCTCCTCTGGCTGACACCTTGCCAATACCGTGGCGGTTAACCTCACGACTTGTTCTGTGTTCCAGACAGCCGCCAGATAGAAAACACGGAGATCCTTCGCGTGGATCTCTTACTCCCCGACTCCATGTGCACCCCTGGCGACGTCTGTTGACAATACTGGCTCTGCGATTGCTGACCTCCCCGGCACGATATCTGGCACCAACGCTATGGCGATTAACATTCCTGCTCCTACCCGACTTCTAACCCTGAGCGCTCGAGCTCCATCATCACCACCAGACTCGCCGGATCTTAATCCTCGACCGGACAGTACTTGCGTTCCCTGGATCCCTGATCCCGCAAAATCGCATGCACTAAAGCCTACCTACTCGATAACCAGCTCCACCATCAACACGCAAGATCATTCAAAACGGGGTTCCTTGAACCTTGAATCCCACATGTGGGCTACTTGTAACGACGATAAGCCTCTTTACAGCAGCGACAGCGGGCCATCTCTGAGCTCGGGGAAAAGGAGTGCACGGTGCGGGAGAATCACCCTCGTCATCATTGGTGTGGCTTCTGTGATTCTCCTAGGGGTCTTTTTGCCTCTTCATTTTGGAGTCCTTCGATCTTTACACCACGGAAATACAGTCCCACTTTCCCGAGGCAACGAAACAAACAGCCAACCGACTACTCACACATTGCTGGTGCGTCTTCACTTCACGCGATTCGCTTGTCTTGACCGGTATCTCATAGCGGGGAGGCGACGGCTCGGAAGTGACCACGGCGGACGGAACCAAATTTACTTATCGCAATCCATTCGGCGGATTCTGTATGTACTCCTTCGTCCCTCTTCTCTGGTGCCACACTGACGTCTTGGATCCAGGGATCTCTGACCCTGAAGACCCCTTTAATCTCGACGCACAGCCGAATGAATGGACCCCACCCCTCAACAGGTCCTGGCGCTGGGGTCAGGATCGAATCTTCGGAGTCAATCTTGGTGGATTGTTCGTCCTCGAGCCGTTCATTACTCCAGGTGTGTTCGAAGCTCGACCAGGATATGTGGACGAGTACACCCTGTCGGAGATGATGCGCGACGGGGTCAATGGCACCCAGGGATTCCAAGATCTCGAGGAGCATTACAAGACTTTTATCGTAAGTTCTTAATTCCCATAGCACTTGGCCATGGCTGATAGAGCTGTGGGTAGACCGAGAAAGACATCGCTGAGATTGCCGGTGCAGGGCTGAATTGGCTGCGCGTTCCCTTAGGATTTTGGGCTGTCGAGGTATACGAGAACGAACCATTCCTGGAACGGACTTCTTGGACGTGAGTATGATCACTTTCTCTTTTCAAATGACTGACTCACCGCCTTTCTCCCAAGATATTTCCTACGCATCGTCGAATGGGCAAGAAAGTACGGTTTAAGGATTTACCTCGACCTTCATGCTGTACCTGGTGGTCAAAACGGTATGTGACAATGTTGTACGACGCCTGTGATCGAAGACTTTAACACGTGCTCTTTAGGAATGAATCACTCCGGACGGTAGGATTCATTTACGATGTTAGTCTATCAATCCCAAACGCTTCCTGAATTTTCGACAGCGTTCACCGGATCAGTTTCCTTGCTGGAAACATGGGTCTCGCCAATGCGCAGCGGACCCTCTATTACTTGCGTGTCTTAACCGAATTCATATCCCAGCCTCAGTACTCGTCTGTCATTCCTGTTCTCGGAATCCTCAATGAGCCACTGTCGGAGGAACTTGGAATGGAGGCGCTGTCTAGCTTTTATCTTGAGGCGTACACGATGATCCGCAACATCACTGGGTACGGCGAAGGAAACGGGCCGGTGAGTATATCCGGTTCTGCTGCTTAACGTCCCAATTAATACTTATCTGTAGTACATTGCTATCGGTGACGGGCTGCGCTCGCCATTGGATTGGGAAGGCCTCCTTCCCAACGCAGATCGTGTTATCATGGATGCGCATCCATATGTCGCATTCGACCGTAGCCATGACACGTCTCCCCTTACCGATCTCGCTGAAGATGGCGAATTTGGTGGGATCTGGCCAAGGACCGCTTGTCAGCGATGGGGACCCCTCATCAACTCTACGTACGTCAGGGCTCAGAAGGTATCGCTGTTTCGCCGGTCTGATTTCATCAGTAGAAAAATGGCTCTGGGCGTCACCATTGGCGGAGAGTTCTCAGGAGCTCTAAACGATTGTGGCCGGTACATTCGCGAAGTTGGTGTCACGTCGGATCACCCCCAATGCCCATTGTATGACGACTGGGAGAACTGGACCGATGAACTCAAGGCGGGACTGCAAAACTTCATCTTGGCGAGTATGGACGCAATCGGTGATTTCTTCTTTTGGACATGGAAGGTCAGGCTCTGTCTAGTCGCCCCTTAAACCTTTTAATATTGACTTATTGCTGTGTTATAGATAGGACCTTCGATCGAAGGGAAGATCACCGCCCCATTTTGGTCGTACAAGCTCGGTTTAGAACAGGGATGGATTCCTCGGGACCCACGCACCTCGTTTGGAAAATGTGCTAGGCTCGGTATCAGCAGCGCGCCGTTCGATGGCACCTACAAGCCCTGGCAGACTGGAGATTTTGAGTCACAGCCGACCATTCCCGCTGAATATCTCGCGAACAACGCTTGGCCGCCTGGGACCCTTACTCGTGCCGATATGCCCGTTGCTTTGCTGCCTACGTATGCTACCACCGGTTCGGTCATCACTCTCCCTGTTCCGACGTACTCTGGTACGCCTGCCTCTGCTACTGAGAACTTGAGGGGATGGTATAACGATGCTGATACTCGAGGGGGAGTGACTCCCATTGGCGGTTGCAAGTACCCTGATCCCTATGTGGTTAAATTCGATGTTCTACCTACGGCTCGGTGCGGAGAATAGACACCCAATTTGAATAATAGCCGTACCGTTCGTTGCTGGTTTATGTGTCTGTCATTGTCAAGCCCGTGGTGGGCTCAAGTTGCATTTGTTTGCATTGGAAGCTGTAGCCGTCTGCAACGACATCACTTTCACCTTCCCCTCCTTTGTTCTTGTTTTTGGAATCCCTCTCCTGTTGCTCTCAATTTCTCATCGAAGAGTTGCTGCGTAACAGCCGTATTCATAATCTCCGTCGTGTTCTTTTGTAAACGACTCGCCAATGCCCGTCCCTTGGTCCCTTGTCGTACGTGTCACATCAAAATCGTACCCTGTAGCCACGTCTTTCTATTCTGAGGATCTTTGCGGACTTTTCTGGAACAATCTCCTCCTTTCTGGGCACTACTGCACATTTCAACAACAGCCTGGCGTTCCAGTGGCACAGAAAGGGAAGTACAGCATGACACGACTCGGCCACGCAACTACGATTGGTCGCGCGGTCTATTGTTCTGTGAGAAAGGACTGTGGCAACTGCGCTTTATTCTCGTGCTCGAGGGTATAAAAGCTGTCGAGTGCGCAGTCATATCCTTTCAACCCACCCTCCCGTAGCTTTCTGCTTTCCGAAACTCCTGAGTCCTCTGGGTATTCCTTTCATCGCCTCTCTGCGACAGCCTTTCCGCTCAATCACTGAGACTTGTCTCCCCCACCCCCTCCTCTTTGTCCACCCACTACCACACGAACGCCTCATCAAGATGAATTTGTTTGAATCAAAGATCAGTATCCGCTCCATGGTTCCTCTCGTCGAAGGAGGGTGCTCTCCCGAGTCTTTCCTACGCCACGTTTCCCCAGCAGTTTCTTCGCCCGTGATGGCCGTGTATTGCCCCAGTTTCACCTCAGAGCCCGAGTCTACTATCTGCCATTACGACGAATCGCCGCACGCAGGAAACAGAGCCACGGAACCCACCGGCGGTGTCGGTGGTCTTCGCTACATCCCCCCACCTTATACCTATGGTCATCTCTATGACTACGATTCCCTCCCCGAAGTGGCACGACAAGCGCTGGTTGACAACGGGGTTCAGCCCCTACAACGTGCACACCAAGACTCCATCCATGATCGATGCCATGCAATCAGCCCACCTCCGGGACTTTGGAAACACGCATGGTTTCAGGCAGATGCAGTACGAGTTGGTGATGTGGAGAAGCAAAATTGGGATCTTCACCGACGAGCTCAGCGGTACTCTTGACGATTCGAAGCACTCCCTCTCTCGTCTTTCCTCGGCCATCGACGATCTAAGAAACACCATCCTCCCCAACTATTACGCCGCAGTTAACGAGTACGTCGCTGGATACGATGCTTTCGTTTGGCTCCGACTGCGCCAACTCGACCCCTCTTCTCCTGGCTTTGAGCAGGTTTACAACCGCATCATGGACAGCCGCGACGCAGACATTGGGGCGGCTGTTCGAACACTCCTATTCTGGGCTGAGATCCTTTATCAGGAGTCTCTGCGGGAGGACAAGGAACAACAGTTCAGGGCTATTTCTCCGGTTCTCGTCCCTGGTGTCAAAGCACCCGATGCAGAAACAGATGATCTCCCCCCTCTCCCCGATGATTGGTACGCTTCCCATCCGTCCCCTACGAACCCATCTCCCGACTCTTCCGGCTCGGAAGGCTCTTCGACACCGGGAACCACTCCCAACACACCCCAAACATCATTCCAGACTAGTACGCTCGACTCTCCTCACGACTGCGGCTCCAACCCTTCTCTTTCAAGGCCAAATTCTGACGCATCTTGGGTGTACGTCCAGGACGACGCGGAGTCTCATGTCAAGGCCTCTCTTTCCATCGACGTGTGGTTATTGGTTCACATCGAGCATGCTGACTGCGGCACCTTCCCTGTCCCACCTTCTGCACCCTTTTGGATTCAAGAGTTTGCTCGAGGTAATTGACTCTAGTCTCTTAATGACATTCTTGGCTTCCTTTCAATGTAGTAATACCATGCGACGACAAGTAGTGACCAGTATAATAGTCGCAGTATTCCAAATAAAATCATTAACCTTTGATCGATTCAGAATCTATTTGGACATGAGTTTCGAAGTGCAATATTGCAGGGTAAGTGCAGTGTGCTGTGTACTCGTGAAAAGTGCAAGCACATCCTGGTGTCTCGCGGTTAGTGTTATTTCCCCTTAACGTGGATAACTCGGATGTCTCCCGTATACCGAGGCATATAGACTTTCCTATTACAGCGTTATAGTCGTTGGACGGGATGTCGTCACCAGTGGCTACCTGGCGCAATGGTAGCGCGTTTGGCTTCGATGGCTAACCGGCACCAAAAGGTTGCAGGTTCGATCCCTGCGGTGGTCATTTTTTGCATGTTCCCGCCCCGTTATTCAGCAAATCTTGGCGCATAGCTTCATAATCCTTGGCGGAAAGCACTTTGCCCTCGGGTAAAGTGGGTTCCACCGACGACACACGCGAACGATTAGCAGCAAAGGTTGACACCGCTTGTACTTCATTAACTGAGATACATTCACTCCTTTATTTTCTTCCCATGTAGAGTAGCCCCAGTATCTTCAACCTTCTTTAACGCATTAGTTATCCAAGCTCCTCGAAGGCGGTGACCCTCTGTCACTAGGATGATGTCATACCCCTTGGCGACCTCTGGGCTCTCGTCCTATAAAATGGAGGGCCAGGCGGTATCGGTTTCGTCTTTCCCCCAACATGTTCGCAAGACTTCCGACACTTATTTTCTTATTATCAGCCTCGCAACAGTGCTATGCACAGGTATACTATAGGAGGAGGCGGAACCCAGTTGGGAGAATTATCGCAGGAGTTGTTGTTGGTGCGTGCTAACTTGATTCCGCGCTGATCCAATCGAACCTTACCCCTGTTTGTAGGCGTAGTAGTCCTCTTACTCCTGCTCTCCCTTATTTTCCTGCGTAGGAGACGACTGCGTGCTGCCAGATATACCATCGCTACGCTACCTCAGCATGGAAATCTCAGGCCGTCGAACGCACCGGGCTTTGCAGGATTCGGTCCTGGTGCGGGGCCAATGATGATGGGACAGACCGGTCATGGTGGAGCTATGCCCCCCTATCGTGGAAATTCGTACACTGGCGCCCCACCAGACGCGCTTGGTGGAGAGAACAAATTTGGAAACTACGCTCCTGCGCCACCGCCCTACTCAAACGCGAAGGAAGGCCAGTACGCTCCCCCACCTGGACCCCCGCCCCAGAATTCATCCCAGGTACGTGGATGGTAATGCTATAGGGAACTCTATTGTTGACACTGTCTTACTCTCAGATCGCACCGCCCGCACCTGCGCATACTGCAGTAAGTATCCAACGCTATTGACAAAGCTTCATGATTTTGATGGGGTTGCAGCCGGACGGCACGGAACGGTTCGTTGGAGGTTTCCGAGGAAACAGCTCTGCGGTCTGAGATGATCAACTTCGACGCACTTACCTTTGACCATCGCAAACACGAATACAACGTGACGATCGACAATATGTGACTACTATGTTCGCTATCGACTTGCTATTGACATCTGCTTTGTGTACTCCTAGATTAGATACCAAATAATGGACAATTAGGAAGTATGCCTTGTTGACAGTGAGTTTCATGAATCAAAGCCAGAGCGGCCAGAGGCAAGGCCGCGTATCTTCGAATTTTATAAGGAAATGTTCGAGAAGGATATGGTTGAATCCAAAATTAACCAGTGCACACCGATGGACACAGCCACAGCCACAGACGCGGGTCTCATCCCCCGAAAAAGAAAGAAAAAATTCTAATCAATTCATGCCAGCTAGTCTAAGTATAGGTAGCATGTAGGACACCAATAGGCGATCGTTAGGTGGCTATATATGAGTAGAGTCTGAACCCACTGTTCGAAAACACGTTTAGGCTACTTGACCGGCCCTAAAGTAAAAAGCGCCCACCGGGTAAGTAGCGCTCAGCCTAATGCGATTCTGATAGCAGCGATTGGGCTGAATCAAAGCTCGTGCGTCATAAACTGGCGTCTATGTGTTGTCTGGAACATATTTAATGACGTAGTGATTAGGGAGTTTCGAAGGTTAGGAGTGAAGAACGGGCTAGTGTGTACAATGAGCCGACCCCAAAGTCATTGGCGCCCAAGCGCACAATTTAGAGCAAGAATGCCTGAGCCAGCTATCGTTTGATCAATTTAATGAAACTTGAAGTGGACGCTGATAAATATGCCATATGTTCTACGGCATGGACTATCTCCAATGCTTCCAACATAGCTATTCTGTTGGACATCCAAAGTCTAGCCGAGCTTTCGTGACCTATACTCTTGCAACCTTGGAGGAATCGCTTTGGCCATTGCAATCCAACTGGGGAAGGGTCGATTATGATCTTAACAACGATCTACCACGTGTATCAAAGATGTAGATAATGGTTACTAGGAGAAATTCATCTCATCGTTATCAAAGGAAAAATCCGCAGTAATTGACGCTCAGGGTCTTGACGGATTTGGGTTTCAATGGAGAGGGCGCGACAGTGCGCCGTGTGATGCTCCGGGACTTGTCGGAGCAGCACCCTCCTGCAGTCTGCAGAATGTGCATGGGACCCACAACCAGAGGGCGCAGCAGCGATTTCGCAGGACTTCCATCGCTAAGCGGGCTGTTTCTCCGGTTTTGGTCCGGGAGGAGAGGGTCAGCTATTGCCCATCCGGAGTTAACTGCCAAAGTGGCTGACGCGCTGACGCGGTCAGGTGCGATAAATCAGGTTAAAGCTACAAAAATGGAAGGATCGCCGGCAATGGTGCAACGACGGACAATGGGCCAGGGAGAAGGAATGTCGTCCACAAAGACGACTGACCGTTTGGCTGGGAAAGATTATAAAACTTGACCTTTCGTATTTTTGCAAGGATCCTCTTGATCTCGAGTCACTACCATCTCCACTGGTAGTCGCAGGTCACTGCGTCCCTCCCGCCTGCTCCTGCTTGTTCACGACACCCACGACGCGTATACGACTCACTAACGAACCAACTATTCTAATCCCCAACCTATTCCTTCAATAACCACCCATTCCATCGTGCTCCCGTCGCATAGCCATGTCCTCCAACATCCCCACCACCGTCGCCCGCGCCGCCGCGACTGACCCTACGCTTGACTTTGTCTCTGCCTCAAATTCCACTACCTCCGTCGACGCGACTGTCGCAGACATCGACATCGACTACGAACAATGTGGCCGCCTATTGGACCTCGCCCAGTCTCGAACAGAGTATTTCGAGGCAGTCGACACGGCCGAGTTGGACGCCGAAACCGAGCAAATCCAATCTTTAGCAGGAGGCAAGGAGCGTGAGCGCAACCTCAAATCCGACAATTTTGACGTGAAGGAGGGTGCCTTCCAACGTGGCCGCACCGCCATTCGTAGGCGGTTCAGCAATCAATTTGACAAGATCAGGTCGAGGTCCCGTTCCTTGTCGATTTCGTCCGCGCGAACCCCTCCCCGCTCGCCCGCAGCCACCGGAGACGCGACTCAAGGTGAGGATGCGGCCAGGGAGGTCAAGAGGAGGCAACTCTCGCCTGTCGCGCGGGCCGTCCTCACCTTCAGAGAGCAGGAGGAAGGTGTTCTCCAGATGCTCTATGGCTCTCCCAAGTAGGCGCCTAGTCCTCATCGCCTTTGCAACGACCACTCTCGCTTTTCGCACCCCCGTCAATTTCGCCCATAAAGCCTTTCCCCCCGACCCACCGGCGTTCGACGACGAGGTTGCATGTCCCTTGTATTATATTTCTACGCACTCGCGATTCCATTTGTTTGTTTGTAATTTATAGTGTACCATGGCTACTACCTTAGTGTACATCGCTCGTTAGTGTACTCGGGTTCATTTCTCGTATGCCTGGCGCTCTTTATCTGCTTTTCCTTCCTCATCCCTACCATAATTCCCTTCTGACAATCCCACCCATAATCTACTCATTTCGACTCTCTGACTGTAACTTTATAGTGTATCATGGCCGCCTTGACCTAGTTGTACATTGATCCCTCTTGTACATACATTCATTCACAGGTTCCCTGGCACATGGACTCTTGCCCGTTCTCATGTACCTGTACATTATATTTATTTCGCCTTGGCTTGATGTCGGGGCTACGGGGCTATGTAATTTATACTTTGGTTGACCCAACTGTCCAGAATGGGAGGATCTCATTGACACCACGAATCTGAGGAGATCAACTCCAGAAGGTGGAGTGGTATGTTCGGGAAATACTACCTCGCTGAAGTAGGCGGACAGTGGTAATGGCCTCTCGGAACCTAGGAGTTGATCGACGCTGACTCATGGCCAAATCTCTATATCTAAAGTAAATATAAGAACATGAAGGAACAATTCCCTAAGTCTAGACAGCCTTCCTGAGTCAGTTAGTAGGGGATTCCTTCCAAAGGCTGGCGTCGGGTGCGGGTGTGATACATGAAAGAAACGAGGGAACCCAAATCGTGAGTTTGATTATCTGATGGCCGCTGCAGCAGGTTGGTCCGAACATTGACGGCGACAAAGAATAGTTTCAATTGTATGCTTCAGGGCACTGTCTACATACGACAGGTGTGGAGCTTGGAAGTCTTGGTCCCAGCACGTGTCAGCGAAATGGATGACGTGACTCTCGGTTTTTGTGATTCCCCGGGCCTCTGAAGCAGAGTTAAAGCAGCTTATAATGGCCCTGAAGCTAATAAGAGTGGGAAAGGTCCCGTTACTTCAGGTCCTGCTGTTAGAGCCTTGGAGGATCGATATCGTGGACCATGTCAGGCAGGGGGCTCGAGGGACCGTTACCTCCACTGTGCAAAGCATTGAGATCGTTTGACGCCTGTCGTTTATGAATGGAGCGCTTCGGGACGGAAAGCTACGACTCAGAGCAGATTATGTTAAACAGAAGAAATCGTCCTACTCTTTCCTCTTATTTCGGGAACTGGATACATTCGGATGTACGACCCGACCTCACCACAATGTTCCGAGGACATCGTGCGACTCGGGGTTCGACTAACGAGAGCTCCAGTTGTTTTGATAGGGTTTTTCCGACAAAACGGTCTGTGGATGACTGTTATCTCAGAGCTTGAAACCACGACTCTCCGCGTTCCGAGGCCTGGCAATGGAAAGATTAACAGTCAATGTATGACAGTCTGAGGTTTCGCGATACCTGTGGTAGCTTTCGTAAGGCGATGTCAATGCAAGGAGGGAATCAAATCCCTCACCGATGCCCGAAGGGGTGATGAGCGTCGTCGAGGGAGCTTTACAGCAGAGGATTGATATTGGTGGGTAAAACGCCAAAAAGCTCAAGTAATGCCTGATTAAAAGGATCGACGAGCGTGTTTATTCTTCCCGTTATGTATCTTTGAAATAAGTTCCGGTAGCGGGTTTGGTGCGACATCAACTTCAACCTTTGACTGTTTCTGTGATCCAAATCCTACGTATACGGTGCATTGGACATGTCCCCCTAACTCCTGAATGATGCTGCATCCGAGAACTTCGGCATGCCAAACCTTGTTTACCGACCGAGAACCTGCCCTATATTCAATCACCTTCAACTCCCCGATTCCAGCGTCGAAATCACAACATTGTTTCATAACAGCGAAAACAGTATCTTCGGAACATTCACGACTCGAGAGGGGGAAGGCGATAAATGGTCCTTATTGAGTCGAAGGCACACAAGCTGCGTTGGTGTATCAAAGCCATACTGCAATGGAAGTACTTAAAGTTAGACGCCCGAATGGGCGGCGGTGTCACGAGACGGGCACTCCGAAAAAGGCAAGTTCGACGACGACACGAATCTCCAATAAAATAAAAATAAAAATATGGATTCTGTCCCAAAGTGATGACTAGACCGGTGTGTGAATGCGAGTTTCTGCGAAGGCGGGAGATAGTGGGTACAGGTGGGGGCGCAAGGAGAGCACACTCCAGTGACGTCGGTCTACATATTCCTAATACGAGATTCAGGAGATCGTAAAACCCCTACTTGCTCCAAGTTACAATGGCCCAGGAGCTTGAGGATCTAGACGCCCCGCATTATCTACTCCAGTCCATGCCAAGTCTGGATCTACTGTTCGCGCGTGCTTCGAAGGCATGCGGGCAGATACAGCCCCTGGGCCTCGTGCTTGGGGAAATTACTTCACCATCTAGCTTCTGTCTCACATAGTGCCACAGAGATGCCCTTCGCACAGTCATCGAATCCAGTCGATTCAATTCTGATATCGATTGTGGCGGTCCCTCTTTCCTTGTTTATTGAATCTCTCTCTCTTCGCAGTCTAGCGATAGTGTTGTGTCCATCTATGGTCCTAGGCAGTAAGGGATCTGGGACTGACTTCTTTCTGTTCGTGATTCAAGTTATGGGCTGAGGGTACAGGGCATTACCTACACCATTCATGATGAAATCAACCTCTCTCAGAAGTATCACGATTAAACTTTCACTACTTACGACAGAACTCGAAGTCGGTCGAAAGGAACGGCCGATTAATTCCTTTTAATTTAAAATCCGTTCAAGGCTAGTCTCTGACAAGCGTCTTGAACCAGCCCGATGTAAAGGTACATATGGAAATGAAATGCCGGTAATTAATGCTCGCTCGTCCATGACCTTGTCGGCTGCTACATGTTGTGCATGGGCCCGTCACCTACTGCTTGGATTTAGATTGTCCAATACTAGTAGCCTACCCATACCCTTCTCTACTCACGCACCCGCCAAGGCGACTTCTGAAAACCGGAAAGCACATCCAATCCACGCGCTTCGCACCCTTGTTCCAGAATACATTTTTCAGGCCACAATACTGTGGCCGACAACGACTATCTCTCCCCAGCCTTGTACTAATAGCTGCGCCAGCTGTCGGTACACAAGCTTGAGAAATAAAGCGAGTACTCTCAGTCGTGGTTTCCCTTATCCCAGCCACGACGTCGAAGCGATATCAACCTCCACAGTGTAGGAATAAGCGAGTACTCTCAGTCGTGATTTCCTTTATCCCAGTCATCAGCAAAACCTAGATATGATTCCGAGAGCTTACGGGGATGGCAAGAATGACATATCATTGTAAGGAATGACGTTTTGATCGGAAGCTCCAAAAGATCTGGCAAGCTTCGGCAAACCTTGCAAGGTTGGTCGAAAGCTTGTAATCTTTACTGTTACCTTGTATCGTCGGTATTACCTTGCAGTGTGAAGTCATGTTCTTATATTCTCCTCGGCTTCCTTCTAATTTTTCCAAGTCATTGCAAACTTGCCTATCCCGTTTCTGGCGTGCAAGCTTCCCACGCCTCCCAGAGACCTCTTGCCCCGGCTATGTTTATGGTTGACGTTGTGACGTATTATGGATTTAATATACTAAAGATCTAGAGTACATCGATTCCCAGTCGCCTCAAAACAGTGCAGAAATGTCGCATATTAGTCCAATGCTATGTCTCAAACCTTCTGGTTTGCTTCAAAGTTCAATGGGCTGGTCTCTTTGTTATGAGTCTCGGACAACGCGACCACCGACGTCGCGATTCTTGAGAGGCTTTGGCCAACTTACAAGGTTGACAAGATCCCGCCTGTTGACAAGAAATTATGAACTTTACAAGGTGGCTAAAATTTCTGGTAATCATATCTGGGTTTTGCTGATGCAGCCACGACGTCGAAGCGATATCAACCTTGTAAGCGCGAACCCGAGCTGACCACCTCGGAAATTCACCAGTACTCGTAAACTCGACCTGACCACTGCCTTGAAATTCAGCGGTCACAAACACCCAACCAATCCAAGCGAGCTGCGAGCCTCCAATAATAATATTTCAGCTCGCAATTCGTGCTAAGCCTGAGGAAGCAGCAGCCTGAGAAGTATCATACATTCTAATTTCTAACGCACCACACTCAGACTCTCTCGTAACACACGCTCGTAAATTTAAACCTCGTTTCACCCCGCACAGCCGAATTTGCCTACTCTCCATGACTACCATCCATAGACTCATTTCATTGGCTTCATTCCTACTTTCCGGAATTCCAACCTATCATACTTGCCTACAAATTACTTCCTTGCTCCATCATTACACCCAAACCGACAGACGCTGAATATTTCGCACTGAGATTCTGGAGACGACGCCCTTCTGGGCCTCTCCGCCTACTCTCCCCAGAAAGGTCTCCATTTACTACCCTGCGGTCAGCAATACCCGCCACGACATACAGTCACTACCTCACTAAAATACAAAGAGTATATTTTTAGCCCTATCATGGGCACTGATGAGATTCACTGATGAGATTCACTGATGAGAACCACCGTCGTGACACCGCAGCTCAAAACCCCAATCGTCCAGTGGAATAACCTTTGTGTATACCAAATAAGTCTAAGACACCCTAGTAGGTGCCCTACGCGCCTACTAATTGCCTACTTATGTGCGTACTTCCCTACCACATGGTTAATACGAGGGAAGCTTAATGAATAACACGAGGGAACGACATATTCAGATCTATCTACCACAACCGACTCAGAACACACCCCGCCCACGAGCGCCAAATCTCCAAACTAGTTGATCTACCTCCCTTCGCCCTTCTTAAACACCCAATTGTTTGAGGCCTTCTTCATCACCCAATCATCACGCAGTAATTACTTATCCAAGCTTCGAATCGAATTGGGATAAAGACATAGTCCGTTATGGGGTATGAACATTCCAGCCCACGGTTACACACCATTTGAATGGGAGTTATCAACGTGGCTTCTCCCCGCTTGATACCGAGAGCTGAGACGACCACCGGTGGGTCATCCCCATTCTGAAAGAAGGAGCGAGAAACAGGATATACGTGCCCACTTGGTCGTAATACTCGCCTGGTTGTCCTTAGTCGCGCTCGACGATGAGGACTCGGCCCCTTCCCAATAACAAAGCAAAAGAAAAAGACAAGTAGAAAAAGCTTTAGACAAATTCCATATTGCATACATACAAAACACAGTACAAATACACAGAGTATTAAAACACACGGCGGGGACATCATAGTACATAGTACAACGGCAAAGTGAGAAGCGTCAAGAGAACTGAAAAGACTACTAAAAGAAGCGCCAACGGAACCAAAACCGAGTAAAGGCACAGAAGAACGACGAGAATAAAAACGTCGAGTATTTTTGAAGTGGCGCAATCCAACTCTGGAGTGGACTCAGGCGAGTGACGCAGACGGTGGAGGCGCAACAGCCCCATCGCACCGCACCGCACCCCATCCCAGCCCACCCGATCGATATCCCAGAAACCACCAAACGAAACTCGGGTGTAAGATCGGAAAGCCACCATCATCGCAGATGGAGGTCGACCAATCGGGGTCGGACCAAGGACGAATTATTCGACGCCGTCAACCGTGGCCAAAGAAAAAAGTACAAGAAGAAAAAGAAATAGGTGTCAGAAACTGAAAAATCATACATACACTTCGAAGAAAAAAAGAAGAAAAGAAAAAGGGTAGGATACGAAGGGGAAAAAATGACTAACGATAACCCAGAACAATACGCACGACTTTGGATAGAAAAGGGAAGTCGCTAACGACTTTGTGAAGCGCAGGGGGGGAATCGGGTGGGTAATATGTAAAGGGAGGTAATATGCAAAGGGGAGCGACGCGGTTCGGTTTTGGTCGTGCGGTAGAGTAGCGATACATGGCATGGTCGGTGAAGAAGACGGGCCATGACGAGATTGAAGGACCGAGGAAGAAAAGAGATGGAGTGAGGAATGGTGACTGGTTGCACTGGATGATTGGACGAGATGCGAAAGTGATGTCGGGTGATGCGGAAGAGAGGACACAACGGATGGATCGATGGACGGATGCGAAAGCGATAGAGACGAAACGCGAAGATGGGATCGATACAAACAGAAGGAAAGGAGCTGCGGACATGATAGCGAGAAAAGGAGAGAGGAAAGCGACCAAGGAGAAAAGCATAGTCCGTATGATAGAAACGGGAGGGGATGAAAAGCTTGTCCGACATATAACAACAGGGGTGGGGAAATGGAAGACGAGGACGAGGTGGAATGTCAGAAAAAGCCAATCGGAAGTGGGGAATCTATAGGGGGTTATCCAGGTGTATGACCTCGGCCAAGGTGCGAAACCCGCGTCCACAGCGGACACGAGGTCGATGTCGGTCGATGTCGAGGCCGGCGCTTTCTTGTCGATTCACAGCGCGAGTTCCAGGTTCAGGAGCTACACGCGAATCCTTTTGGGAGCAGGGAGTCACTCCCGATGCTCCAACTTGGGCTCAAGGAGGTCCGTGCGCGACGCGCCAGCCATACCTGGAGGAGGGCCCCCACCCAATGCATTCAGCCCACCCTGTCTACGCCCGTCGTCCATCATATCGCGCATCCTTTTGCTACCCCCAGACCCGCCACTACCGCTGCCAAAATGCGGTGACCCTCGACGATGGGAAGGAGAGGTGGGTCCTGTGGCGGTAGCGGCGGCGAAGAGGTCAGCGAGATCGGTTGCGGTTGTTCGATCAGTGCTTCCACCGCCGGGGCCACCGCGTTCCCAGGAGAGGTGGGCACCAGAGCCTTCCCGAGCGGCGTTGTTTGGGTTTCCAGCGAGGAATTCGAGCCAGTCTTGACCGCCGCTTCCTGGCGACACTGAAGGTGGTGGTGCGCCTGTGCGAGCTATGTGATTAATATCAAACGTAGAACATCAGGAGAGAAAGAAAGAAATTCATACCCGAGCTTGAAGATGTTGAAGATCCAGTAGCAGAGTTGGGGCCGACAGGCCAGTCCAGCGAGAAAGCGTTGGGATTGGCGTTGGATTGGCGTGGGTTATGGCCGTCGTCGCTGTCGAGGAAAGAGAACAGGTTGTCACTTCCAGTGTTGGCGCCTCCACTGCTACTGCTGCTCTGCCTCATCATTCCCGCTGCATGGGATTGAGACTGGTACATCCCAGGCTCGAACGACCCGCTGCCACGAGGAAAGTTGCCGTGAGAGCCAGATCCGCGAGACATACCACCGCTCCCACCTCGTGGGGGAAAGTCGGAGGGAAGAGGCATGAAGGATTGCTGAGGCGGGGTGTTGTAGAATTGCTGGTAGCCTCCTCCGCCGCCACCACCGCCGCCTTGTTGAGGACCGCCATAGCCGCCGCCTCCGCGACTGAAGCTGGAGGGCGGTGCTGGGTGGTAAGGGTAACTGGAGGGTCCGTGCGCAGGGTCATCCGAAGGCGAGCGACTGGGATTTCCGCGACCGCTGGGGCGTCTGCCATAGCTGGACGAAGAGGGGCCAGGACCACCGCCTCCACCACTCGTGCTGCTGCGGAGTGTTGATATCGGTAACCCGGGCCCGCTCGATGGCCCGCTCTGCATATGTTGGGTCATAGGGATCGTGCGATGTCCAACATAGTCCTAAAGCATATCAGAATCCGTCAGAAACCAGGCGCGCTAGGGTAAAGGTGTTGTTGCGCACATCTGTGGATCCCCCAGTGAAATCAGTGGGCAGTTTCAGCCTCCCAGAAGGTTCGTTCCTGCTTCGCTTGCCGCTCTTGGTTGGTGCGTCGTCGTCGTCGTCAGCATCGTCGTCGTCTCCATCATCCGGTCTGCTGGGATTGGCACCGAAATCTGCGACACCCTTGGTGTCTCGCTCGCCGTCGAACTGGGGCAGTATGAGTGTCTACACGAGCGCAAAGAGGAGAAACATACGGTGATATGTCGCTGGACGATGTCCTGGACGTCGCCTGAGCAGTATTGATAGAGCTTGACAGGGTGACCAGGGCGTTCCTCTGAGAGATAAAAATAGAACACAGTCACACACCGCACAACTTGAGTGCACTGGCTGACGCTGGGCATTTACGCACCAAAGATGATGACTGCGACGTCGACTGAGCACAGGACACCGAGCTCGTAGGCCTTTTTGAAGAGCCCGTTCTTGCGCTGGTCGTGGGCAACGACGAACACGATGAACAGCGGGCATCAAAAACCGGCAGCGACGATAAGAATAATCAGAACGCCAAGAGAAATTAGCACAAAAATAGAGACGAAATACGACTCAATGAGGCCGTCGGCTCGACACTTGCCTTGAGAAAGGTGACTGCTCGGTTGCGCTCTTGCTAGAGACGAGAAATGTCAACATTTCGTTCGTTGTTCACAAGCAAGGGAGGGGAGAATTGGACAAGGTTGACGACAAAAGTGTATACGATAATAGCACAGTGGTGAAGACGTAAATGGACGGGTAATTCATACTGACCACGATAGGTTGTATTTCTATTTTTCTCCTGCCCATAGTAAAGTTTGTTGCTTGAGATGTCGAGGAGCAAAGGGATGGAACGGGCGGAAGACCAAAGTGACTTGAGTCGTTTCAAGCCAAGGCGTCTTTCTGCTTTTACAGTTCCATCCTTTGCCAATCCTTGACATTTGTTTTGCCAGTCAAACATCCCCCTTTTCAATCTCCGCTCCTGCCGAAACCGGCCTTGAATCTTGATCCCTCACCGATTTGGTCGCCGAATCAAATCTCGTTTTGTCCCGCAACATTCTCGTCCCAAATCGGTTTATCCTCCGTCCATCTCCATCCATCCCGCGTTTCGACGTTTAGGTCATCTCCTGGCGACACTATCCTACTGGCGCTTCAAGTCCAGAAAAAACCTGGGGATTTTCAGGCCACGTCCTTGCGCTCTGCCGCCTTCCTCTAATTGCCACCGTCTCTTCGATTCTGTCCAGTCCATGCCTTCCGCCAATTCTATTTCCCTGGCCCCTGTTACCTCGGATCTTTCGTATCACCCTACTCTTTCCCTTCCCAGACACGCTCTCACCTCATCGCCTAAACTCTAATCTCTTGTTGATTCCAAGCTGTGCAAACCCAGGTCTCGCGCGCCTCATTGTACCCCAAGCCATGACTGCGCAGTGGCCAAGATATCCCGTGCCCCCCTGCTTCTCGTCAATGGATGACGATCATATCGCTTCTCCCTTGCGCTGCCTCCGCCACGGTTGGGCTTCTCAAATGCTGACTTACGCAACATCGGTATCATACCTTTACTCCGTTCTCTCGCTCTTTGTTGAACCCCTTTCGACTCCGCGAAGCTTCCTTTCCGTCTTCGAGAATGTGATTCAGAGTGGAGTGGGTGTCCTCTAGGAGACCACCGAAAGATTTTCGACTCGGCAAACTCCTTCCATCCACTTTATTGTTCTTGATCCAAGAGCTTCATCCGTCGGCCTCTCACCTCGAATCTTCGGGTCGCCCCGCTCTTCGACAAGCAGCAACTGTCACACACGCTACACTGTCACACACACGCTACGCTACGCCAAACTATACGTTACTCGTTACTGCCTATTTGGACCAATTAATCAATCAATCTCGCCGATCGCACCTGCCTACCAAGTTGTTCTCCGCGTCCGCATTGATCCCAACATGCGGTATGACACTAAGTAATTTGTAGCGCCTCCGTTAACTGCTGGGTTTAAAAAAAGGCTCGCCAGTGGATCTCTTCGACATCTACTTAGGTATCCATTCAATTCTAAATATAACTCCTTGGATCTCGACATCAATCTCAGCCAGTCCAAAAAGGATGTTCTCGCCACGGGGACAGAATCAGCCAGGCATTGGGCCGTCGGACGGTCCATTCCAAGCTTGATCTTCTACCCACCAAGTAGTGCTGACTCTTTTATCCACAGTTCCAATTAAAGACCCGGGGCCGACTGGTATATTTCAACAGCCCTCGCTCTCCTCGGTTAACGCTCATCCTCCAGACCCTGGCACTGACAAACCCACTGACCTATCATCCCCTCGACCTTCCCTGCTGGCTCCGACGGATGACTGACAAATCGGCGACACACGAAGCTATGTACTTACCAAGCCCTCTTGGCTCTTGACGACCACGGGTCAGCTCCTAGGACCACCAAGACCTACCGGTCCCTCGATTTCGCCATGGACATCCCAATATGAACATTCCTGGACCCAACCCTCACCCAGTCCTCATTCCCTCGGTCCATCATTCCCTCAGTAAGTACTCAGTCTCTCCGTTTCAATGTAAACACGACGGGACTCAGCAGCAACGTGACGCGATCCAGATCCCATGGGCCATCATACATGTTCTCCGCCGCCTCCGACCTCTCCTTTTCAAGTTGTTGTCATATCGTGGGTCGATTCATGGCTAATATACTTAATAGGTCTTTCTATTGCGATACAGGTCCTTCTTCGGCCTTGAGGCATTTGCGGCGCCGAAAGCAGTTATAGAGTTCGTTGAGGAGTTTAAATTTCGGGAATCAACACACTGACAGACAGACATACGCGACTACTCAGGAAATATCCGGACATACACAACAACAACAGTTCGGGAAAGATGACAGACGCGTGCAAGTCTTTGCCCTTTGCCCTTGTTCTGCGTTGTGGTTCACCGAACTTGCTTCGTTGGTCCATGCGTTTGGCCATGAGCGCTCTTGCGCTTCTCGTGGTGATCTTCTTGCGCGGTGGGTTTCGTGTTCGTGTTCCGACTGGCTGGGGATGATCGACTCGGAGGTGTGATTCACTATCTGGGCATGCACCGGCTGGTGTATGTTCTAGATACCTCCATGCTAGAGTTATAGCTGGAATGCGGTGTTTACCATACCCTTTTGTGGTCGAGTCGAAGGACTGGGGGACTAGTCACTCCAGCGACCAGCGAATAAAAAATAAAAGACGCTCTTCGTTCGCCGAGGAGGTACTCTTGACAGTTGGATCCAGTCCAAGGCCGAGCAGTAGAATAGAAAGGCCACACACCCACACAACGCTCGAAAGAGAAAGAGTAATGACAAACCAAAAGCGAAATCCAAAAACGGGCATCCTGACAGATAGCCTGACAGGCCGGCGGGTGATTCGTGAAATTGACGCTAGAATCCCAGGGTAGAAGAAGTTACCGCTATCGCGGATGTATGTATTGTATTGTATCGCTGTGCGAGTACGATTAATTGGCCAATTCATTCGCTTCATGTCCGACCGTATCGAGCTCGTGGAACACTCCGACTAGTGTGATAGATACGAATCTTGCGGTGCAGCACTGGTGACTGACATATGGGTACTCTACTACCTATAGACTTCCCTTCAGAGTCCTGACGTATGTATGTAGATAGAAGTCCACTGTACAGGCCCTGACACACGTATGTTAGATAGAAGTTGAAAGAACCGGCGGAAATGAAAAAAATGAAATGCGGCTTCCCACTATCCAACAAATTGGCGTTTAGATTCAGGTGAACGCGGTGAAACATTGATGAATGGGTTCAATGGAAGCGTATGGGGGAGGCCATTTGGCGCGTGTTTCTGTGTACGGTGTCAGGAGGAAGAAAAAAGCTCCTTTTGTAAATTGTACTGTCTTGGCCTTCGTTTTGGATTGGCCTGGATTAGATTGGCTGGGAGGTGGTCTGCATGCTCGCCTACCCTTCTTGGGTCCCAGGCTATGCACGCACAGGCCCAATTCCACTCCGACTGATCATTGCTGTTTGCAGCTTTCTGCTCGACTCCACTCGTCGCTGCGTTTCACGTTCAGCAACAAATTGAAACGAATTTAATCACACCCCTTACAACGTTGCAACGAGCATTTCAAAGCTCGCGGACCGCCCGCTTGGGATATGTCGAGATTCAAGTTCAGACGTGGAGAAGGGAGACGACATTAGGTAGCCATCGTCAGTCATGGTGGCTCCAAGGTTACTACCGATCCACTTACCTCCGAAGACATCTCTCCAGGTCGACAGCGTCGCTCAATGTTCAAGATCGCAGGCCTGAATTTAGCTCTTTCGCCGTTCCTGAAGTTATGTTCGTGCGCCACATCCTGCTGACGGAGGGGCGAGAGAGTCCCATTCGAAGACCGTCGTACTTAGGTCGACGTAGGCGCAATAGCTTCCCAGAACTCGTCTCGATCCTTCCCCTCTTTCTCAGCGCGATGCCAACCAGCCATGATGTCCGTCCAAAGTCAGAAGTTACAACACAACCAAAACTTTATTTTCCCAAAGCCCGCTGGTGTGGAGGAATAGGACTCGCGTGATACTAGCCTGGTTGAACAAAAACATCCAGTCTGATCGTGTAAAGGAAGCGCGGGAGGCTGAGTTTAGATTTATGTTCGAAGAGCCCTAGTAAGTACTTACAGGCGTTGTTGTTTGGCAAACATGTGGCGAGTCATGGGAAAGGACTCGAGGCTGGACTCGGAACTCTGGTACCTTTGGGCCCTTGGAACTTGCCTCTTGGGACTCTGTTTAGACTAAAGGAGTTGAATGAAGGACGGATTAGGATGGTGACGACGTCTGGGTTTGGCCAGATGGGATGGGATGAGTGTATGTAGTTGCGATGCAATAGGCTAGGGCTAGCTACTCAGACGGTGTGACTCCTTGGTCGAATCTCCGCTGCTCTGAGTCGTAGACTTCCATTGCGGGGTGCCATGGATTCGGCTCGCCTGCCAGTGCGTGTGTGAACGTCATCCAGATTCCAGCCTCCCGCGCGCTTACGGATTCCAATTCAGATGACCCACCCCCTACTGCTCACAAATCTTCTGTTGAGCATGGGCCCCCTGTACGTGTTTCTGAAGAGGCCATGAGGCGTGCTGGCATCTGATCTACTCCCCAGCTCGATATCTCAAGGAACAGCCAGTAGTCCTCCCGATCATCCTCGGAAAGTGATTTTCTCCAGCCATTACCTTTGTCTACGAACAGGTCTCGTTACTTATATCTGATCCTTGGAGCTTGAATCTCTACTCCGGCGCAACTTTCATTGGGATGTACATCCTCAGTTGCATGATATCATGATCTTCGTCGTGGGCGCTTAAATTCATCACGTCGTCCATACTACTGCGGAACGCTGGTAGCTGTTCGTGTTGTGCACACACCTCTCTGATGTGATGAAATGGACGCCATGGAGTCGTCACGTTGACCTCCCCACCGCATCCGATAATCCAACCTCTGACCCACCTTGGAAGCAACTTCAAAGAATGAACGAATCACGCTGTCAACGAGGCTTCCATTTGTGTTCCGGTCAGAAAGACGTCAGAATCAGTGCGAGAGAAGACTTAGCGCTTCTCGGGTAGCAGCGTATGAATGCTCTGCCAGGATCTACCTCTGTCCAGTGTCCGCGAATGAATCAAAGTAGGTCGAATATACTACTGGTGGAAGATAATGGTTTTATCGCCTCAAACCCGTAGGAAAGATCAGAACCCAGAAAACACAGCATCGATCGACAAAACGTCAAAGAAACTTAATGATGCGCCCATCTCGTTCGCGAGTCCAGGTCACCATCGAGCCACTGACCGTCAGCCAATGACACGAATCAACTGAGCTAACAGCCTGGACCTGAAGAAGGGAGGTCCAGAAGAAAGAAGCGGTGTGAACGTCCGGAAGATGGTTACCACACAAGGCGATTCGTCATGAAGGGAATTATGGAGTTCGAACCAACCAACAAAGACAAATCACGGGAAGGACTAAATTCAAGTGTGACGATGGGTATTCAATATTCAATATCTACCTCGAATGAGACATCAAATTTCAAAGCCGAGAAGGGTAATAGTTCGAGTTGACGACCCGAACGTGAGTCCTTCGAGGGACTGAGGGAATCTGCCTATACCCTTTTTTAACGAGTAGTGATAACGTCCCGAGCGCGATTGCCTAAGGCACCAACGGTATAGTATACTTACAGTATATATACGGTTTTACTGTATAGGTATTTGTATAGGTATAGAGAAAATCTAGGAAATTGCTTTATACATAGTATAATACAGCATACAGCTATTGTATACGGTATAGCCCTTTGTAGGCAGCTGGTGCAGAGAGATCCAGACCATACGAGAAGTGGGATATTTTTCGTTTAAGGGAACACTGGATCCTGCGAACCATAGGTTTACACAACGCCCGAAGGTGTTCAAAGGTTGCTGGGATTATTTCCCATTGAGGTTCCGAGGTGGGATCCAACAGGCAATCTCGTCTTTCAACGTCTTACAGTCAAGACGTGATCTAAAACTCGGCAAAGGACCCATGCACTGAACCTACAAAGTGCACTTGAGCAATTGGAACACGACAGAGCTTGCTCGCACTGCAGTACGGCGGGAAGAATTATTTTGTTCTCAAATCTGTATAAAACCAACATATAACTGACTACATGCACTGTATACAGTATAGACACTGTATACGTATAGTATAGGCCAGAAAGCCTATACGCATACTATACGGTTGGAGCCTTACGATTTCCCATAGCCGCCCAAACCAAGAAAGGGCAAGAGGGATTAACGATAGTTTGTCTCACTGCGGGTGCTCTACTGTTGCGAAAATGGAAAAATCTAACCTTATAGTGCGAAGTTTCGGGTCAAGCTTTTCGGATGGAACACTCCGAGACGGTGAAATAGTTTGATGCTGAGGGACGGGTACTATATCGATGGGAGAATCAGGAAACAAGGTTTGGGGCATTTTACGCGTACACTAGGTCAAATCGGTGTCTTCTCTTGTATTCTCTGACGAGGAACCACGAACAGAACTGGTCGAGGAATGATCGAGGGCGAAGCTGAAGCATGGCACTGGTACACACCCAGCCGTTCGTATGGCCCCAGCTCATCCGAGGCTCGGATGTGCTGGGTTTAAAAGGAGTTTGAACCCCGGGATGTGATCGGGTTCAACCTCGCGCATCCGGCTATGTTATGAGCCCGGGTGAAAATTAGTTACAACCTGTGTACCAATTACTCTCGTTTGTCCCCGACCCAATTGTCCTTGAGCCCCAGGTCGCCATTCCGTTGTCCCAGAACCATAATCCTGATGTCGGCCTCATTCACTGATCTGAATCTGAACCGTGAGTAGCTATGACGTCAACGTGCCAGCGTTTGCAGACTGAACGCGCTACGACCTTAGACTGGTTTGTGAAGACAACTGAATCCGGTTCCACCGTCTACGTCTGTAAAGTCTGTATCAACTACAAATCAGAACACCTTCGCCATTGCATTTCCCATGAACGCACGCAGACTCACCAAGAGTCTGTACGACACGCCGAACTCGACCACACCGAAGGACAAATCGACCTCACGAGCGCGCCAGTCCCCGTCGGTGCCGGTCAGATTGTTCAGGATGACAGCCTGCGCCATTTGATATCTGCGATGTACAGCAACGTTCCCAGCAACCCACCCCTTCCTCCCTACCCTCCTAACCACCCTTCGCTTGCGGACAATACAGGGTATGACCAACATAATGGCCATTGGAACACCTCTGCATCGCCCGCTACAGGCATTCCGTGGGGAGTTGGTGGCGAGGACTTCCAGGTGGAAGCAGAGAACGATCAGGACCTCCTCACCAATGTCCTTGATACGGTGAGAGAGATCCTCGACTACGAATTGAGTGACAGCGAGCCAGTGGAATGGAGTGAATCGGAGGATGACACGGACACTGGAAGCGAAGCCTCAGGTATGTCGATTCATTATTACATATAGTTGACATTGTATTGATTTTATCTTAGATGGATATCTATCGGGCTTTGAGGAAAGGGATGAGGATGAGGACGTACCACGAAAACGAGCACGCGGTCACCAAAACGACCCTCAGACCGCAAGGCTATGGTTCCCATGGGAAGATCGCCTTGTACGTTTCCTCAAACGATTGTATTCACTGAACTCTCGGGACTAATCGTTGCACAAAGACCTGTACATTAGATCTATTAATGCATCTCCCGCGCTCGGTTTTCTCCCAACGACAACTTGAGCTCTTTTTGTGGTTGCTTCAAGTGAATGGAGTTGACTATGTGCCATCCATGAAAACAATGAAGAGCCTCAACAAGACTCTCCAGAAACTGTGTGGAATTGACAAGGTCGAGTACGAAGGCATTCTGGGAAATCGCTACTTCGTCAACAATCTGTCGCAAATCCTGGCTCAGGTATGTGTCTCTCGCCTTGGCCTGCTTGCTTGCCCCTGACCGATATAAACAGGAGATGGCAAACCCGTTGGTGCGACGGCACCTGGAATTCTATCCCGAAGATGGAGGGAAATATGTATCTCAGGCGTACCACGGAATACGCTGGCTTGAAGAGATGTCCCACCGCGACCTGACACCAATGATCCGTCGAGGCCAAACCGACTACTTTATCCACGAACCCGCCATGTTGGTAGACCAGTCATTATGTATTCCGTTTCGCTGGTTCAGGCGAGGGCGTAAGTTGTGGGCAAAGGCCTGGACCATGGAAGTCTATACCGAAACCGATGCCGATGGGTTTCCACATCGTTATTGGAGGGTTCGGGAGGACCAAGTCATAGAGGTCATGGAGGATATCTTGTGGAAGAACTTCCCAACGTTACAAGCCGAATTTCGGCAATTAGGTATTCCAAAGCCTTCCCTACTACATCGTAAGTTTCTCTCCTGACCTGCACGGATAATTATTGAATATTGTACAGACATCTATCGTGTTCGAGAGGATGGAACACCTGAGACAGTCAGTTGGGATTACACGACAGCTACTCAAGGCAATCCATGGCGAGTGCGAGCCCAAGGACGTCGGGTTATGGCCCTACCTCTGTGGATGTATTGCGACGATACATCGGGTAACGTCTCGAAGCGGTGGAACGAACATAACAGCTTCCTTTTCACGTTGGCGGGACTTCCTATGGACCAAGTAACGAAAGAATTCAACATTCACTTTTTGTGCACTTCAAATATTGCACCTCCTCTCGAAATGCTGGACGGCGTCGTATCGCAGATCGAGTACGCCCCACTTGTTTGATTGAAATTGTGCTCCTACTAACATTACCCATAGAATGGCTCGAAAGAACGGTGTCTGGGCATGGGACTGCGTTCACAATGAGCTCGTGCTAGTGTTTCCGGCTGTCCTCGCTCTATTGGGTGACAATCCCATGCAGAGCGAGCTTGCGTCTCACATCGGAATGGGCGGCAAGTATTTCTGTCGTGTGTGCTGGGCCTACGGGGCCGACCCAAAGCCACAATCCAAGGGCACGAGTAACGCCAATGGGTCAATTCCACACTCAGCACCAGCATCTCCGGTTCCCGGTGCTTCACCCCTCCCCTCCTTTGCTACTGTCCCTCAACCCCCGCCGCCTGCAAATTGGAGCGAGTCGATGAGCTCGATGGTTGAACGCATCAGACGCTTCATAAAGGTAATTCTTGCTGGTTTCTTTCGGTGGTTGTTGCATGGCTGAGATGTTGTCTAGGGGGCAAAACCTCGAGCCCGGCATGAAACAGAATCAAAACTAAAGTCGTATCTGGAATGGGCACAACAAATCGGGAACCTGACAGACATCAGGGAGGAGAAGACGGCGACCGGGGTGAAGGATACGATCCTAGACCACTTCCTCGACAAATTGCACAGGGCTTATAAATCTGTCTCTGGAAGCATCGCCCGCCAGGAAGCGCTCGACGCTGCGATTCCGGAATTACCTACCAAGGTGATGAATCCAATCTTCCGCTTACAAGGTGTGTTATACAGTTTCGCCTTCATCACCAACTGACACTGGCCACAGGGCTCGACCCTCATCAAGACACGCCTGTCGAGATCCTCCACGTAGTATTGCTGGGGATTGTCAAGTATTTTTGGAGGGATCTCGTCCATAACCAACTCGAAAAGAAGGACCGTGAAAAGGAATTATTGATACATCGGCTCTCTAGCCTCGATGTTTCTGGTCTGGGCATCTCCCCCATCCGAGGACGAACCTTGGTCCAATATGCGGGCTCCCTCACAGGAGGAGATTTCAGGACAATTGCGCAAGTCGCTCCGTTTGTGATATACGACCTTGTTGGGAGGGAATGCTATGATACGTGGGTGGCCATATCAAAGTTGGTGCCCAGGATTTGGCAGAAGGAGATCCACGACATTGGGCGTTACTTGGTGCGTACAATCTGGCTTTCTCGTAGACGGGTGGCAGCTTGTGCTCATGCCTTGCACTAGGAGGAGCTCGAGTATGAAATTGAGCAATTTTTACTGAGAACCGCGCGGTGGACCAGCCAATGGTTCAACAAACCCAAATTCCACATCCTCCGTCACCTTCCAAACCATATTCGACGATTTGGGCCAGCAATCCTCTTTGCGACTGAAGGCTTCGAGTCATTCAACGCCGTCATCCGGGCGAAGAGTGTGCACAGTAATCGGCAGGCCCCTTCCCGCGACATTGCTGATGCATTCGCTCAAGGCAACCGCGTCCGTCACCTCCTTAGTGGGGGTAGGTTCTTCAAGCCATTGCTCGTGGATCCCGATGTTACTCCTTCCCTTGAAGCGCTTTCGGATCCCGTCAACTGGGTCACAGCTGGACCAAGTGTTCGTCAATTAGTCAATCCACTCTTTGATACGGGTCGTACAATCACATCGTATCTCGGCCTTCCTCTGAACCCTAGTGGCCCTTCAGGTAAAGCATCCTCATTCTACATCATGAAAGCATTACCTAACTTATTGTTTTCGTAGGGTGTTGCGTGTGGGACAAAGCCCCTGTGCGTGAATTTTCGAGGACACTTGCAGGCCAGATATTTCCTTCCTTGCAGGAGGACCGTCTTGTCAAAACCTTCCTTAAGGCCACATCCCTACCAAGCGACGACATCGTGAAACTGGGGGACCATGTTCTCTACACGTCATCAGGAGCAGAGGGGGTTTCGTCGTGGAATGTCGGTCTTGTCAAGGAGATGATTCAGTTCAAAGGTGGTAGCGGTGAGCAACAGAGCATGCCAGACTATGTTTTGCTCCAGTTGGTATCGCCCTCAGCAACTTCCCCGAAATACCAGATGCCTTCGCTCACTGTGACGCAGAAATTCTCGCTGGTGCAATTTAATGTAGGTGTCCAGTTGTTCCGGCATTCGTATCACTAACATCACGATTTATCTCAAACAGGACGTCAAATGTGTCGTGAATGTCCAGCATAACTGCCACGCAAATGACTGTCGTACCACTGGCACCCGGATTGTCCGTCAAGAACGTCAAAATACAACGCACACTACTCCCGTTGTCGAACATCGAAACCAACCTCAAGATCTCATTCTAAATATATGCCAGATGCGTAACTCACCACTCCTGTCGCACTTCTCCGTTCCTTCGACTCGGCTTCATTTTGATGACGTGGTGTTCGCCTCGGCGCAACGAGAGGTGGATCGACGGAGGGCAAAAGCATCCACACCAATCACTTCAGCTACTCGGGGTGGAGCTGGGAGAGGGACTTCCTTGCGCCAGCTCAGAGGGGGCGCTACATCTCAACTATCAAGGAATCTGTCATCACGTCCCACCACACCTCGCCCTTCGACGTCGCAGCATATTCCCGGGCCCCGGCGAGTTTAGTTTTGTTGTCGAAAATTACCATCCATTCTAGAACAATTCATCTTTAACCTATATCTCCACTTTTATAGACATCTATGGCGACCATGGTAACCCTTGAGAACAGGCATAAGATATTACAGTCCAAACTGGCTCCTTCATAATTCAACCTTTGAAAGGAGAGAACATGCGCTGCATCCACAAAAAGGAGAGCGACTACCAAATCGGGATGGTTTTGATGGCTGCCGCTCTTGGCTTTGTCGCCCCACAGTGCCGTTCCATTTGAAATTGCCGTTCCTGTCCGCACTCAGAGCCAAGACAACTGCGCGTGAGTCCCTCACAATTCAACTTTTCACGTCGCGACGCGACACGAGACCCGTATTTTGTTTAATTGAAATAAACAACGGGAAATGTGAGCCACCAGCCAAATACTGGCAAACATTTGGACCTCCCGCCCACATAAAGCTGGCTGTCGATTCATCTCTTTCTCTCGCAAGTCGCACCTGTGGGTCTCGTGTCATGTCGTCTGCTCAGATCGTCTCACCTTCCTCCTCACCTTCCTCCACACCTCTGGGCCCTGCCCTTCCAGGATCCAGCATCAACTTCAGCAATCTCATCAACTATCTAGGAGGGCAGCTTTCACTTTCGACAGACCAGGTCGCCCATCTCCACCGCTTCTGCCAGGTAATGCTATCTGCTAATCCACCACTGTCATCTGACATACGGTCTTTTGTTCAGTTTATCCGTGACCTGCGCCCATGTCCCTATAACCCTGAGACATTGGCTGCTCGCATCTACGAGATAGCATTCAATCTCTGGGCAATCAATACCCTCGACCTCAAGATTTCAACTCTAACGCCTCCATCCAGTGGACAATCCATGGCTCCTACAGCACAAGCCGCCTTACTCAACGATATCGCACTGCGACTGGAAGACAATTTCTCGCTTTCGCAGGACCAGAAGGTAAGTTAAGACCATTATATGAGACTGGTACACAGGTAACACTCATCTTCTCTTTGCAGAAGCTCGTTCGAAGAACGACACAGAGACTTATCATTCAACCCAGTCGTCTCAGCTATTCGGGTCTGGCCACGGATGGAGTCGTACGTATCGAAGTTCATTCATTCTTCAAACACTGTCTCACAGACATCGTATAGCGCAGGGTAAAGCAAAAGTATGCTAGTCAGTTTGCCAATGCATTTTCGACCGACTCAAGGACCGAAACTACTACCGCCTTCTTCAAACGCACCGCTTCAAGTGTGCGAAATGCGTTAAGGCAAGATGTGAGTTCCAGACTTCTCTTTGAATGCCGCCACGTCTTTCCTTACTTCGATTCCTTGTAAACAGATTCGGGACAGCATAGGGCTTGGAGAAGAGGGTACTGGACCGATCCACCTGAGCCGATTCGTTGTCAGTGTGGTACTGAAGTACTACGGTGAGCCCGAATCATCAGACAAGCTGAATACGAAGGGATACGTCATGAAGCTTGCTCTCATGGTGAGTCTCAAGACTTCCTGCCCCCCTGTACGTAACACTCACAGATTGCATGCTATAGCGTCGTTTCGCTCTTGAGCACAAAGAGCTTCTGCAGCTGGACGACGATAGTAACTCTGACAACGATGACACTACCAGAGCTGGAAGCAAGCGCAAACGCGGCCGAGGAGGACGCATCCCTAAGGGGGAGGATTTTTGGGGTCGCTTTGATCGTTTCCTGCACGAGAAGATCCAGGTGTTTGGCAAGAACATCCTTGCGGAGGAGTGGCAAAGGTGCGTCACCGCGTGTTAATGTTAACCATAATGTCCTTTTTCTCATAGATCTGCACAGGTACTTCACAGAGACGATTGCACAGGACAAGGAACGCTTTCCCGACAAAGACGACAACGACAACACTCAGGACGGCATCGACCTTCATCCAAAGTTATCCTTCACAGCCTTTGGTGCTCCTACGGCGTCTGGTGCTCAAGCTCCTGTACCATCCAACTCTCCAGATACTCGCACTCCGAGCACTCAGCTGGCTCCTCCCTCGCCGTCATTCTCATCCGCTCCTGGACCCTCGTCTCTCCGCACATCATCTAGTAGTACTTTCGGGTCATCGTCACCATTCCACACCCCGTCGGACGACCACTTTGGCTCCATGTACAACGGAACCTCCGGTGAATCTTCGACATCCTCTTCTCTCCTTTTTGGCTCCACATACCAGCAAACATCCATTCAGCAAGGTGCACACCGCCCCTGGTAATTTATTATCTTGTGAATCCGAAATCCACTCACCGTGCTGGTGCCGTACTATTAGACTAATGCTATTCTCTCTAAAATTTAATTATACTTCATTGTGTTCACTACTGCTACTAATATGTCTTTCTTCTACTTGCCTATGTTATAAACTCCTGTACTACATTTCTCTGTAAAATTGGAATCAAGTTTACTTCACCATCGCAAGAGTAAATGAAAATCAAGGCCCCTTCACCTCGGATCGCGCTTCGGAAATCAATTTTGGCTGTGCCTTGCGGTTGACAAGTTACCTTTGTCACCGTCTTCAGCCCTTTTTCTCCGCCTCTACCACCAAGCCATGGGTATTAATGAGGGGACCTCTGCGCACAAGCGTTCAACTCGCAGGACAGCCCTAGTTGCTCACGAGAAGATCTCCGAGTAGGTGCACTACACTCATCAATTATCACAAACTGACATGTACTTTAATAGCCTTTACGTCAAGAATGGGGATCTCGACGAGCATGCAGACTCCCAGATGTGGTTCGAAGCGCGCGCAGGCCCCAGTTCCACCACCCTGCGTACTAGCCCCAAGTCGGAGATTGTCAGGACCGCTCGTACTCGTACTTGTCCCTGCCCAGAAAGAAACAAGGAACTAGAAGAGGAGATACGAGAGCTAAAAACGCGAATCAAGGCTTTGGAAGAAGAAAAGGAAACCATGAGAAGAGAATGTGACGAGCTCAGGAGAACTGTGAAGGGATGCGAAGGCGCAGTTGGAGACAACGCTCGGGGAATGGGGCTAATTGCCGAGGAATGCGATGAGCTCAAAGACCGCGTCGGGAACTGCGAGGAGCAAATGCAGGAAATCAAAAGAATCCTTTTGGCCTTTTCAATGGGTCTCATACGCGCCGCCGACGTCGAACCGTGTTCACAAGTGCTCTCCGATGGTGGCTATCTCATCCGCCGGGAGCTCAGACACCACATCAGCAACCGGCTCCCACCAGCCCAGCTCTCCCAGGAATTCGAGTCGCAATATTTCGAGTCACAGCCTGAGGATACTCATACAGACAACTGTCTTATGTAGAAATCGCAATGGTATATGCTATTTTATCCACCAGTATCCTTCGACGATTTCAAGTACACCGGAGATTTCGTTTCGGATAGGGGCACAATCCGCGCTCACGTGCGCGGAGTTTGAAATCAACGAGATGCTCAAAGTTCAACACTAGGTAGAAAGAGGGCCGACACTTGGCAGTGCGGCAATACTCGGATTTACTTTAGTCGAGGGAGGTCGCTAGCGTGTAAGTAAATATTAGTGTATATTTGTTTGGGCGATAGGATTAGAGCTATTTGGAGTTATATGGGAGGGTTAGGAGTTTTAGAGTACCATGTGTATATTAATTGTTTGTCGTCGCATCGTTTCAACCAGTGCGCAGGTTGATCCAATGTGAGGATACCGTGTAATTGGCACTGACGCTGGAACGACATACCGTCGTGGAACCACACACGGTCGGAAGCATCTACATATCTCGCCACAAAGTGATTATTGTTGCCGTAAATCAAGCCTTTTAGGTTAAAGATGGCTAGAGTATTTGAGTCGCCATGCGTCGAAAGAGTTAGCCTAGCTTCAGGGCATACATGCGTGTCGTCGATGCTTAAGAGTAGAAACGAAGGGATTTCGGTAACGCTCATAGAACGCATCATCCTACCCGGGCATGAAGTGATGTCACACGTAATGTTCCTCGTAGGTTGGGCGTCCAAATACAGGGCATGTCGAAGTCCGTAGACTGAAGAGCAAACTTCTCGTTGGAATCTATTGGCTAGTACAGAGGTAACCTCTCGTAAATGTATGTGATTATCCCTTCTACAATTTCCGCAGATTTCGCATCTAAGAATTGTCTCTCCATAGACCTTATCATTAGGGAATAGTTCGGTCACGAGGTCGTGTATGAAAATAAAGGAAGGTCCGTAAGGGAAAGCAAATGGATTGGTAAAGTTCAATTCGGCACGTATTCTATCTCGAACCTGCTCCAGAGCCATTTCGCCGGACGTGAATCTGCTTGTTAGCATTGCCAAGGTTTGTAAGTAAGAACTTTGATTAGAAAGTAACATCATCCCCCTCGGAATGTCTTCCAGAACTGTGTTGATCAAGATAGTGAATATGGCGTCGTATGCGCAGCTGTAATTTACGCTATCCCATATGAGACCTATTGGTTTCGCGTTAGTGACAGGGGAATGATATGCACTGCGTGTTCTCTTCGCGTCTTGCAGAGGCTTACCAACAGGTGACAGTTGACGCTTACGTTTGGACCCGGTCATAGAATGAGGCGGTACGCATTCCATAAGATCCGAGTCATTTTCCATTTTATCGCTTTTGAACGCGGACGAAGTCAATTCCAGCTTTGATCGTATCGTTCTGTTAATTTTGTAAAATACACTGTAGTCATTCAAATCCGGCAATGTCGGTTCTTCTGGTGACGGTTTCAGCGATTCGTGCCACTTGAAATCGAGATCTTTACGTGAATGCTTATGACTTTGCAGGAAAGAGTGTATCAGAGGATAGCGCATATCACCTGTGACGTCATTGTTTAGCTTCTTGCGATGACGAAGCTCAGTGATTCTATCGAGTATATTGAGTTCTCTGAATTCCTGTCTTAAGCGCCCGTCTTTAATACCACCTGTAATCTTCGATTCGTCGAAATCGGTTATGATAAGTGTTCCGTTAGCATTCGAGCTTCTGGAAAGGCTGGTATACATATGATGGAAGGTTCTACTATTGGATAGGTCTATTATGTTTTCTTTTCTAGTCTTACCCTGAGACGCGTAGTCCGTCATCGAGAAGTTGAGTAACACGTTAACTTGTTCTCTTTCTATTCGGAGACGGTGTCGCGGAGAGCGAACACTAAACCAAACCAAACCTTAAAACCAGAGCGGAAGTGCCAGAGAGCTGAGAGCGACGAGAGAGATGAGAGCGATGAGCGACAAGTTAGACCAGAAAGCTATGTTGGTGTATTGACGAAGAGGTCAAGCTGAGGAAATACAGAGGAATCTACCCTAGCTTATATACCTATTCTACAGTCTACATAGCCGCGATGAGTCAAAATGACGAAAAGGTGGTGAAACACAGAAGAACAATAAAGAGGGTCACAAGGCTGCGCGGGGCTGCGCGAAGAACAAGGAGAAGACAATAGAAGGGAGTCATGAGGCAGTGCGAGAAGGAAGAACAATAAGAAATAGGGCAGAGGGTACATCGAGGCAGTGTTCCATGAGAGAAAGAGTCCGTATCGAGAATAAAGGTAGAAATGAGAATAAAGGAGGGAACGATAAGGGAGATGAAAGTGATAAGATAAGATAATGGAAAAATAGGGGCTCGTACCCGCTGTTCACGACATTACCCCCCTTCTAAGCTTCATCGTCCTCGATGATCAACGGTAGGCGGCGTCCAAGTTCCCATTCGAAGTCGATAGGTGGAGCGTCGGTGAAGTTCTCGAGTGGGCGCCAGGGGAGAGAGCTGAAGACGGTGGCGGAAATTCGACGTGGTGCAGAGGGGTGTCGTTGATGGAACTCCTTTACAATCTCCGGTGCGTGCTCCAGGTTCTCTTCCGGTTCCCAAGTGTCGTCCGTCGACCCGTAGCCTTTCCAACTGACCAGGTACTCCAGCTTACGGTTCTTCCCTCGGCCCTTCCAGCGGCTGTCCAAGATGTCGTGAACCTCGTACTCAAGCTCTCCCTCCAGTTCAACAGGCTCAGGCGGAGGTGGCAGAATGCCGTTGACATCATTGCCCCTTCCAGGGGGAGAGCTTCGTCGACGTGGAACACTGGGTGAATGCGGGATAGGGAGGGGGGAAGCTCGAGGCGGTAATCGAGGTCACCAATGCGTTCGGTGATCTTGTAGGGGCCGAGTTGGAGGTCGCCAAGCTTCCGAGTAGGGACTTTGATCTGGATGTCCTTAGCGTTGAGCCAAACGTGGTCACCAACCTTGAACTGATGGGCTGTTCGTTTGCTGGATTCGTACAAGTCCTTCTGTTGTGCTTTCTCGAGACGTAGGGCGGCTTCGGCGTCCTTGCGTACCTCTTGCAGTTGTTGGATGCGCTCATCGACAGGGCGAAGATCAGTGCGTTTACCGACGGGAATGTTGAAGTGAGGGATGTAACCGTAGAGGACTTCGAAGGGGGATCGGTTGTGCGCGGAGTGGACTCGGGAATTGATCACAAATTCGGCCATGGGAAGGTGCTTATCCCAGTCGTCTTGTCGGCGGCTGACGTACAAGCGGAGGTACTTCTCGACTTCTTGGTTGGCCCGTTCTGTTTGTCCGTTAGCCTGAGGATGATAGGCGGTGGTCAGGTTGGATTCGATGCCGAGACGCCTGAGCAGGGTGCGCATGACTTTGGAGGCGAACTGGGGGCCGCGGTCGCTGATGAACCGGAGTGGAAGGCCGTGGAGACGGAAGACTTCTCGGTAGTAGATGTCAGCGACTCCTTCAGTGGTGATGTCCGAGGTGCAGGGGAGGGCATGGAGAAGCTTGCTGTAGTGGTCGACAAAGACGATGATGGCATCATGCCCATTGGCATCAGGAAGCTGGGTGATAAGGTCGACTCCAACGGTCTCCCAGGGGCCATCGGGTACCTCCAAGGGCTGAGTCGAGGCGCGGGGGTGCTGGGCGTGTTTCTTCCGGGCACAGATGTCGCAACCTTCCACATACTTCTTGACAAAGGCTCGCATGGTCGGCCACCAGTACTGTCGTTCAACTCGTTCGAGGGTTCCATGTACACCGGGATGTCCAGAGGTAGGATCGTCGTGGCACTGTTTGAGAACGTCGCGTCGGAGTTCGTCGTCTGGGGGAACGTAGACTCGACCCTTGTAGTAAACAAGGCCGTTATCCTCCTCCCATTCGGCGAGACCAGAGGTGAGACGACGGGGACCTGTCTTGCGGAGCTGGGCAAGTCCATCCAGGACCTGGGATTCTCGGGCACTGGCCTGTCGGATACGGTCCTCCAAGGGGTTGATGACCATGCTCGAGGCGGCGAGCTTGGCAAACAGCTCGGGTTTGAGTACCACCTGTTGTTTGTTGTCCTCGGCGTCGGAGACCTGGTGGACGTCGAGACGAGAGAGGGCGTCGGCTTGGGTGTTTGTCTTGCCAGGGCGGTGGGTGAGCGAGAACCGGAAGCGGGAGAGGTAGAGAGCCCAACGAGCCTGTCGACGGCTGAGGTCTTGTGCGGTGCGCCAGTATTCGAGGTTGGAATGGTCAGTGACAATCTCGAAGGGTTCAGGGAGTCCTTCCAGGAAGTGGCGCCAGTCCTTGAGAGCCTCGATAATGGCCAGCATCTCCCGGTCGTAGATTTCGTAGTTCCGTTCGGCGGGCTGCATGGAGGCGGATCGGAATGCAACGGGGTGCCAGAGGCCGTCATCCTGCTTCTGGAGAAGGGCTCCTCCAGTGGCAAAGCCGGAGGCGTCGACTTCAATGCGAGTGGGGCGGTCAGGATCCCAGAGCGTCAGAATGGGGGCGGACGTGAAGGCATTGCGGAGGGTGTCAAAGGCCTGCTGTTGAGGATCGTTCCATTGCCAGGGGATGTTCTTCTTGGTGAGGTCGTTGAGCGGTCGGGCGATGGTGGCGAAGTCCTTGATGAAACGGCGGTAGAAGTTGGCGAACCCGAGGAAACCACGAACGGCGCGGAGGTTGCGGGGAACTGGCCAGTTGCGGACGGCTTCAACCTTGGCGGGGTCCATGCTGACTTCGCCCTCGCGGATGATCAGCCCGAGGTATTCGATCTCCTGACGTTCGAACTCGCACTTCTCTGGCCGGAGATACAGATCATGCTTCTTGAGGCGATGCAGGACTTCGTGTACAACTTGCCGGTGCTCGTCGAGTGTGGCCGTAAAAATGAGGATGTCGTCGAGATACACTGCAACCTTCCCTCCAGCGATGAGGTCGGAGAAGATAGAGTTCATGAGAGCCTGGAATGTTGCCGGAGAGTTGGTGAGGCCGAAGAACATAACGAGTGGTTCGAAGAGACCCTGGTTGGTGGCGAACGCGGCCTTCCACTCGTCTCCTTCCTTGATCCGGATATTATTGTAACCCCAGCGAACGTCGAATTTCGTGAAATACTTGGCACCGCGGAGTCTGTTGACGATGTCGGAGACCAGGGGGAGGGGGTAGCGGTTCTTGACGGTGATCTCGTTGAGCTTGCGATAGTCCTGAACGAAGACGGAGTTTGCCATCTTTCTTCTTGACGAAGAAGACCGGGGAGGAGAGGGGAGACTTGGATGGTCGGATGTATCCCTTCTTGAGATTTCTCGTCGAGGAATCGGTTCAGCTCTTCTTGTTCGTTCTGAGACATGGGGTAAACCTTGGTGCGCATGGTAGCCGGGGCTCCGGGAATCAGATCGATGGCGTGGTCCCAGGGTCTGTGTTCGGGTAGGCGATGCGACTCGGACTCGGAGAAGACGGAAGCATGCTGACGATATTGCGGGGGAACCATCTCTTCAAAAGTCTTCTGGGGTTTGGCTTTCTGAGATTTTTCGGCAATCTGCTGGGAGTAAGTGAACCCAGCGGCACACCAGAGTTCATCACCAGTTTCCTCAATCAACCCTGTTCGTAGCCATTTCCTGCGAGTGGTTCGGTTGGCACGGATGCGACAGAGGGGCGGTTCGGCTTGTTCCGGTTCCGGTTCGGGAGTGGGATTGGGGTCAGGAGTGGTGGGCACAGGGGGAGGATCAACCGGGGTATCTATCTGTTCGAGAATGGCGATCCCCGACTAAGAGGGTGTGCGTCCTCGTCTGGAACCTCCTCAATAGTGACGCTAGAGACCTTAGAGGGAACTTGGAGGGTGCCGTTACGCCAGTCAATGGTGGGGTTGATCTTGCGAAGCCAAGGGAGTCCGAGGATGATGTCCTCTCCTCCAAGGTCGGCGACAAGAAAGTCGGTCCATTCGGAGTGACCATCAACTGTGAGCTCTAGCCGTGCGAAGTGTGTGATGTTGCCTGCCTGGTTAGGGGTACCGTCAATGTTGAGGAGTCGGATGGGGTGTCGGAGGGGGAATGTGGTAATGTTGTGCCGATCGACGAAGGGCTTGTCCAGGAACTTGCCTGTTGCCCCACAGTCAATCATTGCCGCGGAGTTCGTACTGCGATTTCTGCCTCTGAGCCTCACGTTCACGCGAAAGTGTAGATGAACGGGGGTTTATTTCGCGAATTGAGCTAATAGTACATGAACGGACAGAATCATATTCGGAAGTGGCGTACGGAGGAGTAAAGGGTGCCTGCGTTGCGGCAGGGACGGGCACCCGCTTCAAAAACCCTGGTGGAGCCTCTGGAGTTGAGCCAAGAGTTCGAGTTGCTGTTGCTGGGTGGCGGAGAGCGAGGCAAGGGTGGGGGCAGGGGCAGGGGGAGCAGCGGGGGTGGTGGCGGCAACGGTGGCAGTGGCAGCAGGGGCAGGTTCGTCAAAGAGAGAAAAGGGTGCTTCTTGGGTGGCGGCGACACGACGACGTGGGGGTCGAGAGAGCCCTCGTCCAGGTGGGAATCCCATGTACTTGTCCTGGCAGACGGTGGCAGCATGTCCCATACGCTGGCAGTAGTTGCAGCGTAACGCCCCATGATTCCCATCCTTCTTGTTGTGACCGGTGGATCCACAGCCGAAGCATCGACCGCGCATGGCATTGAGGAAGTCCTGGTAGGTCTTGCCACTAGGGCCAGGTCGGGTAGCGTCGATCTCCATTGCGTACGGATCACGAGCGGGGGCGGGAGTGGGAGCGGGAGCGTACTGGGCCAGGGATGTGCGGGACGAGTTGGGGTTCATGTTCCGCATGACGAACTCGTTCTTGATGGCTTGAGCGACGAGTTCCTCCAGGTTGGCGGGTTCCTTGATGAGGTTGCTGAGGGCGAGCCAGAGAAGGTGTTCCTGAGAGAGCTTCCTCTTGAAGCGAGCCATCCCGTCCGAATCGGATAAGTTGGTGCGCGAAAAGATGTCGACGAAGCGAGAGGCAAAGTCGGCTACAGTTCCTCGACCGAGGGTGAGCTGCTCAAGCTCCTGGAGGGGCAGCCTGGGCGTCGTTGGCGGGTTGGAAGCGTTGCTTGAACCTCGGTGACGGAAGTTAGCCCACTTTCCCCCAGCGAAGGGCCATGGCTTGGTGCTGTCGGCATCATGATCGGCGATCTGCTGAAGGAAGCGAGATGCCCATCGGCCGGCTTCTCCATGCATGTACGAGAGGGCCGTGGAGATCCATTCCTTGTCATCCCGAGTGCCGTCGTCCTTCTTCAACTGGGGGTTGGTGTCCGGCCCAATTGGTAAAGAACTGGAGGAAGCGTCGGGCGTCTTCAGCCTTGCCGTGGAAGGGCTCAGGCGCCTTGACCGGGCTCTTGCTAGAGGCGGTTTTGGCGGCTGTAAGGTGGCTGACCAGGGTAGAAATGGCGGTGGTGAGTTGGTTTTGCTGTTCCTGGAGTTTCGCGAGATCGGCGGCGGACATCGTGAAGTCGTCGGTGGTTTGGGAAGTGGAAGAGGGTAGAGTAGTTGGTTGGGTGGAAGTGGGGAGGTTTCTGTTCTGAGCTTGGAGCGTCAGATGTATCCTCCAACTGCCGAGAGGTGTGGAGAGGGGGATGGACCGGGCGAGAGATGAAGGAGGCGGGGTTTGTTGGTGTAGAGCGACCGGAGGAGCTGAGGCGTTGTGCAGAGATGAGGGGTGCGGATGCGGCTAAAGCGGAGTGGAGAGTGTTAAACGGTGGGAGGGTGTTTTCCTGTTCAGGGGATGCTGATCGGACGCTAAGGGACTGGACAACTTCTTCTTCGTCTTCCTCGTCGTCGTCGTCTTCCTCGTCTTCTTCTTCGGGATCGGTGTCGGGATCTGGAAGCTTGAATGAACCGGCTTTGGCAGCGGGGGAGGTGTTTGCGGAACGGTAAGCTTGGTACGGGGTTTCTGGAGATTCGGCGGTGGTGGGTTGCGTTTCAGAGGGCGGAGTCCTGGGGTTGTTGCGGGCGAATTCTTCAACTGCTTGCTGATTAACGGGGGACGGTGATTCGGCGTTTAACTTGAGGGAGTTGATATAGACCCAGTCGTGTACGGAAGGTTCGTGGTAACGGTTGGGGCAGGGCTGTTCGGAGCAGGCGGTCCAACGGTTGAGGCTCGGTAGATGGACGTCTAGGACGATGGGGTGACCGTCGCTGACCCGAACGACGAAGTGCGGCTTAAACAGACAGGAGGTGTCTTCCGGTGCGGCGGAAATCTTGACGGAGTGCGGGGACCAGAGTTGCCAGGGAGGGACCTGATCGGCAGGTCAACCAGGAGCCAGAAATGCGGATGATGCAGGAGCAACGATCGGCGTTGCCAGTGCACAAAGGTAGCTTGACCTAATGTCGCGGAGAGCGAACACTAAACCAAACCAAACCTTAAAACCAGAGCGGAAGTGCCAGAGAGCTGAGAGCGACGAGAGAGATGAGAGCGATGAGCGACAAGTTAGACCAGAAAGCTATGTTGGTGTATTGACGAAGAGGCTCAAGCTGAGGAAATACAGAGGAATCTACCCTAGCTTATATACCTATTCTACAGTCTACATAGCCGCGATGAGTCAAAATGACGAAAAGGTGGTGAAACACAGAAGAACAATAAAGAGGGTCACAAGGCTGCGCGGGGCTGCGCGAAGAACAAGGAGAAGACAATAGAAGGGAGTCATGAGGCAGTGCGAGAAGGAAGAACAATAAGAAATAGGGCAGAGGGTACATCGAGGCAGTGTTCCATGAGAGAAAGAGTCCGTATCGAGAATAAAGGTAGAAATGAGAATAAAGGAGGGAACGATAAGGGAGATGAAAGTGATAAGATAAGATAATGGAAAAATAGGGGCTCGTACCCGCTGTTCACGACAGACGGGTATCATCAGGTAATAAGCAGTTGACGGGATTCTTTGTTCGCGGTATGGGTACTATGTTTTCCGGTAAGCCCCTTATTTGAACCGTTTTGGGAGGGTTAACAAGTCTAACAAATAGGGTATCCAACACTATCGAATTATAAGGACCAGGTATGCTATCCCATCCGACGACAATGGCTTCCTGTCCTTTCGTGATGCATAATTCGGTAGCATCGTTATGCCGTATCATTACAGGCATACCAACACATAGAGGTAGTACGCCTGCAACGTGGTCAGACGCATTTGGATCCAACTTCCACAGCACTTTTTGTAATTCCTCAGTCATTCTATTCTTGCCCGTCTTACGTCTACCTCGGGATTTTGTAGTCGACGTACCGGGTACACGGGTGAGGAAATCGACGGACCTAAATTCAACAAGCTTCTGATCATTATCCAATGCAAATCTTCTAGCTCCGTCCTTGTTGTACTGATCTTTGAAGTTGTTCAGCGATGTGATTTATCGATACGTTTCGAAGGTGCTCATCTTGCAGAAGGTGTACATTCGAGTTGTTAATCACCCTCGACTTTATAAAGCGTACGTCATCGGGTGTGCACGAGGCATATCTCATATTCTCTAGAGCGGTGCGGAGTTTGTTATCTTCCTCTGACCGAGTGCGTTGTCTCATATTCTGAGTAAGCATTACGACAGTGGTGACTTGATGCCATAGGAATTTACCTATGATCGCAGTTTCTTGCCACACTTTTTTTGGATCATCGTCTATGGGACAGTGAGAATATAGGCAGTGACCTCCTGTGGGAGGTAACTGGGCGAAATCTCCCGCAAATATGATATTAAGACCACCGAAGGGTTCGTCATTTACACCTGTCACTTTTGACAATCTAGTACTAATGTTATACATATCGGTACACGAAATCATGGATACCTCGTCCAAGAATATATAGTCGACGCCATTCAGACGATCACGAGCCTCCAAAACCAGAGTGGACTCGCTTCTAATGGGTACGTCGTCAGTCTCCGAGTTTGATCGGCTAATTATTCCGAGAACGGAATGGTATGTTGATCCGTTGAGTAGGGCGGCTGCGGTACCTGTCGGTGCCACTACTATAAAGCGATGTGACTCGCCTCGGGAGGAGAACATGTGGATAAGGGCTTTGATTACCTGAGACTTACCTGTACCACCCATTCCCCCTAGGTACATTTTCAGCTGGTCGGGCGAGGGAGAACAAGCGTGGTTAGCAATAATTTTGAAAGCTCTGGTTTGTTCCTTGTTGAGAGAAAAGTGTTCGATAGTGGAATGGACAATATCTGCATCGGTTTTGCATCGAGTATGGTAATCATGTAAAAGGTACGATCTATCTAACAACCGAACGACGCCATCTCTGGAACGGCGCCACTGAGAGAAAGGAGCTGACGGCGTTACATCATTATCGGTGATCTGGCGTAACTTTGATGAAGTTAAGCTCTCAATCCTGCTTTGCTGTTTCGAAGTTAGTAGAGCCTTTTTCGCTGATTGCACCACATTCTTCCAATGAGAGGCAGACAAGCTAGTCGATAGGAACACGCTCTCGCAGTCTCTACGGTCTCTATGCACCTCCTTAATGTTTGAACGGTCACACTTATCCAACCAATTTAACTTTTCAAGTATAGCGTGAGCTTTTAACTTATCACGATCGTTTCGTCTAGACTTGTAACCAGTCGTTGAAACCAGCTCCGAACATTCATCCTCTGCAAACTTGCTCATCAACTCCTTCATAAGTTCATCTACCTCCTTATCATCTTGGTCGTTATCTTCAAACCCTCGGAAAGGGTTGAACACGTGATTTTGTATCGCTTCTTTTCGTTTCTGCTTGAGGATGTTATGGTAATCGTCACGCTCGTCAAGACACTCGTAGCAAACGTTAAAATTAGCCATGATCCTTTTGAACTCGACTTTGAAATGGTGAGAATCGAAAGCCTCTTTCCATGACTGCTCTATTGACTTAAGGTCACTCGGGGATCGCCAAGGCTTGAACAGAGTAAGCATTGTGATATAATAGTAGTCGACGTCACCTTGGTCCCTCCGAGGCAATGCCCCTCCCATAAAATTCGGGATCCTATGAGTATTAGAATGAAGGTCGAACTTGACGTGGTGGCTGTTGTATTGGGGATGGTCGGGCAAGAACAACAACCATTCAGGTCGATCGGTATCGAAATCTAACGTTCCGGATTGGTCTCGGGACACGGTTTCACGCTTAGCACTCGTCATCTTCCTTTTTTCCGTGCAGCGAATCCAGTCGACAAGACTTACTTGAGATAGAGAACAGGGACGATATATGTAGTCGTCCACATTAGTCCATGGTACGTAGTCGCCATTTTTTTTCTTTAGCATCACCGTCTCGTCTTCCGCGTCCCCTTCCTCATGAGCAAAGTTGAGTTCTACGACAGGAGTAAAATGCTTACCCTGGTAGTCGTCGCTTTTCGAAATCACATGTCGAACATAACTACGCCACCAGAAATTTGCAAAGGTATAGTTAGAATAGCGGTCGGGATTCCCCAGCAAATACATACTCGCCATAGGGCTACCTATCTCCAATTTGGATGTTATATTATTGGAAAGCTTAAGTATCAGTCGCCTGGCCGTGTCTCTCCTCGCTTTAGCACTGAACGAGTGCTCAGATAGGTGAGGGTTTTTTTGGTAGATGTCGTATGCAGCCGAGAATATCTGATGGGATTTTAGCATAGATTTTGTAATGTAATCAGTTACGTAGGAGACGATTGCTTTTATGGCGGTTCCGGAAAGAAGATTGCCAACGTCAGTGTTACATCTGAGCAAGTAAGTCACGCAAGGAGTAAATGTGTTCATGGTACTCTCTAGATGTCGCAAGGTGACATGTCCATCGGAATCGACTGTAGACTGGGCATGTGTCTCTCTGGGAAACCTCGCTTTGCATATTCCTTCTTTGTCTAGACAAGCCTTCCTTTGAACTTGTATGTCTCCGGTGTTAGTGTCCTTTTTCTCGTAAGGGTACCTGCATGAATGGACATTGCACCTGATCAGGAGGTCGTCCACCGTCCTGTTATATTCATTCCACCACTTGATACGCTGGTCGCAGGGTAAGCACTGACCTTCATTACAAATCGGTTCATGTAGAGGTTGTAGGGTTCTAGGAGGAGGGACGGGTCGCGTTAACGTAGGGTCCTCATACCCCTCCAAGGCCTTGCTGGATTTACCCTTGCGCACAAAGTGAATACCGTCACTGTCTCCTGATGGCATGGCAGGTAGGTGTTCTTTAATCACTTCTAGAGGTCCCTGAAATAACTCCCCTTGATGACACCCTTCCAAATAATCTATCAAAGCTTTTTGGAATTCACTGTCTTTACTGAGAAGCCTGTTTCGAATTTCACCGGGTGACAGACTACCGCATATCCAAATAAGCATGTGAAGATGAAGGGTGAGTCTACCTTGCTGCTCTACGGTTCCATAATATGCGGATGTCTTACCGTATAGCCCCGTTGAAGTATGAGAACCTACACCGAGTACGTGTTTGATGAACATTCGGACTATGAAGTCAAAGAATCTGGCGGCAGCTACCGGATTTGATAGGACTAGCTGGTCTCGAATAGAAGAAGGTAAAATCTTATCGTCGAAGGCGACTCGAGAGCCTGCATAATACAAGCATAGAGGGTGACGCCCGTCCGCGGGGGAGAGTGTAATAAACCATGTAGGTGCACCTTTCCACGATATAAGAGACCACAGCTCGTTCCTCAGCAGTTTTTTACTCGATATAGAGCCCATGGTTGAACCACCTACATAATCTAAGTCGTCTATAAGTTTGAAACAAGCCTTTTCTCCGTCAGTTTCCGGTTTGAATATTTCGCCGTCAGCCAATCTAGAACTAATATTTTTCAATACCTCTACGTCTAAAGACTTAATCCTCTTTGAAATTTCGTTGAATCTACTACGCTTTGCTATTAAATGGCTTCTTGTTGCGTTTGACTTCATCTGTTCGTGGTTGAATGCTATCATGGGGAAGTAGAAGTCGGTTTGGAACTGCTTATCCCAATACATAAGAAGCCACCTCTTGTGTTCCAATTCCGTAATCTTCTTCTTCAGCACTTCAGCGCCTACTCCACCTAGCCCGTAAGGAAACAACCAAGGGAACATTTGAGGATATAGAGACGGATTCTTATACATACTGGCAGGTTCTTCATTCCTTCCGACTCCTAGCACCTTACCCCCTGAAACGAGGTGTTCGAGAGCCTTAGCTTTCAAAGCTTTGATAGACATATCGGCGTACTCAGTGCCTGTAACGCCATTCACTACAAATGGACACATGCCCTCGTCACTAGCGATGTTGACGTTGGTTTCGTGTTTACTCATTTGAGAACGGAGCAGGTCAGTAATGTCTTGATCCGGATCGGCTTTTCTGTAGTCTACTACCACAGGAATCCCATTCAAAGGGTACCTATCAAGGTTTTCTTTCGAGATTTCAAGATCTGCATAGTTTGTGTGATTCAGCTTAAGCCATTCGAGAGCGCGTGCAACTGCATTCCTTCTTACCAGCATAGGAGTTCTACGAAATTCCTCGTCCGTAGGTGCGTTTGATCCGATGAATATAACAGCCAATATCTCATCTAGTTCCTCGATACTAGGAGGTAAACGATGATATACCTTAACTATAGGGGTGGCAAACATAATCGCATTGGCAATCAGTTTGGCTCTACCTGAAGCGACTCGTACCAGGCAACGATTATGACGAATTCGAGTTATGAGCATCTTCTCTGCAAAAGTAAGCTGCTTAAGAACATCAGGTACCTCCCCCAACCAGAATCCATTAGCCAAGGCATACTTCGGTCTTTTCCCTCTTTGAACGCTGTATTTGCAAGATACACATATGTGATTGCATCTCCGATCCAGAACCGGGCCTGTAGCTGGAAATACCGAGCAACCAGAAGTTGGAACCTCCGTTTTCATGACCGAAGGAGCCTCCAGACATCGTAAATCAAGATTGCAAAGATTCAACGGCGCCAGGCTTGCGAGAGGAGTAAGTTGACCGCAGCATGCACAACCGTCTTCCTCGACTGATGAAGGCTGAGTATCTTCACAAAAACCGCGAACTACGGTTTCAATTAGTCTTTTGGTAGGAGGGAGAGGCGGGAAAGGCGACGAACCTGCTTGGCTATGCGATAGCTTGGAACGAGTGCGCTGAGTTCGATGAAACAAGGTTAGCTCAACTTGACACTCGTTGATTGGGCATTGATGAGCGGAAAGGCGTTTTTCGAGATTGCTTTTCACCTCTTTTGCATAATACGTGACATTGTGTCGTTTTAAAACCACCTGCAACGTCTTCAAAGCCATGCAAGGCGCGATTAGAGAATAAGGGATGTTAGCTGCAAGCTTGTCGGGATCGTTGGCAACCAGTTCGAGACATTTTATAAGGGGGACCATATCGACGTACTCGTACTTGTCTTCATTCTGTACGTGCGAGTTCTTAGACGACACGACCGGGTATTTCTGAAGTTCCCAATAGGAAAACAAGCGTCTAGCGGTATACCCTCCTCCGAACCATTTAGAAGCACCCGGTTGATCGAATCCAATATCGTCGATATGTTTAGGGATTGATGCAGACGGCGAGGAAAGCCGCCGTAAGCACACATCGTGCGTATATAAACCCGACTTATACAAAGTAAGGGCGATAGTATCATTGATCTCCGCAAGTTGCAGGCGCAGGAAGCCATTCTCTGCAATATGCAGGCGTCGATACATGTCACGAGCCAGGGGAAAGGGCAAGTCATATGCGAAATCGGTATTATGGAGGTGTTTTGTATACACGATCGTCTGACGAGACGAAGGAAGAGAAGTAGTAGCCAACAGTGACGATTCCATAAGACCCAGGAGAGACTAGAAGTTTGAATCGTCGAATATATCGCAGCAGTTGCAAGATACAAGGCGTCTGGAACAAATAGCGCGAGGTGGTAGCCGGTGTTTGTTGACAGGCAGAAGTATGATAGCATTATCGACTCCTTAAGATACTGCAAAGAAGCATGACTGAAAACGAGTCATCGCGTAGAATTCGACGGTGTTTGTTTTAACCAAATAGTTGAAGAAGAGAAACATCGAACCTGGACGGCCTTGTTGTTGTGTACTATTTGGATCTAGTCCAATGAGCTGCTACCCAAACAAATAATAATACGGTGGGCTTGGTTTCTACTCGTGTTGTGAGTTATTTGCGTCGAGCTTCGCCTCCAAACCAAGGAGCCGCCACTCAAACAATTAAGCAGTTGAACAATTGAACCGCAAACATCTGTATCTGTACATTTGATACATCAAGCACTTCTAATGAGCTTGTTAACTAGAGGCAGGCTTGATACTTCAACCTACTCAGATTCCCAGCTCTTGGCATATGTGCACTTTCTGTTTGGGCATTGGGGGCGGGAGTGCGCTTTCCCTTGGCATCTTCGCGTCGGGTAACCCTAATGCAGACAGTGTTTGTACAGTAGATTGTTTGGCGAGGTCGCGTTTGACAAACAAGTAATCATTTTCGGTAACAGCCTATAATCTACTCGTCGCCATTTTCTTTCTCGTCGATGGCTTTCTTTTTCAGGTCAATACCTCTGCGCATGGCTGCCACCTTCTCGGAAACGCCTGCCCACTGGTTCTGGAATCGTTCTCGCAACTCCAAGCGTTGCTGTGCCTGGCGCTCCCGGTATGTGAGCATCCCTTCCATCAGGGTTGGATCTGACCCAATATGATCCAGCTTCCCGCCGCGCGTTTTCCAGTCATTGGCTTGCCAAAGCAGACCTTGAAGGACCCTCCGCATCTCTTCTTGGACCAATTCGACCTCTTTTTCATGACGTTTCGCCCTTGCGTATGTGCGCGCCCACTCGAAGCGCAAGGCTGAAAAGGGATTAGGATCACGGGGACAATTTCTATGGTGAGCCACTCACCGTCGTTTAGATGGGGGCCGTCCCCGTCAGCTTTTATGCCTTCTGATATCCAAATCCAGGAAACTGTTCGCTTGCCTTCACTCTGGCCGACATCTGCCTCCGATAGGTTACGCACATCGCCCTCCCTCAGCTCTCTGAATTCGACCTCCCACCCTGCCCGCGCCTGTTTGTAAACCTTTGCTAGGTCCAGCATCACGTTTCGAGCTGCCCTGTACTTCGCTGTCTCGCGTTTAATCCGGACCTGAACCTTCTCTTGCGCGGCATTTGCACGGGTGTTTGCTCTCACCCCTCGACTATGCTGCCGTTTGTTCTTGTATAGGAAAGAGCTGAGGCGGAGGTGGTGTCGGATTTGGTGCAGGGCGTCACTCGCCTGGCCCTCTCGAAGCTTCCATTCATATTCAGCAAGTTTGAGATGGGGATGGTGTCGGGGAGTCAGACGGATGACTGCGGATGGGAGCCAGAGAGGTATGTCTTCAACTTTCGTGGAGGGTGTCCCGTTCGGCGTTGCAGTGGTCGCTTTCTCTCGGAGAAGAACAACGAAAAGCATGTAGAGAGCTTGAATCTCGGTCCACGTTGCGATCCGCGCCCTCAAGCGGTTCGAAGACTCTAGTACTGAGGCCAATTGCGAAGACGTAGCATGTGCACCGAGATCGTTGGCATCTTCAACGTGCTTTCGTCTGTAAGCGGTGAGTTTATTTATCCATTGATTCAAAGAATTGTCACTGACTGCTCGTCCTCTAACTGTAGGCCCACCGCAACCATAACACTGGGGTGCATGGATGGATGAAGGGACTCTGCGCTCTCGTCAGGGCTTTCAGCCTCTTTTGCTAAAGCAAGACGAGCATCCTTTTCAGTAATGCCTTCCATATCCGTCAGTACCAGCTGTGATTTAATACGATCACATGTACCTTTAGTTTTTGGCGTGAATGGATTGGGTTTCGACGCGTCATCCTCCCATGCTATCATTTCTTGCTTCCACACCTCCAGGCCACGTTCCTTGACCACCGATTCCATTTCATGGAGCTGGATACTGTGCTCAATGCATCCCGGTATGGCCTTTGTCAGACGCTTTAGAAGACTGGTTCCTAAACTTCCACCATGAATGCAGGGCTACCATAAACACTTGAACGGAATCTCACCATACTTGGTCGTTTTCTTCCAGTTCCAGTCATTGCAGACATCATTTAGCAGTTTGATACGAGCACCGGGTCTCATCTCGCGGGTACTACCAGCAAATCTGTTGGCGTAGTCAAATGTTCGCTCGTTTCCTTCGCCGTCAGTGATCGCAGCGCCCGGCGTAAAGTTGAGCGAGAAGTTTTCACGACATGATTGGATGTGTGCAGGAAGGTGGAATTTGGGGACCATGAAAATCAGGATTAACAATGCGCACAGTTGGAGGTGTGATGGTAAGATTTCCGTCCGTTTACGTAGGTTTTTATACCACTGACATGCGATGTCGTAGGCAATGACAAGTCGTTTCGTCGACGAGCCTCCCCTTACGAATGGGTACGTGGAGGCGAGGAACAAGATGATAGGAGTCTCCCTCCTGTTGTATTACCTTTCATCTTTCCTCTTCTACCTCCCGACCAGTTGAACGATTGGGTGTATACGAGGGTGTAGGGCGAAAGCGAAGCCGACGAGATCGACGCTGCGGGATTTGGATAGCTCAGGAACAATCTCGATATCGAACTGGAAGACTCGGGGAGGGGATGCTACTAGAGAGTTTGAAGTACGTTCCAGACCTTTCTGGCCTCCATGTCGAAACGTGTTAGCTCGACGTGACTGATGTTCGATCAGAGAAGGTAGTCGTGTTGATCGACGACTGATGTATTTGCGTTTATGCCGAGCTGGATACTCCCGTGAAGCATCCGAGAATATTGAAAGCGCCAGGATTCACGAGCACGAGCAATGGGACTGGCGTGTAAGTTCATTCTCTTCTCGTACCAATCCCTTTCAAGCTCACCCGATCCCTATCTAGGTCGAGCGACTCATCGTTACCAATCATTCAACATCGCATGATCTTACTAGCGGCTAAGCACTTCGAGCGTTCCTACGAAGCAATACCGCTCACCTTTGAGGTATTCTCAAGGAGTCCATTGATTTGTCTACATCATAGACGAACGATCGAGCTTCATGGACGGGAAAGTATGAAGTAGCGCTTTGTCGTTATTGATTGGATGGGAGAGGATGAATGCCCTGAAAGAGCAGAGTATAAGGTTTCGCTCATCAGAAGACGGCACCCTCGAAGGCTGGCAGGTTACGTGCAATTAATGGACACCTACGTCGCTCGCAAGATACTGCAACACAAGATTCGATACAATTCATTATTTGATTACAATACTCATGCAGAACGTGTTTTATACATAGTTGTTTTTGTCAATATAAAGGTTACAAGAAATCAAGGAAGAGAAACACTCGAGACGAAGAGAAGGGGAACAGTGAACGAGAGCTATACAATCCGGGGTACAAGAACTGCAAGCTACAGTGACAAGAACAGATGACGAGCATACAATAAAAGAGCCTATTTTCGAATTACAGCATTATGGGTAGGAGTAGCAGGGATTCCGAGAACAATAACCCAGATAAGGTGAAAGACAATCTTGGGAACACCATTCCTTTCAAACCACGAAGCGGTATAAGCCACCACGCAGCAACTTCGCATTGGAATTTCCCCGTTCCACTTAGGCAGTATAGTGTTTAGTCGAGAGAAGTCGGTATTAGGATTGAAATTGGTGTGCCTTGCATCATAGATCGGAACTTAAGAAGGGGAAATCAGTATCTATACGTACCAGATGACACTATAGCATTACCTTCTTCATCATAATTATAAGGAGCCATTCGTCGAACACTGTTCCTTTGCTTTACGGGACTCTTGTACGACTTGTCTTGGATATCACTGAACGGATTATCGTGGTTATCTGAAGATAATAATTAGACGCCACGGGCGCTAAAGACGCGAGTAGTATTTTTAGTTGCTTACCTGCTCTGCTCTCCGAATTCCCACCCTCGAAGCGAGATTTGGTTTGAAACTGAATTTTGGTTCCGACAACTTGGGCTTGGAGGTTGTCGTGATTGAACACAGTAGCAAAAAAACCATTCCATCGTTCCCAGTGGCCTCGGTTCATGATCCCACTCACGAAGCGGGTGTCCACATGTGCTCGAAGCTTCGACTCGACGACGCCTATAACTGATACGCCAGCTACAATGCCAATCTTGGGTCGGTGAAGCTCGTAACGAGTGAAACTAAACCGATAGATGACGATCGACCGGACCACGAATTCGGTTACGTCCGCAAAGCTGGGGTTATAGTACTCTCCACTGAGGAAAAATGTAAGACATGAAACAAGAAGACTATATATACAGATCAGCTCGAGTAGAACGGTAAGTGGAAACTGAATACGTACTCCAAGTTTAAATTCTTTGGCAGAATCTTTTGCCATGCACCCACAGACATCAAGGGGGTGGGATCGTCCCCCGTTGTCTTCCAAGTCTTGAGAGAGCCTTCCCTGAAGGAGACAATCAGATATCGAGAATAGGATGGGAGACGATAGAGGGGGCTCGTATATAGTGTACGTACCTAACAGGTTTAACCCCATTATACAAGTTTCGTCGGGTGAGGAAAGGATCGCGCACTTCGTCGAGAAGCATGGGACACTTTTCAGGAAGCGAGCTAGCGTGACGAGAATACTATCAGCAAAGGTTGGATAAGGAGCAACAGAAGAGACTAAAAGCTGTTCACCTTGTATCGACGGTGTATCCTTCGTACATATCGGTGTTCGAGTCCCCAGGGTTCAACTGGTTGAAAGGATCTTCAAAATCTCCTTCTTCCTCGTCAGGGGAATTTTCAGCGGGTTGATCTTTGGGTAGTTGTTCTTTTTTCAGTTCTACTTCTTTCGCTTTTCCTTTGTCCTTCTGCAACTGTAGCTGGCTGAGCGGGGTGTCGTCTTCGTCCCCTTCCGCGTCATCTTCGTCGCTATTCACAATTAGTACTTGACTTTTCGGGTCTTTGCAATTACTGAACAAAGATAAGTTAGCTTGTCACGAAAAGAGAAGAGTCATTCACTTACGGCGATGCGGGTACTTTCGCTTTCTTGTTGGGTGTCGGACTATCAGTTTCTTCTCGGTTCCGTTTCCGGGTTTTAGGAGATGAAGTCTGTTGAGAACCCCTTGATAGAGAGTCAGTGACACGGTCAACTTTTACCTGAAGAAACACCCTACTGCGAAGAAGCGCCAGAGGCAGACCCCTGTTCAGGCTTTTTGGCGGACGATCGAGTGGTTCTGGTTGACATGTTGCAATCCGAACGGTTCGTAAGAAACTCAGATGAAATGGACAACCGCACAAGGCAGAGGCGAGTGATAGAATGAATCTTAAATAGAAATTCACGTCCCATGCTCCGGTTTAAAACGGGAACTACGATCCAGACAAACAAGAGCAATCACAGAGTTCGAGTCAAGATATAACGAGTCAAAGAGTATAAGACGAACCTTAGGACCTTTCCTGATAGGGTAGTGATGACTCCTTTAGCAGGTACCTATATCGAGATTATGAGTCACGAACCAATAAGGAGCAGGGCAGCGAGTCAGGCAGATCGATTCCGCAGTAAGTGACTCAATTCAACTCATTTCGAGTTACCCGACGTGACAAAAGTAGTCGTTATTCCAGTCCATCCACCGGCCCGAGGACGGTGATTTACAAGACAGGAGGACGGCGGGACGGGATTAAAAGGAGACAACGTCTTGCCAACCAGGCACGTTCAGTCCAGGCAACTACGACAAGAGCGAAGCAGCAGCTAAACTGCAAGAAATCATAGCTGAAAGCGACACGGGAGAGAACTCCAGAGTCCATCAGTTGCACGTAGACAAAGTAGGTCGCACGAACCGTGCAGAGTACAAGCACTAATTAGTTCATACATAGGTCAAATCAGCATCAGTAAAAAGGATATCACGACCCGAATGTTGGAAGTTATACGAAATCGTAAACGACGATCCCACGGAGATCGTGTTCCGAATCCAAGGAATCATACAATCGAAAGAATTGCCTCCAGTCGGTCGTAACGCGTAAGTGATTTGAAGCCTTCAGTCGTACGAATTACTAACAGCGAGGTTCATTGACTCAGAAATAGGAGCACTCGGGCCAGAAAATACCTGCGTCAACAGGTGACTCTGTTCGGATTTGAAGCACCCTCGTTCCAGGCGTTTGTCGATTCGATGGAAGCTATGTACTTTAAGTATGGCGATGCCATAGCAGAAGGTTCCCTTGAATTATGGAATCCACCCACAGACGACAAGGGTATAGGGTTCGACCTCGTCAATCGATATTTCACTCATATCAGTCACTCGGGAGGGGAGCCTGCGATTCCATTTCACGAATCCGTTGATCCATGCGACGTGTTGAAGCAAATGGGAGGGGGCGTTTACATTCATACTCAAGACAACCACGTTGACTACATTGAACGCATATCGACAGGAAGCGCCAATGCATATCAGTGAGTTTCTTACATACTGTATGTGCTCCTAGCACTCATACTGATACTGATGCAGATACAGAATAATATCACCCGCCACTTTCAAAGTAGGCGATATCGTCGAATGCGCACTTGTCGCAAGGTGTTACCCTACGGGGAACGATACAGTCAAGCTTTCGCTAACTCTCAAGGCACTGGTTCTAATAGACAGGAGTGTTCGCGATGTGGGTATCCATCTCTTGTACCTGAAAAAGCCATAAATTCTGACCACCCAATAGAAAGCTTGCATTTTGAGAATGCGTAACCGAATCAAACCGAAGACTTCGACTTTGACCCTTAAGAGGCCTGCAATGTACGATATCGATGAAGAGGTAGAGGCTAGTGAAAAAGCGATGTCAAGAATGAGGATAGAATAAACGAACAGACTGGTGTATTCGTCAGAACCAAATATCAAAGATGTAAAGCCTCGTAATGATTAAGAGATCGAGCGTGCCATAAAAGGAAATCTATTGTACTATATAAGGAAGTATGGAAACTATGCATAGCACCCGACCAAGTGCGTAGATAATTCCAACCGCGAAGTTGCTAGGAAGATAGATGAGTCTGTGTCCGTCGACCAGTAGCAGTAATTAACCACACAAGTAATAGCGACGGGGATCTGGGATCAGGCCCGGTCCGGAAGTACGAATATGCAAGTAAACTTATGACATGGAGGAGCAAGTTGACAGGTACAAAGCTAAGGAAAACAATTAATCGTCGATCGCGTACCAAGATGAATCTACCAGATACAGTGAATCTGAGTTGAAGATGCCCACATCCCCTCCATTTCGACCTTGGTAGGTCGCGACATAACGCGGACAATAAAGAGCCATGGAACACCCTTGCGAGCACTGAATGAGAGACCTTATCGGTAGTTAAAGTGTAAAGGGACAAGTAAGGGGGCTACGGAGTCATAACAATTAAGGCACGACAAATCTCCGGTGGTCGATGTTGCCGGAGGTGAACGTGAATTGAAAAAAGAAACTACGACAAGTCACAAAAACTATACCCGGTGAGTCATATAACACACCACGATCGGTGCACTGCTGCGGAATAAATGAGGACACCTATAGACGAAGACCGATCACAGAAAAAGGTACATAAAGAGAAGAGGGCACGGAGAGGATAGTCTGTACGAGCGAGCGGTGCAATTTCTTGTCCCCTCTCTTCCTTGTCGTGCTTGTTCTTGTCAAATTACTTTCCTTTCTTCAATTCTTCCCTTGCTCTCCTTGAAAACATTTCCCCGTTGTTCTCCTCGTAGAGTCTGGGAATTTCTTCTTGCGATCCTGCGACACTAGGTACGAAAGTTATAAGCACAATAAAATCAAGAATAGTACTAACCAATCTTTCGCAGAAAGTATCCTAGCGACATATTTTGGAACAAAACTCTTGTTATCATATATCTGTGTGGTGGCGCGATTAGCGTGAGTCGTTTTGTAGAATCGAGTAACGATAGATCATTACTAACTGTCTCTGCATAGGAAAGAGGTGGAAGTAGCATGTCGGTTTACGTGCCTACAGATCATATGCTCCTTGACGCTCTGACGAGCCTTCTGGTAGAGGAATACGACGAAAGCGAGCAGCCAGTCGTATCGCTTCCAACCAACGATAATCGGTTCTACCCTGGAAGCAACGACGGTCGCACTATGTTGACCTTGACGACTGTTACGAGGTCGGATGAGGGAAGAGGCAGCACCGGCGAACAGGGTATCAATCATCCACCCAACGGGACTTCATGCGAAACCATCACGATTCAGTCCGTTCCTGCGAGTGGACCCGCACTACAAGTTACTATAGCCGACACCGAAGCAACAACCCCCTCGGAAAATCCACTTGCTCCCAGCGCCAACATCCAAGAAGCAGTGAATATCGCTGCTGCTACCGCAGAAGTCGGTCCAATGATTTGGCAAGCGACAACGGTTCCGGCGATAAACTACCGACACAAGGTGCCACGATACCCCCACTCTCACTTTCGACGGGCGCAATGCCACAAGTGTATCAGGATTCACGGTGTCTGCACCCTGTGTAATCAGATCCATGGTGAGGAAGATATGTACCCCCTACGAGCGAAAGCTAATGCACTTACAGTGGCCGAAAGGGAGAGCAAATTCGTAACAAAGATACCGTACGACGTCTTGGAGGTCATCATGATCAACATGAACCCGGCCCATCTTTTCGCCCTAGCAAGAACTTGTTGGCACTTTAGGCAGGCAGTTGCCTTATGGCTCAGAAACAACACCGTCCGACTAGTAACCCGCAGAGGGATATCCAACACTGCGCGTCTGCTGCACGCGATCAATCGCTTTCGGTGCATGATCGCGGGACCTGACATGCTCGGTATATGGTTTCCGGGCCTGGAGTCCAGAACGGGTCTGCATATATTCCTTTCCAACAACTACAGGGCGAAGACAGAGATCCGAGCCATACTTTCGGACAACAAATTCACTAGAGACGATATCCAGGAAGCTCTGACGGACATCAGTCCGTACAAGGCCAAAGCCATATACCCCGAATTTGGAACTACGGTAGAGTATGTCGAGATTTGGAGGAAAGAGGGTGCGATGCCATGCTACCTGATCATGTCCAAATTCGCAGATCCAATGGCCACGGTCGCCGAACTCCCGAACACTTTGTTCATGCTCGGAACAGACGGAAGGGATGCGGTCATGATGTACCCAAGATACACGTTGAGGTTGGAAGGCGTATCCAACTACGATTACTTCGGTCATGAAATCATTGAAGAATGCACACACTATTCCCGTTACGGGTTTGTTGTGTGGGATCACGACACCTTCATGCCTGTCACCTCCCATTCGACGTGCGGATATCATGTCGACTGCCTCTTCACAATCCGAAACTCGCACGACAATCAAGTTCTTCGTACTCGACTTCGACCAGCCGACAGAATAGAAAAATCAATTAAACCAATTCAATGGCCTTGCCCTTTCTCTCTTTGGAGATTGCGCTGTCACGATATATGCAACAATCACCCTTTCCCATACGACGTGAACGCGAACAGACCTATCTATCAATGTAACTCAAGGGTGATCAGTGAGTCCTTTTTTTTTTTTTTTTTTTTTTTTTTCAGTGAAGTACAAACACAAACATTAATGATTGCACCCAGCAGACTAGAAGCGTAGAACAACAAACAAACGAAGCCAAAGACGATGCCACATATAAAAAAAAGGCACATCGCAACGCCCTGAACTACAAACAAAGACGGGCGATCTGAAAAATCAAGAATGGTCTTGAAAATATGTATATATATAAAAAAGGACGACCACTGTACATACTTCTTGGGATGAGACGAACAGCGACAGTAGTACCGAATACGATGCACATACAATGAATGAACTTCAGACCACTGTACATACTTCTTGGGATGCGACGAACTGCGGCAGTAGTACCGAATACGATGCACATGCAATGAATGAACTTCTTGACCTAGATACTGGCTTTCACCTGAGAAGAACAAAATATCTATGAGTCGCCTAGTATCTGCCCGTCTGCCCGAGTTGTACTCTTTTCAACCAAAGACTCAGTTTATCGCGGCATCTACTATAACTTGGCTCAACAATACCGATCATAACCCGTGGTCGTTAAGATCCGAACCATGTGTGGCAATCGAAATGTATTATTACTGGAAATATAGCTACGAATAAGCTGTTCGAAAGAAACAACACTTCGCCTTCCAGCAACCACGCTCCAGAAAGTTGGTTTGGGTAATATAACCACGGAAGTAAAGTACAGTAAACGAGAAAGGAAGAAATCAACGAAAAGACAAGAAACTCCGAGTCGGACAAACAATTGACAAATATATTTGCGCGACCAAGTCGACTAACTGAGAAAGAAAGATACAGGTGACAAGAAGCGAACGAGGAGTAATATAAGCAGAGAAAAGAAAAGAGAATAAAAACAAAAAAAAAGGAGGATGGAGATGAGGTTGAATAAAAGCAGATGAAAGTAGATTGGATGGAGATTCTCGGAGCGGTTTACTAGAAGAAGAGGATGGTGGATTCAAAATTGAACGATAACGAGAGGAAATTAAAGACCGGCTGAAAGTTCGAATCGTATATACAGCGAACACATGTGACTGAAGCGAGTAGGAAGTTCCGTATTCCGTTACTTGTTGGTACTGTGTGATTCGGGGTCCGAATGCGAGTGGTTCGACTTCTCTTTCCTATTGACAGGACAAGGTGCAGACCCCGAGCGAGCAGGCACCGGTTGCGGAAGTGGTTGACCATTAACCGCTGCCACACCACGTTGGCGCGAGACAACGTCCAACCGCGGAGAGAGTTTGATGAGAGAGTATGCCGGATAGATGTCCCTGTCTCTGCCGTAAACATTGCGTACGACGAGCTGGAAGTTTGATAGAGTGTCGAAGTCGAAGGTAAGATCCCAATAGAGGTATTGACACAGCTCCCTCTCCATTTTAAGGAGGTGCGAACCAGTAAAAGACCATTGTGATGAGTAGAGCCAGGACTGGACAGTCAAGTCTGTGTCGCATAACATCTTGGATGCAAGCATGAAGGCTGCGAAGTAAAGATGCTGTCCTATCGCGCGAGCAGTCGGATAACGATACTTCAGACGCTGGAGAAGCAGCAGAGCAGCGTAAGGAACACTAGGATCCATAGCTGCGCGACGAATAAGGATGCCGATGAAACTGACAAGGTTTTTGGATGCGGATGGGTCGTTGGGCATGGCCATCGGCGACCTGAATTGGTGAACGAGAAACCGTGCACAGACGGATGCGATGTCGCTGTAGTCCAGGGAGGAAACGGACGACCGACTCGAACGATCGTACTAGACTAGTCCGTTAGCTCTCTACACAAAAGGTGTAATAAAGAAAGAAACACAAACCTTGATTCTTTTATGCAAGCGCATGAATAACACGAAGTGTACCGTTGAAGTAAACGATTGAGAAACAAGAAACGTAGCGAAGCAAGAGACTACCTGACAGTCAGAAAAGAAACGGCTGTGCCAAACCAAAATAGAAACAAGCGCACGGACGTCCGAGAGATGCTAAGTGCCGTAGATCGAAACGAGATATAATCATTATCAAGAGACCCTTTACCAGTCGCTATTTTTTATTTATTTTGGATTCCAAAGTCGGAGATGGAGCTGCAATAAGACAAGGCAAAAGAAAGACGGAATAAAAGAAAAACAAGAAAGAAGATACAAGTATAACACCAGGAGAGCGAGGTTTTCAGTATCAGGCACGAAGATGAAATAGCAGGAGCAATGGGAGCGACCTGACAAGCAAGAGACAGCTCAGAGGGTCAAAAACCAGCGAACGAAGAGGAGCCAGAGACGACAAAAGCCGAGCGAAAGCGGAAAGCCAGCAGTATCCAATAAAGGCATAGGAAGACAAATTCTGCACAAACAACGCGTCGCCGCGTCAGAGAGCAATACTCCCGATCAACACACGTGACAGCAACAGCTACAGCCCGAAGACATCCGATCGGTTCGTAGTCCGGAATACGGGCGAGGAAAAGCGGAGAACGTCCGTCACGTGGCGAATACGTGACGCCCGAGCTACGAGGGACCGGACTCTGGTCTATCTAAACGGTTCGACCGAAAGGATTAAGAACAAGAACAAATAATCATGGGACGATAAAGATCCTGCGTTCATGAGAATATCGATTACTTGGCATGAAACCCAGAGGAAAGGTACGCACCAGGAGCTCTGGAATGGGAAAAACTGACCACGTGTTCATGGGAAGGTCGATTTCTTGGCATCAAACCTATAGGAAAAGGCGCAAATTTGCGCTATAGGAACGAACATTTACTACGTAAATCCTCGTAATCAGCAACCGCCAACGCGAGCCTCTTTCCCAATCACCACCACCTTCCGTCTGTCCTGCACAGGGTGGCACCCAGTGCGGGTTGCTCTGCTTCGTCGCGCGACCCGCCGGGACTGCACCGCACTGTTATCACTCTTCTCTAGACAGAGCTCCAGGTCTCTCACCCAAGGTACGTTGCTCAGCTTCGGCGAGGCAGGGCAGCCGGGCTACTCACTGAGACTCAGAGCTCTCCAGGTTTCCAAAATATGATTATCGTCTTCCCGCAGAAGCTGTCCGCTGTCAACTTCGTCGTCGCCGTCATCCACGTTGGCTGCTTGCGTTGGTGGGAGCTTTGAGCCTGAGGTACGTTCAATGGATATTTCGATTTAACTTTGACTAACGGTGATGGTTTGCAGGTTTGTGAATGCTTGTGTGAAACAAAAAGCTCGAGAGCGGTGAGTATTTCGCCATCTTTGGCTCATCCAACTTCACCCTGACCACTCGACTTTTGGCTTAGCGATCCCAATTCGCCTCGTCGTCCCCCACCATGATGTGAATGGTGAGATGGTGAGTCATTCATTGCCTGCTTAAGACGACCGCACTGATACTCACTACTCTTTTATCAGACATCGCTATTTGCAAAGGAGCACGCTGCCCCGATGGTATGTCCCCTCGCTGCTAAACTGTCTGTTTCCTCATACTCACTTGTACTTTTCCCTTTCAGATATTGACATGATTTCTGTTTTATCTACCATTTCGTCGGCTCGAGAACTCGGTACATTACGGTGTATGGGAATGTGTAGTAGTCTAGTAGGTAGATGCAATAAGAAAATTTTATATTCAATTTTCGAATGGATGAAGCGTGAATGGAAAGGCGGGAAGAACCGGAAGGTCGACAAGCAGCGAAACAAAAAGGAAAAGGCAATGAACCCCAGGCCATTCGGCGGTTTAACCTGGGTGCATTGACGGGTCATACCAGGGCTATCCCGTGTAAGATAGCCCTAGTATGAGTCGGCCTAAGTTAAGCCGCGTTTGGCCCGCGATGAGTCTGGGACCATGGCCACAGGTTTATCCCGGGGTTGTCCTCCGGGTCCGGCTGTGTAGATAACTCGGCTGGAGGGACTCTCGATCATTGAGAGGATCTCACACACGCGTGGTATGCACAACGGCCCCGCGGCTGACCAAAAAGTATGGTTATATTTAGAACGAGATGGTAAGCGGTACCCCACAACCGTCGATATTTCTAACACCGACTGACTCTCGAGCCCTTGTTGAATTAATTCCATAATTCCTTGTTGTAGCTTTCCCGAAGGAGAAGTACCTCCTTGCCCTCCAGGGCGCTCTGTTTGAGTATCCCATACCAGGGATTCATTGACATCGGAGCACCATCATTAATAACGACTCTTAGAGGCCAGGAGTTCCGAGAGGTGATAGCGCAGAATCCAGAAGCAGTTTATCGTACATGTCCTCGTGAGCAGATCAGTAGAGAGGTAAACAAACCATGAACCGAACTTGGAAACAATTGAATGGATCAAAATGACGACTATGAAATTAAGCGCCGGTTGGGCACGTGTCTGATATGCCCCCCAATAAGGACAGTAGCGCAATTATATCCATGCTGCCCACAGGATCCGTCTCTGGCGTCACTTCTCTTCCCTGGGTAGATTGTTTTGGTACTCTCAGTGGAGCTATTTGCCTACTTTCATCGTTGGGCGGTCTGCTGCGACATATACGCCATGTCGCTGATAAGGAGGTTTCTGTCGCTCTGGCATGGTTCTTTCAGTTTGTTCGACACATCGAGGAATGGTTCCACCGGGAGACACGCGATAACGAGGCAATTTCATGAGGGCGGAGGTCTGCTCAGTCCAATTCGGCCTTCGAGCTAAGCATGGTCGCACTGTTCGATTCTGACAAATGAAAAACCTCCCAAAAGTCAAATAAACTTTTGGACGAGCTAACACATCATCAAGACGCCCCTTCTGTCATGAGAAGGCCTGTCAGGCCGGGGAGATGCCTTGAGGCCTCAGGTGGAGTCGCAAGGTCTCCGCTACTGGCAGTATCTCCAGATCGGGAGGCAAATAGCGGGAGACCCTGGGTCAGGTGAGGACGGGGATTGAGTTGCGAGCTTTTGGGGGTGCACTTTGACCGATGGAAGATCTGTGAGAAGGGAGCGAGTCTCTCGCGCCGTTCATGTCGAGGAGATTCAGACTCAGGCAGTTTCCTTTCCGTCGCTGATTGCTGTAAGTAAACCCGAGGTCATCACCGCCGGTACGATATGTCAGTTTAGTGCCACACTGTATGTCTATGATATGTCACATTGAGCGCTTGGCTGCCTTCTCAGACCTACTTAGCGCCGATAAATTCTGTAGGCCTTGAGGGAGGAAAGGTACTTACAAAGAAAGGGAGAGACGGAGAGAGGCTTCAGTATTCTGCCTCAGCCGCTAACTAGTGTACGGATTTGGGGTACTTCGGGAAAGCGTCACGACTCAGGGCACCACGATGACCATGTGCGACGCATCCCACTTTTCTAGATGTCATTCTCCATGAGTCGTTGTAGAAGACTTACTGGAACTGAGGGCCTAGCAGACTCAAAAGAAAATCCTTATTCTGCGAAAGGCTCTCCCCGCACCCAGGCCACAGTGATACACGGGTCCCCGGGCTGACCTTGGCGGGCGTACGGATTGCGCGGCCTTGACTCGGAGGACAGAGATAAGATTATGAACTACTTAGAAAGATTCTAGTAACAACAATGTCCCTTCACGTCAGGGAATGGCTGGTCTAGCATTTCTAGTTCTGAAGGGTAGATACTGACTAAATAACCGCTATGCTGACCCTCTTCGACTGTGCAAGTCCACTTTGTGATGATACGCTATCATTGCCTCACGGATCCAAGGAGGGGGCGGACCACACTCCCGGCCAATGGTACTTTGTTTTCACGTCGCTCTCGCGGTAAAAGACCAGAAGGTGCTACTTCCAGGCTTCACTAAGACGAGGACAGTATACCAAATACGCAGTGCAAAAAGCGAGTGACTTGAACTGTTTCAATCACTTCGAGGCAGAGTGGTCGATCAACCTAAATTTGACCTTCCTTTCAGTTCTCCACTCCCGAAAGCTCTTTGCAAATCAGCTATTTTTGACCAGCCTAGCGTCATCGAAATTTATGCTACGGGCTTGCAATGAAGTCTATGAATAGGGAAAACAGTTAAATATTCCTCATCCCGCGGAACTAAAAGTGAAGTACGCCCAAAATTAGTTACCGCCGGATGCAAAGTGCCCAACGTGCTTAGAATATGTTGTGTTGTAAGACAGAGCGAACCCAAGCCCCAATGCTGGGCGTTTGACTTGAGTATTGTCCGATTGGTGTTTTCTAAAAATACTTCCCAAGATCATCCGCGTTCAAGTTCCTTCGCTGAGCTTCTCCTAGAATGCCGAAATGCACATTTGCATCATGGTTGGCAGCGAATGCTAGACGGCTTTTGATAAAGGATGAAACCGAAGGATATACAATAATAGATAATTAGATACATAGGCGACATTAGAGGAGAGTAGTAAAGGTTACAATGTTAGTCGACAAGCCCAAGACAACAGAGATTGGTTGGATTACACAACTGTCCAGAGAACGAGTGTCAGTTTTTACTATACCAGAACGAATGCGAAGGTTCCAAATGCAACAATAGAAGGACGAATACAAGGAAAGTCGAAAGCAACACAAAGGTGCGAAATAAAGATCTGAGAATGAATACATCACGAAGGGCGGAAGTTGATTTCTTCGAGTATCCCTGATTCCGACATGAACATACCCCATTTCTCATCAAGTCGGGAATCGCGTGAAGCGAAGCCAAGGTCTGCCAATGCATTATTGGCTGGAGGACCGGCCTGAGAATGGAAGGCTGGCGTCGTCGGATACATGGAATACTGCTGTGTGTATGTTGGAGTCGAAGAATGAGCGTGAGATTGGGTTGGATGAGCATGTGAAGACGGGGCGTGTGCGGGATGGGGATGGGGATGGGCTGTGGAAGGTTCCGCAGGGTGAGGATGGGATTGTTGATGCGTATGCATATCGAAGGGCTGACCACTGGACGACGTCGACGACGCAGACAGGGGAGCGTTCCCAATATGGGTCGATGCTTGTCGGTTGCTGTACATAGCAGGCGCATAGCCTTGCGACTGCGGTGGATAGTAGTGTGATGAGCGAAGTGATACAGGGGCGGAGTCTCCCGGCGAGGGTGGGTGGTAGTAGCCGTGATCTTGGGGCGGAGGTTGGAGCGGTCGAGAGATGCGGGGTGCTGATGGGTGCTGTGGTCCGTCATACCGTGCTGCAGAGACGTCTCGAGCGGTGTTCACCCAATACTCAGCAACCGGTGCGCTGGGACCAGGTCCCATAGGGGCATTACTGTGGTATCCATACTGATCAGATGGTCTAGGACGAGGGGCCGCGTCGTACGACTCGGCTTGAGAAGGCCACGCAGGCTCCGATGTGTCCATGCGCACGTCGGGAGAAACAGAGGCTTCAAAGCGATATGAGGATTGGACGGGCTGGGGTTGTCGGACCTGGGGTACTGGTGGCATCGATGATACAGCCTGTACAGTGGGAGGGGAGTTGTACTCAGGTGACGCATTGCCACCGTTATCCGAGGATGGAGGAGTTTCCCCAGTATGTTTCGGATTGACGAATCGGGTATGGCCAGCGAATATGGAGAGTTCGTCGTCGTCTTTTCTGATTGCCCAGTGCAGCCCATTGTCCCTCGATGGGTCGTTCTGGGAAGAGCTCATGGCTAGACGAGCCTTCTCACTGAGTGTCTTCAGGATTTGCTAAAGAGCTGCTTGAGGACCTCCGTGTCAGTGGAAATAGTGATGGTGCGTACCAGGGCCTTGGTAGCGCGCGTGCTATAGACAGAGGCTTTAGAGAACAAGATACACGCTTGTTCCAGCTCCCGCATCGCAGACTTGGCCAAGGGACTTCTCGGACCCCGAGTAACGACCGTGCCAAACACAACCTTATCGATCGGAAGTCAGTCGTTACTTTGAGCCCAAGAAAGCGAATCGCTGCTTACCGCGGCGCTGAAGGCGAACGTCCACATTGTCCAGAAGATCGAGCTGGATTGTGGATACATATTGAAGTGCTCTTGAACAGATTTGAGGATTGTGGACGATGCTTGGTATGCGGCGGAAAAGGACGGCGAATAGGTACTCTTGAGGGGATTCTCTGGGTGGTCGATGATGGCTTGGGCGAAGAAACTTCGGTGGATGTACAGCAAGACTGGGCAAGGAGGTCAAGGCTCGTCCGATGGGATGATAGTAGATCGACACGCACCTGTTTCTCGTATATGCTCATAAACGCAGCGTTGGAACGCGGTGGAGAAGTCGTCCGACGAGCTGGAGCTATTGGCAGTCTCGGGGATAGGGTATTCGCGAACCTTACGATCCAGCTCCATGATAGTTGCATAGCTAGGCGCTTCGGCAGTCAAGGTACGTGCTGCGACCTCAGCAACAACCTCAGCTGCGAATCGGAATTGCCATGATTCGACTTGGTAGAAAAGATTAGACCTGTACCATCCGCTCGAGAGATATAACGTCTTACATTCCGTGGCGAAAGTCTTGCCACCGTCTTCGTATTGAGGGTGTCGACAGTCGACGTATGCAAGCGAAAAGGACGGTGGTCGCCCAGTGTTGAGACTCTAGGAACAACTTAGACGCTAGTCTATTGGAAGAGCTGGGTGTGTTGGACCTACCTGCCAAACGTCGGCAACAAACAGGTCCCAGAACAAAATCCGGCGTCGCTGAACCATCTTCGGCGAAAGCCCCCATCGGACGCTATCCCGATCTAAATAGCGATGGCTTATCAGCGTGATTTCACAGGTGAGCGTTATGGGAACTCACGAAGCCCAATCTGTTCGAGGTTGGTCAGAGTTGGGGCATCGACAAAAGCGAGATGAGGACATACTGTCTGGGATAGGTTCGACGCCAGAGTGATAAGGGACCACGTCGTCTCCATACTGGACTCGCCTCCCATATCTGCACTCCCACTCATGGCGTTGTACATGCTCATGAGATGAAGAACCTGAACGGTCACCATGGTTGGCTTCTCGAGGACTGGCTGCAAGGCAAGCGCTGCCCTGGCGATCTGGTAGTAATGGTCACCGTATGCCGCCGAAGGGCTCTCCCCGATCAAAGATGATATCGAAAAGATGCAAAACAGCAGGGCCAAATCATGCGGGCCACCGTAGTGCTCTCCGGGCAGGGGCATCTGTCGTCGATAGATTATGGGAATCATGTCGTCTATCACCTGCGATCTGGTGACTCCCCGGAAAAGCCATGATACTTGGGCAAAATAGTGCTCGGCTAACGAGATGGCCTTCTCATACGATGGTAGATGCTGCGTCTCGATGAGCTGTTGGACCTGAGGGGGTAAGCCGACGGGGGTGAAAGGGAAGAACCGCGAAAAGAGCGAGAGTTCCCCTATGCTCATGGGACTCTTGGAGTCTCTTGTGGAGTCTGGCGTCTTCGAACCCCTAGGGGATTCGACAGAGACATCAGGAGTAGCCTGAAGGCAAGGACGTCAGCGAATGATCAACGCGGTACATGCTCGTCTGCTAGTCACTTACCGACAGCAAGCTCTGTTCGGAAAGAGTCAAACTGAGCCCACTTGTTTCAAAACAGAAGCCAACAAGCACAGCAACGTACCTCAGACCCTCCAGTGGGACCAAAAAACAGCGACACCCCCTGGTCCGATATCGATAACGTCCCAAAGCTGTCCCTAACTTCCGCAGCCTGGCCACCAGATCCCGCAGCGTCGAGGTCGTTGGTTTCACCTTCGCCTTCTCGATCGTCATTCATCATGTAGTCTTCGTGGAGAAGGGGGTGGGGCTCGGTCGAATGCTTGGCTTGAAGAGTGGCGAGGGCATCTTCGAGCTGTCGAACCCGCCCACTGAGCTTAGCTATTCGCTTGTGGAGATGTTCGGTGGCGGCGAGGACGAAGCTGAACGCGATAACCGATTTGTCAACGATATTCAGATGCTTTGCAACCAAATGACGAACCGTGTTCCTTGACCCGTGGCGAGACTCCCTAGAGCAAAGATATATCATGGATAGAAGACGTTTCGTGGCAGGACAGACGCACCATTGGGACATAATGCCACACATCCTCTTCTCTAGTTACCGGACAACGTTAGCCTCTACCAACGTCCACCACCGAGTTCACCCACCACACAGGATTGACAAGGGACCTGCTTGTCGCACTTTATCTTCAACCTACAGTGGTTTTAAGCATGGCATGCCGGGTAGAGGTGCGATCATCGCATACCTGCGACATTCGGCACAACTGACCTGGGTGTACTCGGTCAATATAAGATCATAAATGCGCTCTAACAAAACCTATACCTCTCCTAATAGACGCGATTTACGAAAGGGAGGCGGAAAGAAATGTCAGAAGTGACTTGGGACGGCGGAGGCACCCCAAATGCTGTGAAATATCTCACCTCGTGTCCGCTTCAGCTCCAGCTCACGGGCATGCGTGCCGTCAAAACGAAAGTCGTCCAAATCTTTCCTACTCGTTCTACGCTTGACCTTCGGCTTCGTTGGTTCGGGCGGCATAGTGGTGGGGAGTCAAGCAGACCAGATACGAGCAGAGGTGAACGGATTCTTATTTCACACAGAGGGGTATAAGCTACGGCATGGTGGTGGGAACGACAGAACCTCCATTTGGGCTGCGCCGTTTCGTGACATATCCCCGATCCGGAGCGCCGACGTTTATGCTTTGTCTTTCCCACAGTGGATTTGCAGGTCGGTTTCGAAGCAACGTCGATAGAGCGGCTTCTTTCTGCGCCTCTTAAACAGTTTGTGTTTGTGACGCTCGAAGGTCCTATCCCGAACATCCCCTCCACCATTCAGTCTTCAACAGTGCAGCAGTTTGCGAGAACGCTAAAGACCGCCGGCAAAGGTCCCTTCATAACGTGGGCGAAAACGTGGCGGAACCGATCATTCAGCAGTCGTCCTTTTTGGACGAAGCTACGCGAGATCAAATTCTCGTTGCTGATCGCGTCTCTTGAAAACAGGGGAATCGTGTACTATCACGGCACATCGTCATGAGCGAGAGCTGCGACCCTGTTACGAGGAAATGAATTCATAAATACCATTCAGTCCCCTTTTTCTCATCTTGTACTTGAAATGAGTTACCCGACGGGAACGTCGAAGGTCAACGAGAAAGAGGGTTGCTGGACAATGGACATCGATTTCGACATCCATCCCCACAAAAGCTGACCCATCCACATTTGGATGCATAATTGTCAAAACGTCAGAAACGCCACAAGCCCAGACAAGGGCATCCCCAAACCAACAAATTTGATATACGTGATTGGGACGGGTTTCCAAATCGCAGAAGTTCGTCAAAGCAATTGCGACATGAGACAATATCGCCTCTCCTCAAAGTCCTTTCCATCCGTGAGGATCCTTGAGGATTGGTGCGGCCTAAGGGGTGTCCACGTTCCAAGACGTGTCGATTGTCCAAACAAATTCCCTTCCCTCTTCCATTCCTCCCAAGGCATACAATGCCTAAAGGTTGAAGGCAGATCACCGAGTCGACGCCTGGAGCCGTTCCAAGTGGAATTTGCGATTGAAAAGATTCTGAATGTGAACAAAAGGCTTGCACGACGGCTCCCGAGTCAGATCAGTGATGCACCGCGGAAGGAGATTTGAATGCTGTTCCTCGGTGCTAGTCTCGTAACCGGGCGGGACCGAATTTTGGCTTTCAGTTGCTTCACAAGGCGGTGGATAGAACCTCAGAAGCAACAAAGGAACCCCCTTACAGCAGAGTCGATAAAGGCGGAGGCTTCATGTGACTTAATTCTATTCAGTTGTAGGCACATAGGTAAGACGCCTTCGGTGCATACATGGAGCCTTGCCCTGGGTAGGGAATGCGCAATTAACTTGCCGAGTGAAACGTTCATCCAGCCTTCATCCAATGGTATTGGTCCATATGTCCGAAGAAGTTGAACTGGGATTCGGAGTGTGTGTCCTATGAACGGCTTCGACTCACTACGCAACGCCTATACCTCGTGACCAGTGGTAACTTCCCATACGAACCCTGGAGACCTTCATACCCTGGTTCTTCGATCCCGCTACTATCGAGGGCGACAATGCCTAAAGGGCGAAACCTTGCTTTTAGATTAGATGAGAAATTCCTGGAACGCGGGGATCCGTTACTTGGCCAAGAAGGTTCCAACAACGTCATGGGCAGGCGAATGAAATGGTGTAAACCCTGGTCAGCAGGTGCGCATATGCTGCTTGGATGAAAAGCGTCCAGCGGAGTTATGCCTGTTAATTTCCGAGGATTTCTCTTGCCACGACAGGAAGTAGAGTGGTGAGGACCTCACCAATGTGCTCGCCCAGAAGTAAAGCGAGAAACACAAGAGAAGCGTGCCAGATTTTTCAAGAAGGACGATGTGACCGAGTGTCAAGTTGCCCGGAAGGCAAGTCACCGGTCATCAAGCGCCCACCTGTGGGAGCAAAGCGGGATAAGATGGCAACGGTGGCGCCGGCTAGTCGCGGGTCGTTGCTGGTTTCGGAGGAATTTACGGGCGATGAACAAATAGATAAGATAACCGCAAATCTGAGAGTCAGAATCACCAAGGAGCACGCAGAGCGCACCGTGAATCGACCGATATCGTTTCCTCTAAGGACTAGTACCACGTATCTTTGGAGGGGGAACCCGGCACTCCCAGTGACAAAACGCTGGGGCAAACGAAGATGCCCGATATCATGTGCTTAGGCCGCTTAAATAGTTCATCCTTCACCTAAAAACCCATTTGGTTGCGTCCAGCCCTTTCGAGTTGCGTGGGAGCTTGATCCACATCGACGGAGGCTTTTGGGATGATTCATCCTCTCCTCCCAAGGGCCTTCAAAAAGTCTGAAGGAGGCCAGACCCCAAGCTAAATAAATGCCAAGCTGGGGACGAGAACACGTTAGCGCTGAGGGCGCTTGATTACCAATGACACACACCAGTTACGTAAGGTACGCCACGTGGTTTGACAAGTTGTGGGTCCAGCAACGGAGGCTTCCGAGACACTATGTTCCAGTTTGTCGACTCGTACCTCTCGCCCAGCTATGCCTGCCTTGATTATGCGAAAGGCATTCTGCATCCTTCAAACACTCTACCTCAACGATTGAGATTTTTTTCGGACTCTTAGCAGTTCACCTCTGGCAACACCTGACCTTATGAAACCGTATTTCGAATCCGTCAAGGTGAGGTCGTTTCCAACGTTGCCATAAACCTGCGACCCTAAACCCTGTCGTTACCCAACCCTGGACCTTTCCTGCCTCCCATCTTTCTGTATCTGTATAGTCTTTTGCCGATGTTACTATAACGGAGAACGGGGTTGACACGGTCACTTTCCTGGAAGCCTCGGATGGCCTTGTCGAGCTGTTTGGTGAGCACTTTCTTCCTGTCTCGGAACCTTAGGGATACCGGCCATCCAAAGGCAATCTGTTGTCAACTGAAGATTTGGATGAAGGTGTGTCATTGGGCTATGACTGGAGGTAACGCACACATCGACAGGCTGGATCATCGTCATGAATCTGAGAGGCAACTCCAGTTCAATCCATCCTTTCTCGTCCATTGACACCCTTGCATCTCCAACTGGATGGCGTTGCGCATGAGCAACGGCTGGCCTGTTCGCGTATCATCACGGCCTGCTTCTTGGTCCCCATTCTTTTCCAATCCCAGTTTACTTCTGGCAACCTGACCTTATCGCCGTACTAGGTCTGTTCGGCTCTGCCATATTCGAGTTCTTACAAAGCGACCTCCGAACCCAGATCAAGGTGAGCTTCCAACTGGGACGATTCGCTGAGTTCCAAATCCCCGCCCTGTTCTTGCGAGCATCCACCGTTGCGCTGATACATTGGTTCTATCAATGTGGCTCACGCTGGGGCGGTTCCCGTGCTCCACTTCTCTCTGGCTCCCTTGAACCTCGCTCAGTTCGATAATCAAAGTTTAGTTCCGTGGGCATCTGTCGTAGACCCGCATCCCTATCATCCACTTCCGCTTTCCTTTGCGCAATTTGTCACCCGTGATTGGTCGACCACCTGGTTCTGACGTTTTCATTCTTGTTCTAGGGTATTCGTGCGCGCTACGAAGCCAGAATGGACCATTCACGCACCTTGGAAGCGTTGGTGCAATGCGATTACCGCGAAGAATCCGAGGGAAAACCTATACTCTGTGTGATTCTCTTGCTTCGGTGAGTCTGAAATCTGAGAAGCCGGCCTCCCCTGCGATCTTCGGGTTTTTATTCTTTCATTCGAGGCGTCGGTTAACATTACCTTGGGCATATCTCCACTGTTCGTTTCTTTTTCATTCTTCCACTATTCTACGCGCCACTTCTTTTCCGTTGAAATCGAATTTCGAATTCTGGAAGATAGATTTCACTTAACACACTCTTTGACGCTTGAACTGACTTACCTTCTAGAGGATTGCATTTCGTCTGCCAGGCGCTTCAACGCGCTCAGAGTGACAAGTCAACTGAGCTGCGGATATGCTTTAAGAGGGCCTATGACGAAGTGCTGCGTCAATATCACCCCTTTTTCATTCGTGAAATCGCTGCGGTAAGTCGATTTCCACTTCTTTACGTCCTTCAATACTCCACTTCATTTCCCTCTGTATCCTGCTCTCCTATCTCCGACTTCCTTTTCCGAGGTGACATCAGCGAGTCCTGCCTTTGTCTTTCGATGTCTTTTGCCCGAGAATTTGACTTCATCGACCACTCGCCTTCTTGTGGTGGAACATGGGAGCCGATCGCGCTTTTCATACCGTCCCGTTCTATCATTCTGATTCATAGGGCCTGTCACGAGTCCTTTCATGACGACCCGACTTGTTGGTCGTGACTCATCATCTCGTGCTTTTCTTTTGCCGTCGAATTTCGTTTCGCAGATCGCTGATACATTCCATGCTGTTCTCTATCTTAGCTGGCGATTCGAGCAGTCCCTCGACGTAATGATTTCTATGCCAAGATTGCACAAGGTGCACCAATGGAGAAACTTAATGGCGAGTTGGACAAGTGGCTGGTGGGACTCGACCACATTGTGCAGCACATGGGGGGCTTTCTGTCGCAAGGCGGCTATGGAACGATCTAGGGTGGAGGGGTGGCGTGTACGTGCTGTTGACTACTGCGCCTACTGTTTCTGGGTTCCTGTTCAGGCAATCTATCTCATAGCCTCACCCTCATTCCTCTTGAGTCTTCGAGATATGGTTACGTGCGGCGGAGGTCCGGCGACTATGGAGGTCATATCAGAAACAATGGCCATGTATTACTCCCTCAACATCGGCCCTTTCTCTTCTGCCTCTGATAAGCTCGAAAACCTGGCGTCTTTCGTTTCCTCCCTTTCCGAACTATACATGGGGACTATACCTTTGCGTCTTGTTCCTCCAGCCTAGGAGGAGGCCTGGGGAACCTCTCCGCGAAGGTTAGACGACCTGCAAGCCAACGGCATTCATCGGGTTACTACATACGATAGGCTTAATCACCCCCCTCACGACCGAGTTCAATCGCTCGGTACCACCACGTCAGATGTCAGTGAAACTCCGTCAGCATACGGTGGCTTACGCCTTCTCGAAGTGAGAATCCTTGATGGCCTTTGTGGCTACCAACCGAACCTCGACAGTGGGGTCCAGACAGCGACAACTGCTGTTCTTTCGCTCGAAGCCTTTCACTACGGTGCCTGGTAAGGACAGTGTGGTCGTGCCGGCCGTATGTGTGCCCAGAATGACAGTGTTTCAACTTCCTTCTTCGAAGTCTTCGGTGCGACCAGCCCGGATCCTCGTTGGTTTATCTGAGCGGATTTCTATATGCTCGGAAACTAGAAAAGACTTTCTGTTTCCGATTTCTATTTCGAATGGAATACGGTTTTATTAAATAAATTGAACCTTGTAGTCAGCATGGCTCGACATTGGAGCGTGGAACTGATACGTGTTGGCGTTGGTAGCTATTCTGACCTTAGAGGTTACTCATAATTCCCCTAAGTGTCGACGATGCATTGAAGTCACGGCCTTCACAGCCCCCACGCACATGTTTTTGGGAAGGTATTCATTCCAGTCAGACATTGCCAACAAATAAATGCATGGCGTCCGCGCCGACAGACACACAATAAGTACTGACTTCTGAGGTTAGACCAAGTCCCGAGATCTCGAACTGCACGGTAGATTAAGTGGTTGTGGCTTCCGCGAAGCGAGCCTGGTGGTTCGGTTCACTTACTCTTTTCGAGTCGCTGCTCCTCCGCGGAGTCTCTACAAAAATCCGGATCCCGAGCTCATTAGCACCACCTAGCATGTCACGAACACTGGAGGAACAAGTCTTGGAGGATCTTCGGTTTCCCCGATTCGTATGTCTCTCTAGCTCCCCTGAGTCTTCTGTGTCAGTGGGTGGATGGTTTAGAATTACAAGTAAGGACTATTACTAGTATTCCACTCAGCTTAGTTAGCCGACTCGCCGGGTAAACTTGGACATCGGGTTCCTTCTTACACTCGGAGGTTGACATTGACAGACAGACAGACTTACAGTTCCAGAGCCAACCTAGTAGCCGCCTACTTTACATACATACGTTCGACTAGTTTCCCTTTTGATCGCGCCTCTTTTTTGATAGCCATGAAAGTGGAGGTCGAGGGACGTCGGTGCCGGTGGATCTACGCATGTCGCCCGCGTCTTCGAGGATCGTCGGAATGTCAAAGCGGACAAGCGGGAGGGAGAACCTGGATGTTTCGGGAATTGAGCGTAGTGAGGGACGAATGGAACGAGCATGTCAAACTAGTGCTGGAGCCTAGAGTTCTTGGTAGTGGAACTCGATTACATTTCCAATGGAGTCTAAGTCTTGTGAAAAGTTAGAAGACAGAAGACGATCTTCTGTTAGCCTTGGGAGAGGCGGTATGATAGGCAGTTGGGCGGTGTAAGGATAGCTTTTTCGGCCATCTTGTGATTGGCTGAATCTGTGCGATGGATGACAGTGGATAGGGGAACCAATCGCGAGTAATGTATGGGCTATCTGCCTCTGACACCACATGTGTCGCTTTCCGTCGTTCCTAGGCCGTTCAATGGAATAGATGGGGTATGTCCACGCACCATTACATGCTGAAACCGCCCTAACTCGGCCACCGGTCTCCCTCGCACTCGAACTGAAACTTAAACAGAGTTAACCTATTTCTTGGAAGATGAAAGAAGAAGCGGAGCGGGAGTGTTACTAGTCGTATCCTTGTACATACATACATACTTACCTCAGACTAAATCTCCAGCAAGTATTATGATCAGAACCCTGAATTCATTCGATCTTTCTACATGCTTGCCCGGTTGGCCAGGCTTTTTGCTTGCAGTTTCGGCGTTGCAGTTGGGGTGTTTCCAATAAGTCTGTCAGTTACGACTAATAAACGATCAAAAGAGGCAAAGCTTCCCTCTAGTTTGTTTAGCTTCGACAACGTCGCATTAGATCTGCCTTGTTGCCAGGCGGGTCCCCGAGCCAGACCCGTTACCCGTGCATGGTCAGCTGGGACGCCGTGTTGGTTATAGCCAGAACCAGACTAGAGTGAGTAGTCACTCGCTACGAGTGGGAGCTCCTAATAGGTCAGGGAAGGGACATGTCATTTCCCTACTAGGCCAGCTAACTAACATTCCGACCCAGTGGAGAATCGATCCTAGGCATCAGAATGGAACACCTCAATATCCCTTGACGGAAGCGCCGCCTCCTCCAACACTACCTTCCTCCTTCCGACGAGTCAGCCATGCATAATTCGTTCTGTTCGAATCCTTCTTAAATCCAAGTTCAAGTTCAAGTTCTTCTTTTGTCAAAGCTAATTCTAAACTGGGTTGGATCCGATTCGTCGGGTACCTCGGGCTTCTTCCCAGGGTTTGATTAGGGGTCGCCGAGGTTAATCCTTCCCTGGAGCCTCGACGATCGTGGAAGTACCAGCCGTGATCCTGGGTTGTTGACAAATGTATTGAGTTTCATTGATCTCGAGGAGTTGGTCGTGGCTTGCTTGTTTCGGGTTAGGCTGTGTCAGACAGAATTCAAGTCTCAAGGCTTCGCTCGTGGCTACAGCGGGGTGCGCAGCCCTCGAATTCCAAATAGCGGGCGATCAGAGTCCGTAGAGTACGCTCCGCAGCGGATGTGCTCTATATATCCGCTGATTTCATTGTCCATTCTCCATCTATTCCTTATCCGGGGTGAACTTGTTGTCCCTGTCCCACCAGTTTACCGAAGCACTGGAATTCCTGCTGCGCGCTCTGACATTAGACATCCGCTGAGTACTGCTTCGTGGCACCACCTTTAGCGCTCAAACCACCTCGTGTGGGCAAACGTCACTTGATAGCGGCACGCAGACCAACGTGTTCACTTCGGCCATGTCCGACGGGCGCTTAAGACCTGCTCAATGGGCATGTGATGACCAATTCGAATAACAAAAGCGCTCCGGCTCCTTGAATGTTTCTTCCCAAATCGTATGTCCATGATGCTGATGTGTGTGCATACATGTACACGGAAAGCCTTGACAAAAAGCAGCCTGAGCTTAATCCTTTAAAATTTTCTCCGCCGCCGAAGACATCCCCGAACTTAGAACAGGATACTTGTTCCAGGAAGGTGGTAATCACCTCCGGCGACTTAGGATAACCAAAGGCGTGGCGTGTCAGACAGAAGAAGGTAAAGGTTATTTGGCGGATGGTGGAGATGTTGTCGGATGCAGAGTACAAACGATTCTTTTAAGGTTGTTTGGGGTATGTTCGTGTGATGAACGAGGATGCAGCGCGGAGCGCCCGTTGTCCGAGTCAATGGGCGCGATGGTGCGATTAGAAGGAGCTTTGTTCAGGTAGTCTGGTCCAAAGAGTGTTCTGAGTCCGTGCTGCCGTAAGGAAGGCGATTGATCCGGAACGCACTGGCCGCATCTAACGAATACCAGCTCCTCGATGACAGTTACTCCCTTCCTCTCCTGCAAGACCTCATAATGACGAGGAAACCAATGCAAATGTGTGAAATACAGTGTATTTAGGGGAGAGCTGAGGATGTGCACCCCTCATTGGATTACCTCGGCGCGTTCGCCGTGCGCTGATGCCATCAACATCAGGGTCACGAATTTCAAACCCCGCGGCAGTGGCCCAGTTCCGTTTCCTCCCCGTACGTATACGCTCATTGGAGGATACATGGTGCACGCTCGAGTCGAAGCTAAGGCACAGGCGCTTTATAATGAGCTCACAACGGAGCACCCACGAAGAGACTTCTAGCTCCAGCCATGTCAATGACCACAGCACCCTAGATCACACCGGCCACTCTCCGACGAAATCGTACCGAACGAAACATATTTCACCTATCAAGGCATGATCGTCGTTCCCTCTTTCTAGGCTTTATGTCTTGGACTATTTATGTTGCAGGATCATCCTGAATAAGGACAGCTTGCAACTTCATGGGCGTCTATTGTCTATGAAATCCCAGTTAACATTCTTTCTAGCCTCGCCCCGGGTGTACAACATTGTGAGTAATTTGCTTTTCAAGCTCCATCGAATCCATCATGGAAGACAATGTTAGTTTGGCAGAGGGTTATATTATATGTAACGGAGACGAGGAAGGGTCGTCGTGCGGCGACATGTCACATTACTAGGCGATCATAATTCGGAATGGTGTACAGAGTGCTACATAGTTGGGATGTGCTTTTCCGATGAAATAGGAGTTATGCCAGTGTAGTGGTCTGGCAGAGCGGGGAGGCAACTTGAACTTCGAGTAAGGTAGAGATATTGAGTTCGTTTCTGGAACTTGGGTGAAGTTGACTGGCTGACCGGCGACTGACTGGCTGGGGAGTTGGACATGTTGGCTGTGTTCTCACCGTATCAAACTTCCCGTATTAGTTAAAAGCCAATCGCAATGTGAGGGCGACGGCGTCGGGATTCAAACGTATAACGAGTCGTTACGGTTGCAAGCATAGAGGCGATTGGAGTGAATCGGGAAGAGTGAACGGGTCACGATTAATTAAAGGAGTCACGGCTTATTTCAACGAAGTTTAGAAAAACTGGATTACATTTCGATTAGCGAAGTGCTCGGCAATACGTAGTAGGATTCTGGGAGGGAAGGACAGAAAGCTTGAGGAAGTAAAAATTGAACATTGAACCCTGGGATTCCCTTCTGGGGATTCGACCTGGATGAGCCTAGATATGCAAGGGAGTGCGCGCGAGAAGGATGCTGGCATAAGCCCTGGATTGCGACGCAGCGTCCTTCGTGTTCAATGTTTCGTGAAGGCACTGTTGGGATAGCTTGAGGATGTATCGGACTATAGGACTATAACTTCTTGAAGTATAGGATGGTTGCAGAGAGAGGAAATCACGGATGTATGACGAGGAAAGCGGGGACATACGGTAACGGTACGCATCGTGCCATGAGTACTGCGGGAGAGTGCTGTCGGAGAGTATGTGCTGTGTCGGAGAGTGCTGTGTCAGAAATCGTAAGTAGAGGATCAGCGGCCTCCAGTAGTCATTCCGATTCCGAATGTCGATGCCATTACAGCGGGGTAGAGGGATCCATGCCGTGATATGGATCATTATCATGATGGGACATGATAGGAGTTCCAGCACTCCAATGGAGAATCAATCAAAGAAAGTTGAGAAAACAGAACAGGAAAACGTAAAAAGAACTTCTATGCCGTTTTGGAATTGGAATAAAGGTCAGATTAGTCATTGGTCGGGTGGTCGCCTGGGTTTTGACGTACATGAGACCTATGCACCTACAAGTACCTAGTTTTGGAGAAGGCACCTCAATTGTACGTACTAGTCTCCGAGGACAAGAAGAAAGCCGAAGGAGATCCCAGCGATGATAAATGATGCGCGACGATGATGGCGGAAGCGTCGTTACGAGGGAGGGGGAGGTGTCCAGAGACATCGGATATATAGCTATTGTCCAGGAAGTTGAATTCGAAAGGGGAATACATACAGAAGGAATGCAGCCACAGAGACAAACAGGCGGATAATAAGTAGAACAGGCGGATAGTAGAGCGGAAAGAGCGAATAGGAAGATAGTAGTGGCCGCAGATAAATGGGAATCGGACACCAGAGATTCGAGAAACTGACGAATAGGATTCCTGAGACTGACGACGAAGAGGATCCTAAGGCAGACGACGAATAGGAATAAGAACCCTCAAGGCCTCAGGCCGATACTTAGACGAAGACATCGGGTGCCGGATACCTAGAAAGACCCAGAAGACCGACCGTAGACAGACAGACAGACATATGCTACATACATACTTACGCTTTGGCAATCAGATTTCAATTGCAAGTTTGCGCTTTGCTTTTGCTTTGCTTTGCGTTTGGGGAAGCTGCTGTCAAGTCAAGAACCAAAAGCCAACCGCTGAAATCCCTAAACGTCGAATCGAGTTAAGAGTTAACGAGCTAACGCACGGTGACTTCGGAAGGCTGGAATCTGGATGAGCACGGTGTCTTCGGAACCTGGATGAACGGGGATGAGGAGGAGGATGAGGCTTCGATCAGGATTCAGAGAGATCCTTGGATGTCAGTATGTGGTGTGCTGGGGGGTGGTGTGAATGTCACAGCAATGTGGGTCGATGCTTGGCGAAGGAAGTTGGGGTAGTTGGACTCGATAGCCGGCAAGCACATTGGTTGGATGGTCGCTCGCTCGGTTAGTTGACGGCATAGAGACCTAAAAAATCGAGGGGACCTGTAAATCGGAAATCCCTCCCAATTAGTTAACCGAGAAGCTATAACGTGTTGTGCTAAAACGCGCGGACTTGAATGGAGTTCCACACGCCCCGATCTGCACTTACGAGTTCCTTACATACTTTGCAATGAGCAGGCATGTGGTTCGAGTCGAGTTGAGTCGACTCGAGATTAGATCGGACAGGCCCGAGTCGCCTCGAGTCGCAAGGGGGAAGGTTGGTCTGATTGGAACTTTTGGTTCCGAATTCGATGACCGTGGTAAAAGAAATCAAATCAAATTCGGGCGGACGGGAGGATCTGATGATGCATCCGATGGCCTTTGGCCAATGCCAGCTTTTTGCCTTTGCCCAAACGTTGCCCCAAACGCCAAGATGTCGTCGATGTCAGTCACTTTCTCTTCTTGGGTTAACAAGTCTTTCGTGTTTGGTATGTTTTTGAGATTCACTTGCTCGATTCGGGGGTAAGTAGAACGAGAACCTATTTTTGGGCAAGGCTTCTCTTTTTCTCTTTTTTCTCTCTGACCCCTCGTTTAGACTTTTTTTTTATTACTTGCTTGGATGTTTGATTCATGATGGATCCGAGAGGGTGTACTGTGTCTGCTCTAAATAGGCGGCATGGATGGACGATTGTCGTTTCCGTCACCGATACTTCTCTTCCCCTCATTCCTCCTCCCCGTCCCCGTCCCCGTCGCTCTTCCTGCCTTCTGTCAACTCTCTCTTTATCTCGTCGCTCTCGCTGTCTGCTGGTGCCTCCTCGACCTTGTTCCATCGACTCTCGGGGATCGTTTTAGTTGCCGACGACCGGTATGTCTGACGAAGTAGCACAAGAAACGGGGTGCGTATGCTGCGGTGACTATAATTGGCATGCTCGTTCTCATCGACGCCGACGAATAGCTCGAATGCCTCCCACTCGGCACCGCCAACTCCAAAGCCCTCCCCGTGAGCCACCTCCCCATCTCAACACCGTCGTCAACCTCTGACCCAGGGCTATACAGGAACCCTCTGAAGCGTAAAGAACCTCCCTCTGACGACGCTGATCCCGAGCCCAAACCCAACCCCAACTCCAATTCCAACGCCAGCGCCAACTCTAATGCAAATGGGAATGTGAACGAAACCAAGGCCAAACCGCTTTCGAGCTCGAGGCCGTTGGCGGGGTCGTCAGAGACTGCGGGCGAGGTACCGGAGGAGTACAAGAATGGACACATTGTGTGCCCCGCGTGTGGTCTAAACGTGAACATCCGCGACGACGAATCTGGGGTATTCACGACCAAGATGTGGGAGGCTCATCGGGCTGCTTGGTAAGAACCCATCATAACACCCCACTGGCTCTTCTTTAATAACACCCTTCCTGTCTGGTAGTTGCCCTCCTCCCTCCACCTCGTCGAGAGGGTGCAGCAGCGGCGAGGCGTCCGTTATCTACACCCCCGAGGCCACCGTCGAGTCCATGCAGCACCCACCCACCAAGCGACGCCGGGCGAAGCGCACAGAGGAGGAGAGGATCGACTACCTCCGCGCGGACCCCTACGTCGCCCAGTTCGAGGCATACCGAGTGCTGTGTGCCTCGTGCGACAAGTGGATTCGGCTCCGTCCCAATTCGACATATTGTTCGATACCCTGGGACGCTCACCGAAAGAGTTGTCTAGCCAAGAAGATGTATGTCATTTCTCATTTTTTCTTTATTCGTTCTCGCTTCCTTTGGGATTCCGATCGGTTGTGTTTGTTTTTACCCCTGCACCCGTCTCCCCCTGTTTTTGTCAATTTCCTATTTCCGATGTCGTAGTCATCGTCGACATTCTCTCTCCGCCCATTCATTCATCCTGTCGATCTATCTACATACCTTTCTCTATCTCCATCCGTATGTCTTTCAAGGGTGCATGAAACAAACTGACGTGCACTGGTTCGCAGTAACAACAAGAACGCTTATGCCCTGGAAGAGCGAAACAACCTATTTTCGAAGGACACCGATATTCGCAAGTTCGACGCCGAGAGGATCTTGTGCAACCGCTGCGACCAGTGGCTGAGCGTCTCGCCCGACGACCACCTGCTCGCCGTCCAGAAATGGCTCCACCACCGCGCTAGCTGCAGCAAGACTCCATCCGGCCATTCCACGTAAGTAAACCCAATCTAAATGCCCCCTTACTATATGCATACCCATCCATCTATCCATCCTCTTTCATTTCATCATAACCTTACACACTCATTCCGGCTTCGCCAAACCGCGCTTACTCTCCGTCGCCGTTGGTTCTTCCATATCGCCGTGTCGTCCCTCTTCATTCCGGGAGCCCATCCTAATCTAACAATCAATTTCATCGACCGACTGACTGACACATACCCTTCTTTCTCTCTCTTTCCAGTCGATCATTAGCCAAGGAGATTCCACGCGCTCCTCCTCCATCCGGCACTCAACTCGCCGCTCTAAACTCGTCCGTGCACGGATCTTCCGCTTCCTCGTCCTCGCATGCGGTTGGTGGTGGTGGAGGCCAACGCGAACTTCGTGAACTGCGCGGATCCCCGCGACATGCCAACAGCAGCAACGGTAACGCGCATGGTGGTGCTTCGGGTGCTTCGGCTTCGCACCATCATCATAACCACCCGCCACATCACAGTCTGCACCACCTCTCTGCACAACAGCAGTTCCAGTTATCGCATGGTCATCAGTTGCGACAGCACCACTCTCAAGGCTCCGGCCAGGGTCAGAGCCAAGGCCTGCACGGCGGCAGCAGCGGCAACGGTGGTGGTGGAGGAGGAGGAAGCGGAGGTGGCAAATATACAGCCTCCTCCCCGCCCTTCCATGACCTTACACCCAACAACTACGCCCCCCTCCACGAAAGCCGACGCCGCAACGCCGAACAGCGCGCTGACACCCTCCGACGCGACCCCTTGATTGGTGCCGTCGAACCTAACAGGGTGTTTTGTACCCTCTGTCAGAAGTGGGTGCAGCTACGACAGGATAGTTCGTTTTGTGCGTATCCGTGGTTGCAGCATCGGTCGAAATGTGTTGCGAGGCAGTAAGTCTTTATTCAGTCGTTTTTCTTAGTTTCTGTCATTTTTTGGGAGGCTCGAGTTGACTATATGCGCTTCCTTTTTATAGTCAACGCCGTGCGCAGAAGATCGTCGACCTCAGCGACCGTCGGGACCGTGTCTACGGTCTTAACGACCACAAGTCCTCCTCGAACCTCATCGACTCGCACCCACATTCACATTCACACTCGCATTCTCATCAACACTCACACCCCCATTCCCACTCGCATGGGCATCGAGGCGGAAGCCGCGCCACAGCCATCCCCATCCGCGACGAGGACGAGCTCCTCTCCGATTCAGACTCCATACCCCGTTCGCATATGGGGAACATGCATAACAATAACTCGGAGGACGAGGATGACGAGGAGAGGGATGGGGAAGGTGAGAAGGAGAGGGAGAGGGAGAGGGATGGGGGTGATCGAGAGGGGGACGGGGAGGGCGATGGAGAGAGGGATGGGGAAGGTGAGGAGGATGGGGAGGGGTCTGTTGTTGAAGTTGAGGGTCCCGATCCGGCGCGTGAAGCACAAGGCATGGGACAAGGTCAAGGTCAAGGACAGGAGAGGGAGAGACCGCAGCGCCTTCGTCGACTTGCCAACAACTCGAATGTTCAGTCGAGTTCGGGTTCGAGTTCGAGGCGTCAAGTTGGGGAGTATTCATACCGGAATGGTGGCTCCTCAGCGCACCATGGGAGACCTGGGACTTCGTCGAGGGGTGGTGTGTCCTCGTATGGAAGTTTTGATGGACGATCGAGGGGGAGGGACATGGCGTTTAGAGGGTACGCGAATTCGGCTACTACTTCTGCCTCCAATGGCAATGCCAACGGCGCGGGATCACATCGACACCATCCTCATCCTCACTCTCATCCTCACTCTCACTCTCATTCCCACTCTCACTCTGGCTCTCTCCATCCGCACAACCTGCACGACCACCGCAACGGGGGAAGCGAGCGATACACCCTCACCTCATCGGGCCAGCCAGCGATGAAGCGTGTGCGGAACTGGGCTACGTCCGCGGCATCTGGTGTTGACGAGCCTGGTTCCCTCCGAGGTGGAGGTGGAAGTGGGATGGTAGACGTCGATGTGGATGGTATGGACGTCGACGACGACCAACGCAGTGACCGGCCCACCCGCCGCGGTACGAGGACAGGCTGCGATTTCGAGCGTCGTGAGCGTGAGCGCGATAATACTCGTAATCGAGGTGTGGATCATGATCGCAGTGAGCTCGATGGGGAGGGTGATCGGGATAGGGACAGGGATGCGGATGGAGATGGGGATGGGATGGGAGATGTGGACGCTGATGCGGATGGGGAGTCGTACTGCGAGGATGATCTACCCGTCGGGATGGGTGGTGTGGGTGGTGGGAGGCCGGGGTCGAGTGGTGGACCTGGCTCTTCCATATTCATGGGTCAAGGCTCGGGGTTGGGGTCGATGCATGTTGGTGGTTCGGGTTCGATGCATCTTGGGAACGGCGGTGGGATGTATGTGGGCCACGGTGGAGGAGGTGGAGGTGGGATGGGAGGGTATCAAGGACATAGACGGGGAGTTGTTCATCCGCCGTTGAGTGTTGGTGGCGTTTCTGTGGTGAGGCGGCCGTACCCTGTTGGGTTGGCGGATTTGGATAGTCCTAGTGGACGGTACGTTTTTTTTTTCTTGTTCTATACCTTCCTTCTTGTATACCTTTCTTCCTCGATGCCTTGCTTCTTATATCCCTCTCTAGTTCTTCTATCTCTATTCCTATTCCTATCCCTTTCTCTCTCCCTCTCTCCTAATCCCATCCATCTAAACTAACTAACACCCCCTCCCCTCTTCTCTCAAACAGAAAATCCTTCCTCGCCCACTCGATCGAATACCTCTACGCGACGACCTACGAATCCACGGACGACCTGACCATCTCTGCTCTGCTCACGTACGTGAATGCGGCGATGCCGGTGGACAAGCATGAGGATTATGATACGGCCGAGGTTGTCAAGTATGTGGCGGCGTTGAAGGAGAAGGGGAGGGTTGTGTTTTTGGGGGATGTTGTGAGGTTGGTTGAGTGAGTTGGGGTGCTGGTTCGGATGTCTCCGATATGAACATCCGCCGCTCTTCGTTTCGATTCTTCGGGTGTCCGTTGAGCGCGCCTTGCTCGTTATCGCCTTCGACCCCACTCTCTCTCCGCGCCCTGACACACACACACACACACACTCTCTCTCTCCGCCCTTACGCCCCTGCTGCCGCCGGCATGCCTTCCGACTCGCATTCCCCGTTTTCACTTGACGTTTGGCGTTTGGCGTTTTCGACATATATGCCTCTCGTTTGGGTATCTCGGACCATCCAGTATGTCAGACTGTTCAGTGCGTCAGGCCCTCGTGCATATGCATGCCAAGAAGTCAGGTCTCGTATGTCAGTACGTCTACGTCAGTCCTCGTGTATATGTCAAGAACGATCCATGTGCGCTGGGGTGGGTTCTCGTCATTCGTCATTGCCGACGGAGTCGCTCTTTTTCGTTGTCTTTGACGTGAGGATCGTTCCTCTTGTCTTTAGGGACGAGTCTCTTGTTATGTCGTTTCGCCGCTTCATTTGATCTTTTTTGTGCCATTTCTCGGACACCTCGTTGCTTTTCGTGCATCACTGCGTCGTTGATTCTCGAGCCATCCATCGCTGCTTATCGTATCTTCACTTCTTTTGCCTTGCTATGTCACTTCGCATCTCTTCACCCTCCCCTTCCTTATGTGTTCATCCTTCACATTCAATTTGGTGACTGCGCTCATACTACTATAGTGTATGTCGTAACCCTGACTCTATCCACGTCATTTGACGTATTCATTTATCCACTCCTCCTTGTTTTATGTTGTTATTCGGGCTATTGATATCCTCCTTTCCGAGTTTGGTGTCATTTCTTCTTTGCTTTTTGCTTTTGCCTTTGATGTGCACCTGGAACTTGCCCCCTTATTCCTTTCGTTCCTCCGCCCTCCGCCGCCGCTGTTGTTGCCGCTGTCGTTGTTGTTGTTGTGATATGTATTCTTGGACTTGGTAGTTTTACTTTTTTTTTTTTTTTTTGGGTCTTTCATGCATATTTATGTTTTCCTCGTTTGGACGCATGTTGCTTTTTTGTTCGCTTTGCTTTTTATAGCCTTTCATTTCATGGAGGCGGGGGACTTGTGGTCGCTGTGGGCTCGGGTGTGGTTGACATAGGGCCCCTCAGTTTTGATCGCTGCTCTTTTCCTTGCTTCGTCTTGCTTTCTGATTTGTGCTTCGTACTCGCTTTGAAACTGCCGACCATGTACGTTATTCAAGTATAGTTTTTTTTTTATCATCTTTATGGACTGTTATATACTCTCTCACTCACGTCTCTCCACTCTTTCCTCGAGCATCTCTCTTTACTCTTTCCGTCGAACATATTTACACGTCCGCATTGATCCCGCTTTCGACCTCTGCACCTTACCACAAGTTATCTATCTATTCATCATTGTCGTTGTCATCATCATCTTGGACTCTGCTCGATTTGCTTCGTCGTATCCCACTCACTCAGTACTTGGTCCCTCTTGACAATCTGTGTAGCTAATTGTACCAATAACGATTCTCTTTTCTTGTTGCTTGATTTCAGGATTCCGAAATTCTAAGTTGAGTGAATGTTTTGATTGAATGTTTTAATTGAGCTCCGTGAGGTTCAAGTTGGTGCCCCTCCCCATGTCTCTCGGAAGCTCTCATTCGAATTCGCGGTAGCGTCGAGCTCTGATCGACACCAGCCTTTCGGAAAGGCTGGTGTTTTCCGAGAACCGAGTCCGACTCCGGTGCTTCCTAACTACTGTATAGGAACCTTTCAGTCTTTCCGAGTGGCACAGAGATTATGTTCCGGGTCGGCCACCAGCACGGATGGTGTATGTTTTCCGAGCTGCGAAGTTCTCAAGAGTTTTCAAACTGGTTCGCGAATCGTGAATCTCGTTGGACTATTGACGGGTGCAATCGACTGTCTCGATTCCATATGTTTCGAAGAATGACAGAAGTCGAATACATACGAAGAAGTCTGATGTCAAAACTCGGTCCTCGACCTCGAGTCTCGAGATCAAGGGATCCAAGGGAAAGAAGAGTTAGTAGAACACGACCACGGCTGCATTTACACTGTAGTACTTAGGCATGAGCGTCGCGTCGCTGCGTGTTCCGGACATATTCCGCGACTTCCAAGGAGTCAATAGTCCATGGTTTACCCTGGGCAGGAGACTTTGCATGAGGGTCACCGGATCGGAGCTTGTCTAGAACTGCTTGGCTGGTTGGGCGACGTTGGCCTCCGCGTTGGTGTGGATGGAAAGTATGTAAGTCGTGAACTCTTGTGATATTTTCTGGATGGTTCTGCGTGTGTTCAGGGGCATCGAGAAGGATGTTACTTCTCAGTATATCAGGGTGTCGTATGTGTTAGGTGTATGGTGTACGTACCACAACACTGTGCGTGAACGCCGTAATATTGATTTCGAGGTCCAACTGAACCTTTGGCACTCGATGTCCTAACCCTTCTTTCTCCTTCGAAAATTGACGGCACGTCGATGAATTGTCTGGTCGCCCATAGGCGCTCAGGATGCTCTGCATGGAGGGAACGACTTGTCCATATGTTTTGTTACGTCAACGTCCAGTGTGCAGCACGTCTGAGAGGTGGGATGCGAAGGAAGGGGCCATGCAGGGTGTTTCCTTGGCTTCGACGATCAAGAGTCATCGGCGGGGAGCCTGGGGTGCTGAATTTCAGAGCAATTCATCGGGCCATTCAGGATTCGAAGCGGTGTGTGGAGAATCGAGTTGAATGTGGTAGAGCGTGGTATGCAAAGTCGTGGGTTTTGGAACTCGGTTAAACTTCTGAGTGGTTCTTTGCATGGTCGCGAATGTCGAGGTAGGGTCATACCACTGCAGCGTGTATGAAGGCTGTGGTAATCTGCAGGCAGAGCTCTTCCTTGGAAGTCGATCCTGTCAGAAAAGTAGAACCCTTCTCTCTCGCTGGCAAATTGGCATGTCAGTGAACTGACTGCGTGGTCGGTGGTAGGCGCTCAAGACACTCCGCGTGGAGAGAACGACTTACCCATATGTTTTTCTTACGTCAACATCCAGTGTGGAACACGACGAACTGGACGACATAGATGCGAGTGAAGAAACACGATGGACGGCGCCTTCTTGGCTCCTGTCGAGAGGATTCGGGGGATCTGCTTTGGCAACTGGAGTCGGAGGAGATCCGAAAGTGAGGGAGAGGCCAGAGGCAGGCGAATTTCTGGATTCGACTGTGGAGGGTGGAGATTTCAGAGAATGGTAGAGCGTGGAATAAGCTTGGCCGTCGATGACTTCAACGGCAGTGAAAAGTCTTTGTCGCAGGCGCCAATGACTTGTCCTCCTTCAAATTCCAATGTGATGCCGACCACTATTGTAAATAGAATGGTTTAAGGGCAAGGCAATGGCGCTGCTGTGAACTGGCTCGACGACGCAGTCACACCGGTTTGAAATGGAACTGATTTCAGAACACAGGAATTCAAGCGCTGGTCAGTGGATGGCGGCAAAGAAGAAGTTGGCTCGTACGTACTGGCCGGTATCCTGGTCAGGCCTCAGGGCCAAATAGAAAACAGCTTGGATATTCACTTTCCCTACCTAGGCGCACACAAATGCCGTGATTTGACAGACCCAAGAGCGCTGGCTCGGGGAGATGCTCGCTTTGCCTATTTTTCCTGCCTAGGAAGACACAGGAACGCCTTGGCAGCCTCTGATATCTCTCAAACGCCCAATAGTGACAGTGGATCGAGAGGTATCGTAACGCTGTAAAAGCCGTTTCGATCCTCGGAAATGCTGCCTGCCTCGCGTTTGTTGGAACTTGATTTGGAGGAATGTTCTTTGCAAGTTAAGGAAACCCATTGAAAAGGCTTTCCTATCGTCGCAGCTTCATGTCTTCACCTCCGTCGAGGATTCGAGGATTGACTGTGGAGATTTGGCCTTTGGTACGGCACCACCCCTCTTTGTGTGAGAGCGTCCTTTGACTGGCCTCGTGCGTATGACGTCGCCTGGTCCAGCGTGTCCTCAACTTGGCGTAGCCGCGCAGCACAGGAGAAGTAGGCGGGGAAATTGGATGCCTCGCTGCGGATTCACATCTAGCCCCATTTCCCGGTGCATAGAGTTTTCTGAACATCAGTGAAATTGTCACCGTGTGGAGCGATCCTTGCACCGCTGGATGACCTGAAGTTATCTAGCGCTGGAGGCGAAAAAATCTGGAAAGTCCGAAGTGGCTCTTCCAGTAGCCTGTTAGAATGATTGGAATGATCGTCCATTTCTGCGGACGTGCACAGAATATGTATCAAACATTCACGAACTCGTTCCAGTTGTAGGAAATTTGCTCGAATGTCCACCAACGCCCGTTTATGAACCCTATAACCCAGATTCCGACAACTTCGAATTAAAGAGATTCAGAACATATGGGGATCCCGGACCGACGAGATCATATCTTAGATCTCAGCCGCACATTGATTGAACAAACACTCTCAGACCTGTATTCCCTTCACCTATCTACCTTGAGCTTATTTAAACTTTCTGTTGTCCTTCACATTTCGCCCCATCCGGTGGGCGGAATGAGGCTTTCCTTGTATAGCAGGCTTCGACGACTCAGGATTACGCCACCAAATGACATGGTGCCCGACATAGTATGTGTTCTCACCGATCTGATGCCGTTGTTGTCTATGACATCTTGCGTTGTAGCGTAGAGAGCCCTTTGTTGAGTCTCTGTATCGGCCAGCGAATCACTTCAACGGGTATAAGACCCAATTCATTGACATTTTTCACGAAGGACGGGCGCTCAAGTAAATGGTGAATGGTTTGTTTGGATAGGGCAGAGGTTTGTCGTGCACCTACGTTCGATCGTCACCCAAGCTACTTTCTCGATCTCCGTTGATGCTGCAACCTTTCCAAAGTGGAGCATTGGATCGATCGCATGTATCAGGGCAGAAAGCTGACGGACGCAAAGCGGTTTAAGATTCCGCTCCACGTTGACGATCAATGAACACGCTTGCTTGTTGGCACTAGTGTGGGCGGGTGGCGGGCACATATGAAGCAAAAAAAAAATGTTGTCAAGTTGCAACGCGCATTGATGAATGGTGTTGGAAGGAAAAAATGACCACCGCAGGGATCGAACCTGCAACCTTTTGGTGCCGGTTAGCCATCGAAGCCAAACGCGCTACCATTGCGCCAGGTAGCCATACGGATGTTCCTTAAATTGCCAATTACTACGGGCTTTCATTTCCATCATGTTCTGGTGGTACATCCGCTGGAACAACGCCTGAGAATTCCACACCTGTTGTATGTAGACAGTCGTGTCAGTCTGCCCTGGAGAATTCACCTGAGACTGTCTTTCCCCCCGGGTCAAGGCAGGCTGCTAGAGTGGCCATCAGATAATCAAACTCACGATTCGGGTTCCCTCGTTTCTTTCACGTATCACACCGCACCCGACGCCAGAGTTTCGAAGGAAACTCCTACCAACCGACTCAGGGAGGATGTCTAAGCTTTTCAAAGTGACCTTCTCACTCATGTAACTGTATTTATTCTGAGAAGCGCACTGGTAAACCTCCCACTCTGGACAGTTGGGTCAACCAAAGTATAAATTACGTAGCCCCGACATCAAGCCAAGGCGAAATAAATATAGTGTACAGGTACAGGAGAACAGGCGAGAGTACATGTGCCAGGGAACCTGTGAAGGAGTGTATGTACAAGAGGGATCAATGTACAACTAGGTCAAGGCGGCCATGATACACTATAAAGTTACAGTCAGAGAGTCGAAATGAGTAGATTATGGGTGGGATTGTCAGAAGGGAATTATGGTAGGGATGAGGAAGGAAAAGCAGATAAAGAGCGCCAGGCATACGAGAAATGAACCCGAGTACACTAACGAGCGATGTACACTAAGGTAGTAGCCATGGTACACTATAAATTACAAACAAACAAATGGAATCGCGAGTGCGTAGAAATATAATACAAGGGACATCCAACCTCGTCGTCGAACGCCGGTGGGTCGGGGGGAAAGGCTTTATGGGCGAAATTGACGGGGGTGCGAAAAGCGAGAGTGGTCGTTGCAAAGGCGATGAGGACTAGGCGCCTACTTGGGAGAGCCATAGAGCATCTGGAGAACACCTTCCTCCTGCTCTCTGAAAGTGAGGACGGCCCGCGCGACAGGCGAGAGCTGCCTCCTCTTTACCTCCATACCCGCAACATCATCTTTCGTCGCGCCGCCAGTGGCTGCGGGCGAGCGGGGAGGGGTTCGCGCGGACGAAATCGACAAGGAACGCGACCTCGACCTGATCTTGTCAAACTGATTGCTGAGCCTACGAAAGGTGGTGCGGCCACGTTGGAAGGCACCCTCCTTCACGTCATAATTGTCGGATTTGAGATTGAGCTCACGCTCCTTGCCTCCTGCTAAAGATTGGATTTGCTCGGTTTCGGCGTCCAACTCGGCCGTGTCGACTGCTTCGAAATACTCTGTTCGAGACTGGGCGAGGTCCAATAGGCGACCACATTGTTCGTAGTCGATGTCGATGTCTGCGACAGTCGCGTCGACGGAGGTAGTGGAATTTGAGGCAGAGACAAAGTCAAGCGTAGTGTCAGTCGCGGCGGCGCGGGCGACGGTGGTGGGGATGTTGGAGGACATGGCTATGCGACGGGAGCACGATGGAATGGGTGGTTATTGAAGGAATAGGTTGGGGATTAGAATAGTTGGTTCGTTAGTGAGTCGTATACGGGTCGTGGGTGTCGTGAACCAAGCAGGTGCAGGCGGGACGCAGTGACCTGCGACTACCAGTGGAGATGGTAGTGACTGAAGATCAAGAGGATCCTTGCGAAACTGCGAAAGGTCAAGTTTTATAATCCTTCCCAGCCAAACGATCAGTCGTCTTTGTGGACGACATTCCCCTGGCCCATTGTCCGTCGTTGCACCATTGCCGGCGATCCTTCCATTTTTGTAGCTTTAACCTGATTTATCGCACCTGACCGCGTCAGCGCGTCAGCCACTTTGGCAGTTAACTCCGGATGGGCAATAGCTGACCCTCTCCTCCCGGACCAAAACCGGAGAAACAGCCCGCTTAGCGATGGAAGTCCTGCGAAATCGCTGCTGCGCCCTCTGGTTGTGGGTCCCATGCACATTCTGCAGACTGCAGGAGGGTGCTGCTCCGACAAGTCCCGGAGCATCACACGGCGCACTGTCGCGCCCTCTCCATTGAAACCCAAATCCGTCATGACCCTGAGCGTCAATTACTGCGGATTTTTCCTTTGATAACGATGAGATGAATTTCTCCTAGTAACCATTATCTACATCTTTGATACACGTGGTAGATCGTTGTTAAGATCATAATCGACCCTTCCCCAGTTGGATTGCAATGGCCAAAGCGATTCCTCCAAGGTTGCAAGCGTATACTAGTAGGTCACGAAAGCTCGGCTAGACTTTGGATGTCCAACAGAATAGCTATGTTGGAAGCATTGGAGATAGTCCATGCCGTAGAACATAAGGCATATTTATCAGCGTCCACTTCAAGTTTCATTAAATTGATCAAACGATAGCTGGCTCAGGCATTCTTGCTCTAAATTGTGCGCTTGGGCGCCAATGACTTTGGGGTCGGCTCATTGTGCACACTAACCCGTTCCTACACTCATAACCTTCGAAATTCCCTAAGGAATACGTCATGAAATGTGGTCCAGAAAACACATAGACGCCATCTTATGACGCATGAACTTTGATTCAGCCCAACCGCTGCCATGAGAATCTCGCATTAGGCTCAGCGCTACTTACCCGGTAGGCGCTTGTTACTTTAGGGCCGGTCAAGTACCCTAAGCTTGTGATTTCGAACAGTGGATTCAGACTCTACTCCTATCTGGGTACCTAACGATCGCCTGTTGTTTTCCTACATGCTACTATGCTTAGACTAGCTGGCATGAATTGATTAGGATTTTTTCTTTCTTTTTCGGTGGATGTCGAGACCCGCGTCGGTGGCTGTGGCTGTGATGTGGCCATCGGTGCTCGCGATATCCTTCTCGAAGTTGAACACCGATTAGAAGATCCACACAATTCACCAATGTGAGGTCCTCAGGATCGGTCCGTCGCGTTTTAACACAAGATTTAGGTTAAGTATAGCTCGCGTCTAGTACGAAACCCTTGGAGGTAAAAAGATTGAATGCCGTGACGAATGGAGGAGCGAAGTTAGTCTCGAAGCTAGCCCCTTGCACCCCGTGAGAATCATTGAGCCTGCCCTAAACAGCCAAGCGCTCAAGGATTCGAAGGACGCCGTCATGTCCTTTCCTGTCCACAAAATCTTTGACGAGAGTTTGAGAGTATGACATTAGGATACCTTGGTATGCAATAGACTAAGAATGTCGAAGTTCAAGCTCTGAGAAACAGTCATCTACACACTGTCTTGTCGCAAAAGCCTCATCAAAACAGTTGGAGCTCTCATTGGTAGAGCCCCGAGTCGCACGATGTGCTCGGAACATTTTGGTGAGGTCGGGCCGTACATCCCAATGTATCCAGCTCCCTGAAATAAGAGGAAAGAGTCAGGCAACTTGTTCTGTTTAATTATAACCTACTCTGAGTCGTAGCTTTCCGTCACGAAGAGCTCTACCCAGAATCGAAAGGCGTCAAATCGTCTTAAAAATTGCAGGTAACGGTCCCTTGAAGGCTTGAACCCGGACAGAATCGTCCGCGATGTCGATCCGAGTCCAGGCTTCTAACAGCAGGACCTGAAGTTTGACGTACCGGGATCTTTCACACTATTATTGTCTTCAGGGCCATTATAAGCTGATTTAACTATGCTGCAGAGGCCTGGGGAATTGCAAACCGGGAATCGCGTCATACATTTCCCTGGCACGTGCTGGGACCAATGCCCAATATAGCGTGGGACAAGCCGCCGGCGCCTATTCCCCAGATTGGGAGTCATGCTTCACGCTTTATGACCACAGGGTGAACGCACCACCTTTATGTTACATGATCCCTCCTTTTCTCATGTGAGAGTGACTTCTCCACCTCATCTATGCCCGTCTCGGCGAATCTCCCGTCCAACTGGGCCATCTTTTACTTGAAAGCGCATTGCTGCCAAGTCACCGAGCCGATTAATGGACCCTCACCTTAACTTCCTCACTGACGGGGAGTGTGAAGACTGTCAGAAGTGGTCACATGGAGGAGTTATCTGGTCTGTACCTTCTCACTTCGGCCAGACAGTATGGAAACGAGGCCCATTCGCTTGAAAGAAGGGTGTAATCTCCACAGGAACGTTGAAGGGTTTCCCACTCGTAAGTGTGATCGTCAGCATAGGCCCTTCCGGATTCGGATCTGCACTTGGTGTGTGGCAGGCAAGTCGGATACAGGAGAACGCTGAAGTATTGCAAGCTCGTCAAAGATCTGAGAAATGCGAAGTATGACATCCGATGGCGTAGAGCAGCGCATTCCATCGATCGAAGGCGACGTGAGGCGAGGGGTGACAATACGCCATCCACTCGGCTTTCATTAGCTGTTATCGATATCGTTGAATGGCGTCTCGGGGTCAACTCGGACATCTGTCTTCCCTTTCCTGGGGTTTAGCGCTGATGGCTTGTCAAGTGATAGGCCTCAAGGTATCACAGATGAGAGCTTCAACCGAGATAGAAAGCTGAATGCTCTTCCTTCGATTGAATTCGAACCGGAGAATACATAACACCGGATAAAATAAAAGGAAAACAACCTAAAAATGCCTACTTGAGGTACATAAGGATGGGGTCGATGTCCAGAGATGAATTCAGTTCGAAACCTTCGACACTTCGCGTCATAAGCGACCATGACCTCCCCATTCTACGCCCACATTCACAACGTGAGCGTTTTGACGCTTGTCGAGCATGAAATCAGACTCTAACAACCCATTTCTTAGGTTCAAGACGACAACACTTGGCGTTTTACTCTCATCTTTGCGAATCGTGCCACCGCCGACGAATGGTGGAGGGCTATATCTGAGGCTCCCGCCAATACCTCAATCGCCAAGTCGATCACGCGTGTCACACCTCAGTATTACACTCACGATGTGAATATTTGGAACATCTGGAATTTCTTTGCAGACGGCAATATCAAGTCCATTTCCGAAAGGTTCAGAGGAAGACTGTTCATCGTTCTTGAGAACGACCGAGGCGGAAGGGGCATCACCGTTATCCCGCCAGTTCCTATCGTTGACCATGTCAGTGGAAATTGGTGAGTTCCCGGGATTTGCGCTTCGATTAGGCGCTGATTATTACCATCCGCAATCGCTAGGTTCTACATTCGCTCCAAGACTGCTCCTCATCTTTTCTGGTACTACGACGAGAGGCGCAGCTCCATCTACGCATCCAAGGAGAAGAGGACTCGCTTCAAGATTTCTATTCGTAACCCGTCCTCCCAAACCCCTAAGAACGCCATCATGATCAACACGGACGACGTGACCATTCACATCAAGGAGAACCTCTACGTCGGTGTGGACAATAACTTGGGCCATATTATCCCTACCCGAGCTTACAGGACCTTCAAATTTGGCGAGCTCGAGAGTGGAGCGATTGCTGGTTTCGACGTTGTGGAGAACATTGAGGAAAGGTGCTCATCCACCTTTGATGGAGCATCTTTGTCCATTTCCGGCCCTGATAGCTCTTCCCCCGGTGAGCCCTGGGAATTGGTTTAGCTTCTCAGATCATAGTACCACCAGGCACTTTGTGTATCGAAACAGACTGTAACAAAGCTGAATTGTAGTGACTCTATCTTTGACACACCCTCTGTTGTTCACGTTGCAGTGAGATTCCGAGGGGCAATAGTGATGGACAGACGACACGCCCACACTTCCTATCACTATGGACCCTATATCCGTTTATTACCCACGTATTATCCGTTGAAATGTGCAGAATTCACGCAGTGTCCGTTAGTTGCCCATTACCTACGAAATCCGTGAGTTCGGAGCCCACGCAGCATCCGTTAGCCGTCCGTGGGCGAAAACTCACGGATGTGAGACTAATGCATTAGGTATGGATAAACCGTGAGCCATCCATTTCATCGCAAGTATCCAAATTCGACCCGTTAGTTCTTCGTTACTAAAACAAACACAAATTATTCAAACTACAGGGCCTGTAACGGAAATACAAACATCAGATATGGGGAACACCATGACATATAAGGTAGATAGAGAGAATAATTAATAGGTATAGAGAAGAGGGCTCAGGGAAAGCGTTAGAACTTAAGACGAATCGACTCGTCATGTCAGTGTCAGTCAGGTGATCGTGCTGTTGCCAAACAGAAACCAACCACGCCCTTATCCCATTTCCCGTCAGCCTCTCATCATGTTCTTTACCAACAACACCCATTCTCGCCATCTGACAGACCTATGGAGGGGCGGGGGAGGAATCTTGAGACCGGCTTTGAGGAGGGCAGTAGCAATCTGGTATCATTCTTTAATCCTTGTATTCTGCATGCTTTCTAACCTTTCATATCTCCAGGGCCAGGGGCAGCAGAAGAAGCTGAGAAATGCGAACGAGAAAGGAGAGGGTAAGGCAAAAACGAAGAAGTCATCAGGCGAGAAGACCAAAAAAAGGGGGAATGGCGGGGAGCATTACGGTAGGGAGAACAGACAGCATGATATGTATAGTTTCCATTCCTTTCCAAGCTCAAGTGCGCTTATGAATCATGCACAGATATGTGAACCAAGATCAGCTTGTTGTGAATAAAGGTTCGCGTTTCTCCGAGACCCCCAACAGCCTCGTATCAGCCTACTCTCGAATCTCTTCCCTCTTTTATTGGACACCTAGAATCCCTGTCACGTAGATCCCTGTACACCCCCGTATACAAATATCATAAATCCGTTTTGACGTGTATTCAATGTAACGGTCAATTCGCGGACCTTCCGCTTTCACTCCGTTTGATAGAAATGGACCGCAATGAGTTGTGGGCAGTAAGGAAATGCAAGGCAAACGGATGATCCTGCAGTGCTACGTGGTTCGTTGACTTTTTGAAATCCATTTAGGTACACCAAATCAGAGTTTTTTTTAAACGGGCAGAAAATGAGTGGAAAGTAACGGAACATCCGTGAGTGTCCGTATGAAGAGGGCGGACGGTGCATTAACTAATGAGGGACCAGCGGTTTTCATTTCCGTTTAAAACAAACGGGCGCAGGGTCCATAGTGGCTATCTCGGGCGCGCATTGGGGGCTGGGCGCAGAAGTTGGATGAGACGTTAACGTAGGCTAAGGGCCTTGATATACTTATCTGCCACCTCGCGATTGGTAAAGCGCACAACACCTACTGGCATGAACATTTTTGTAAGAGGAGCACATTGAAGGGCGCCATCGGGGAAGTACTCTCGAATAAAGACGCAGATGTGGATGTCTGGATTATACCAGAGAGCCCTTCTGATCATCGATAATGATATAACTAACAGAACGTAATTCAACGTCACTTATGCCCACGTGCCTCCTCGCCGCGAGGAGTGGGTGACGGGCGCTTATTGCTGAACCCCTGTATAGGATCGATTACGTTCAGTTCCTCAGTAGCACCGCAAGTACCGCAAAGTGACATTTTTCAGTTTTACTATGCTTTCCTAGATATGTACATGTACTAGTATATAAAAGGGATTACTGAACGAGTTCCCAAGCCTCCCCTGCTCCTGGAGCAGCCCCCTCAATGAAACACAGTGAAGCGCCGTCCTGTAGACATCCACCTGCACAACCAAAATTACCCGCAGCTAGCTCACTAAACCTGAACGCCGTCTGAAGTGTCTCAGTGACTGTCAGCACCTTTCGCCCTTCAGCATGCTGTAAACCGAGATACGCCCCTCCCGACGTGCGTATGGTGATGTGGTCAGAGGGGATCATGACCGCCTTCTCGGGAACGGTGGGCCCTGGATTATGAATGGCGACTTGGAATCTCGAACGGCCTTTATCGGAGAGCTTGATGCAACCACTACCGTCGTTGATCCAGTAGAAATGCGGTGCGATTTTGGAGCGGATGCAGAACCTGAAAACGAAGCACCAAATGCCACTATGAGCAACGAGTCCCAAGTATGTATAATGAGCGCGATCGGGTTGAGAAACTCACCAGTTCCCGCTAACCCGATCTGTCACTTGCTGCGGACCAGGATTGAGGGTGAATGCCGCTCTATCCAATGTGCCGTCTGCTTGTTGGACCCTGAATTCCAAGACGAACTTGCCCAAGAACCGATGAGTGACATTTGCGAATCGACCCCTGGCCGTTAAGAGGTTTGGAGTCTGAGAGTCATCTCCCCAGGATTCCCTAGTATACGAGTATAGCTGAGGCGTCAAGCGACGGACGAGGGCTGCCGCCTCTGCATTCTCCGAGATGGCGCGCCACCATTCGTCGGCTGTTTCTTGGTCGACAAAGGTCACCAGGGAGCGACTTTGGCCAAAGGGGTTCTACATCCACAGGGTTAGCATTTACGTCTTCCCACCGTCCTCATTCAGATTTTTCACGCACCTCGATCCCAAGCACAACCCATACAGAGAACATGCCTGAAGACATTTCGCCTACTTTCACCTTGATGCTGCGGCAGAGAAGATGGTGGTTATCTCAAGAAGCTCGTCCTTAAATCCTATTCGATGGAGCTGTGGGTCCGAAGAAGGACTACTGCGGCACGTGCCGCAGTAGTCAAGGAACTTGTACGGCTGGGTGGGCGCCTATAAGCCTATTGCGGGAACACCAGAATAGGAGCATAAATATAGGTCTTCCATTGCAGTCCCACATTTCTCAAAAGCAAAAGGTGAAGAACTCCCCTACTATGACTCTATCTGTCAAGTTTCCATCACACAGTCGCCGAACTCCAACGCGAATCTCAATTCGATTCCGTCAACCAACCGAAAGCACAAGAGCGTCAAAGAAATACGGGGCCTAGACATCATCAGAAGTTGAACGGACAGCCCGAGCGGTCAGAGCCATCGATCATAATCAGCCAAAGGCATTTCGTACTAAACCGAAGAAAAAAAAAAGAAAGTTTAAGTACAATTTCCAAAAATTCGACTGTCAGAAACGGTGATACAATAAGTACACGTTCTTCAAAAAAAAAAAAAAAAAAGAAAAACGTAACATAAACAACGGAAGGGCGGAATAGCGAAAATGGGGAGGGAGAGCTAAAACAAATTGGTACGCGTACGAAAGCCAATGACTGGACTGAAGGAAGATACAAAGCTGAAGGTAGGTACTAGGCAGGTAGGAACACTGGCAAACAACTTTAACAACAGCTGATCTAACAGCCGAGTTGGACGTTGAACAACGTAACTACGAAATGAATAGAAAAAAGGGTAGCGGCGTAAGCAACAAATGAAGATAAGTATCGAATGTATGTATGTCAGTGAGTGGTATGTAGGGCATAGCAAATGGGCGGAGATGTTTGGCGGCGCCGTGTAATTGGTACTTGGTCGGCGCGGCGTGCAATGGCAGGAGGGGATGCGAGTGTTCCAATGGCCATGCGAGGCATGCAACGGAGGGCAGGAAGGAAGCGCGGATGCGTATGTAAGTAAAAGCACTGAAAGAACGTTAAAAAAAAGGAGGTATGGCGGGTCCGAACGATAGGTATACAAAAAAGAAACTGCCAAGATCGTGCGTGTTACTATGACGGGTAATAATCGTCGTCCCATGATTCTGTGAAAAGCAAAAAGGCAAGTCAGTCAACGAGGTTCATCAAACGATTCGTCAATTCAGGCGAGCGAGGTGACCGCAATTCAGGACAGGCAAACCAGCCTTTCCGAGACGAAACGCCAAAAGCAAAGAAAGTTGACGCACCTTCAGTTATACTCTTCCACGCCAAATACAATACGCCCACTGCGGCAGTTTCGAGGATGGTAGCAATGAACGAACCGTCGACTTTCGCGTCCGATGCCTGTCCAAAATCAAGTGGTTAGCGAGCCGTTCAAAAGAAAAGACCGTAGTGCGTCATCCGAGAAGACCATGGCACGTCATCCAAGCTGAATGGCAACAGAGCATCATCCCAGAAGAATGTCTATATATGGAGCACCATCCAAGGATAAAGATCATAGCGCGTCATCCAGAACCAACGGGGTCGCCTCAAATGAAACGAGTCCATAACGCCAAACCCCACCAAAATCCCTCAAAACCAAAAACCAAAAAAACTCACCCGACAAACAACCTTCCCCAACAAAAACAACGCCAACTGACTCAACACGAACAAAACCGCAGAGAGGAGGTAGAACCACATCGGTTTGGTTTCTTTCAGGACGTGGAGGACGATGTAGGACATCAGGAGGAGGTAGAGGAGGGCGCAGCTATACGAGGGAGGAGGAGGAAGGGGAGGTTAGTACTCGGTTTTAGGTTTAAAAGTTAGAAGAAGGGGAGGGAGGGGACGGAAATGATGAGAGTATGGGACGAGAGTGGGAGAGGGAAAGGAAGGGACGAGAGAAAGTCATCCTACACCCCTCGCAGAAGAGGAGAAACATGAACCAGGAACAGAACAACACCAGATAAGATAGAACACAACACTCACGCCCCAGGCCAAATACTCGTCAACACAAACAATGGAATACTCCTCAACGCCTCCGGAGGATCGGATACGCCCCCAATCAAGTCCGTAGCGCCCAGTGCGATGTCGAGTGAGATGTAGAGTGTGACGCCGAATGCGATTATCGAGACGATTGTGTATGGCTATAGAGTAGGGGGAGGAGAGCAGGTTAGTTCAGGTTGATTGGGAGAAGGGGAGCGAGTGGAATGGAAGGGCAGTGGATGTAATGTAATGGAATGGGTGCCATCGTGCGCGACGAGCTGAACGACGCAGCACGCCATAAAAGAGCGAAACATAGGAGACGGGAGAAACGAGATGCCAGAAGAGTAACAACACAAAGCGAAGCATCCAACGAAAGACAGGTGACGCGGAAACAAAAACCGAACGAGGAAAGAACGCCAACACTCACAATCATACTACTCATAGTCCCATCCTCAACAACCTGCGTAGCCACAATTCCATTCGCCAACAACCCCCAGAATAGAGCCGCTACGAGACCGGCATGGATCGCGGTTAGGACCACAAGGTGTGTTGAGCCTGTTTATTTCATTTGATTCGTTTGATTTTGGTTGATTTTGAGTCGAGTTCGATTTTGATTTTGTTTGATGTTTTGGATGCGTTAGGTGCCGAGGGGGTTGGATGTCGGATGTTCGTTGCAAGTCGGATGTTGAGAGTCGGTTGAAAGTCGGAAGTGGACGCGACGCGACGAGGACGACCGGATAATCGAGCGATGAAAATCGAAACGACCGAATAATCGAAACCATCCAAATAGGAAACGACGACGAAGAACGTTGGTACAATCGAAGTATGTTGGTACGATGGTAGAACGTTGGTACGACCGATGTATGTTGGCACCATCGAAGATAGTTGATAGAGTCCAACGATAGCGTTCGAGTAGAGATCGGAACGACGGTTGCCCAATGCGGGGAAATAGATCGTATGAGCAGGCGACGGAATCAGGTATCAACCGGCCAGGAAGCAGGAGACGGGAGACGGGCGGTGCAATGCGATGGGGCGACATGACGTCCAGATGCGACATGAGCGCGTGACGTCCAGAAGAGCAACAAACGACGAAACGAAACGCGTATCAACCGCCACCATCCAAACGATACGTGTATCAACCGCCAGCAGGTCAAAAGATAACAAGAATATGAAAGAGACATAATCAGCACCCATCCAACCCAAAGAGAACCACGACGCACCTTGTTCAAACAGCGCACCCGTCGTCAGAATCTGCAGTGGGAGAGTGAGGAGGTAGACGATGAGGAATGTTCGGAGTTCCACTCGGCCTGTTGGGAGAGTTGGGGTAGTTAGTTAGTCATGGTTGTTTCGTGAATTGTAGTTAGTCGACGAGGGAAATGAAATGAAGGAAAAAAAAACTGAATATCGTAGAAAGAGAACGAGAAGGGAAGAGAGGGAGTGACGAGGGTGCATCCAACCAATCCACTTCCACTGCGACACGAGGAGCGGTATACTATGCACGCGCATCCATCCAACCATCCACCCTGTCCGCAATCCACCCCTGCCAAAGCAAGCGACAAGACGAAACCGGCCCCGCCCATACACATAGCATTCCACACGCTTCCAGGCTCTACGCGTACGTAAACCCCCGTCCAAGGTCCACAAGGACCCAAACAGCGCCGAGGACATGAGACGAATAACAGCCGAGAAGGTAGGGAGACTAAGATGCATCAAACGTGTTGCAGGGGGGATGTCGATGAAACGTGGTAGGGATCCGAGGTGAGGTGCGGTGGCGCGGGGCGGGGCGGGGTGCAACCGAGGTAGGGATAGGAGGCGATGGGTACGATGGGGAGGAGGGAGGGCGAGGAAGAGGGACCGAAGAGGTGAATATAGCGAGCTCGTCGTGAAAAATTCAGCGGACACGTAGCCGAAGGTCTGTCCTGGCTTCCCAACCCCCCTTCTCGTCCCCACCCAGCACCAATCCCTTCATCCTTCCTCAAGATGCCACCGACACCCATAACACCCTCCAGGGACTCAATTCGAAAACCGACCACCAGCACCCACCACCCGGGCGCCTCAAAAGCCCGCACCAAAACCCTCTCAAACCCCAAAAAGAAGGGAAAACAGAACCCAAAAACGAAAACCAAAAAAACTCACCAACAGCAGCCTTCCTCCTATTACACAAAAACACCAGTACAGCAACAAACAGGAAACTAGCTCCGCAGGCAGCGATATTAGCGACGTTGGAAATGGAGCCGTCGAACCCGATGCGCGGGATGCCGCAGGAGGGGTTGATGCCGACGGGGGCGGAGGAGGAGTTGGAAGGGGAGGAGGGGCCGGTTAGGACGTCGGGGGCTGCGCGGAGGAGCTGGAGGCGGGAGGGGAGTGGGAGGAGAGGGGTTGGAAGGTGGTGTTGATAAATTGAGTCGGCCAGAGGGGATTAGGGCGGTCGGTTGCCGTCGGTCGCGGCCATGAGGAGGGGTCGTAGGTGATGAACGTCGTAGGTCGTCACCATCGTAGGTCGTGAGCAATGGGCGGTAGTCGACGACCAGAGCGGAGGCGAGGGGTGTAATCGCAGTCGAGTGTCGAGTATCGAGTTCGAATCCATCCATCCATCCATATCCGCAGTCGTGTCCATATTATTCCGCAGTCGTACAACGTTCGATGTTCGGATCGTAGGAAATGTCGATGAGCGCCCGCAGCGTCCAGTATCCAGCGTGCAGTGTTCAATGTTGAATATCGAAGTTTCGTTCAACGTTCGACCGAGCGATAGAATCGAGATCGAATAGAGAAGAGGATAAAGAAAAACCATTCATTCGTTAGCGTTCAATATCCTTCCAAAACACCGAAGAACAAGCATCCTTCCAAAAACGCCCGTCCCACCGAAGAAGGATAAACCACCCAACATCGCGCGTCCCACCGAAGAACAAGCCGCCCAAGAAGAACCGTCCAACCCAAGACCATCCCACCCACAGCACCCATTCCACCCCCTCCCACCCAAGAAATTAGAGGATAGAAAGACTCACTTGACGATAAAACAGGTTACACCATGGGTAACTGGGAACGTCCTTGCACAGGGGTTCGAAATCCCCGAAACTTGGCATTTTTCTTCTTCTTCTTCTGGTGGTGTGCTGTTGTTATTACTACTCTTCTTGTTTCGCGGCTGGTGGTGCTGCTGGTATTCGTCTTCTGATGGTGCTGCGGGCAGTGGGACTCGTCGAGTTCTGCTGCTAGTTCGCTTCTTGAACGGTTTTTGGTCTATAGGTACGGGTATGGTGTTACGGGAGAGGTTCTTCGTGTTAAAAAATCGTTATTAAAGTCGTGAGGGCGGGCGTCGTTGGATTGGTTCGTTCGCAGTTCGAGGTCCGGTTAAGGGGCGACGAATCGAGGATTCGAGGAATGTCGGGGAATAGACGAACGTCGAGGAAGAGCGGAGTCGGACGAGGGAAACGTCCAGCGACGAGGAAGCGACGAGGAGGAAGGACAACGAACGACGACGACGTCAAGAAGCAAGAAGAACCCCAACAAACAACAAAACGTTGCGTCCCGAAAATTCGAACCAACGGGCGTGTGAGAAAAAAAAAAGTGGGCGGTGGTGCGGTGGTTGAAGGGCGTTTTGTGTTGGAATTATGTATTATGTACGGCGTTTTGGAAGGTGACGGTGAAGGGGCGTGTGATGCCGGTGAGGAATAGTGCGTTTTCGTGGGTTCGTGGAAGTCGAGTCGTTAGTATGTAGGCGGTGAGCGAATTCGTGACGATACAATTCGTGAGCAATCGTGAAATCGTGTGACGGTGCAGCAACGTGGAGGCGTCGTTCGTCCCGTCGGGGTTCAGGGTCGTGTTGGTCGGTTAAGGGTCGTGTTGGTCCGGGGGCAAGGGGTGTTGAGGTCCGGGGCAAGAATTCGGATTGAGCGGTTCGAGCAAGGGTTTCGAGGGTTCGAGGGTTCGAGAATCGAGGGGTTCGTTGGTTTATCCGTATTTCAAAACGAAAGCGACAAATACAAATGCCAATCCCGGGCGGGAGGGTCGGGCACGAGGCGCGAGTCGAATTCAAATGACAATTGTCGTTGCGTGCAGCGTTCCAGGGGTTTAGTCGAAAATTCCCAATTCCAATTGCAAATCGAGTTCGAGGCGGTCGAGAGTTTTTGAGAATGGGTGCGCATTGATATTCATCAGTCAGTCGGTTACAGTCAGTCAGGACCAATCCTTCTAAGGGCAACAATGGCCTCGAAGCCACTCACATTACAGTCCTAATCTTGATAAATCGCTACATACAAAAAGAAAACGAGAGACGGGGGTGCGGATTGATAGGCTAGCACGGTGCTAGCTATTAAGACGTCGATTCGTTCGTCGTTCGTCGGGCGGCGGCGCTGGCGAGCAGAGCGTGCGTTGACGTCGAGAAGATGATGGACGAAAGAAAGAGTACAGATGTAAGAATAGACTGACTGACTACCAGACTACTACTCCGTGTCCGTATGCTACACTTCGATGGCAACAGCCAGGGCGTCGGCGTTGATTGAATTTCGGCGTTGATTCAATTGATTGGGAGCCCGGCGAGGGGAAGAGGGGGCTCCTGTCGCAAGTTGGCAACCGGGACATCCGGAGGAACTGAGGCCCGGCGGAACCTATGGTTGCACTCGCCAAGACCTCCGGAAACGGGAGTCGAGATGCTGATGTCGTCGGACCGCGAGCAAGTCCTGAAGTTTGCTTGATAGTCTCTTCAATCTTGTCAGGCTGTAGCCCTCTCTCCAAGTTTCAAAGTTTCAACCACCCCGCATCCTCAGGCATCCTTTCTCTCCCTCCCTCTCTCTCTCCCGTCTAACTCTACAACCCGATATTTTCAACTGAAATGCCGAGTTCCCCGATTCAGATTCAGATTCAGATCTTCAAGCATCATACTCACTCACTTTCTAGTAGTGGTTTCCAACTTCAATCCCCTCCAAGCGTCGTTCAAGCCCAGGCATAATTGGTCAACATGTCGAGTTTCACTGGGCGGTCAGCTGCTGAGCTGAACTATACGAACTGTGACCAAGTTACAACTTAAAACGTCGAATTCAAGCGCTTGGAAGTGCGTGGAGGGTATACTCGAGTACAACGGACGGGTCGACAGACTCGAGCTCACTTTCAATTTCAATGCAATTCCTCGAGGAAGGGATCGGTGTTTGACTGAATTTACAACTATTCGACTTGAAAGCATCTAAATAAAAACGAGTTGAATGAATGAAAACCAGTTGGTATACACACACTGAGAGGCTGGAAGAGATACATACATACATACATACATGCAAAATAAAGGATAGACGACGAAAATAAGCTATAAAAGAAGACGGTTTCGAAACACTGGAGCGAAGAACAGCGGACAAAGCGAAAACGAGCGGTTGTATAAAAAGAAAATAAAGAGAGCGAAAGAAAGAATTTAACCTGTAATAAAGACCGAATAAACCCAAAACACACTAAGTAATCACCCTCTACACACGTTACATCGACCACATCAAGTCGACCGATCCCTACAAACTTGCGGAGTGAGCGTTGGAGTTCTTTAGGGGGGATGTAGATGCACAAAATTGGAAAGGAACTGCGCCTGCGAATGCACGCCCGAGTCGAAAGGCCACCCCCGCGTCGCGGCGACGAATTCGTGTGGATACCTCCCAAGTCAACGAAATCCCCAAGTCGACCAATGTCCGCCACATCGCCCCTACGCATTCATTACTCACAAATTCCTCAACTTTTCAATCACATCCTGAATATGCGGCTGATTCCACTCCCCACTCCACCCCTGGCGCTTCTCCCGCCTGTACACGCCCGTAGCTTCGAGCGGGTCCTGCGCTTCGTAGTCGTAGGGTACACTTAGGAAGCGAGAGTTGCCTGTATGAGAGGTAGGAAGGGGGAGGGGAGGAAGTTAGTGTTTGATGTTATGGAGAGAGAGATAGAGAGATGGGAGGTAGATGGGCAGAAGATGGGAGGTAGATAGACAGACTAAAGATGGATAAATAAACGAAAGACGGGTTTTGGATAGAAAGACGGACAGACGAAAAGACGACACACAACTCACCTCCAGGCCCAAAATACCCTCCAACACCACTAAGCCCCGACGTCCTCCCACTCTCCACTCCAACACCAAACGCCCGGGGGGTCAACGGGCTCGCCGAAGCACCCGCCGGCGCCACTCCTCCCCCACTCCTCCCTAACAAACCCGCATTCGCATTCGCGTTCCCGCCAACACCAGCAGCAGCAGCAGCCCCATGCACCGCAATCGCATAATCAATAAACGGCGTTTCGTCACCCAAAGGCAGAGTAAGCGAGGCCCGCATCCACGGTATCTCCCCCCTCGAGATCCGCTCGCCTCTCTCCCCCTGCGTCGGGTGCCGCCCTGTCCACGTCCCGTAGCTGCTATACGGTGGGCGGGCGGATGGTGGATGAGACGTTGGTCCGCCATTGGAGTTGTTGGACTCGTTGGGGTGTGGGTTGGAAGGGTCGGGAGTGAGCGTTTGGTGCGAATCGGTGTCTTCGACGACCAGTCGGAAGGGGTGATCTTCAAAGTACGGGATGGGCACCGGATCCGGCGAGGCGATTCGGTCGATTTGGAGGGAAAGAGGGGAGAGGAGCGCCGAACTCGGTTTCCGCGCGTGACCATTTACACCGCCTCCAACACCCACACCCACAACAACACCATCGCTATACCGGTTCTTCGTAGACGTCGACTTCCTTGATCCTGAGTCTTCCCCCTCCTCAGGCACGACGCCCACACTGTTAACGCTATCAGCGACACTGAGCGCATTCCTCTTGCGCAAGCTGTCCTTCTTCTTGAGGACGTTGGGGTTGGTCTCGCGCAGGGCGGGACCGGTGCTGCCACTACTCCCACTGCGTCCCCTCCCACCACCCTTCGACGACTGGTCCTTCCCGTTGGCTAGGTACCCGCTATCCCTCGCGTTGGGCGGAGGCCCTCCACTCTCCTGCGACGCGCTGCCCCTCCTCCCACTCCCACTCTCCTTCTCCTTGTCCTTCGACCAGCTCCCCTTCTTCCCAACATGCCCACCCTTAAAGTTCGGACCCAAAGGCGAAGGCGGTATACCCGTCACCTTCCACCTCAGCTCTGGATTGTTCATGATCTCCTCCGGCGTGGCGAGTAGGAGGGCTTCCATCAACGGATCGATGATATGTTTCTGTCCGGTACTGTTCCTCCTCCGCTTCTTCTTCTTCGCCTCCTTCTCTTTCTCCTTCGACGCGTTCTTGGATTCTTTAGAGGGTTTACTCTCCTTCGATGGCTTGCCGTCCTTCTCCTTCGAACTACCACCCCTCTCTCTGTCCTTCCCGTCCTTATCCTTCGTTAACACAGCGCCCGGCACTCCGCCGTTCAAGATGATCGAGTCTCGTACTCGCTCGCCGTGACAGTTAACCACCAACAGCTCGGGCGGGATGTCCTCTCCAAGCGTCTTGGTGAGCTTCAAGAATCGTCGTCGACGCAGTTCCTTTTCGGAGGGAGGACGAGGGCCGACGATAGGCGCGATCGTGGAGGTGGTGGAGATGATCGACATGGCCTTGGGGGATGGAGGGATTGGGAGGGCTGCATGCGCAGATCGCGAGCAACGTAGGGTGAGGGAGGCGAAGACGTGGTGGACAGTGAAGTTGAAATACCGCAGACGATGAAAAAGAAAAGAAACCATCAGTAACCATAAGACTAGACCTAACGAAACCACATACCACCAACACTCCTCTTCAACGCTCCAAGATCCTTCTCACCACCTTCACCCGTCTCAAACTTCTGATGCGGCCTGGGCGACACACTAGGCGAGCTATTCGACCTCGAATGGCGATACCCACTGCGCCCGTTCCTCGCGCCAGAAACGATGGCGAGCGTATTCCTCTGGTCTCTCGCGATACCAGGCGTAGCACCCCGTCCGTGCGAAGTAACACCAGTAGAAATACGACGATGGGAAGCGACGAGCCGGGTGGAGCTGGAACTGGACGAACCCTCCCTCAGAACCAGCGGAGGAGGGCGCTTTTGAGGGCCCCGCGAGGTGTTTGGTCGGATGTTGTCCATGTCCTTGTTGGGGTTGGTGTTGGGATTGGGGTGGGTGGAGGAAGAAGGATCGTCGCGAACACCACCGTCCATCGCGTCGTTCAAATGCGAATTGACATTGACGTTGTTGACATGACCACCCAGTCCTAAATTGCCCAATCCGCGATCTCCCTCCTCTTCCTCGTCCTCGTCATCGGTACCACCGACGTCGTAGGGTATAACGTCCATCCCGTTCACCCTCCTGCCGCCACTCCGTTCTCTATACCCGTTCCTCCTTATCTTTCCACCGACGCCAATGCCAAGTTCGTCATCGTCATCGTCATCGTCCTCGTCGAAACCAGTAGCAGCAGTCTCGAAGGACAGCCGATCCGCAGTCGTCGCGGGAGAGATGGACTCCCCGATAGCCTCTGCGATCGCCGCCTGCTTCTTGATCTTCGAGTTGAGCGCCATCTCGCGAACCATCCGGTCCTTCTCTGCGCGGGTCTCGAGTTCGAGTTTGCTGGCATTGCTTTGCTGCGCGGTGAGAGGAGGGTGCTGGGTTGCCGCTGGTGGTTGTGGCTGTGGCGGTTGGAGGACCTCGTTGGCTGGACGTTCGACGAGACTGGCTGAAACGTTCTGTACATCCCTGGCCTCAACACCGACGCCATCCGAAAGTGCAGATCCCAACTCATCATTCGACCCCTGATTAACAACCCTCAACACCCGCTTCTTCTCCCTCCTTGTCGAAAGGGGCCGCGTATCCTTAATCTCCACGTCCTGGATGGTCCTCAACGACCCATGTGCATGCTGCTTCTCGTACTCGTACACAGACTTCTCTTGCTGAGATTGAAGGGGAGGCTGGAGTTGTTGCTGTTGTGACTGGGCGTGAGGGTGAGACTGAGGGTGGGCGTGGGGCTGAGGGTGATACGGTAACCGTTCTTTCGTCGGCACTCGACGATCTCCGAGATCCATCACTGACCCATCCTCCTCGACGACGACACTCATCCGCCGTGGATCTTGGTACTCCAGCATGACAGCAGCGGTGACACTTTCCTCCGGCTCCTTCTCGTTGTCGTTCTCCTCCTTCTCCACACCCGCGTTGGCCTCGCTCTTCGACGATAAATTGCTCTTCGATATATTGCGGTCATCGACCTTCTCAACGACATCCCTTCCTTCAGTCGTACGGGGATTCGCATCCCCGCCAGTCAGAGCAGTCGGAGAAACCAAACTCCCGTACAACGAGCTCGCTCGAGGTGGAGCGACGACCACCCCGCTCGCGTTTACGTTTGTAATCGCAGATGTTGAGATCGAACTAGTAGTGCCACTGCCATTGCCGAAAGCAGATAATCGCGTATTGAGGACCGTCGAGCCCCTCCCAGCTTTGCTTGTCGTCGACACCGTTGAATTGGGGTTGGCGTTAGTAGGCGAGATAGGTGAGGTGGGTGAGGCGGGGTAGGTAGGCGAGGTAGGCGAGATACCGGTGTACGTCGTGGATGTGGGTGAGATGCCGGTGTACGTCGTAGATGTGGGTGAGATGCCGGTGTAGGTGGGAGAAGTGGGCGATACCCCGACTCCTCCTTGAAAGCGCGCACCGGCAGCAGCACCAGCAGCACCAGACGACGTCCGAGCCCTCCGCATAGACGGAACGCGGGGAGTAGTCTCCCCAGACCTCAAACCACCACCCGACACCCTGGCAACCCTCTTGACAGTCGGCACACGATCCGGAGGACGAGGCGTCGATTCTTGCGAACCGCGCTTCGCACTCCCCACTGAACTCCTTCGAGGAAGAAGAGGCTGCGCGTCGTTCAGGAGGTGGTGCCTTTGTGGTGCTGCGGAGGAGGTGGTGGTGGGGTAGCGCTGGTTGGCGGTCGTAGCTGGAGCAGAATTGGGCGCTGTGTTCTTCGATCGCCGGCGTTCCCTCTCTTGGTGGTACGAAGGCACCGCCCGCCTTGATAGACTAGGTCCCAGATCCCCGATACTGGGTGTGGAAACAGGCCCCAGCGACCTAACCGCATACGCGAACATGTCACCTGTGTGGAAGGTATCCACCGTCAACTCTGAGCGCATGGACGCCAGTGTGCCCTCCGAAGAGGTGGCTTTGGGGTTGGAGTAGAACGCTGGGATGGAGAGTTTCGCGGAGGACGGCTCTGAGAGGTACTCATCGTCGTCGTCGTAATCAGAAGGAGAGGACGGGGAGTCGTCATCGGAGGAGGTATATCCCACAGCTGAGAGCCGTGGAAGGTGGTTGGCCTTCCTGGTGGTACTGGCAACGCCGTCGTTCGTATCCATCGCATCCTCGTTGCTCCTACGCCTACTCCGGGTGGCAGTCGACCCAGTCAGCATCGTCGCTGCAGAACTAGCTGCTGCTGCTGTGGTGTTGGTGGTGGTGGTTGAAGTTGACTGCTGCTGCACAGCGCCCGTGGATTCAGATCCTTCCAATCGCCGCGCTGAAGTATCACTCCGAACGTGGACGGGACCGCGCTCAAGGAAGACCCTCGGAGAAATAGGTCGCCGCGACTCTCCTGGCTTGGGACGTGGCAAGGGATCGCCTTTAGCCGCTAGTTCCTGGTAAAAGGTGGTACGGCCTTTGGCGTTACTCGTTCCCGATGCACGAGATCTAACGGACGCAGATGCTGAAGAGGTGGATGTGAGCGACTCGCAGGAGAGTGAGGCGTCCCTGTCGATCGTTGAGGTGGTGGAATGGGCGCGACGGCGGGGGGTTGTGCGTAAAAGCGCGGGTTTCGAGAGAACCCGCTCGATATCTGGGTTTGACCGCTTGGAACGAAGGGAACTGGTGCTCTGGCTCGCAGAGTGGTGTTGAGGTGCGATGAAAGGCGAGGTGGGAAAGGTAGTCGCAGGTAAGGACTGCTGGGAAGTAGTGGGAAAAGCTTCGACAGGGGCAGAGTATGGTGGAGGGGGAAACGGCACGCCGTTCGTCTTGTGAGCTGTAACCATAATAGTCAGCTCACTTGATCAACTAAAACGACAAGACGAATCTGACGAACCTTCACCGGAGAGATGAGAATAGCGTGTAAAGGATGATGGTGGCGGAAGGAGAGCTTCTGAGCCGGAAGAAACTCCCTGAGAAGCAGATGGGTGCATAGCTATTGCTGATGTAGTTGGGCCCGGTGCTGATGTTGATATGTCGTACATGGACGAGCAACGTCTTCTGGATTGACGAGGTCCGCGAGGTCGAAGCATCGTGCCTGGTGATTTGCCCTTGTTCTTCCTTTGCTTCGTGTGGGGGTGGGAGTGAAAAAGTAGCCAGCTGTTTGAATAGAAAGAAGGAACACAGAGAAGAAAGAATTCGCGAGAAACGTGGGGTGTTGATCGAGGATAGCAGGAAAGAAGAGTGGAGACCCGGAGCGAACGAAAGGAAGGAACGAAAGAGTGGAGCCGCGAGGGTGCTGTGAGTATAAACAGAACAGAAAACGAGAAAGGTCAAATGAAAATAACAGTGTGGAAAGGAGAAAGGTGGATGGGTCTGCGGAGAAAGGGCTGGTTTATTGCACTTGTACAGGCTAAAGGCATCAGATATATCATAACACATACCGTGCGGATATATGGAGGCTTCAGGCCTTCCAATTTACCGCGTTCTGACTTCAGCTATATTACCATTCTCCCGACCGAACAATGCTGATTCAGAGGACATGCTTTCCAACGCGTTCAACGTTCAAATTGGAGGTCAACGGAGCCCTTGGTTGACCGACAACTAGGTTTCATAAGACTCGAATGGCGAAACATCGCATAAAGTCCCTTGAGACTCTCAGCGCCATCGTTCACGATGATGCACCGCGTTTCCTCCCTATTTCCGCGCCATATGACATTTAGTGGGCGGGTTAAGCCCGTAGATGAGAAACCGCGCGTACCGGTTGTCTTTGAGAGTAACCCATAAGATTGATGTGTTGTGAACAACTGGGAATATGAACGCCGAGAAGCATCGAGAGCGACGAGGAGGAACGAGAGAGTGTGAAAGGAAGACGCAGCGGCCAACCACTGTTTCTGTTTCTGGCGCTTCCGGCCGGTTGATGCCGTTTCCCACGCCCCTGGCATTTCGCATTCTCAGGTTCTGGCACCCCGAGCAAACGTCCATCTGGGTGACTTGCGTGACGTTTAGTGGCGAAACGAGTGAATGCCAACGTGTTTCTGTGCATTTGTCGAGGTACCGATTACCAACGTAGAGAAGCACAAGTCCAAGGGCTGACATGAGATGATTGATAACCTCGATAGATTAACCTTCAAGTCAACAATTCATTCCTTCGCAAATGTCGAGATAGCCTTCGCAATAAGGTTGTATGAGGACCCGGTGGGGATGTATAGCGGGCTAGCAAGGATATATAGCTTACAAACGAACTTTTGAGGAAGGAGAAAGGCTGGAGATGATTAACTAACTGGGTTAGCACTGCGTGAGGATGGAGTCCGACCACAGTGTGGGCTCGCAACTTGCTTACAAAAGGGAGAGAAGACCGAGGACGTAATCTGTAACCGTTGCTCCAGCGTGCTAGGGGTCAGCCGTCCTCAACTTCAAACGGATGACAATGCAATTACTCATGGTTCCCTTGGGCCGCTCATCTGTGCCACGGAATGCTTAAAGCTTTCTTGTTAAGTTGGGGGAAGGAGGTCCGGGTGACGCATGATTTTTTGGATAACGTGCAATTGCAAGTGACACAGATGCAAAAAGGAATACTTACACAGGCACGTAAGGCTGACGCTCCCAGAAAGAAATAAAAAAGTGACCACCGCAGGACTCGAACCTACAACCTTTTGGTAACCATCAAAGGAGCCGTTAAGCCATCGAAGCCAAACGCGCTACCATTGCGCCAGGTAGCCTTGGTGACGGGGACCAGAAGGATCGCTTCCTACGGAGCGCTTAAGGATGGCTCTGGAAGGGCGCTTAAAGCTACTCTCATGTCAACTCAGTCATCAAGTCCAACACGCGTTTTGGCGCCTTGAACGCGCTTTGATTCCGTGTTATTACGTCTCAAATATACATAGATCTCTTTGACGTTAGACTTAATGCTCTGAATGTAATGATGATCGACTCGAGGACAAAGGGCCAAATTCTCGGATTCATTTCAAGCAACGACGGCTTATGACAGATTGAAGAATGCATAAGTAGCTTAGATTGGGGATGTCATATTAATTAGCATGTTGTTCCAGCGAGCATAACATAAAGACGAAAAGGAGAGCCCTAAGTTGGGGTCGAGACAGAAATGATAACGCATAGAAAGACCAAGTAACAGCAGTAACTCATAGTCGATAGAGTGACCCAAGTAGAATAGACGACTTAAGCTCAGCGACCAGCAGTGATAGCACTAAGCACCATATCCTCCCTCTTCTTCAACGCCTTCAACTGCTTACAAACAGGCGACAAATTCATCTTCCTCATTTCCTGCAAATCACGAATCGAAAAACCGCTCGGATCGGGCGTAGAAGGCAAAGAGACTGAAGATCCCAAAGAGGAAGTCGAACCACGTCGAGCCGAAGCATACCTAATGCCAGACCCAGCCTGCTGAGCAATCTTCCTTGTGATACTGCGCGTGCGGAGGAGAATCTTCTTAGGTGACGAAAGGCCCTCGCGCTGTGACTCTTCCAACTGTAGCTTCGCCAACTCGGCCTCCAAATCGACGCCTTCGAAGATCTCCGCACGGTTCGCCGTAATCTCAAGTAAGAGGTCGATTTGCTCCTCAAAGTTGGGTGGCAAGGTAGGTGAGGTCGGTTGGGAGGGTGTAGAAGAAGGCGAAGAAGCGCCAATGTTACAAGTGGAAGGAGAAGAAGTAATGTTGGGTTGAGTGGCCATCTTGAAGTTAAAATCGGAGGAGGCGTTAGAAGACGAGGTGGAAATCTTGAAGAGCTCGAAGGATCAGAGGTTGAGTGGGTTAGCGAACGAGAAAGGCTCGAAACGGCTGGCTTTTTGTACCAAAATTCGAGTCTAAGCGCAGAGGGACGATTCGTCCTCGCACAATTGCGAGACACATGGTCCCGTCCAAGCGTTGTCGTCCACTCAAACAACAGGGAGTGGTAATCCACCTACCAAGTATTGTCCCAAACTTCCAGGTTCAAGCGCTAAACCCGGACAATGATAAACGTGTTGGCCACCCAGCGGTAAGGGCCACTAAGTTGATGTGTCGAGGACCGAGGAGAATTGTCGTTTGTAATCTGATAAGCCAAGATGCAGTGGCGGCGATCATCAGACCTATAAGATTGACGACAAAGAACTGAAGTCTAATGGAACCTCATCACAGACGAACCTTTCTCGCAAATTGCTTCACCAACCCCTCCATCTCGCCACCTAACACCACCTTATCCGCAAAATGCTTTACCAACTCCTCAATCTCGGCTTCTATCTCCGAAGGAGCGCGCATACGAATTCCAGCTCCGCGCCCGTCTTCCAGTGCCCCCTCGATCAGCTTCATAAATTCTTCGAGCCGCTTGGTGTCACACCTGACTTTCGTCTCTCTTGTCTCCTGTCGTAGTTTGTTGTCGATGTAAGAGGAAGAAAGGGAAGGAGCCTGCATGATGGATTTAGGATATCTGCGAGTTAGCTTCTTCGATGGGCGCGATGTGGTTGGTTTGGTAGTGCCCATATTGATAGTGTTTTCTTCTTTAGGTGACGCGGTGGTGGGTTCTCTATATAGGCGAGTCGGTGTCCTACTGGCGGACGATGAGGGAGAGGATCCTTTGTGTTCGACCAAAGGACAGGGTATTTATACCCTCTAAAACGGGGTGCCACTCCGCTTAATCCGATACACGAAAGTCTTGTAATGGGCACCATATGGTAACCGTTGGCGCTTAGCTTTTTAGCGCCTAACAGTACCTTTGGGCAGCTCACTGCGTCCTACCCTCTACGAGTACTTTGGGTGGCTTTCACTTGCCGAATCTCACGCTGTAGGGAGTAGGAAAAGATAAGATCTGTGCACATGAATTGCATAGCACCTTAGCGACGATGGCGGTCCGAGCGTCAGGAAGAGTACACGCTACAGAGCGTCAAAGCGCTAGGGTAGCTCAAAGAGTCATGTTCAGTAACGGCTGGGATCAAAGCGTATGTACTTCCGCATGGTATATAGTGCGCCGAGCTTCCTGTCGACCCAAACAGCCAAAATCCGATTATCCGACTCCATTTACCAGCGATATACCTACATAATCATGCCTGCCAACACCACTTCGGGTAATAACTTCACAACGAAGAAGGACCCAGTAAGAAAGCAATTGATTGCGAAGAAGAAAAAACAAAAGTTCTCTGATGCACTATTCCAGATGCGAATGGAAGCGAAAAAGGTTCTCCCAACTGTCTTTGAATCGGAAGAAGCCCCCGACGCCAATTCCACCGCGATCGACGAAGAAGACGATCTCGATGGAGACTGGGTGATCGAAATTACTGACGCTGACATCGACGAAGCGTGGACGTGTCCCTTCTCTATATACGACGCGCCTTCATCTACCTCTTCAAAGGACTCCCAACGTGTGGGTGGCGATCAAGTCCTCGAGATCGAACCCACCAGGGACGATGTAGTTCGACAGTCTGCTCGTACTACTGTCTTGGAGGAAGACTCTGAGGAATCTCTCCCTCTACTACTCGATATGACCGGCGACGTCCTCGACGCCGCAGAGGAACAGGCAGCGAGGATCCAGAGGTACGTGGGCGCCTATACCTACAGGGTCCGAGTGAGCGCCGAGTGATGAGCTTCCTTTTTAGGATGGCCTGTCTCCGCGTCGAGCGGTGGCAGGAGGTGTGTTTTTTGGGAGTTGTATCACTTGATGAATAGATATCTTCCCTTCTGTAATTCTAAATATGTCTGATAATGAAGAATGAGCTGTTAACAGAGTACAATCTATGAGTGAACCATGAAATTTGACTTTGCTCTTTGAATTGCCATGTTCTACGCCAGTTCTACGCCCCTGGAGAGTCAAAGCGCTTTCAACCATGTCGTCCGACTTTCCGCAGGTCCTGATCAAAGCGTTTGCCTCTTATTTGAAGACGCAGAAGATGGGAGTCGCGGTTGTGGCAACACGTTTCCTGCGCTTTGACCGGACAAAGCGCGTCATTAAGACAGCGTCAAAGCGCCCCGTCAAAGCGCTTCGGCACAACGAACTTATAAAAGGACACGTTATGCAGTGTATTGAGATCCAGAAACTCCCAAGCTCCATACAACGTTATAGATACTCTCGAATACCTCCAAACCACCCACTCCTCCACTTCTTACTACCCATCAACCAACCACCACGATGCAAAGCCTATCACTCTGGTCCTCAAAGAAGCCATCTGACACCCCAGCCCCCCCTCTCAAAACATACATCAACACAGAGAACATGGCCGTCGACGAAATACTAGCATACCAAGACCGACTCAGTCGTGGCGGTACACCCTACATTCCTGATGGTCCATCACCCACTCACGCTGGAGGACTCGGGTGTTTCGCAGGCCGCGATACTCTCGGAGGGTTCTTGCATTCCGAAAGCGACAATGAGGAAGATGAGGATGGTAATGACCAGCCAATGGGCGCCAAGAAGGGCGGTACGAGGACGAGGAATTCGTCCCCGCGAGGAAGTTCTTCCTCTGCGTCTTCCACATACTCGGGTGCGTCGAAGAACCAGACGTCGTCGTCGTTCTTAGGGCTGGATAAGATCAAGCAACTCTTCTGTGCGGAAGAGGAGTGTGAGTTGTTGAAGCAGATGAGGGAGTCAGTGGAGATCGAGCAGCCGGAGAAGCATAAGAATTGAAAGTTGTTTTTGAAAGTGAGCTGTGGAGGAATCGGTCTTAGTAGTGGAACTGTTCTGTTATACAATACTTAGATGAGCATTTGTTCAATTAATTTCTATATTATACAGCTATGAAACGATGTTGGACAATCTTTCGATGTATGTCTACGCCCGCTAGAGGAAATAAGGTCAGGGAAAACTCGCCGCACCAGAGGTCAAGAGATGTTAATTGGCAAGTTTCAGCCTCGCGACAGATTAGGGGTTGTGGACACATGGATAAGCCTTCGTCTATCAGTCATGCCCGATAACTCAAGGCTGAAGCACTGTAATTACAACGACTCTATTCTATGACACCCAGCTTACAGCCTTGCACTAGCAGTACTCGTTACTCATCAAAACAAGGCGCCACCCATACAGCGCTTCCATCACCCAAAATACGCGGAACCTCCTCTCTATAAACCGGTACATACCCCGGATAAACCCTCCTCTTCAGTTCTAATTCCCCCCTCCCAACACTCAACGCAGCTTGATGCCTTCCCTCCAGCCCATCCAGGTTGTTAGCTAACCGACCCCAGGATGCAGTCTCAATGCAGTGCATGATACCCCGTTCGAGTAGGAGGAGGTCGTGTGGAGGGTAGTAGTATTCAGAGTTCGGATTAAGCTGTGCATATGCCAGCTTGTGCGCACGACGTTTGAGGTCCAGTTCGGCGAGGGAGTCCTGGATGAATGCGCCGAGTGTTGAGGGGAGGTTGATGGGTTCGTTCTTGCTTTCGGCTTTGCGGAGTGCTTGACTTAATGGGATAGACTCGCTCGACATGGTTTGTTGAAACCTGGCTCAAGAGTGAAGTGGTGTCCCCGTTGGGTGGGCGTGCGTAGAGAGGAGATTCAAGTGTGTTCATATCACTCATGAGGGAATTTACTTATATATAGCGGCGGGGCCTGTAGTCAAGGGGACGAGCAGCCCATTTACCATTGAGCGCCCTTTGACTCGGATTTGCCGTCTTAATCGACAATGCCACCGCTGTGGCATTCTTTGGATTTCATCAAAGGATGTATACTATAATCTTGGGGGGACTGCCAAGCCGTAGAATGACCATTGTCTTCAGAAATGAAACTATGTCGACCACCAAGTCGACATCACTCGTGTACTATGAAACAGCTCCCATTATGTAAAGCCGAGTCGTTGCATAAACAACTTTCAAGCTGCTCCAAGAATCCCTCGTTGACTCCGCTCCCTTATTTACGCCTTTCCGCCTTGTAAAACACACATAGACTTCCCATGAGTATCGTAATTTGTGACACTTTGTGAATGCGCCATGAAGCACCACCAATAACACTCGTGGATATCGATTGAAGCACTCCGGATACCCGGATGCTTCCCTTTTTACAATCGCGATAAAAGTTGTCATCTTTCGAGGAGAACTGATGCACCGCCTAAGTATTAAGTAAAGCCCTTGTGCCTTGGTCTCTGATTCTTGATTCTTGGTGATGTTGCTACTAGAAGTGGTATTGGTCGCGCTTTGACGCTCTGTAGCGTGCACTCGTCCTGACGCTCGGACCGTTATCGTCGCTAAGGTGCGATACGGTTCACGAGCGTAGATACTATCATATCCTACTCCCTACACCGTGATATTCAACGATTCAAAGCTACACATAGTACACGTAGAGACTGCAATGGAGTGTGCTTCCCAAAGGTACTGTCAGGCGCGAACAAAGCTAAGCGCCAAGCGTCCATTATCTGCCGCGCCTAAGTGCAAGACCGTTTATCGGCTTAGGCGGAGTGGCACACCATTATCGGGGGTATAAGTACCCTGCCCTTTGGTCGACACATTCAAGGACATCCCAACAGGACTCCGACTCGTCTATATAGAGAGCCCACCACCGCGTCATCAACGGAAGAAAACACTGCGAATATGGGCACTCACAAACCAACCTCATCCTGCTCTTCGAAGAAACATGGTCACAAGAGCCCTACATCCATCCTCCGCTCTCCAGTCTCCTCTTCCTGTCTATCCGACTACAAGCGACGAAAGGAGAAGAGAGCGAAGAAGGTCAGGTGGGACACAAAGCGCCTCGAGGAAACTATGAAGATGATTGAGACGACGCTTGAAGATGGTCTCCTTCCTAGTGAAATCTATATGCACGCCCCTGCAGAGGTCGATGAAAACATGGAGGAGTGTACGCAAGATTTGAGTCAGCTGCAGATTGAGAGCTCTAGCAAGGAGGAGGGAGAGCATATGAACGTGGATGGGGATGAGGATAGGGATGCGGACGCGGATGTGGATGGAGAGCCCGAGTTGGTGGAGCAGTTTACGAACAAGGTTCGTCTGTGATAAGGATCGACTACACTCCGGCTCTCTCTCGTCCTCTCTCGTTACTTTACTGGATTAATGCTCGTCGCCGCTGTATCCTAGCTTACCAGATTGCAAGATATAATTTTCGTATATATCTTATGCTCGCTGGAACAACAGGTTAATGTAATTCGACACCCCTGATCTAAGCTGCCTTCTCTCTTTTTCTCGTTGCTTGAAGTGTCTTTGATTCGAGTGCGTTCAGCTCACAAGTACGTTCAGCTCACAGATAAGTAGGTAGTGGACCGACGCGGTCGCCAAACAGAGACAGTCGGGCAAGACTCGCTGTACGCTGCGCATGCCCCGAATTGCTGGGTCGACCCGCCTATGTCTCTTCAGTGACGATGCGACAGCAGACCTGACTGAGAAGCAGTTGTCGTCAGGGCTAGCCTCACTGAGTGTAGCGCCGCAAAACGAAGTAGATGATATATCCAATCAAATTCTCTCATTGAGCGCTTCCAAGCCAGGAGCTTGAAGGCCAAACCTTGTGAATTAAACAGAAATTGACAAAGTCAAGGCGAAGTCTTGTGAGGTAAATACTGGCAAGCATTGTCAAACATATGATAAGTCGTGAAGTCGTTACTGAGATATCGGCTTTGTATCTTACTATGAGAGCGGAGAGAAATACTTAAGCAATGGGGTAAGAAGTTAAAGTTACTTAGTAGCTGTGCCCAGCCGCTGGAATTCGAGGCATCAGATTACACGTCGAGAGTCGAGACCGGGGCGAGGCATTTCAGATTCTGTCACGGCGAATATCAGGAGACAGGAGATCAGCGACGCGAAAAGCCAACGACACATCTACAATAGTAACCAGGCTCGCTTGTCAAAATTCATCTAGGAATAAGGATGTAAACGGTGACCCACCTGATTCACGGGACCGTTCCAAATCAGCGCTCGTGGCTCTCCAACTACGGCCGTCGACATCTAGAATGCCCTCTGAGGCTACCGCTAGACTCAACCACGAAAACGCGTCAGAGTAGGATAGACGACTGCATGGAGGTGAACTCAACATTGACCGTGGACGTACGGGCCTGGGAACGGGATGTCGCGCCAATGATAATCGAACCCCGACCCGAGTCGCAAGTTCGCTCAGCTCTTCTTGCTCCTAAGATACCCCCTAAGCCCAAGTAAGCTTGCCCAAGGACATCAAGAAACACTCGCCTTCCAAACTCACCTCGTTTCAAGTCCGTGCTAGCAACAAGGGCGTCATTCCAAGGACCCCACTTTCGAATGCTCCAACTCGAGGTAGAAACAATTGTCAGCGCGCACAGAAAGTTAGAGCAGACTTACCTATAGGACAGGGACGCAAGACAAGCGTGTTTCCAAGTCCCGACCCTAACCTGCCAGTAGGGAAGGCCTACGGAGACGGTATCAGCTTAGCGCGCACCAAGAGGGGACTCACCCTAAAGACGCTTTGCTTCCGGCGAGCGAGAGCAGACCGCCCACCATCCGAGTTCGCATTCGTCCTTCAAAAAAGGTAGGTCAGCCTCAAGGGAGAATCAGTGATGACGACTCATCATTCGGTGCCAGAGGACATTCATCCTTCGGAGGACTACCTCTGTAGGTCGAATGTCCTTCTCATTCAGGGAACTGAAAAAAGCGAGGGTGAGCCTTCTTCAAATGCAAAGAGTACGCACCTTATAGTCGAGACTACCGACACTCTTGCCCACAAAGTATACCTGACCAGTGGGCCAGTGGGTCGATCTACCATTGTATACCTTTCAAAGCCTAGAACGAGTCAGCACGGACCAAAAACCCGACGACGACGCACCTTGGGTCATTCAGGGGAGACATCTCCAACACGTTTTTTCAAACCGCCTTACTAAAACAAAGTGAGTCCTCAGGACAAGTCAACGAAAACTCACCTAGATTCAACACAGGATCACCTGTGACACAGATCTAGTAAGCTATCGCGTACTCGCGTACACGGAGCCAGGCGTTGTCCGATCGTCAACAAGAAAAAGGCTACGAAAGATGTATTCAGCGCACAGGGTGGCAATACATGAGTACTCACAAGAACGATCGTTGACGTCAGACAAGAACTCGAGTAGCATTCGCTTCAAAAATTCAAAATGGCCCTACAAAATAGACTGATTCAGCACAGGCAGAAATCAAAACGACTACTCACCCCATATCGTCCAAGAGCAGGCGATGGTGACGATGAACGACTTCCCAGCCCTACAAAAAAGACTGATTCAGCACAGACAACAGTCAAACGGTTACTCACCTCGCATAGTGGTATCAACGAGCTGGCGACGACGAAGCCCTTCGTAGCCCGAAAAAAAAGAGACTAATTCAGTGCAAACAGCAGCCAAAACGACCACTCACCTTACATAGTGGTATCAACGAGCAGGTGATGACGACAGTCGGCTTGGTAGCCCTGCAACAGAACGAGTCAGTACAAACAGCAGTCAAACGACCACTCACCTTATATGGTGGTATCAACAAACTCAGGCTGGGGAGCGTGACGACGAACGCCGACGCCTTCTTCGCAAGTCCTACACCAGACCGCCCAAAGAAAGGTAATCAGCGCAAATAGAAGTCAAACGAGAACTCACATAAGGAACCTTGACATCGACGAGCTCAGAGTGAGCGAACGCCGACAATATAGCATCGGATACTCCGCACCGAGAACCTACATAGACCAAGGTCAACACCGACGACTTCTCAACCGACGACTCACCTCAATCCTTTGATCTCTCCACGGTTGCTCGTGAACACTTTACCCATATACTCTAGAGAAAAGAAATCAGCACACAACACCGAATCAAAGTATTCTCACCTAGTGCCAATTTCGAAGGGGCATCACCATCACAATCCGTGTCACGATAGGAATCATGATATTTTTTCATTTTCAAAGTGAGGCTACAAAAAGACCGAATCAGTTCAACCGGACAACAGCAGAGTACTTACAACTTGAAGACTGCCAGGCTTGAAGACTGCCAGGCCGATTCAATGGCTCCACCCATACACTCCAGTCACGATCAATGCAACCGGCGTTCCAGCCAAGCGCACGATAGTAATACCGAATGTTCTGGGTTGGTTGATAATAGATGTAGGATTTCACAGGCCTACAAAAGAGACCGAGTCAGCAACACCAACAATCAGAACGAGTACTCACAGCAGCTCTTATTCCAGAACCGACCGCCGCCGCCGATGTCGATAACGACGCCGAACGATGACGAGCGATGATGAGGGGGAGAGAACCGCGGTGAGTCCGATGAAGAAGCTCCCACTCCCCGCTCAGGGATTATATATAAACCCCCCACTTGCGGCGGTGGCTATGCATCCATGGGACCTCTAACCCTCCCCACCGACGCTTTGACCTACGCTTTGACTCTGGTTCCCGGTTACCACCCACCTAACTCGAATATACCCGCCATTCACCCGTTGAACAATAAGAAAAAGCAGCGTCAGCGGCCGGGGCAATCACACGGATGAAAAGGCCTCAGCAGTGCATTGACTGCGTCGCCACGTTCTCGTCCTATATCCTTGTACTCCAACGGGGCCAGTCGACTTCGTTCAGAAACAGCGCGGGACGGTGGAACTGGCGGAAGCTCGGACATGTCAATATCGTCTTGGGTGAGCACGATGATGTCACCCTGATACAGGCAGTGTGTTCGATCCCGGGAGGAGGCAATACTTTATCGAAACCGAATGCTTTTCAATGTGATCGCGGATAAGCTCTGACCTTCAGTCACAGACAGCATAGCGTTAGAATATGGTTGTAGTGTGGAAGAAGGGCGAGAAGCCTTCTGGTGGAGGAGACGACGGCACTGGTCATCGAGGCGAATGAGATGGTGGCGGAATCCAAGGTTGACTCCAACCCACAGCTAAGGGAGCGCACGTCGTCCATCTCAGGATGCTGGGTATGCACAATTGCCCAGTGCTCAGGCTGGCGTCGCAGTAGTTCATATTCCACATTTTCGATGATATACATTCGTCGAGGCGAGGCGAGGGCCAGGGGACAGAAAATGGATCCAATGGATGTGAGGTGGTGGCCATCTAGCCTGAAAAGGTCGATTGAATCCGGGATGAGAACGAAGGTCCTTCAGATAGCCATCGTTCTGAGGGTAGACCATGAGGGTATTCGGAGGCGCAGTTATCCGCTTGGCCAACCAAGAATGGACACGACACATGGCTGGGGCAACCCGGGGGAGACGCCGGCGGAAGGATGAAGTGGTGAAACGATGAAGAGACAATGGCCACCAACGGCGTATTTGACGTGTATAGACCGCAGCCTAGTCGATGGTTACCGTATCGGCCGAGGGAGCTGGAGTCGTAAACCAGGTATATTGCAACGATAGACTCGCGAATACACAGCTTGTCCAACATCACGACGACGAGCTAGGGACCACGCGTCCAATGATGTTATACCTCTTACTACAGCACAGGAGGCATGTCAGGCACGGAAGACGACGGGAAGGAATCAAGGACTCACCTGAAGAACGCATACCAGTCATCCAGCACCTTCCTCTCCGTCTCGCCCAAATCACTATAGTCCGCAATCGCATGCTCTGCCTTGAGACTGGACATCCCCAACCCCTTGCTTCCATCCTTGCCAGCGAAGATGGAGTACGACTTTCCGGGTCCATAGACGTCAGCTTTGCGAGTAACGTCGAAGATGGTGCCTGTGGGCGGGTTGCGGCGGGGGTGGATGTGATAACCAGGGTAGGTCGCGGTAGATCGTGCGCGGGGTGGATTCATCAAGGAGACAGGTCGTCGAAGGGGTAGCGTTGTGCACTGGTCAGCGCTCATCCAAACCACCGCAGCCCACGGACGTACCCTTGATCGCGACATAAATGGGCCTCCCATCCTTCCCGTCATACTTGGTCAGCTCCTCTGGCGTATACGGGTCGTCCTTCGGAGGAGCCAAGTTCTCGCTCGGGGGCTGCATAATAGGCTTCAACGGCTTCTTGAGCGTCTCCTTCGCCGTATCCTGAGCCTCTGTTTCCTGGCTGTGCGAGGGCGATGACGGGGCTAGGAACGATTTGGCTAGAACATAGAGTATGGGTAGTCCAATAGCGAGAGAGTAGGTCGCTATAGACGACGGCGATAGGTCGAATTGGGAAAGGAACGGGAACCAGGAGGAGGTCATGATGGTCGCTGGTCGACCTCTCGGTGCTTTTCGCGCGCTGCGATGGCTGATGTTTGGCAACCACTCTCGTTGCAAACACATCTCCCCACCACCGTTCTGAGCGCCTATTAGTATTAACCTTGAATAAGACAGGTGAATGCAACTATCCGTCACAAGTAACCCTCAACTTGAAATCACGATCACGAAATAGCCTTCTCAACCCCAAAATGAATCCATATCCATATGATATGATATTCCCCACAGAATGGTATATATACACTATAAACCGTCATCTATCCAAATCACGCCAACAGAACAGCCCCAAGCGCAACAAAAACCAAACCTCCCAAGTTCACCTTCCTCAACACCGCACTCCCACCATCCTCCTCCGAGTCAGCATCGTCGGAACCTTCAGAAGGTGCGGTAGTTGTGGGCTTAGCGCCTGACGCACCCGTGCCAGAGCCAGAGCCGGAGCCGGAGCCGGAACTTCCACCTGCGGGCGCAGGGACCGTGGCAGTCGCATCATCGTCGTCGTCTGCGTCGTCGTCGTCGTCGTTGTTTGAGACAGGCGAATCCCCATCGTCTCCATCGTCACCATCCGAGTCTGGCAGAACACCATCGTACCCCGGAACAGGACGTCCCGCAGTCCTACAGCTTCCAACCATGACTATAGAGGAACCAAGTCAGAACTTTTAACCATGATTGATACCAAAAAACACAGGGGGAGACGCACCGGTAATCAACTGCTCCACCTGCTCAGCAATCTCCGCGTTCGAGAGCTGACCCACGGAAGTGAATATACACGGGAAGCACTCCTGCATCGCGTCGAGAGTTGAGGTTTGGCATGTGCATTCTAGGGCTTCGTCGCCTGCCAGGTTACCGCATCGCTGTTATTTTGAGAAGTCGTGGTGAAGGGAAGGGAACGGTTGTAAGTAGTCGGGGGTAATTGAAAGCCAACGATTAGTCGGGATGTAGTCAAAGGGGAGTAGGGATGTAGTCAGAAGGAAGTCGGGATATAGGTAGCAGGAAGTCGGGATGTAGTCAAAGTCGGGATGTAGTCAGAAGGAAGTGGGGATGTAGGCAGAAGTCGAAGCGTAGTCAGAAGGAAGTCGGAATATGGTCACAAATTAGTCACAAATTAGTCACAGAATAGTCAGAGAGCGCAGTCAGCATGAGGTGACAGGTCGTCAGAACCAAGTCCAAACGACCATAAGAAGAGAGGAAACGCACATCAAGAGCACCAACAGCAGCCCTACAATTATCCTGGCACCGAGAAGGAACAGTCGAGAGAAGTTCTCCAGGGATTTGACGCGCGAGGAGCCTGGAGGAGGTCGTGGTTCCGGGGATAGCGAGGGCAACTGTGTATGCAGTATTCAAGGAACCATGGTATTCAAGGAACCACGTATTCGTTCAAGGAACCAAAAAACGACGTTATGTTTTTGTGTCAGCCCCATTCAATCCACAACCCCACCGCAAGCCAACTCACCTTGCAAAATCGCCAACACCCCAGAAACGATCATATACCCCAGACGCATCTTAATAGTAACCACCCAGAACGAGTTACGACTTGTGACGAGGAGAAAGGAAAAGTTTGAAAGCACAGGTCAGGTAAAATTGAACGAACGAACAAGAACCCCAACCTCCTAAATACTTATACTCGTGCGCCCGTGTACACTGCACAGCACAGCACCCCTTGGCAAATTACCCTACACACCCCAAAACTATGAGCGCACGCCGAACCCGAACCAGGGCAACGCCGAAGGATCATATGGCGACGATCGCGCTTCATTTACGCGACAAGCCAGGGCGGTTGCGCTCTCGGCACCCCTTGGGCCTTAGACTTGGCACGGGCAGATCGATGACGTCCCTCTCAGTCTCCCCGCGCATCTAAGCGCCCGTTACGTTTTGGATTTTTGTAGGAAAGTGCGTTTACCTACACTGAGTGTAGTTAAAACATTCCAGACATACATACAGTGGAGGGTAATGAAGGAGTTGGGTATAAGCCCCTCTCCCGCTGTGATAAAGAGGTGCTTGGCGTCTAGCAGGGTGCAATTGGTGGGAGGTTTTTCGTGCCTGAGGTGAACCTGGGGACTGTTCAATACTGTCCACGGGTACATGCATGGTGCTCACGCGACCTTCAATGCCGCGACGTTGTCCGGTGTTCTGAATGTTGAGATTGAGGTTTCGAAACGAAGATTTGACTTAGCTTGGAACTTAGCCCACAAGAAAATACGAGCACGTGGAAATGATTAAACCTTCCACAGAACTTTACATCAATTCCATACGCATGTCTTCATACACAATACACCTAATTAATTAACCTGCACCGGGAACCTATTCCTCCTCTCCAAACTCTCAATCTGCTCCTCCCCCTGCTTCTGCGCCAACATCTCCACAAACTTCTCCCCAAGCTCCGCCACAGCCAGCGGATTCGCGCCACTCACCACCTCCCTATCCACCGTCACACTCCCAAGATTCTTGCTCGTCTGCGTCTGCATGTCCGCGCCGGCGTCGCGGAGCGCGGACTCGACTTTCTCGATGTGCCCGCCTTTGAGTTTTTCGACGAGGCTTTCGGAGGCGTCGGACCAGGAGGTGAGTTTGTACCCTTTGTAGGCGAAGCCGGTGGAGTTGGGGGCGACGCGTGTGGAGAGGAGGGCGTAAGGGCCGTGGCAGACCGCGGCTAAGAGAAACGAAGGTGCTTAGGTACGTATGATTCAGTCGGTGGAAGGAAGAGTTGAACGTACCGGTAGGTTTGCCATTCCGGTAGAAGTGAAGGAGAATACGACCCAGCTCGGGGTCAGCACCGAGATCGGTAAGTGGTGCATGTCCGCCAGGGATGAAAACACCCTTGAACCCTCTCAGCTCGTCATCGCCTATTTCACTAAAGGCTCTAGGAGCGTAGAGGGATTTCTCCACCCTCATCCTCTCGATCAACTCTTCCTCTTTCTTCTTCCTCCAATAATTCCCCATGTAGACTAGGATACTCTCGGAGAGGGGGTCGATACTTGGTTTGTTGCCGTGAGGGGATGCGAACTGGACATATCAACGTTCAACCGTCAACATGAGTCAATGCATGAGTGATTTTTTGAAATGACAGGAAAGAGTTTGGATAGAATGGAATACGTACTACGACGTCGTACCCGGCATCGAGGATCTTCTCGAGCGGCGTAGCCAACTCGGTGAGGAAGAACCCCGTTTTCTCCTCCGAGACGTTACCATCAGGCTTTTCGACGGCGAAGGAGTCTGCTCCAGAGAGAATAATCAGGATCTTTCCTTTCGACATGGTGGGTCACGGTGTGTTGAGGTTCGTATTGCAGTGAGGTATGGGTGTATCGAGGTATGAGTGATTCACCTGGGAGATGGGGTATGGTGTTTTATAAAGACACGCGCGTAGACATTGACATCATCGGTGACCGAAACTTAATGGATAAGACCAACTTGTCAACTTGTATGCTCCATGGAATCCTAGCTCAGCTAATACTTCAACGCTGCAACACGCACACACTTATGACATACGAAGGAGGCGAGGTATGCGGCAGGTGGAGAAGCTAAGTCGTTAGCGCCCATACTGGGAGATCATCCCTGCCAAGACCGCTTCTGTTTGCCATCAACGGTGTAGCCAAGCAACCACTCGACCTTGGATTTTAATTTGGAAAATCCTCTCGTTGCACCAAGTTAACGCGTACTATAGGGGGACTAGGAACCATGGCTTCGAATAGACAAAAGGTAACCTCTAGTCCCATGCACCTGGACGATACGTTCAATGTCTTTCCCCAGATCATCGAAGAAGCGAAGAAAGGTTGTACGGGCGCCTTCAAAAGGTTAACGATGGAAATCACGAAAGACACCTACACCGTTGCAACCCTCGACGCCCCATTGACCTACATCGGAAGGCACGCCATCCCACGTAACGAGCACGAGCGGATTATCTTCCACGACCTGTTCCCCCAAGCCCTAGCCGTTTTCATCTCCTGCCTCGTCCACTGCGACCGAAGCCCAACTCACAAACGCGCCACGGCCGCCAGAGTCCGCTCAAAACTCGACGACATCATCTTCTGGCTTGACTTTTGCTCTGCCTATGCGACAAAGACCAAGGACGACACTTTACCACCAAGACACCCAGTTTGGTCTGTCTGGCGCTGGATCAGATTGCGGGCCTGGACGACGCGTCGTTGGAGAGCGAAGTCATGTCCTGCCCGACGACGATCAAGATCCTTCTGCGATGCTGGTCTTTTCGTAATGGAGACGAAGACGCGCCGTTCCCGCCTATGAACGACCATGGCCACAATTGCAACATTACCGGGCTGCTTAGGAGGTTTCTGCTAGGCAAGGATTCGCGTACCGTCTTGCTCGACGCGATCCTATCTTCCCAACGCTCCATCGACACCTTCTGCGACGCTCTCGTTGCCCGGATCTCGCAGATCCCGGTTCTTGAGGAACGAAATGTCGATAAGCTCGTGTTGGCACATCGGTACTCGTTCCTACTCGTCACTTGCGTTGAACTGGTATCGACACAGGCGATCTACCGAGGGATGCGGAGACGCGGGTTCCTTCGACACGGTGTCCGAGCTTCGCGGTTCCTCCACGCCAACTTCCCTGTTTCCCAGTCCTTCGGTGACGATGCGCGATTGGTCCTCCTATCGCACCAGCCAGGGGCCAACCCCGTCAAGGGGATGAAAGAAGTAATCGAAGCTGGGATGGTTCCGCTTCTCATGGAAGCCTTCAAGCATCCTGAAGCGCTTGAATCCCATAAAGACGAATGCGAGAGCGTATTCCTCGCGTGGAGGGCTTCGACGTTTCATTTTGAGACGTTTGAAGTCCTCCTTGAGGCGTTGAGGAAGCTCCCGAAGGAGCTGACCCCGACTGCTAGCGCTTGGAAAGATGAGGGGCCCTTGCCGTTCCGGACCTGGGACAATTGGTACAGTGTTCTTCAAGCCCGGTTCGGATTTTCGGATTCGGCGTACTATCTATGTGATAATGACACGGTAGGTTTTCTTCCCCCGTCTCCATGTTAAGTATAACCACTTAATTTATTCTATTCCTATATATATAGCATTACGCACTGAACGATCGGGAAAGGGTGAAGCCGATGTTTTGCGCGGGGTGCCGTTCGGTGATGTACTGCAGCGTTACATGCCAGCGCGCAGATTGGAGCACTCGGCACCGCGAAGAGTGCAAGGTTATGCACAACTCGTACCTCGGTGCGTTACATGTTCCCCGGGGTCCCTTCCCCATTTCCAGTTAACCCTTTCGATGCTGACGCTGACGGTGCCCGTACGCCCGTCCATATCCAGAGCGCAAGAGGAACGGCATTCGGTTCAGCCAGCACGCGCGGGGGCAGACGGTCGCGCTCTTCCAGAGGCTCTTCGCCATCTACGCGGACGTACTCGACAAAGACCGGGGAGAGCAGTTCCCTGATCGGCTTACTACTACCAATGACTTGATCACCCTCCTCGATTTTACGGGAGAGTATTGGACTATGACGATGGTTTCGTTTCGTATTGTGGAGTACCTTGAGACGAAGCGGCGGCAGACGGTTCCTGAGTGTCCGGCACTGGAGGATCGCGCGTCTGGTATCATCCGCGGTTTCCGGGAGAATGGGGACCCGGAAGCTAGGCTTGTGGATGTTATTGTTTCTTGGAGTCCGATGCATCGGGTTAGTTTGCTTGTTGAGGCTCTCCCTGTTGGGCCCAATCGGGGTGGGAAACGGAAGTGGGATGTTGTGCGCAGTATGTGGCAGGTTGAGCGGTGAGTTTGTGTATCTTATGGGTTTCTTTGCGTTTTTGAAGGCTAATGAAGGTGTGATGTAGTCGGAATCCGGATGATCCGGTGAAGCATATCCGAGTTATGGGATTCTTGGATGGAGTTGATGAGTAGTAGTCGTTTCGAGCGTCGATCTCAGCTTTCGCGCATCGTAGAGATTTGTGCTTTGACCCCTTCGTTTCCCAGGACTTGCGTTGTGATATACCGTTTCGTTCATAGTACATACCCAATCGGACTTGTGCTTTGATACTACCTCAGTCTATCGTTGTGACCCCATCTTCATTGTTTGGTATTCGAGCATGACATTCGCTTGGACACAGACGAGGAATGGGTATATAAACTCGAGTGGCTCAGAGGAGTTTAGTCAGTTAACCCCGTCGCCCGCCTTACGACTGGTTGCAAACGGCTGCGCCTATTTGGACGAAGACGACTGCTCTGGATCACGACATCGACCTCGACTACCACTATTCTACTGCAAAGGTTTTCGCTGAACACATCCCCCACGTACTTGCCTTCCTATCCACCTCAATTGGTCACCTCGATTTCCCGAATACGGCGTGTGTAAATGGAAATGAATGCTGGAAAGATCGAGAATGGTGATGCCGAGGCTCCGTCGGCAAGTTATACCTCGAGTTCAACTTTTGACGGAAATAGGGAAGGCCAGCTCTCTCGATCTCAGTCTTCAATTTCCTCAGTCGACTCTGCGTCGTCAGACCACACTCAATGCGTGGTGCGCGACAACACCGGTGACAGTGACACTACTGATACTATCAAGGACTCCTCTGGTCAGGATAGCTTGAACGTACGAGGTTCTAACACGGGCAATCGTGATTCTGCAGTTGATGACTGTATTTGTTCCAACCAAGAATCATTTACTTTGGAGACAGGAAACAATGTGATATTAGTAGAAAACAATAGAGCAATCGAAATAACAGGCCGTCAACGACTCAGCACTGAACTCAATCTGCAATTGGAGAAGAAGACTACTGATAGTACGAGGATGATAATGCATGGGAGGCGCCCAGTCGTGAGACGTGCACCGATGTATGCAGAGTACCGTCTTGAGCTGGACGCGGTGAGGGGGGAGTGGGTGCAAATTGTTGACGTTGACGGAGATGGTCCGGGGGATGGGGATGGCGATGGCGATGGGAATGGGGGTGTTGAATGTGGGAGGGAATCATGATGGGGATGGTTTGGAGGTGGTCTAATGGCGGGATGCTAGCTTTTGAAGGGTGCAATTATGTACAACTCGTGTATCCTACTGTATATACTTTATTCTATATGGGAAGTTCTCAATTATTCAACTGAATCGACCTGATGTTAGACGTTAGTCTCAACAATGCCTTTCCATTTGTTCTCTTCCGAGCGACGAAAGTGAAGACAAAGATAGAATAGAGATAGAGATAAGATAAGCGCCCAATCTCATCATCCCATTATCTCATCTGATCAGCTCTATGTAATCGCGCCAAGCCTTTGGTGGCATTCCTGCGGGGGTATGCAGGACAGCACAGCCACGGATCGCGTCGCCCCCCTTTGATGACCGATATCGCCTAATCCGAGCTCATCTCTTGCTTGCTTCTTACCACCAAAGTGTGCTACTCTCTGCTCTGCTAAGCAACTCTCTGCAACACGACTGAACGATTCGCTGATTCGATTACTGAATACCTTTTGGCTGCATTCACGGTAAATAATTGGGTAGGGGGTATGTGTGTTGAAAAGGAGGGGCTGACGCGCGAATAGATATCTAAGATACGCATCTCACGACGATTTCGACGATTCGACGAACTGGAAACGCCCATCGATATAATAGCTTAACGATTACACGAAGCAATACCCACCCAACTGAATACACAACTTACAACCCACACCCCACACACACACAACCTCCCACCAGTCCCGTCCAGTCCAATCAACCAATGCCCATAATCCAATTCTCACCCTTCTCCTCGGTCGTGTCTCCTGCCTTCTGGCACAAACTCACCGAACTCAAGATCGACGTCCTCCGACTCTCTGATGCGCCTTTGACGATCTCGGGGACCTATACCGCAGGACGGAGCATCGTCGATCGGGAGACGGGGCAGGAGGTGGTGCTGCCGTGCTCGTTTGGGGTTGAGGGGGAGAGCTTTGAGGTGTCGGGTGTTACTGGGGTTGGTGTTGGTACTGGTGGGGTAGGAGGTGTGAGTGTAGGAGAAGGAGGAGGAAGAAGGAAGGGAACGGTGAAGGTCCAGGGGACGTTCAAGAACTTTAACACCATCGAGGAGTTTAAGAGTAGTGATAAGACTGCGTTGTTTAACGAGGAGGCGCAGAAGGTGCGTCTTCATCTCTCCCTCCATCTCTTTCCTGCCCTTCCGCCTCACAACCAACCAATCACCAACCAATCACTAACCAATACCTACGCGACACGGCAGATCTGGACCTCGATCCTGACGACGAAATCCACGAAAGAGCTGACCCGCTTCTTCCTCATCTCCTTCGCTGATCTCAAGAAATACAAGTACTACTACTGGTTCGGCTTCCCCGCCTTTGTCGCCAAACCCGCTTGGGAGATCGGGAGTGAGGGGTGGAAGAGTGCGAAGGAGAGGTTTAGTGCTGATCAGGTGTGTGTTCCGTCGTATTTGAGTGTTGGAGGACACCTTACTCACGTTGGATTGGTGGGTGCGAGTAGCTCTCGTCTATCGACGCCCAAATCAAGGATCGGCCGTTCTTCCTCGTCGCTGGTACACCCAATGGTGATTATACGGTTGGGAATGTGGAGGATTACGAGACGTTTTTCAAGGGTGTTGCGACAGAGAACGTACGTCGCCCACCTTCGCTACCCTCCTTTCTCTAACAACTCACCCCCCTCACAGCGCATAATCGGCTTCATCGACCCCTCCGCCGACCCCGCCAACCCAGGCTGGCCACTCCGCAATCTCCTCGCCTACCTCCGCGCCCTCCACCCCGAGTCTACCTCTGAACTCACCGTCCTCAGGTGGAGGGACACGCAGAATTCCAAGTTGGGGGTTGTTACGTTGAATGTTGAGGGTGAGTTGTCGTTCTTCGCGGCTGATTGAGGGCTCACTGACGCCTAAATATGTTAGGGACCTCGAATGCGACCCCGTCGGTGGACGAACGGCCCAGCGCTGTTGGGTGGGAGCGAAATCCGCAGGGCAAGCTTGGAGCTAGGTTGGCTGATTTGGGGCCTATGATGGATCCTACGAGGTGCGTATCTCTCGCTTTCTACTAACCCGATCTCTCCGAACCATGATTAACCCCCTACCCTCCCTCTCTTCCCCCACGCAGACTCGCCGCTCAAGCCGTCGACCTCAACCTCAAACTCATGCGATGGCGTATCCTCCCCCAACTTGACCTCGAGAAGGTGCGCGATACGAAATGTTTGCTGTTGGGTGCTGGGACGTTGGGGTGTTATGTTGCGAGGGGGTTGATGGTATGTGCTTAGTTTTCTCATCCTCCTTTGAGAATAGCTAACTGACTGCTTCTTTGCACCGCGCTTCATTCATCCGCTCTGCTTTGGTATATCGACGATCATCTCCATTGCCCAATCGCCCGAACAACGTCGACACGCTTATTTTTTGTCGACCGACTCCTTTTGTACGCTGGACTGTCATATCGGTACCTGCCCCACGCACGCACCTGCGCACGGACATATATAGGCCTGGGGCGTGCGCAACATCACCCTCCTCGACTCTTCACGCGTCTCGTTCTCGAATCCGGTTCGACAACCTCTGTTCACGTTTGAGGATTGTTTGGATGGGGGGAGGCCTAAAGCTGAATGTGCTGCTGAGCGGTTGAAAGGTGAAGTCCTTTCTTCTTTGTTGATTGTATGATACTGAACGAAAATGGCAGCGATTTTCCCTGGTGTGAATGCGCGTGGTGTGGCGCTTAGTATTCCGATGCCTGGGCATCCGGTCGGGGCTGGGAGTGTTGAGCAAGGTGCGTTTCATGTTCTTACCTTGTGGTTGTGGTTGTTGTCTTCTTTTACTGACGCGATATGTGATTGTTCTGGTACCTTCTGACGCGATATGTTGTGTCCTTTCTAACGCTCCTATATCTCGCAACGCCCATATCTCGCTGCGGTCTAACGCGCCCATATATCTCGCTACCGTCTCAACGCCCATCCATTTCGCCACGGTTGCAAATCTCGCTGCTGCGGTCACGCCACGATATAGTGAAAGCGGACGTGGCGAAGCTGGAACAACTCATCGAAGAGCACGATGCTGTGTTTTTGTTGATGGATTCTAGGGAGAGTCGGTGGTTGCCTACTGTTATTGGGGCTAGTAAAGGCAAGGTGGGTGCGACGTTCTTCCCTGCGTTCCAGTTGGTTGTGATTTTCTTTCTCTCTATCTTCTTGTCTACTACATGGTCCCCGCCTTTGCATCACTTCCTTCCACCTCTTTCACCTTCTCCTCATCCTAATCAAATCCGCGTTTCAAACGAACGTCATTTTCAAAACCAACACCTCCTTTCAAACCAACACCTCCTTTCAAACCAAACCCACCGAACTACACGCGTGCTAACCACCCCCTCACTAGATTGTAATAAACTCAGCCCTCGGTTTCGACACTTTCCTTGTTATGCGACATGGGATCCGGGCGTCCAAGGTTAAGCAGGGTCATAAACGGTTGGGGTGTTATTATTGTAATGATATTGTTGCGCCTGGGGATGTGAGTTTGTTTTTCGTTCTTGGTCGTGGGTTTTTGTTGGGGGGGGTTTCGTCGAGGGCTTGGGATTGGCCTTGACGAAATTGGGATTGGTCTTCGGCCTTTGTCGAGGCCAGGACGTCGACACGAGAATCATCGAACTCGTACTAACATTCGATGAAACGCTTTGCTGACGCTCGATTAAACCATGAAAACCCTTAACTGACGCTGAATCGATTCTCTGTAGTCCCTCACGGATCGAACGCTCGACCAGATGTGTACCGTTACGAGGCCCGGTCTTGCGCCTATCGCTGCTGCGACGGCTGTTGAGCTGTTGACGAGCGTGTTGCAGCATCCTGATGGGTAGGTCTCTCTCTCCCTGTCTATGGCTGTGGTGGATTCGAGCTGACGCCTGTCTCCTTCCCCTTTCTTTGCCTTTCTTCCCGCTCCTCTTCTCTCGTACGCGGCGCCTTTTCTCTCCTTCCACGCGCACCATCTTTTCTCTCTTTCCACGCACCATCTTTTCTCTCTCTCTCCACGCACACGCGCCATCTTTTCTCTTCCTCCACGCACGCCCGCGCACGCGCACACACCACCACCACCACCAGGATCCACGCGCAACCCCCACCCCCTTCCTCAGCAGGAGGCGCAGGGGACTTCCTACCGACTTCATCTTACGCTGAGCAAGGCGGGAGCGTGCTCGGGATGGTACCGCACCAGATCCGTGGGTTCCTTGCTCAGTTTAGGAATTTGCAGTTGGTTGGGAGTGGGTATGAGCGGTGTGTTGGGTGTAGTGAAGCTGTGAGTGTTTGCTTTTTGGTTTTCTTTTTTTGGGTTTCGTTTCCCTTGTTTCCGTTGGCGTAGTCCACCTCGTACGTCGTTCCACCCGGAAGATTAGATTTGGGGATGACTACGATCATATATATATATATCCCGCCTCAAAAAACCCTTTATCGCTCCCGTTCTCACTCACTCGTACTAACCCCCTCTCTCTTCCCCATAGATCCTCCAAGCATACGAATCCCAAGGTTTCGCGATGCTTCTTAAAGCGTTTAATGAAGACAAGTACCTGGAAAAGTTGAGTGGGTTGGATAAGCTTGCGGAGGAGGGTGAGGCTGTGCTTGAGGCTGTTGACTGGGAGGAGGACGGTGGGGATGATTTTTAGGGGGTGGGTTTAGGGGGTTTGGGAGGGGTGGGGGTTAGGGGAGTGGTGCCAGGTGGGAGGGAGGGCTTCCGAGGGATGGGCGTGGGGGTGGGGGAAAGGGGGGAAAATTGGGAGGGAGGAAGGGAAGTGTATGAATAACTTGGCTTTGTCGTTCGTTGTTATATTCTAGGCATGTTTTTCTTCCTTCGCATAGGAAGGTGTGAGGTTGAGGCGTTGCTTGTGTCCGTCGTGACTTGTGTGATTTGTGATTTGTGCGAGTTGGGATCTCCGAGTCTGTGTGGGGGGTGAATTCGAGCGAGCGTTCAAACGTTCGCCGTAAGGACGCTTCTAACTTCGTGAATCGTTTTGGTGCCCGGTAGTACACACACCTGCTAACTTCTCGCTTCATTTCGGTGGGTGCCGATGTAACTGTGAGCTTGAGCTGGAGCCTTCGCTGGCTAGGTCAATTCTGAAGACGGCTATCGCGGGTTGGACTGTAGTCTGTAGCTCGGTTTTAGTTGGCAGTGGTGTCCCTGTACGGCTGGCTACGGCAAAGTTGGGTGTGTGAGAGATTTAAAATACTTCTTCAATCCATGAACGGTCACAGTGTACATCGCAACTTCGCAAGTATCCGGGATCCCCGAGGGTGTTTGCTTCCGACTTGTTCTTCGCAGGTGTGGCTTTTAAATTGGGAAGTACGACTAGATCTCGGGATGGGAGGCTCGTACCTGGTGGGCCCCAGTACGGGTGACTCGGAGCGCCTTCATATACATGGCTAATGGAAAAAAAAAAAAAAATCGTTCCGGCTGGGGTTGGTAGTTAAGATTTGATGCATCCGGGTATCCTATGGGGACCTTGGGACTCGCGATTCGATGGAAGGCGAGGCTCTAGTCAGTCAGGGAGTGTGTTATCTAACGTCGTACGTAACTATCCAACGTTCGAAGGAATACTGGACCCTGGTTGTGAGGTAAGTCATGGCCATATGGTCGAGTAGACATTTCAGCGCTCTTCGAACTTTGAAGTCCCCAGAACCGTTGTCGGAGCGCTTGGTAGGTGATTCTATCCGTTCGCTACCGCGCGGAAGCACCTAGTTAGTCGCTGCTGTGCACATAAACAGCCCACAAATCACGACACTGCTGGGAAGGTTTTGTCTTACATCCGCAAAGTCTCTGCCCTTCGAAGCGTTTGTGATGTCGTTAAGTGTGGGCTGAGTGTGGGATTGTCCGTGTCTTGGGGATTCGGAGGCTTCGACTTTTTGAGATTTATCGTGGTACTCTGAGCAGCCTGTTCTGGGAAGCTTCGAGCTTGAAAATCATACAGTGGGATTTCCATGCGATCAGGAAGTAAAGTAGGACTTCCTAGGGATCGGCACGCTTTGGTGCTGTATCGGTTGCGAGATGAGGCGCGAGCGAGTGTAGTACACGGGCACGGATGAGCCGACGACAAGGATGTTGTTTGTGGACGACTTCTTACTGGATTTGTAGATGCCATTAGAGCGCTTAAGGACCCACGAGCGGGTGTTTCGGCTAGGAGTGTAGCGCCCGTATATCCACAGGAGGAATTACGTGTTGCGTTTTTGGGTATAAAAGCCTCTTCAGCCGTTCTCTCGATTGTTCATTGGGAACAAGCAACGTGTTCTCTAATCTCTAAACCAAAGCCTTCAAGGAAAGCCACACGCCACACTTTATACCCGTGAGGAGCCAACTTCCGCTTGGGCTAGACCTCTCTTTTGCTTCCCACCTCCGATATCTTTCAGATCCTTCTACAATATGCAATTGAAGAATCTCACCCCATTCCTCGCCATCGTGCTCTCAGTTATAGGAGGCACCAACGCCCAAGGCCAATCGTACATCCTACCCTGGTACGGTGGACAATGGTGCAACGACCAGACCATCGTCGGTCTAGCCATCGCCGACGCACCGACCGGGGGGTGCCGTCTCATCCGAAGCACGACCAACGGGGCACACAACGTTCACAGTTTTGCGGCCAATGGAGCTGGGAGGTTTAATATCCGCGTGTGTACTGGATTTGGATGTGATGGGCATTGTGTGTGGACTGGGCCTGTACGTCCTCCAGGGGGTGCGTGTTGGAATAGGCTCCCGCATGAGGATCCTTGGAGGAGCTACGAGGTTGTTTGGGCGTAAAGACGTGACGGATTCGGAATACTTCTATGTTTAATGTTTGTGGCTGTCTGTTCGTCGTTTTGACTGAATGTATGTTTATTTGGTGGAAGGCATGTCTTTCAATAAGATTGTCCGGCTGTGTAGTTTGATACTACGAGCCATGATGCCACATCGGTGGCATCGGTGATCCGGTGCAGAAACTCAGCATTCTTCGAGAGTCGCCTTGGGCGAGGAGGGAACTCTAGTCTCATACTTTGGATTTGATACTGAGGACCTCGCCTCAAAAGACACAGCTGTCGTCACTATAGACGCCGGGCATAGATCAAAGGGATCAAAGTCTTGTGATGGCACACCAAACGGACAATGGGAACGTGACTTGACTCTTACTCGAACTTTGGAACAAACGCGCCTTTCACCTGGACCACCACCATGTCGACAGGTAAACGTACTCTCGCAGCCGCCCTGCGGTCCTCCAAAGACGTCCAAGCGGTCAACCTCCCCGAGACCATTGGATACTTCGTTCAGATTTCGTTGGACGACCTCGATCGCAAGCGGAATGAGATTATGGAGACGGCAACTGACGGTACTTGGGAGAATGCGGACGAAGAGACTACTGACCTTTTTCATGACTTTTTTAGGATCGTTATGAAGGCCGCCAACTGGGCTGCGTTTGCTGACTTTTTAGATGCCCTTGAAGCTCAACATCGACGGGCCTTGTACGCCGGAGCGAATTGTCTTTCGAGAAAGAAGAAGATCTTTGGAATTTATACGCCATCGTTCAGAGAGGCTGTACCGCGTATTATGGAAGATGGAGAGGTCGTGTGGATGGAGTATCCAAGCTTGGTTTTTAACCCCCAGACTGATTTCCATTACGCCGCTGGTTTGAGCGTGGAAGCGAGGGAGTTCATGCAACAGTGTTGGAATGACCATTGTCGTTATATAGATTTGGAGATTGAACTTAGGGATCCGGAGGAGTCGTTCATCGCGCAGTTTGTAGCACAGAGGGGCCCGCTTTTTGGATTCGAGAAGTACCGCTAGTTATCCGTAGCATACACGCACGTCAGTTGGTGTTACGTCCTGCATTTCATTTCAAGTGTCTTGATACTTTCATGATCACCTGTAACGTCTCATAGATAGCTGTACTCGTAGATACTACTTCCCAAAGTGCAACGGAGAAAGCTTTCGCATTAGATCCGGGCCAGCGTAATCGTTAAGCATAATTTACAATCAGTCAAACGAATGTCGAGACCGCCAGCGGCCATATGTTTCGAGCCGAACGGTTGACTACAACCGCTATACGTCTACTATGCGGGCAGACGTATTAAGACTTTGCAGCTTCACCACGGCAGCGCGAAAGGTACCTTCTTGCGTCGCCTGGGTTATTTAACTTCAAGTTCTTGCATCTAGCTCCCTCGGGTACCCATCCCTCTTCATCCTATCAGTTGAAGAGGCGCTTCAGAACCCCTAAAGTCCCGCCTGATAGAGACTTCTGCCGCTGGTAGAAGCTCGGGAACGTCCTTGAAAACAGCGAAGAGCGAGAGAATGGGAGACCGTTCCCAGAGGAGGCTTCGTCGTCGTTATCGAAATCGTCGAAGCATCCCAGAGCGCGACGAATTAGCATGTAGGCTTGAGAGGGGGTGCGAATTCCAGAAGAGACACAATTACTTAGAGCATCCTGATACGACAAGATCTCGTCGACGGAGAGGTATTCCGGGTTGCGATAAGTTTGCAGATAGGAACCCGACGAAGCGGTTGACTTTCCAGAAGTCGGCCAAAATTCGAAGCTGAGCATTGTGAAACTTTCGAAGGGTGGTGATAGTAGGGAGGGTTCGGACGGGCTCCAGTACCGTAGGTGGTTTGCGCGGTGATAGCGTATTTATACTTATTCCAAGGTCTTTGTCTACCGTCGCGTTGCAATGCCACACTTGTCGCGACAACGTCAACGGAACGACAATGGTAGGTAGGTAGGTAGGTGGGTAGCTCTGGCGATTTTTGCAATCGAACTTGAGCATCTTATCTTATCTGATGATTGGTAAGGCCTTTCATGCCCGATAGCGCGTGAAGTTCAACCTAAGTCCTAGTACGCGGAAGTCAACGGTCGCGGAAGAAGTACTGACTGCCTCCTCGTACGAGTCTGTTAGAACGAATGGAACGTGTTGAAGGGGATGAGAGGCCGTTCCGCAGTCGTCTGAAGTCTAAACCGAGTTTAAACCAAGTGCCAAGGCCAACGGAGCTACGTTGGCCTTCGCTTCGGATACCGCCTCACACCCCAACCGAAAACCGATGTAGATTTGATTAACGTACATAGTTCACTTGGAGTGGTGGATCGTCTTGGATCATCGTATCCCGCGCCTGCATCACGGCTAAGTCTAGCTTACCCTCAGCACCATTCATACAGGAAATTGCTGATGGCCCTCCCAGACACGATGGTATACTCGAGTAGTAGGGTACCTAAGAGATAACGCGTTTTGTGGGGTTGCCTTCGTCAAGTATGAAACGTACAGGACTCGCTTTCCCTTGGAACGTGTGTTGTGGCTGCCAATGAACTCCGCAGTGGTGGGGAAGGCCAAATGACGAGACGCCTACGCTACTCCCGCATTCCTCGCTTCTCCATAAGGGTTAGATTTTTGATGACGTCAAGTCGTGGGGAACAAGCTGGAGAGGTATATAAAGACCAAACTTTACTCGCTACCATTTCCCCAGCATCTGCTTCTATCGCTTCCTCTTCACAATGCGTCTCACATTGGCCGTCGTTTCCATCGTCACGCTCGCTCTCCAAGGTCAGTCCAGCACTTCACCATATCGAACAATTAGACGAACCTGATAATGGAATATCTAGCGTCCGCTCTTGCTCATCCCGAGCCCAATAAGCTCGTTGCGCGTCAAGTCCAAGTCCCTAATGACTACCTCGACAACATCCCTGCTCATTGCAGGGATGACTGTGACGACATCACTCGCACTGTCGATGTACTGCGCTCCATCCTTGTTGCCGCCCGTCTTTAAAACTGATTCATTTATACAGCGATGCAGGAGTCTGAGCGGCAATGAGGCTAGAGATTGCACGTGTCGCGAAGATACGCTCGAAGACTATGAGGAATGTCTCCCTTGTGTCCTCGCTGCCGATTCCTCGCTGTCCAATCAACAAGTCCGAACCCAAGTGCGCAATACTCTGAATGGTAGGTCTGCCACACCTTGATGAGTAGTGTATCCTCTGACAGGCCTCGTGTAGACCTCCTTGACTCGTGCAGTGCAGCAGGTCGCCCCGTCAACGACTTCGACTTCGATGACGACGACTACGATGATGACGACGACGACGTGTTCGAAAACCGCCCCACTGGCTCCAACACCGGTACGCCCGCTTCTGGGACCAGCGTTCCCTCCCCCAGACCCACTAATGGTGAGGATACAGGAGGCGCTATCTCCTTTACACGTGGTGGTGTTGGCCTCCGGGCGGCCGTCGGTGCTGGAATAGGGGCCCTTCTTGCCTTTTAATTAGTTTGAATTACGATATGTTCAATCGAGCAGTAATCTTCTCGTTGCCTAATTTTTTGTGTAGCTTCATATGGAATCATCGCATATCCTCATTCTGCCATGGTCACTGCCCGGCGCCAGTTGAACTTGAAGGTTCCGTTGAAGGTTCCGTTGATTGACAATCTCATTGGAAGAGATGAGATTATGTTTGTTCCTAAAGCGATTGGTAAACACTGCACTCGACACCACTTGCATCCATCCGAGCACCTCGGGTGTGTGGGGGTTGCGTCACGTCTTCACGTCTCCTGGACAGAGGGACACATGAATTAATATTTTCAAACTACCGCCATCTATCCTCGAGGCAGTTTCAGGGGCCATCCGCAGTATAGGGCAAGCACACGGAGAAGCGGATGCGTCACCACCCGGGAAGGCAACATGGTTCTTGGGTTCAAAATGGTATCGACTAACATGTTCAAGTTCACAGAGTGAGCACCTCCACCGATTTATCTCACGTCAACGAGCCCTCTATCGGTAGTACCACAACCACCGCGGTCAGGAATTCAGCTCTTTCAAGCTGAATTTAGACACTTTCATTCGCTTGACTGGCATCTCTGTTTGTCTGAACCTCCCGAACTGGGGGTGTTGGCCTCTCAATCAAGCAACGTCAAACATAAACAAAAGAAAGCCGTGATTTCATTCGCGTGAAATCTCTTAGCTCTACTATTCATAACCGTCATGTTGCACACCTACTTATCTACTGCGATCTGTCTGCTGGACGAAAAAGACCACCTTACTGGAGAACGCGAGCAAGCCATCCGCGGCATCTCTCCACCGACTCGAGGCGCTCCTACTAGTCGCGTCAGTCCGGGCTGGTAGTCCCACTAGTATGGACCAACCGCTTACCCCTTTCCGTTGTTAGTGTCGGTGGAAGGCAGTGAAGACGGTTGCTTCTCTTTCATCGGTGCTCTCCTAGAACGGGATTTTCCACGTTTTTCTCCTTTTGACTGCGCTCTGGATGACTGCGGATCAACCATCCATGAATGCGAGTTCGACAACATGGACGAGCGAATGGTACTCACCTTCAACTCAGACATCACCCAATCCTCGTATCCCTCCCTGATTGCGTTGAACTGATGCTTCTTTCTCCCGATGTGCTTCTTGAGGTTGTAGGCGTACAGGCCCGTCGTCTGCGTGGACTTTCCACGCGCATCGAGGCGAATGCTTTGGTCGCAGAGTATGCATCGTACTTCGACGGGGCTGAGGATTTCGACGAAAGGGATCTTGAGCATTTCCTCGACTCGTTCGTCAGGGGCCAGGTAGCTGTCGCCGATTTCGCGTTTCTGTAGGATCCTGGGCTTGGCGCTCTGAGGATGCCAATTGTGTCAGTGCGCGAATGGACAAAAGGAAAGATGAGGAGGCGTACGCTGGAACTGCGGGTGACACGAGCTACTCGTTTCTCGTCGGCTGAAGTGTAGGGATCCTTCGCAGGATGAGGTCTGGATGAGGAGGGGAGACAACGCTAGGAAGTCAAGCTCAGATTTCGGTCCGGTAACTCAGATGGTAAACGAATACTCACATAGCGAGCCATTCTTGGTGTACTGATGGGTGGTATGAACTTCAAAGCTCTAGGCGGAAATGGATGCAAGACTACTGGCTTGGTGAGAGTTGGTAAGTGGGACGAGTGGCAAACTTCGAGGTCTTTGGGTTATAATCAACGACGATCGCCAACGACCAATTTATATCCATTGCCTTAGGCGCTTAAACCTCTCTTTCTTCGCCATCTTCGTGCATTTACAGCTCTTCAAGTGGTCGAGAGAGGGGCAGCTTCGACCTCAAGGCTACAACGTGCCTACCCCATGTCGGAAGCCTGCGCTATCCCCGAGGTTACTGCTTCATCGCATTTGACTCGAGCGGTTGCCGTATTTAGCAATGAGAGAGTGCAATGCGGCAAAGACTAGCTGTCGAGGTTATCGTGAGCCACTCGGCTTCAGGCGTTTCTTGTGTCATATGGTCACCGATTTCAGGTCTTTAATGAGAATCCAGATTCGTAAGAGGAAAATGGGCGTTGTGAAGGGCCTTGAGGGGTCTTGTATGGCATTGTGGGCGCCGGTAGAATGGAGCGAAGGTCGTAAGAAAATGCCCACCCGAAATCTAATCAGCCGCCTGAGACCTCTCCCAACGTATCCAGGTGCAGTTCTCTCCCATTTTCTAACCAGACTTTTGTAACTGTTGCACCCTTCATTGTGGAATGTCACTCTGTTGGACGAGGAACGGAAGAGAGATGATCGAGGGCCGATCTTTTGGCTGCACAGGTTCCGACTGCTAGATAGAGCATCGCCTCGTAAACCTGTTCGTCCACACCACCTTTAGCCACTCAACATCTCTTCTACCTTCAGGCTCGGCAAGTTCATGAAATCCAATTAGAAGCTCTGTCGTCAGCTCCCGTCCCGCGCCGTTTTCTAGGAACCAAATACCTGCTTTTGAACGACTCTCCAATCTATCCGTGACTGTCTGTTCTCAAACCCCATACGTGCGGATTTGAAACCCAGAAATTGTGATGGTAGAACGGAGAAATGGTCGACAGGAACGCGCATCGTCTCGCTCGCGTCGCCCTTCCATAACGAGCTTGAAAAAACATTTTCACCTTGCTTCTTGACCAACTGATGTGCTCGGGAACGAAGAGGGCACCCACAGTAAGTGCTTTAATGAGATGTCTTGCGATCGAGTGGCAACGGAGTCTGAAAGAACAATAGGAATTTGAACGCATTGATGTCACAAAGGAAGGGCTTCGACTTGAATGAGCGTTGTGGGGTGCTAACCGTCAGATAACACTCGCTGGACAGTGGACTATGGGGTATGTACTGTTCAAATTTTTCCCGCGAACAGGGATGAGACTTACTCATGCTGAAAACGCAGATCGCCCGGCGATCACAACACGCAGAGTTGTTGTGTCCCCACAGCATTGCTATATCACGCACGAGTTAGCATTGTAGGGACGGATGGCCCAGTTATATAAGCTCCATTGACCGCGAAAAGCGGGGGTCTGGCTTTGCCCGGACCCGGTGTATTGGAAGTGTGGCCCACCCACGTCCCACTCGTGATCAACTTTGGCTAAGCTACATCGTCTCTCTGATTCAGAGGATAGTCTATCATGATGATGTTACCGTGCCGGCTTAATATTTGCGAATGGGTGTTCTAGGACTACATGCATCGTTGACCTGAGATACACATAACGGATCGCTCCTATACAAGTCTACGCGCATCTGGCCATCCACTGATTGATCCTTGTGCGTCTTTGTCACAGTGCATGTCAATCTGTTTGGCTTTATTAGTATCAGACGCCCTCGTCCTTACCGCCAGCGCTCGCGCGGCGCTATTCACTTCCATAGCCTCCACACACCCTCGTTATTCATTCACGTAGATACCCGTCTTCCGATTCTAGCTTGACCTTGTGCACTATGCGTGTGGTGAACCGAGGTTGAGGCTATTCCACCACACCCGTCCCTTACAGGAGGGCTTACGCTGCTAGGACGCTGTAGTAATAGACTGCACGAGAAGCGCCCGCTGGACTACACCGGAGCGCTCCAACATGGGCGCACAGTCTCAGGGATAATGTACGGTTTACCGAGGGTACATGCTTATTCTAACTACAAAAAAGCCAATACAATTGGAGGTTGACAGCCATACAGGTCGTCATACAGGTCGTTTCATCGGTCGAGACGAAATTGCTTCAGTAAACCCTTTTCCTTTCATCTGGCTGAACTCCTTCCTGTCCAGCATTACACTTTCTCTCCCGACAAGCCTACACCTTCTCCTCCTTCTCCGTGGCTTTGACATCAAAAGAAGTAACTCCGTCGTCCAACGCACTGTCAGCGCCCGATCGCGTCTGAGCCTGAGTCTGAGTCGAATCTCTCAAACCATCCGTAGCTGCGCCCTCTTCGAACGCAGCTTTCGACTTTTCAAAGTGCGATCCATGGTTTCTGTTAGTCGTCCGTCTGTCAGTCGAGTAGCAGCACAGCTGTTGCCCTAGACGCACTCTGGCCCGATTATGGTGATGAAGATCACGAATGCGGCGATTACACCGATGAAGATGCCTTGTACCTAGAGTGAGTGGTCTTAAGGGAGGGGTCTAATGAATGGCAAAAAATGAGTAGAGTAGTACCTTGGCGTAATCCGGGACTACAGTGGGAACACCGTCTTTTATGATTGTAGTCTTCATGTTGTTGCCCCCAGCTAAGTACCATCCTTGGTCAGTGACAAGATAATAGAGATGGAGTTTGGAGAGAAGCAACGCACTTGCTTCGATCTGTGCCGACGCTGCGGATATCATCTACCAAAATATGAGTCGTATTGGAAGGGAGATATACTAACGCGTGACAGGGACTTACATTTCCAATCTGGTACGCGACGCCAGGGAATGTGGCTCGAAAAGCCGGTGGCGACATTTCGGCTAGCTGGATTGGGATCTTCGAGAATGGATTAGATTCTCCGAGAATATAGGCGCGCATTTAGGAATATGAATATGTGGACTCACCACTCCCCAAGCGCCTTGAACCCCTACTTGGAGGAAGAACGCACCGGCGGAAAGACCTCCGAAAGAGGATGGGAGGATCCATAGTGGGATAAAGGCTGAGTCGGTGGAAGATCATGAGTAGTAGGATTAGGATACTACTCATGTTTGTGGTTCAGGCGCACGCACCTCCCACAAGACATACGAATATCCTGTGGGGCTTTATGAAGACGAGTATGGGTAGAGAGTCATGAGCACTTACACGATGGTCAACCGTCTGCCAATGTGCTGGCTGACGTATCCCGCGATGACACCACCGCTGTACGACCCAACTTTGAGTCGGTTAGATCTTCAAGACATTGTCTACGCACGTTATAGCACCCTAAAAGCGAGCCAGATGGTCAGGATAGATAATTAGTACAGGGGATGAAATGGGTATGACATACGCAGTTTCCGATAATCGTTGCGATGGTTGCGTCGTGAGGGGTAAAGTTCTTCGAGGTCTGCAGATAGGTGGGGTAGAGATCCTGGGAGCCGTGCGAGAGGAAGTTGAATCCTATGTGTTTCGACACTAAGCAGTTGACCCTGTTTATGGCTGGCTCGACATACCGGTCATCAGTAGTACAGCATAAATACAAAGCATCCAGTGGTTCTTCAACATCTCCTTCGTCTCCTTCAAGAATATTCTAGTCTTGGTACCAGCAGACGTAACACTGCCCTTCCTCCTCTCCTCCTCTCTCGCCCTCAAGAACACTTCGCTCTCGGGTACAACCGCGCGAACGCCCGCAGCGAACAAGCTAATCGCAGCCGCAGTCCAGAATAAAGCTCTCCACCCCGGTTCGACACTGGGCACGAGCTTGAGGTTGATACACGCGGCGAGGAGGTAGCCGACAGCGTAACCTTCTTGAAGGAAGCCTGAAGCGATGCCGCGGGCTTCGACGGGGAGGTTCTCGAGGGCGGTGGAAGCGGCTAGACCCCATACCCCGCCCATTCCGATACCGAAGAGCGAGCGGAGGGCGAGGAATTCGGGGAAGGTGTTGACGAAGCCGGCGGCGAGTTCGAGGATGGCGACGAGGATGAGGTTGGCGACTAGAGGCCATTTGCGTCCGAAGCGGTCAGAGGCGATTCCGAAGATTACCTGGAAAAGGTGAGGCGTCGAGTGATCTGTTAGATGTGGGATTGTAGACTTACTGCACCCAACGAGCGGAACAGAAGCGTTAAGGTGATGGATGTCGTCTGTTCAAAGCTGTTAGAACTTGGAAGGGAAAACTATGGCCTTACGATTGTCACGTACGATAGTGTGTGTCGATTTTCCGAACTGATCTTGGAGGTGTATGACGCTCAGAGAAACCGAGAAGAAATCTATGGCGTCGCAGGTCCATGCTAACCATCTACGCGCGAATGATCGTCAGCTAAATTCCAAATGTGGATACGGAGGATAAAGGCAAGGAAGGCGCCAACGATACCGATGCCCAGCCAAGACAATGTTCAACGCAATGAACCACAGTGCTTGGCATCATCATACCATTCAATAGCGAACTTGAACTCACCCAGACCAAAATTGGGCCCATTGAACCCAAGTCAGGCTAGCCAAGACTGTCAAGAGAGGTCTCGCGTCCTCTCGTTTCTCCTTGCGAGGAACGAGGTTTCGTAGAAAGTACGGTGCCATCCTTCAAGTCGAGAGCGATCGACGACGGGAAGAACAGAGCGTCACAGAGAGAGAACAGAAAACGAAAGTGGGGATGGGGAAGGAGATACAGCAAGTAGCAGGGAAGGTTCTCAGTTTATCTTCGCCCTGCAGATGTCAGATAGTGGAGCGACCTTGGATCCGAAGCGTGTGGCATAGGAGTACGCGTCCTTTATACGCTCAAACTATGTGATGAGAAGCAGTTGGAAGGGTCATTTGGACACCCTCTACGTGAGACTTGAGCAAGCCGCCACAGTACTACTGAAGGGGATCCGACTAGGATGGTCGAAGAAGAGCCATGTAACTCGGTCATGATCAGTAGTGGCAGTGGTGCGGCTAGGGTCAACTTTAAAGAGTGGGTTCTTGTTTAGCTAACGCGAAGAACGACGCGGGGTTAGGGCTACGCCGAGTGCTAAGAATAGCCTGTCTGTCCCATCAGCTTCGACACTCGAAAGGTGGTATTCCACTGTTGTATCTGGACCGCACTTTCGAAGTGCCGTTTGCTTCCAGGAGTCCTGCGGAGAACGGGATTGTTCGTGGGTGGAATACATACGCCATCTGAGTAGAGAGAAGCGCGAAAGTGATATCATTCCAAGAGGTGATCCACAGACGGAGACGGCGAACATGGAAACGTGTCTCCTTACCCAGCTTCCACTGAGGAAGCCTCAAGACCCGAGAACATTAAGTCTCACGAGGCTTCAAGACTCATGCGCGATGGAATCATTTGACCGTGCTGTCCTCAAAGGCTAGTACTAATCTATCCACAGGTGACGGGAACAGAATATGCGAATCCAATCTCAGGGGGGCGGTGAAGGACGGTTTTCCACATCACAATCCCACGAAGCTCCGTCGCGAACATCGAGGCTCGGTAGACGATTTTGCTCGATGCAAAGGTGGGTTGCGGGGTGGCGATTATCAGCCTGAACAGAGAGAAGCGACGAAGGGCTGAGAGCGCCATGTCGAAGACCTACTACCGGAGAGAACTTGACGATCGCCCGGATTTTTGTGAGTTTGCGTATCACAGTTGGTTCCCCGTCAAGGCAAGCGTTAGCCGATGTACGAAAGGCTCAAACACTTCTGCAACGGATTCAGAAGTCGAACGTTTGTATCCGATCTCACTCGAGTGCGATCATACTTGGGTCCTTATTGTAAAGATTCACCCTAGTCCCTCCGCCTCTTCGGTGGTGAGAACGATCGTTTAGGTCGAGTACGACCTAAGACCTCTAAAGCGAAGCGCCTGGAGCCAGGGCCAGTCGGCGTTTCCTTTTATAGACTTACTTCCGCCATGGTGCATTGGTGATTGATCTCTGCCCGGCGTTTCCGTTGTCATTAGATCCTCGAGGCCCAAAGTAAGCGCCAATATACCATAGCCGACGACAATCTCGCCAGGTAAGCAGGAGAATTAACCCTCGTTCGCGAAGGAAAAGAGAAACGGTGGATTCGTAGAAATACACACATGCACTTCGCTTTCTGGCCTCCCCTCCAATACACAACCTCGACCCATCCTCCGCCTTAATACGAAACCCACCCCACCCCCATCCCTCCGCCTTAACTGAACCACCCCACCCCCACCCCTCCGCCCTACCCCAAATATACCCCTAATGCAAAACCTTACTCAACCTCTGCACCTCATTCAACAACAAATCGCCCTTCTTGACCACCTGCTCGTACTGCGCCGTCTTGGTCGAAGGACGGGTGGTCTCGACGATCCCGTGGACCTTGTCGATGCGCGCGTGGATGCGGCCGTAGGCTATGAAGCGGGAGAGTTCGCTGGGGAGGAGGGGTGGTTAGTACTGTGGGTGATTGAGGCAAGTGGACGGGGGTGTGGGGAAGGAGGGAGGGAGGGAGGCAGACTTGAAGGAAATGACTCTTCGCGGAGGGGAACGAGACGACCCATCAGAGGAACGAGAACGAAGGACCCTCGGAGGTCCAGGAAAAGAACCTCCCCCACCAACAAACGAGTAACGAGTAACGAAAAACTCCCCACAGAAACACACAAAAAAGGAGAACGAAACTCACCTATCAACAAACCCAACGCTAACACCAAACGCCCGCGCCAGACTCTCGAGCGTTAAGCTTCGGTAGCTCTCGAGCAGCTGGGAATAGGCGAGGATGCGCATTTCGCGGACGTAGTACCGCGAGTGAGGGTTGAGGATGCGGGAGGGGATGAGGAAGGTTTGTTCGAGGGTTGCTGTGGAGGAGGGGGAGGGTTAGTATGGTGGTAGGAGGAGGGGGAGGAAGGTGTTGGGAGGAGGGTTAAGAGGTGGAGAGGGGAGGGATAGTGGTGTGGAATGCATGAAGGGAGGAAAGGGGACAAGATTCAGAGCAGAGCCGCGACGTCGAACGAAGGATTAACAAAAGTGTTCCATTGGGGTGCTCGAAACGTAGATACTCCCGACACGAATATCGAGAAAAAGGAGATGGGAGACATGAAGGACCAGCAAAGGGAACCCTTCTGGAAGAACTCCAGAAACAAAAGGCATCACCTCCCAGGATGAAAAGACATCCCCTCCTCTCAGAAGCGAAAAATTGACCTCGGAGAAAGAGGGAGGGAACTCACCGAGAGCGACGAAGAATTTATCGTAATGGCAGTCGTATAGGTTCTTGGTGAGGTCGCCGAGGACGGGTACCTCGGGGATGACTTGGTTGACTTCGGGGGCTGAGAGGATCTGTGGGACGAAAGGAGGGTTAGCGTCAGGAAGGAAGAGGGTCACGGAGACCAAGGGGGACGGTTAGGGAACGGGCAGGGGAGGGAGGTGTTCGACTCCCTACCGACGCGCCAAGAGACGATATCGATCTCTGCGCCTACGTCCATACAAGACGCCTAGGGCCTCTCAACTCGTAGTTATAACAAACGACAACTCACCCTCTTCTTCAGCTCTGTCCTCTCCAAGCTGACAACACCAGCGACGACGCCCATGGTGACAAAGTCGTTGAAGGAGAGGATTTCGGTGGCGGTGAAGGTGGAGAGGGCGTCGAGGAAGAGGTCGGCGGCGCGTTTGAATTGGCGGATGGAGATGAGGTAGAGGGCGCGGTAGACTTTGAGGCGGTTGCGGCGGTCCCAGTCGCCGCCTTCGTCTATTAGTCTGCGGGAGGGAATGGGGGTTATTTAAGCTTTAGGGAGTAAGGAGCGGGGAACACACTTTTCGGCCTTGTCCATATACTCGGTCACGAGCGCTGTATCGCCAAAGAAGAACCCGATTCTGACGATGGTGAGCACGATGTCGATGCGTGAGCCGAGGCCTGGTGTCTTTTCCAGCGCGAGTTTTTGAGCTTCGAGGGCTCGTTGCTGGTCAGGCAGGGATGTTAGTGGGGAAAGACGAGATATAGGCAAGACGATGTAGGAAAAGCGATGGAAGAAAGACGATGGAGGAAAGACGATGTAGAGGAAAGATGATATGATTATGTAGAAAAGACGAGATATATGCACACCTTTTCACCGATCCTAGTCAGATAATTAGCCCTAGCTTTCAACCCCTCAGAAATCTCCGTCTCGCCCTCCGTCTTCCTCGCCTCCTCGAGTTTCTCGTCCAACTTTTTCAGTTCTTCCTCGTTCTTCTTCTCTAGGCGTTCGAGGAGTGCTTGGTCGAGGGGTATAGGCGCGAGCGTAGAGGATGAAGGCGTGGGTGAGGAGGGGGATGTGGAGGAGGAGGAGGCGATGGAGGTTATGTTGCGGTACCAGGGGCCCATTTCTATATTGCGGTAGAGGTGGATGGGTGCGTTAGAGAGGATGTGGGAGGAATGGGGAGGGGAGGGACGTACCATCGGCTTCGACGCCCTCTAACAATTCTTTCCTCGCCTTCTCGTGCAGATGTTCCAATCTCGGGTTGGAAAGCACGAATAAGCTCTGGGGGAGGTTCAAGTTGGGGATGGGGAGGATCTCTTCGTCGCTTGACATCTTGGTTGCTTATTTGTAGGACTGGGTGTTGACGAGGCTAGAGGTTTGGGAGGTTAGTCGTTGAAGAGAATATCTGTTGGAGCAGACGAGATGCTACCAGGAACGAGGAACGCGGGGCGATCAAGTCGAGTGGAAAGGCAAGGTGATGGCGCCAGACGCCAGACGCGTCATCTCATCTTTCCCACGGGGTGACGCGTCGTCTCGATTCGCATCTATCGGATCCTTTAACGTATCTCATCTTCCTCCTCGTCCTCGTCGTCCCTGTTGCCATTCCAATTTGTCTCTCTACCTCTCCTGAACTTTGGGTTCATCAGTGCATAGTCTGATTTAGAACAGCGCTTCACGAATCCTCGCCCAAGATGTCGGTTGATACGTCGTCTCTGATCTCACAAGCTGAGGGAGTGGTGTCTACCAACCCTGCGCAAGCGGAGGCGCTGTACCAGCAGGTGTTGGCTGCTTCGTCTGGTGCGCCTTCATCCTCTTTCTTCTATTGTGTAACTGCACAACTGACATCTTCGTTCTCGAAACCCTCAACCCGTATCTTGTATCCTCGCCTTGTACAAATCGTCTATCGTCGTCTCGTACGAATCGTCTATCCCCGCGTCGTACAAATCGTCTCTCGCCGTGTCGCTCGTACGATGTGGTCCTCCACCCGCTACAGCCTCGTCAAGCAACACAGACCCAACCGTCCAAGCCCAAATCCTACGCGACCAGGAAACGGCGTTGGTCAAACTTGGAGAACTGTATCGGGACCAGAAGTGCGTCTAATTTCTCTTTGTGTTTTGCGTATTCCATACTGTTGTGGGAGTACTCGCTGGTACTTCTCGTCGCGTCTGCCTCGACTTTCTCTCGCTTGCTGATTTTGTTCTCGCTTCCGTCATCTGGTTCCCCCTTCATTCGTCTCGTTCACACTTCCCCCTCGTCTCTTTCGTGAACGAGAAGGAATGCTAACGACTGTATCACAGGAATGCAGCTGCGTTATCCAAAGTGATCACTCAATCACGCGCGTTCATGTCGTCCACGGCGAAGGCTAAGACTGCCAAACTCAGTGCGTTATTAGATTGTTGTTTTTGGGGTCTGAGAGGTGGACTGATCGTCGTTTTCTTGTTCCTCTCGCGCATCTCTTTTGCGTTGTTTTGGCCATCTCGATTCTCTCGGTCATGCTCTCTCTTCGACGTACCCCACCGCACGGTTCCGACACACCTCTGTTCCCAAATTCACACCTCTCGGCGCCAACTCGACTACATATTCCTCGCCGTTCCATCCCACACCCCCCAACCCACACCCCTCCACCTCACACCAATAACCGCCCCCACTTCCATCCCCGCACGCAGTCCGAACACTCCTCGACTTCTTCACCTCCATCCCGAACAGCCAAGACGTCCAAAAACAGACGCTCGTCGATAATATTGCCTGGGCGAAAGCGGAGAAGAGGATCTTTTTGAAGCATAGTTTGGAGACGAGGTTGGCTGGGCTGTGAGTAGTGTGTTGGTTTATTTGATTTGGTGGACGTGGTTTTGGGGGCGGGTGGAAAGCGCTGTTGGGCGATGGTGGAGAGCTTCGTTCTGCTCGTCGCGGCCTTTTCTTTCCTCGTACCCTCCCTTTCCTCCTCGCTATACCCTCTCTTTCTCCTCCCACCTTCCACCGACCGTCCAACTAACGATAACTCCTTCTCCCCTGCAGCTACCTCGACGCGCAGCAGTTCCGTCCGGCCCTGACGCTCGTCGACACCCTCCTCCAAGAACTTAAGCGTTTGGACGATAAGCTTATTCTGACGGAGGTGCATTTACTTGAGAGCAAGATTTATCGCGGGACGGGGAATTTGGCCAAGTCGAAGGTACGCTAACACCTTTCTCTGTCGATCTCTACCTCCTACCTTTGCTACCCCTCCTCCTCTTCACCCTCCCTTCTATCCCTCCCCTCTCCCTCCCTACGCACAACTCATCACTAACGCTTGCGCTCGTCGTCCACAGGCAGCCCTAACCTCCGCCCGCACAGCCGCGAACAGCATCTACTGCCCGCCTCCTCTGCAAGCCGCGCTTGACCTGCAGTCTGGGATTTTGCATGCTGAAGATAAGGATTATACGACGGCGTATTCGTATTTTTATGAGGCGTTTGAGAATCAGAGTTCCCAGGGGGATAGCGGGGAAGGGGCACTCAGGAGTTTGAAGTATATGCTTTTGTGTAAGATTATGTTGAATTTGGTGCGTTTTTTCTTTGGTCGTTCGTCTTGTGTCGTGGTGGTGCTGATTTGTGGTGTTTTGCTTCCTCGTGACGTTCGCTCGTTCGTTCGTTCGTTGTACCTCGCCCTCTCCGCCCCTCGCTTCGCTCGTTCGATAGCCCGAAGATGTCACCTCCCTCCTCACCATCAAGCTCGCCGCCAAGTATGCCCAGCTGCGCGATGTGGAGAGTATGCGTGCCATTGCGCGGGCGCACCAGAATAGGAATTTGGCGGATTTTGAGAAGGCGTTGAGGGAGTATAAGGATGGTGCGTGCGTTTTTCTTTTGGTGTTTTGTTTTTGTTGGTGGTCCACCGTCTCGGTGGAGTTCCTCCTGCGCCGCTATACCTCTCATCCGACCGCCTCTCCTCATCCCACCGCCTTTCCCATTCCTCCTTCTCCTCCGGCCGTTGACAATCGCTAACCCCCGACACCCCATAGAACTCTCCTCGGACCCAACGATCCGCTCGCACCTCGCGGCGCTGTACGACACGCTGCTGCAGCAGAACCTTCTCCGGATTTTTGAGCCTTATTCGGTGGTTGAGATTGCGCATGTGGCTGAGTTGGTGGGGCAGGAGAGGCAGGGTGTTGAAGCCAAGTGAGTGTTTGTTTTCGAGTTTTTATTCATTTCGTTTCGTCTCGCTTCGTTTGGGTTGGGTTGGATGGTTGGATTTTGTTTGGGTTGGATGGTTGGTTGACGTTTGGGTTGGATGGTTGGTTGACGTTTGGGTTGGATGGTTGGTTGTCGTTTGGGTTGGATGGGTTTCTCTTTGTTTGCGTTGGACGATGATGATACGGTTTTTACCGTTCATTTTTCCTGTGGTTTTTCGTTCGCGTACTGATGATTTCTCGCTCTAGACTCTCGCAGATGATCCTCGACAAAGTCTTCAACGGCGTTTTGGACCAAGGGCGAGGGTGTCTATTGGTGTTTGATCCTCAAGAGGTTGATGTACGTGTGCCTGTTTTTTCTTCCTGTTCAATGGTGTTGGTTGTTCGGTTCTGCCTTTTCGAGGAGGACGTCGTTCTTCGTCCGTTTCCAACGATGTTATCGTTTCACCGCTGTCACCGTCCTCCTTCCTTTTTATTCAACATTACGGCGCTTTCCCCCTTTTTTTCTCCGACGTGTGATGTGTAAATGTTCATGGACTGACTAACGTAATCTCCGCAGAACATGTACGGTCCCGCGATCGAAACGCTCGAAGAGGTGGGCAAGGTGGTGCAATCGCTGTATGCAAAGGTACGCTCCTTCCTCGTGTATCTTGTTTACTTGAATGTGCGACTAATCTTCTTGAATTGAAGACTGTCAAGATCGCATAGGTTTCGGTCGTTCGCCTTTTTCGCTCGGTGTATAATTTTCAAGTGTACATTCTACCGTTTTTTTTATCTTCGTTCGTCGTGAATGTATTCTTCGTTCTGACTTGTCGATGGAGATGTTTGGTTTACGGCGGCTGGTATTCCTCGCTCGTTTATGCTGGCTGCTGGGCCCTGGCGTTCCTCCCGGTAGGGGTGCTGTGGAAGTTGAGTCAGAGTTGGGCTTCGGACCTCGGAGCGAGCAATGATCAGTGTAGGCTGAAAAATGAGTTCATCTGAGGCGAAGGTGGGTACAGTGTACCAGATGGTGGTGAAATTTACGTGCTTCTGAGCGGTGGGCGAGTGGCTCAGCTAGCGCCTCTCATCGACTCTAGGTTTCTGAAGAATACGAATTCTAGATACAAACTTGACAGTAAGGGTACATCCGTTCGCGCTAGGGTTCTAATGACTCTCGCCGCTCTCGAGGACTTGCTTGTTTAAGGAGGTGTTTGAGTAGTTCGCCTGACGACCCGTCATTCGCGAGTACCGTCTTGTCTTCAAGGTCCCTCATTATCCTATCAATGTAGTCAGTCGCGCCCGCAAGATGAGCAATCCTCGCGAATGCAGCATGAATCTCGAGGTATCGAGGGCTGGGAAGAGGAAGGTTTTCAGGATCGCTGGATTGGAACCGGACGATTTTGGGGAAGTGCTTGATAATAAAGGGTTCGGGTGCCTCGAGTTCGTAAGTGTTAGGCTCCGCGTTTGGATCGCGCTGGAAGATAAGTAGGCGAGGGGGAGGTGAGATGAGAAGAGGAGGTGGGCTCACCGAAGGGGCAAACCATAATCTGAGCATGTGGAACGCGCCCTGTATGTTTGGGTCCAATGTCATCACATTCTCTAGCCGGTGGACGTTGGGACCTTGTAATTCGTCGAGGATACAGGTGTACCCGAATTTTTCGAGTATCGTCGAAACGCTCGCACTCCAGTTACTCTGCCGCGGAGGGAACGAATGAGGTAGACGTTCGACCCAAGAAGGTATAAATTACCTTGTCGACGTCGGTATCGCGGTTCATGACCCCCGCAAAGATATGGGAGCACTGGGTCACAGCCCACCGACCGCTCGGGCTGTCTTTGAGCTCTGCGAGGATCTCAGGAAACTGGTCGCAAGCCATTGCATCGAAGGCGCCGGTAATCATGCAACGGTACCCGTCACGCTTCAAAGCCTGGAGGGCGAAGATATAGTTAACTTTAGGGCGAGATCGTCTTCGAATTAAGGGTGCGTACATATTTCTTGGCTGACCAGTGGTCTTTCGGCTGCACGCTCGAGCCCTTCGCATCCTCTACTCGAAGGTCTCGATTGAACCGGTCACCGGGAGGCGTTCTCGTCTTTGCTGTGTTTGAGTGAACTATCCATGACGAAGTCAGTCCTTTTCGAACCTTCCAAGCGACCACGTTAAAGCTCACGAAATCGGATGAAGGACAAAAACGCCTCCCCAAACTCCAACAGTTTTCCGTCATCGCCATTGCACGCGATGATACCTTCGGCAACAGACGCTCTGGCTTTATCTGTCGGTGTGTGGTGTAGGAGGTACCCGAGGATCCGACATAGTACCAAGTTCCTTTGTTCACCAAGGTCCGTGTCCAGCTTCGGTCGACTCGAATGTGCCTGTGCAAAGTCCGTCTGTGTCTCCTCGGTTCGTTGACTGAGAGCCAACAGTCGCGTCTCGAGCTCCAGAATGACGTTGTAGGCCCTTTCGGCGGCGTCTACGCTTTGGATGGGCAAGGGGAGCGAGGACGGAAGTTTGGACATGGTGGTCGATCACAAGCAACAGGTGAAACCCTGGCAGGACTCCCCCTTTCTCGTCGTTGTCGCACTTTCAAATTTGGCCGAAATTCAGCGCATGAACATCGGGGTTGGGTGTTTCATCTCGTTCTTTGGATCGAACATCGCCTAGAGGCCTTTTCATGAACATAAAAGTGATGTAAATAAGACATCTAGCGAATGTACGAGAGTGGATGTATTAGTCCGAATTTGAGAGGCTGTACGGTTTCATCCAATCTTGAAGAAAGAACGCGTAACAAGAGTAAATTATGTCGCAAAAACCTTGATGGCGAAAAGCCTTGAACGTAGCGAGGTCATATGAAGGCAACGACACAAGGAAATGGCAAGGGGAAAGAGGACAACAACGGGAGATATTTATAGAAGGCTAAACATCGTTACATGGACCATTAAAAGAATCAAAAGAGGGGCAAGACGGTCCAAGCAGGAGCGAAGAACCT